GGTTTTGCTCCGTGTGCCAGTGCGGCGGAAGCGGAGGCTCTGGCCGCGGCTCTGCTCCGTGTCCCAGTCAGAGAGCCCGCGAGCCGTTTTGCCCACTAAATCGCAGCTATTTTCTGCGGGATTTCTCCGACGCCCGCCGGGAGGGCGACGGGGTTTCTCCTCGGGCCTGGGAGGGGGCCGGCCCCGCAGGTCCCCGCGTGATTCAGCCGCGCCCGGGGGGCCGGATTTTTTCCGTGTCCCGCCATCGGCCCCTTGTGATTTTCCAATGGGAAGGCGGGGGGGATTTAAAATTTAAAAATTAGGGCTGTTTTGTAGTGTTTCTAGATTTCGCATCCCGCTTGTGTTTCTTTTGCCATTTTTGCGATTGGTGGCAAAGAAGGTCTCGGACTTGGGTTGGGGCTCGTCTTTCGCGGTGGGTTTCGGGCTTTCATATTTATCCGGTTTGGCTTTCGCGACCTATTTGCCCGACTTTACCCGACTCAAAACCTACCCTGGGCCCGACTTTTACCCGGCTCCCCACCCGACTCAACAGGTCGGGCTCGTTTTTTTCCCCGACCTGTCTCGGTCGTTTGGGGAGTCGGGTGGAGTCGGTTCCTGGGTCCGGTCGGTTCCTGGGTAGGCTGTGCCCCCCTACCTGTTAAATCCAGTATCTCGCCCTGTTACCTACCCTGGAACCTACCCTGGGCCCGGGGTAGGAAACTCAGACTTGGGCAGTTGCTGCAGTTTCAATAGGTAATAGCTTGCATTATAGTGGATCACGCAAAGTATGCATGACAGACTTGGCCTCTTCCAGACCCACAGACACACATCGGCAAAGGATATCGCATCGGCTGGAGTCGGGTAGAGTCGGGTAAGGTCGCTTTGCCTCTCCCGGGCTATGTGCCCGACTTTACCCGACTCAAAACCTACCCTGGACCCGACTTTTGCCCGACTCTTCACCCGACTCCACAGCTCGTGTTTGTTTCTTTACCCGAGCTGTATCGGTCGGCTGAGGAGTCGGGTTGAGTCGGTTCCTGGGTCGGTTCCTGGGTAGGCTGTACCCCCCCCCGTGTTAAATCCACTGTCCCCTCGTGTTACCTACCCCAAAACCTACCCTGGAACCTACCCTGGAACCAGGGTAGGAATGCCATTTTTGGCTAGTTGCTGCAGTTTCAATAGTAATCGCTCATTCATCTTCCAGACCCAGACATTTTTACATTTGGTACACAGGTCCTCGAGAAAAGACAGGATAACGCGTGCTTTATGTTTTTTCTTCCTTCAAAGGATCTTGACAATTTTGGAAGATAGATTGCATCCATATGTAGTAGGACATTTCATCTACTTCAGAACACGATCCGTGAGGAACATTTTGATAAACAGATCGACATCGAGTTGTTCCTTAGCTTTGAGATCCGATCCGCACGATCATCAAAATTCTCTCCTATGCACGTTGATCAGGTTCAGGGCCCGCCCTTTGAAGATCCACTTTTAGGCTTGAAAATTCATTCCTGTTCCTGAGGATCGAACGCAGAACCTATGTGAAGAACACACGACCTTCAGCTGCCTCGAAGTAGCCACATCACTACGTGCATCACGCAGCGCCTTCTTGATCTTGCCGTGAAGATCATGTATAATGAGTGCGGCGTTGTTTCTGAAGACTTTATCAAGCAACCTTCTAACGCAACTATAATTTATTTCGGGTTTTAATTGGGTAGTACCGGTACAACTACTTCGAAACTGAATAGAAGCCACTCACTAGTCGTAATCTCACTCACTTCCTCAAGAAATTCTACATGAACTCAGTTCGTTCTTCGTAGTATAAACTTCTCACCATCATGCTTCTTACCACTCATTAGATCTTCGATGAAGCGACCCTAGTTGAGGTGAATAGAAAGACAAAGAGAAAAAATAACCTTTAGATTGATGATATTACACAACAGCACCTCGCAAGGACGAGCGTTTCATTACTTCGAGTTTCTTGCCTTGTTCCCGTTCAAATTTAGAAAATCCGGAGCGCCGTGCGAACGGTGTTCCATAAGTGGCGCACACGAGCCCCATGGGACGATGAGGATGAGCTCCACTTTTTGTTACTTGAGCAAGATGCGTTTGTTTGTGTGCTGCTGCTGCTGTCCGTGACGTGGCAAGAACGCTCTACTGCCGGTTCTTCGTCTCCCTGGTCGCGGTGCTGAGATACTCCTCGCGCTTGATCATGTTCTCCGGCATTGTTATTTTCGCAGCTGCCCACCTGAAGAGCAGAGTGGTCTTCGGCAACGGCTGGTGTTTTCATCTCTCCCTGCAGTAGTTGTCCCTCGGCCTCGTGCTGGTCCTGCGCGGCTTTCGCGTAAGGGGCCACTCGCCAGTTCGGCTCTTCGTCGGGGCCGCGAGGAATATTGAGTGCTTCTTTTTTTCGCTCGTCGTTCTTGTCGTCGTACGAGCCTTCGGCAGCAGTAGTTGTGCCAGCGAGCAGTAGCTTCTCAACCCTTGCGAACTCGATTTCTTCGACCCAATCCCCGTTTTCATACTCCGGCATTTCCCACTCGATCGCATCGGAGATTTGCCTCCTGCGCCACAGGTCCTCGAGAAAAGACAGAATAACGCGGACGGCCTGCTGGTTGGGTGCCGGCTTCCAAAACGCGTCGCTTTCCGGGTGGTCCAAGGCCGTGTAAAAGTGTCCGCCGGGTTTTAAACAGTATCAAATGTAAATATGTCTGGGTCTGGAAGAATGCGCGATTCGTCATGCAGCTTTTCCATGACCCATGAGGTCTGGAATGCAGGGCGTAGCATGCCAGATTCTGTGTGATCTCTCTCATGCCTATCCTGCATGAGAAACTCCCTCCCGACTTGGTCAAAACTGGACGACGTTATTTGGTAATCATGCAACACAGATTTTTGCATGCTTCAGATTTAGCATGACAGGTTGCATTCTTCCAGACCCAGACACTTTTACATTTGATAGACAGGCGTCGAAAACCGTTTTCAAAACAGATGGCGTCAGCCCTTCGTACTCGCGCAGTTCATTCTTGCGAGGTCGTGGGGAACGACTCCTGCTTTGATGGTGTAGTAGCTCCCCTGGTGCTTCGGTGGCAGTTGCAGTTGTGTTCGACGTAAAATCTGCAGCAGGAGGTGCGTCGTAATCCTTGGTGCAAAACTCGTCGACAATGGCGTCGTAATATCCACCGACCTGGAATGATTCTTGCTCTTCGGAGGCGTCCATTTGCGGCACATGATAAAGATAATCATTTTTCGTCTCATCTACCGCACGACCGTGATCAACAAAATTTGTTGTCCAGCACTTCGTGCTTCGAATCACTTCTGCCACCGTGGCCGGATGCAGCTCGGCACGGACGATCTGGTTACCCCTTGCGAACTTCTGGACGGATTCCTTCGTGGTGTCCGAGAGCGACTTGTCGTGATACAGATCCTCCATCTCATCGACCAGGAAGGTGGGCGAGTAATGTTGAAAGTCATGCAGGAGCTCTGCTGGTGCGTGATAATGATATTGCACTTGTTCGGATGGTGCAACTGAATCTAAATCCCTCATCTCGGCTTCTGTCGTCTTGGAAACATTTTTAGAGTCCTCCGCCGCCGGCGCGACGAGAAAGGGCTGCATCAGACTTTTGTACTTTTCCCGTGCCATACTTTCCGCGTCGGCGCACAACACGAGGACTTTTTTCGCCGGTTTTCTTGATGTCGACGTGTTAAATGTAATCATGCTTTCATCTTCAGGTCTTGTAACATGAAGTAGATCTTCACGATGTGGCCGCTCATCGCCTACTTTAAAAATATCCGGAACAACTACCGGCACCGGGTCGTCCACACCGCGACCGGCTGTATCGGTGGACGATTTTTGTTCTGGCATCAAGGACTTCATGTGTACTCCTTCATTCTCTTTTAAGTCGGTGGTGGTCCTCGCAACCCCCTCCTGTAGTTCATCGTCCCTTGCAAGAATTTCTGGTAGCACAGGCGCTTTTTCTCCAGTTTCGTTCACCTCATCCCCCAGCGGGAGAGCGGCTCGCTTCCAATTCGGCTTTTCGTCGGAACCGCGGGGTGCGGGAGCAGGTGAAGGTAGTGCCACCAGTACGCGTGGTTCCTGCGCAGCACGACGATCAACGGTTGGATCATCATTCTCCGCAGTATTGATATCACTTTGAGCAAGTGGATCACGACGTTTAAAAATACCAGCTTGTTTCCTCACTCGTCCGAATTCGAAGACCTCCGGCAGCGTCCACTGCTGCCACTCGATGGTGTCCGAGATTTTCCCTTCGCGCCACAGATTTTCCAGAAAGAACAACGCCGCTTTGCTCGCGGTGAAAGCGGGATCTGGATTACGAAAGGCTTCCGACTCCGGATCGTCGGTGCTGGTGTACCAGAAACCGCCCGGCTTCAGACAAGAATCGAAAATCTGTTTCAGCACGAAGGGGGTCACGCTGTTGGATGCGGGTTTTTTGTAGACCTTCAAAGAAGTCCACGTCGTGGTCGTGCTGCGAGTGGCCGACCTGTAGTTGTTCTCGCTTTGCATCTGGTGTTGGTCCTCGCCTTCAGTTGTGCCTTCATGATCTGAAGAAACTTTATTTTCGTTGTTGCTACCGCCACGACCATAAGGCCCAGCTACATCTTCCACGACATCGAAGTCCAGGCTACAAAACTCGTCCACCACGGCGTCAAAGCCGTTTTTCCCTGCGCTCCAACAGTCGCTGGCATTGACCACTGTCTGTATCGTTTCGGGGTCTAGCTGTGCCTGGACAATGTTTTCGGCCGTCTGCTGGTTGAGCGAAAGCTGCTGGCCCTCACCGACAAGAAATGTGGGGGAATATTGTTGTATCTGCGACGAGGTGGTCGTTGTACTTCTTCGGCCGATGATGTTTTTGTGAAAGGCATTGATCAACATGGCATACTTATCCCGCTGTATGCTCTCCTCGCTCGCACAGAGGACCAACACTTTGGTCGGTTCAATTTTCGCAGCTTTTGAGACCGGCGTAATTGCCCACGCCCCCTTGGGTATTGGAATAAGGCCGCAGAAAAGTGCGAAAATCACCGGAAGAACGAGGCTATTTTTTGCCATTTTGTCCATTTTTAGGCGTTTTTTTTGCAAGGGAGTGCACAAGGCTTTCAAATGGTTCTGTCTGTAGTCAAAAAATCATACAACTCGATGGCGCAACTAATTCAGTACTCTTAAACCTAATTGGTAGAGCAGTTACTCGTACTTACTTTGCGTTTACTGGTGCTTAATACTGCTCTGCATTCGCGTAAATGAAAAATCAGTTCTAGGTGATCTTCTTGCCACACATGATGAACTCCTGCTGTCGGATCTTCGTGCACGAAGATCAGACTGACACTCTGTGACGCAATTATTTTTTGTTTCATCTAGATTCGATCCGCTTCTTTTTCGACTCAACAACCTCTCACGATCACCATGCTGTGTGTGAGAAAGTACTCTCTGGCGGAGGAGGATTTCATCTCCCTGAACGACCACGACCTGCATTTCTTGCATAATTTGATCAACCAATGGTCATCCGTGCGGATCCGGTTCTGGATCCCTTTTCCTCGACCAAACACTACCACATCTCCTCGGAGGCGGAGCCGGTTGAGCGTGAGCAGGTACAACCGCCTCGAAGGTGTCCTAGCTGTAGGAACAAGGAGCACACAAGAACCTAGTATGTTGGTCGACATTTTTCTTATATGCCTACTGGAAGTTCAAGTTGTAGCCGAGTAGACCAGTTTTTCAACATGCCTGGAACACAACGCGACGAGTTGTGAACTCTGATACAACTTCTCACCAACTCCTTGCCCCGAGGATCTTCAGATAATTATAATAATAGTGAAACGACTTCGCCCTCCCCCTTTGCTATAATCTATAGGAGGCACTTAGAAAAATAATTCTAAACGAATGTGCTTAGAAGGTCTCGTCTAGACGCTTCGCGTAACAGATTGAACGCGTTCCCGTTATCTGTACCCCGTACCGTCGTGCAAAATGTTACGCTGCACGCTCTGGCGAGCAGCAGAGCAAAGCCACGCATCAACTTCAGTGTGATTTTGCTAGAGAAAGCGTCGACAAGCCCGATTGCCCCCGTTTTCCCGCCCGAAAACAGGGATCAACTCCTCGGCCATCACTTTCCGGCATGGCAAAAATGATGGCCAAGAGCTCCCTGGCCATCCCCTTGCCTTCGCTCGGGCAAAAGTTTTCCAAGGGGGGCATGCCCAGTCTGTCAGGCAAAAGCGGCGGCCGCGAGCTCCGGGGCCAAAAGCATCACTTACCGGCCGGGCAAAATTGATGGCCAAAAGCCCCTCCTGGGCCATCACTTTCCGGTCGGGCAGAGTGATCCCTGGCCGTCCCTTTCCGGCCGGCAAAAGTGATGGCCAAAAATTCCACGGCCAACCACCAACTTTCGCTCGGGCAAAAGTGATGGCCAAGAAGAGCTCCCTGGCCATCGCTTTTGGCCATCACTTCCCGGCCGGGCAAAAGAAAGTGATGGCAGAGAGGCCCTTGGCCATCACTTCCCGGGCGGGCAAAAGCGACGGCACGGCCAGGACCTCCTTGGCCATGCATGTGTCGGTCGCTTTTCGCTCGGGCAAAAGTGTTAGTTTCCGGTTCGTCGGGCGAAAGTGATGGCCTGGAGCCACTTGGCCATCACTCTGCACGGGCAAAAGTGATGGCCGATAGCTCCCCGGCCGCCACTTTTCGCTCGGACGGACAGCCGGGCAGCCAGGCAAAGTGATGGCCAGGAGCCCCTTGGATGGGTGGCCATCACTTTCGGCGGCTATCATTTTCGTTCCGATCGGGCAAAAGTGACGGGCACAAGTTCCTCGGCCATCAGCATCGCCGTCCGATCGGTTCGGGCAAGTGAAAAAGTGGCGGCCGCGACGAGCCCCTTGGCCGTCGCTTTCGGCCATCGCCTTTTGCTCGGGGGGGCAGAAGTGATGGCCGAGAGCTCCTCGGCCATCATTTTCCGGCCGGGGCGCGCAAAAGCGATGGCCAGGAGCTCCTCGGCCATCGCTTTCCGGCCGGGCGAAAGTGGTGGCCAAGAGCCCCGGGGCCATCGCTTTCGTTGGCCCGCCTGGGCAAAAGTAATGGCCGAGAACTCCCTGGCCGTCGCTTTTGGCCATCGCTTTCCGGTCGGGCAGAAGTGATGGCCAACAGCTCCTGGGCCATCACTTTTGGCCATCGGCCACCTTTCGGCCGGGCAAAATTGCTGGCCTAGAGCCCCCGGGCCACGCCATCGCTTTAAGTAAGTTTTGGATGGCCGTCAGTCACTTTCCGGTCGGGCGAAACAAAGTGACGCCCAGCGGCTCCCTGCCTGGTCATCACTTTTGGCCACCCATCGCTTTCCGGACGGGGGGGGGGCAAAAGGGTCAGTGGCCAAGAACTCCGTGGTCGCCCATCAGTTTTTGCAATTGCTTTCCGATCGGGCAAACGTGATGGCCAGACGCCCCCTTCGGGCCATCACTTTTGGCCATCACTTTCCGGCCGGGCGAAGGTGATGGCCCAGAACTCTCTGGCCATCTCTTTTTGCCATCGCTTTCCGGTCGGGCATGCAAAAGGGACGCATGGCCAAGTGCCCCCTGGCCATGCGTCACTTTTGGCCACCACTTTCCGGTCGGGGGGGCGAAAATGATGGCCGCAAGCTCCTCCGTGGCCATCGCTTTCCGGTCAGGCAACGATGGCACGGGGCTCTCTGACTGCCCATCGTTTCCTGGCCGGGCAAAAGAGATGGCCAAGAGCTCGTCGGCCACGCACCACTTTCCGCTGGCTCGGACATAAGTCATGGCCGAGAGCCCCTTGGCCATGGCTTTCCGGTCGGGCAAAAATGATGGCTAAGAACTCCCGCCTGGCCATCAATTTTGACCATCACTTTCCGGCCCGCCGGGCAAAAGTGATGGCCAAGGGCAGGAGCTCCTGGGCCATCATTTTCCGGTCGGGCCCTTGGTCACTGACTACTTTGACTGTCCGGCCGGGCAAAAATGATGGGCAAGAGCTCCTCTGGTGCCATCATTTTCCGGCCGGGTAAAGTGGTGGCCAGGGACTCCTGAGCCTTCACTTCCCGGCCGGGCAGGAGTGATGGCCGAGAGCTCCATGGCCATCGCCTTCCGTTCGGGCAAAAGACCTCGCCAAGAGCCCGCTGGCCATCGCTTTCCGGTCGGGCTGAAATAATGGCCAAGAGCTCCCTGGCTATCACTTTGGGCGGGCAAATTGCGAAAACCGATTCCAAGTCCGGATCCCCATGCTGTTGTCGGGATGCTGTCACGAAAGCGCTCGCGACAGCATCCGGACGACAACAGGGGGGCTCGGACCTGAAAGCGGTTTGCACAACTTGCAGCCCAAGCGTGGAAACCATCTCCAGCCCCGAGCCCCCCTGTTGTCGTCAGGATACTGTCGCGAAGCCCTTCGCGACAGTATCCCGACGACAACAGGCGGACTCGGACGTGGCAGCGGTTTTCACAACTTGCCGCCCAAGTCAGTGCGAGCACCACTCTCACCCCCGAGCCCCCCTGTTGTCGCCAGGATAGATACTGTCGCGAAGGGCTTCGCGGCAGTATCCTGACGACAGCAGGGGGACCCGGATTGGAAAAATGGGAAAGCCATTTTTTCGAGTCCGAATCTTCCTGCCGTCGTCAGGATACTGACCGTCGCGAAGCGTATCCTGGCGACAACATGGGGCCACGAGCTTGGCGCTGGTTTTTTTCGATGAAAGAAACCCTTGGCAAGCGCTGGCAAAAGTGATGGCGAAGAGCTCCCTGGGCATCGCCTTTCGGCCGGGCGCAAGTGCTGGCCAAGAGCTCCCTGGCCGTCAAAGTGGCCATCGCTTCGCGGCCGGGCAAAGGTGATGGCCAAGAGCTCCGCGGCCATCGCTTTTCGTCCGAGCAAGAGCGATTTTGGCCATCGCTTTCCGGTCGCTGGCTCCCTCGGGCAAGAGTGATGGCGAAGAACTCCGCGGCCATCAATTTTTGCAATCGCTTTCCGGTCGGGAAAAAGTGATGGCCAGAAGCTCCCTGGCCATCACTTTTCGGCCGGGCAAAGAAAAACGATGGCGACAGCTCCTTGGCCATCACTTTTGCCAACCACTTTCCGGACGGGCAAAAGTTGTGGCCAAGGGCCCCTGCCTTGTCTATTGCTTTTGCCCAGCGCTTTCTTGTCCGTCGGGCAAAAGTGATGGCCAAGAGCTCCCAGGCCCTCACTTTCGGCCATCAGTCACTCACTTTCTTCCCGCGCGGGCAAAAGTGTTGGCCAAGAGCTCCGCGGCCACCACTTTCTGGTCGCGCAAAAGTGTTGGCCAAGTGCTCCATGGCCATCACTTTTGCCCATCACTTTCCGGTCGGGCAACCGGGCAAGAGTGATGGCCAAGAGCTTCCAGGCAGGCACTTTTTGCCACCTCTTTCGTTCCGGCCGGGCACGCTTTTCCTATTCGGCTTCAATCACTTTTCTCGCGCACGCTTTTGCCCCTCGGCTTCTGGTGCATGGCATGGGCGGGGGGGCGCGAGGCAAAACCGCGCAAACAAGCCCCCGGAAGCGTGAGGCCCATCCCCATCCAGGGGCGGGGGTTTTCTTTACGCCGGCCGCCGAAGCCGCCCCAGAATAAGCTTCGCAACTGGCCTCCTTCGCTTTGCTTGCCGCGTGCGGCTAAAGGGCTGACGGCGGGCCGGCGTCCTGGACGCCGGACCGCAAAAGGCGTTAAAGCGGCGAGGCCGCTAGGGCAAGCGCAGGCGCGGCAACGCGGCTATAGGGCTGACGGCGGGCCGGCGTCCTGGACGCCGGACCGCAAAAGGCGTTAAGGCGGCGAGGCCGGTAGGGCAAGCGCAGGCGCGGCAACGATCTTCCTCGCGGCAGGCAGCGTTATGCTTTTCAACCTTCTAGCCACATCCTATTCGACTCCACGCCAGACCTTCTAAACGCATTCCCATCTTTAGAATTATCTTTAAATCTACTAGCCCAGCGGGCGTCCTGGACGCCCGCGTCAAGAGGCTAGTAAAATTAATTTATACACTTTCGATTTTTCCATTTTCTCACGCGATTTTTCCATTTTCTCATGCGCTTCTCATCCTTACTGCCTTTTGGCGATGGTCGTGCGTCTTTTTTCACGAACATGCAGATCGCCATGCTATGACTAATGTTCAAAAAAGCTAATCTTACACGTAGAGGCGCCGGTTTTCGTAGGGCGAGCGCAAAGTTTAGCGTGTAGCGCTGACAGCAAAAACGTAGTAGTGTCATACTTCACGCGAAAGTGTTTCATTAGAGATCGGGTTGGATGGACGTGTTGTACATTTTCGTTTTGTCATGCAAAGCTTCCCATCTACTTGTACTTCCAGAGCCCGCTTAATCATAAACGTAAAAAAATGCAAAACCATAGAGAACGCAGCTTGTAAAGCTAAAACGTTCCCAATCTTAATACTTTTTCGTCACAACTAATTTCTTCTACTCCTTTGCCATGCGATGTTTGTCGTGTAGTGCTTCTTTTTACAACATCTCGCTTGCTGCACAAAACTACGAGTAATCTTCGCACATGACAGGTTTTCCCAACTAGCGCCTCCGTGACATCGACGTCTTCGTGTCGCCGTCTTTCTTTGTTGGACATGATCATACATATTCCAGGTACTCGTCGTCCGAGTAAGTAGTCTAATAGAAACGAAACGATCAAAGAGTCGCGATCTTCATCTTTCTCAAAATATTTTTCCAGCAGGCCGAGCTCTAATCATGTAGGGCTGTAGTCAGATGCGTCGTTTACTTTTTCCAGCGTGATTCGCAGCAGCCGGGTTTTTATTGAAGTAGCGCTAGACAAAAAAGGTGCGTAAGCGAATGCATATATTCAAACATACAAATAAACTCTAAGAAAGTGGATCCAAATAAAAACTCGTGGTCAAACAATTGACAAAGTCTCTGGAGATGGAGTTGAAGGTGTTGCGTGCGAGGGCGCGCATCTGCCCCGGCCGCAACGCAGTCTCTAAACTGAGGCCGCGCACTCGCAGCCCCAGGCCCAGCATCGGCCATGCAATGAGCTGAAGTGTTCGCCGCGTTTTGTTCAAAATTTCTTCCCTTTTTCAGCAGGCAACAGAACCGAAGGCAAGCCTGGGTGACTTTACCTACCTGAAGAGCTGCAAGCAAACTGAAAGAGTTCTTCAGCTTTTTTTGTTGCGTTTACACCTACCAAACCTACCAACAAAAAATTTTTAAAAAAGTGAAGACCAACATTGGACCAACTTTACGTAAAATAGCAGCGAGTAAAACTGTACCTTACCTTCTTTTCAAAAATGAATAACAAGGCGTCCTAGGAGCAACATGCTACAGAACAAATCTTTGTGCTGGGTGTGTGGTGTGTACTTACTGAAAAGCTAGTGCCTTTTCTCTTTCTTAGCAAAAAAATTTCTTTCGAGGCGGCAGCGGACTCGATTCCAAGAATGGAGTAAAGTCGTTTTTTGTCCAGACGACTAGATTCCAATCTACTTTTTTTTCGGTAGCGCCTAGTATAAATGCTTCTCTTGAAGATGCCAAAACTTAAGACAAATACTTCCCTGCTTCCAATAAACCTTTCAGAACTACTATTAGACTACGTTGGGCACTTACTTTGTTTTCACATAACTATACACCCAGACGCATCTTCTCTGTATTCGCTAAAATCTCTGTAAAACATGTCAGGTACAGGTTCAGAGTCAGATCCAGAGTCATAGGCTTCGAAGTATGACAGCACCAGTTTGCGGAAAGGGTCCGTGCTGTATCTGCAACTCGAGAGAGTACAGGTTCTCCTGATCCGGACCCGCGATTTTTCCACGCACAACGAGGCTTGGCGCATTGGGCAGGGGCAGTATGTTGTCGTCATTCCATTTCCAGCCTGCTAGCTTGTCCAAGTCGTCGCTCGAAAGCGGCACACGCTTCGTGAATATGCGAAACTTACCGAAGCCCCTATCATTAGGCCGGCCCGCGCCTGGAAGCGCGAGCCAAAGAGCCGTTGAAAACTCGCTCTCCGGCGGGCCATCTTCACAACGTGTAACGGACCAAGGCGGGTTGAGAAGATTTGTTTTTTGATAAAAAGAGGCCTTAAAAGGATGCTCTGGCTCCCGCAGCAGCGCGTTTTCCAATAGATGCAGAAAATGCCGAAAGCTGTCACCTAGGGCCTGTGGCGTAACTCCAACGGGGATCCTCATGGTGATGTCCGGGTGCGTTGTTCTCAAGACCTCGGGCTCGACGTAGGATAACAGCTGTGTCGCGAAACCCAGCTTCGGGAGGGTGCTCGAGACCACAGGACCGCGAAAGAGGCGACTAGCGGCGCGAATGGGGTGCGCGTGCTGCAGCACCGGGTGACGCAGCAGTTGGTCAAACCGTCTCCAGGAGTGTTCCTTCAGACGCAAAAACTCTACCGTCTGTTCCTCGTGCGTTGCTTCCGGACCCATCCTCCCATATCGTATATCATGGGGGCGAATTTGATATTGGGCCCCTGCCGACTCTCCGGTCAACACGACGTCAAAAATGGCGTGCAGCGGAAACTTATCCGACTGAAGATAGGAGCAAACATCAGCCGCTAGACCTTTTCTAGACTCTAGAAAAGGGGAGACGCCCCCGGCTTCGCGGCCAGGATCCGGAAAAACGGCAAAGGACGGGCCAGTGAGACAGAAAATGCTGAAGAGCAGCGATCGCACAGACATCATTGTGTGCGCTTCGAAGATGCTTCTAGAGACGTTGCTGATGGCGCGTTCTGTCTCGTCAAGAAAAATACTTATCGGGGAAGACTTATCTGTCTCGTCAAGAAAAATACTTATCTGTGGTCTCGTTAAGAAAAATACTTACCTGTGCTGTTCGTGAAAACAGGCGATCGATGGTGGTAGTGGTACAATTACTTGCTTTACTAAACTAAGGCTATGGAGCAAAAGTCCAGCAACGTAGCACGAGTGTAGTAACCTGCAAAAGTATTTTGATGAAAGCCTTTCAGACGAGCGGCAGGATGTTGAGCATCAAAAAGCTCTTGTGTGTAGCAGAAAGATGAATTCGCTCGCGCTACTAGTATGCGATGATCGTTATGCGATGATCTTCGTCCACCTCTGTTGAGCGTGAGCAGGTAAAACCGGCGCTTAGAAACACCGAGAGGATCATCTTCTTCTGCGGCAAGAAAGTCGCTTGCTGTGCAGTCAATTCTGAAGACCATCAAGACCAGACGAGGAACGTTGCCATTTCATTTCATTAAAGTATTTTCACTCGAGATGAAGTAGGTCTAGGTGAAGATCTCCCTGCAGAAGGTGCAATTGTGCATTTTCTCTTCGTCAGATGTAGCTCTAACTCGTTTTCATTTTTTAATCGTGGTCAGTGACTGGCGAACAAGTTAATTTACTTCTAAACGTGCATGACTGGCGACTTACTTCTAAACGAACAAGTTAATTTACTTCTAGTGACTGGCGACTTTACTTCTAAACGTGCATGTAGCAAGAGGATTTTTTTATCGTGGTGATCGTGCCTTTACTTCGTCTCTGGTTTGTTTGCCGCGGTCGTTCTTACAATGACCATATCAAATGTAAAAGTGTCTGGGTCTGGAAGAGTGCAAGATTTGTCATTGTCATGCACATTTTGCATGACCCATGATGTCTGTGATGCCTGCCCTAGAATCACAAATTTTTTGAGGGCTTTCTGATGCGTATCCTGCATGACAAATGCCCTCTCCGTGTAGCACAAAATCGAATCCTCTTGCTAGTCATGCAACGCAGATTTTTTTAGAATCCGAAGACAGCATCAGAAGTTGCATCCTTCCAGACCCAGACATTTTTACAATCCATAGACCAGCCGCGCAAGATGTCCAGCGGTGTGGGCTTCTCCGAACCATCAAGTTATGCAAGAACAGCGCAAATTCATTCGAGCCAAGCAACCCATTTCTCATGCAAAACCACCAGTATTACTTCGTCTTTCGACAACTATACACACAAAGTGCAATGAAAGCAAAACTGCATAAGACAAATGCAAATCGTTCTTGACTCTGACGACAAATAAATTTTGCGCTGTGATACCAGATTTGTATCCGTATCGGTCATTGTTACATCGTCCAGGCGCTTGACCTGAAGGGAAATTGTTTTTCGAGATTAGAAATCATGCGAAAGACTATTAAGCAGCCAATTCCTAGAAAATCATGCATCATGATCATACTTAGCTGCTGCATCTGGATCATCAACATGAACAAAAGTTACCGTTACATCTTCCATGAGCCACAGATCTCAGAAAAGAACATTTTCGAAAGCCCGTAAAAAACGTGTAGGCGTATCTGTGTTATACCACTTCACTCTTCGTTTTCACAATCGCCGGCGGCTTTTTCGTTTCCTCAGAGCAGTACATCGGGCCTGAAGTAGAGGAGGAACTACTACCCTGCCCGATGACATCCGCGCCATAATTGCCAGCAGAACAAATGTTGACCGAGCTACCCGCACCACCACCACCAACAGTCAAATGGCACGACGACGACCTAGAGGCAGGAGCTACAGCTGGTGCGTTATTTCCCACAATTTCCACCTTGCTCATCGTCCAGGGGTACCCCCGCCAATAGTCCAAGCTTTCCGTTTCCGGTTTCAACTCGTTGTCCTTGCCTCGGTACACCGACCGGACGTACACCCCGGCGGGCGGGTAAGAAATGATATCAGGCGCCGGTGTTTTATGTCGCCGGCCCCCGGACACTGGGTTTTCGTGAAACAACGAGGAATATTGAGAGGAAAAGTCCCCCCTTCCCATATCGAAAAGGCATCTTTCCGAAAATTTGCGCTGCTGATTTGAGGCCACAAATCACATCTGTCTTGCAAGAAGGCAAGGGCAGAAGCTTCCGCCCCATTATGGAAGCGATTTGTCATGCTGTTGGGCCTAAAAGTCAGCCGCTTGATGCAATGCTGAACTACTAGACCCATACGCCCCTAGCTAGCCTGGGGATCTGGTCGCAATGCCTTCCTGCAATACAAATCTGATTTGTGTACGCAAATCTAGCATCACAGATTTCCTTTTTGATATGGGGAGGGGGGATTTTTCCTTTTCATAAGGACGACGAGGCAGACGAGACCGAACCGGCAGTCGCCTGGTCCGAAGCATTCCCGTCGCGCATTTCACAGTCGCGGTCCTCCTGCTCAACAGCCATCATTGATGTTGGGGGTATGACGACATCACTGGAAGACAAGGGAGCTGTTCTTGCGGTCAACTGTGGTTGATGTAGTGGCCCTCCATGCAGATCTTCGCCACCACTAGTACCACCGGGTCTACTACAACTTCCAGTTCCACCACCAAAATTTCTATTCGCAACGTCAATATCGACCCCACCCACCGCGGTCATGCTGAAGACTCGGCGCCGGTTCCCGCTTCTCTTTCCCTTGCTCGCCCCGTGGGAAGATGGACAGGAAACGCCATCCTGATCACAATTTTTTGTGCCCACCACTCCCTCTTTCCCGGTTTCATCGTTGCCGTGCGGCCCGAGCACACGGTATTCCAGATGGAGTGAATCTTCCTTGCAAATTTCGATGAGTTGCGTCATCGTGAACCGATTGTTCGCCCCGGGGAGGGCTTTCCAGAAGACCCAGTTGCTGGTGTTTTCCTTGTGCTCCCTTTGCCGCATCTGGTACCGGAGGTACTTGGTAAGCAGTTTGCTCTCCTCGTACTTATCGAAATAGAGCTGCCCGCTACTTGTTGCACTTCTCCCAGTGTTTCCCTTCCCACCGTGCTTCCCGTGGGCACGGCCGAAAGAGGAGGAGGAGCTACTGGCAGAACTTCCGGCGTAATTCCGCGTGCAGGAAAACCGCCCGAACCTGCCGCGGTTGAGGTTGTGATGGTAAGAGCCACTACTACTTCCGTGGAGGGAAGAGGAGTTTCCATGACGATCGCGGAAATGACTGGAGTGGTGGTCGGTTGCGTGGTGGTTGTCTGCTTTGTCGTTTTCCTTCCTCACCGGCATGCCCGCCCAATGGGGCCGTCGGTGGCTGTGGCTGCTTTGCTCGGCGGCCGTAATGGGCGGCATGGCGAAATAATTACACGTTAGTCACCAGAGTAGAGGTTCTGCGCTTTTCGATTCAAGTTTGACAGACGTTTGATTTTTGAACATCAATCGGCTCGTTGAATTTTTACATTATACTGCGAAAAATGGCGAGTGCTGTGGTGATCATGTTGATCTTCTACCATATGAAACAAAACTGCACTACGCTTACGAGGACTTCTTTCTTCATCAGTTTCTTTATTCTTCCGGTACGCAAGTCTTTCTGGCTTTCTTGTCCGTTGCAGCAGAAGTGCATCTATTTTTCTGTCCTTTATTTTTCGCCTGTTAGCAGGACCACAGCCAAACAACATCATTCCACGGGAGCCGCAAAAATCATCCACGTACCGCTGCTTCTCGTCATGCGTATCAGATACTTCTATCTGATGACGCGTCCTTTAAAAACTGCTGTGAAAGAACAGGATCGATCGTCCTCATCTGACAACAACCACCAATCAAGAATAAAGAGCAAAGACTTGATGTAGACACGCAAGAAAGATCTTTTTTCCTCGTCCTCCTGCCTAGCAGTTCTGCCCTTCTAGATCCTTCAGAGTCTCTGATGTGTTTCAATGTCAGATTCCCTTTCATGTAATTGTCCCGAAAGGGAAGATGCGCCTCTGGGCGTGATTGGTAGGACAAACACGGTGTTTCAGTATTCTAAACTTGTTTCCGCAAATAAAACATCGTAGAACAGCAGGAACATTCGAGGCATATTAATCTCGGTTAAGCTCTATTACATCTTGGTGCGATCTGAAGCTTGGCGCGATCTGAAAGTGTTCCAAACCACATTTTTAAAGCCGTTATCTCATCTTCGTACTTCTAGTCCGGTAGGACGAGCGAAGTCGGACGAACGCACAGGTCTCAGTCTCGCTTCGAGCTCATGACTCGGGCGTGCGCCAAAAAAGCAACTGGGCACGACGGAAACAAACCAACACCAGAGCAGTTGGTAACTGTCAGATGAATCATTCTCGTCCGCTAATGAATTGCATCATTTCATCTCGTGGTCTTTGCTTCGAAAGACGCCAGACTTTGATGCAACAAGGACAGAAAAAATGGTACATAGAGCCCAGACTTTGCTGGCGAGAGCGGTTAGATTCTTAGTTATTCGCACAACTACTTCCTGGTATCACATGAACATGCATTCTCTTGTTCCCAGGAAAAGAAAAAAGTAACAGAGCACAGAGAATGACGTACCCTAGCTAAACCAAAATTTAAACAAACTCGGTGAAGAATTACTTATTGCTTGTTTGTTTGTATCATTGGACTTGTGGCATCCGGTTGAAGGTTTTGTCTTCTTCTCACGATTCTAGCGCTACTTAGTGAAGCAATTTCAATTATGATTTGTGATTCATTTTTGTCTTGAAGCAAAAGAAAATTCGGTTGTGATTGATAAGTCGCTTGTCATCAAATTGAAAGGAACAATGCTACCTATCGCTATTCATTGTTTGTTTGTTTGTTTTAGGTGGATACGCGGAATCCTTTTGAAGATCGTCTCTTCTCTCGTGTGGTTCTAGCGCTCTTTTGTCATTTAATCAAATGAATATGCATATACTAGAAATCTAAAAAATATCTAGCTCTACATTTTTGAAAAAAAAACTACTTATTCGCTTTCCCAGTGTGAAAACATAGGGGCTACTCGAAGAAGGGGGGCACCACTCTGTTCCAAAAAAATACAAGTTGAGCTAGTACTTACTGATGAACAAGATTTCAATTTTACGAATACCAAAAAAAAGTACAGACGCCAAATATGTGATTGAAAAAAAATTAAATCCTCGCAAAGGCGCAGCTTCTACTTTGTCCAGAAGATGATCGCCGTCCCCCGCTGCCTCCAGACCGCCTCTTCTCCGAGGCCCTTCAGCTTAAACGAGCTTGTCACCAACTGCGTGCGCGTGCTGTTGAGGTATACAGGCACCTGCCAGAACCCCGCTTGTTGAAGAGCTACGCCACTTCCCAATGCAGCCCCTTTCGTCTGCTCACTCTGCAGGACCCACTTCAGCAGTAACGGCGGCATTTCGCAGGACAGCTCGTCGCAGATTTCCAAGCACTTTGCCCGCTTGTTGACCGTGGCGCCCTCCAACGTGCAACCAGTGAGAAGCCAGCCGGTGTCGGCACTGGAGGGTTTGGATATGACAGGGCACAACTCCCCCTCCCCCTCATTTGTCATGCAAAATCCCAAATCCAGGCGCTGCCTTGTGGCACTGTTTGCATGACAAATAATTCCGGAAGTAGAACAAATAGTACTACATTAGGAACACAAATTTGTCATGCACAGGCTCCATCTGTGCTGGTGTTTGTATTGCTGTTCATGCCATACAAGTGAGGGGCAGGGGGAGTTGTGCACTGTCATATTGGAAGCGGTGAAGCTTTGCTCGGAATCCGTGAAGATTTTAACAACCGGCTATGAAAGCCTCAGAATGGAAATCCTCAGCGTGTAAATAATTTGTGATGCATGAAATGCGACGCAAAATAGAATGTATTGCACAGGACGCAATGGAGGCCGACTATTGTCCTTCTACGGGTTAAGAATTGGAGTGCTGATTAGCACGAGAGAAGGGCACCCCTTTGCGTTAACCAGCATGACAGACATGCTTTGAGTGCCCGGGAAATTTTTCATGCGCAGCCTAGAAGTGGCGCTTCGACTGGAGTGCTTTTCTGCATTACAAACTATTTCCACTTTGAGGATTTCCAACCTGAGGCTTTTATACCGGCTTGAGCTCCTCTAGGCTCCACTTGTTCTTCTGCGCCACGGCCTGCCGTATGCATTGCAAATATGTCTGGGTCTGGAAGAATACAACTTGTGATGCTGCATTTGGATTCCGAAAAAATCTGTATTGCAGGAAGAGCAAAAGTTTCGCATTCCTCCTATGCGGAGGGGGCATCGCATTTCTCATGCAGCATGGGCATCAGAAAGCCGTCGCAATATCTGTGATGCTAGGGCATGCATCACAGACATCGCCGGCGATGCAAAATGCGCATGACAAACTTCCAGACCCAGACATATTTGCAATCCATATGCCGCGTTGCGGTCAGAAACGCCTCCGGGAACATGAGAAGGCCGACCGCGAGGGAGATGTTGATGAAGGATCCATTGTTACCCGTCGTCAGCTTCACAAGCTGCTGGACCCTGTGATTTCAGTTTGTCATGCGAAGTCGCGATGTGAAAGTGAATCGTACCTACGTACAAAGTTTTCCATGCAAAGAAATAAACGAGACCCTACACAGTAGCACGGGAAAAGGAAAAGCCGTGCTTGATATTATCTGTACCTATGATTGAAATCGAACACCCACTCAATGCTGCTCAGTGTCTGGACGATCGGGTACGCCTTCAGCCAGTAATCCGGTGGTAAATCCTATGGAAGTGTCAGGATTGAAATCAATAAAGTTGAAATAATCTGTGATGCACAAAATGCAAGGCACGAAAAGGCTGTCTTGCAGGGATTGCAAGTGAGGCCGATTGTGAGCCTGTTTCGAGGTTGGGATAGAGCTGCTAAAGTGGCATGACAAAGGATGCCCTCTTTCGCTAAACAGCATGACAAACTGGATTTTGACGGTGCCGAAATTTGTCATGCACCGCTTAGAAATTGGGCTTCTAACAACTGGTATCGATTTTATGCATCACAAATTTTTCAACTTTGACGATTTCAAACCGGACGCTTCCATAAATCCAAGTTTAGTTGCAGCGCGATCGCCCGCAACTCGTTCGTCATGCGCGCGTTTCCGTCGCACACTTCTTTCAGGGACGATAAGTCCGCATGTATTCTCGCAAGCAGCTGCTGGGCCACCGCGATCTCCCGGTGGAAGCACCGCCACATCGGGTCCGATTCGTCGAAAGCGGCTGTGTTTATGTGCTCCAGCGCGTCCGGCTGGGGCAGGCCGGAGGAGATGGAGTCCAGTTTCGTGGTCAGATCTGTCAGCCAGTTGCTCATACCGGAGACTTTTTTCCGGTCTTGACCCGCCGCCGATTTATTCGCTGTCATATCCTCCTTCTTATCCAAATCATCCTGCGCCGCAGTACTGCTGCTGTCCTCCACAGATTGCAAATTCAACCAATTGGACAAAGTGTTCATGCCCGCTAGGCTTCGCAGCATCTTCTCAGCCTGCGCGGACAGCCCCAGCCAGGCCGGCGACCCTTTCGCATCCAACATTTCGACCCACTTTTCGTAGTCGTTGAGTTTCCGCGCGTTTTCCGGGGATTTCAAGGGGACTTTCTCGTCCCGGTTTAAAAGTGACCCTCTGCGATAGACGTCGGCGTTGAACAGTTGCTCCACGAAAGTTTTCAGAAGTTCCTTGTCGAAGTCGTTATCTATTCTACCCCCGTAAACCACCTGCACTATAATGTGCTGCAGCGCCGCCCAGGGGATCGAATTCGGGTCCAAGTTGGTCGGAAAAGAAGCTGTAGTACTGGAGCCGCCGCACGCTCTCTTGATCCAGGTGTCCACAATCGTCAGACCGCAGGTGAAGTCCGCATCGGAAAACTCGTATCGTTTTGTCCACCCGATGGGGGAGTATCGGACTCTTTCCAGCACGATCGCGTGCAGTATCGCCAAGTTGAAATGCAATCTACACCGCTCCACCGGGGGATTGTCGCAATTCGCAGAGACGAGTGGTCCCGCGAAGGATCGTTGCAAAGATGCCTTCAGCCCAGCGGGGGGCTCAAACACGTAGACCCTCGATTGCCGCATCAAGTTCGCTGGAAGCTTCGGATTAAATTCCATGCAAAGGAACAGCCGGTAATTCTCGTTCGCGGACGCCGCTATTGTGCCGATCCGCTTCTCCAGATTCTTCAGCCAGTCGATGGCCAAATGCACATTTTTCAAGATCACCCACTGCCCCATCTTCGCGCCCGTCGCTATCATTTTGTCCGCCAGGTCAAACCCCTCGCGACTCCCCATGGCCATCGAGACGATTTTGGTTTTTTTCAAGGTCGCCAAGTTCACGATCTGCGAGCTCGGATCGAAGCCGGGCTGCGAAACCATCATCATCGGACGATTTGTTCCACCCTTCTGCTGGAGTTTATCCTGAGAAAAAAATCCACCATCGATCCCCATGATCTATTTTTTGTATGACAAACAGTGGGAGTGGACTTCCTTGATGCATGTCTTGCATGACAAATTGGAAGATGCGGATAGGTGTTTTTTTTGGATAAAGTTCCATCTGCTTCTCCAAATCGAACGGTGGGATGAAGAGGAACTCCTTGCCCATGATGTCGTTCGTCAGATTCGTCAACATGGCCGGGAGTCTGTCGTTTGCCAGTGCTTTTATCAAATGCAAAAGTGTCTGGGTCTGGAAGAGTGCCAGACTTGTCATGCAGGTTTTCCATGACCCATGCGGTCTGGTATGTAGGACATAGCATGACAGATTTGGTGAGAGTTCTATCATGCCTATCCTCCATGAGAAACTGCCTTTCGATTAGGTCAAAAGTGGACAGGAGCTTTTGGTAATCATGCAACACAGATTTTTGCATGATTCAGATTTAGCATGACAAGTTGCATTCTTGTTCCAGACCCAGACACTTTTGCATTTGATAGCTTTCACGAGCAAGCAGTTGTACAGCTTCTCGTTCAAGTCCGCCGAATCCTGCGAAGAATTCATCGTCCCTTGCGGCGGCGAAAACCAGCCGGACGGCGGGTTTATTTGCTGCCCACCCGGAGCTGCGCTGTTGGTATCGCCGGAGGACTGGAGAAATTGCTGCCACGCGCTCGCGTTACTGATCATGTGGTCGGGCAGGCCGTAGAAGCCGGGCAAGAGAAACAAGCTCTCCATGGCTTTCAACTGTGCGTTACTCAGGTAGTTGATGCTGCCCATGGCCTTCCGCCGCGCCCGCTCTGCGTCTTTGGGGAGGTTGGTGATCAAACCGCCCTTCATGAGCAAGTTCACCGCCTGCTTTATGGCGTTCTCAACTGTTACATTCTCAACTGCTACATGGATTTGTGATGCAAGAATGGCGAAAGTGAAAGGGGTCACCTTGCGCGTCTTGCATGACAGATCTGGCAAAGATTCTCAGCCTGTTTGGCTCTTCGAGAATTTGTCATGCGAAGCAGCTTGATCGTGTCGATTCTCATTGTGATTTTGCATTGCAAATCATGTAACAGTTGAGAATGTAACATTTGAGAACGCCATATGCTTCTCGAGCTCAAGACCGTCCATGTCCGCGCGGACCTGATTTTGTGTTCTAATCTTATGCCGGAACTTTGTCATGCGAGAGCCGGAAGCAGCATTGCGCTGTTTTATTTTCATGCGCGTCTCGTCCGGTCGCCACTAATTCTACTTTCACCAGGAGCTCCACTGTACGCTATACAAAAGTCCCTTTGCGGGGGTGCGGGTGTTGTTCCCAGGATTCGACCGTTGGCGGACCACGGGCCTGCCGTCTGCTGTTTCAGTGACTCACTCGGGAACCTCCTTACTAGCAGGCAGAGTTTGATGGCAGCGGTGTCTTCCCGAGGCTGGGAGCGCATTTTCTGGTCAAGGGTGCGCTTCCCTGGTGCGCCGCAGCCGTGTTTCGCACACAGCCGCGTTTTTTCACGCTCTTTACATCACTGGCCCTGCCTCTGGGCAAGTGCAGCCGGTGTGCCGACGACTGCAATGATTCTCTCAGTCATGCGCGCGGCGCCAGACAAAAAACGGATGCAAAAAATAGTTGCGCGTTACAGGATTCGAACCTGTGTCCCCCAGCCGCTCGCCTAGGTCGAGAGCGGTTGCCTTCCGCTAGGTTGGTGAGTTTCCACCTACTCCCTGAGGTTCCCAAGCCCCTTTGGTGCCAGGCGGGGCTACTTCCCGAAGGCACCCTTAGTACTCAACGTTATCCCAGCTGGCGCACCAGCCCCGTGATGGATCGATCCCGGAGGTAGACTTTCGCCTCAGAACCTCTGGAGAGTTCGGCCGGGTGCATTTCCAGTTATGCTATCCGCGCGATTAAGAAGATACGGGAAAGGAAAAGGTCCCTACGCCAGAATAGCTGTGCTAAACACAATGATTCGGGCAAAAGACGAGAAAGAGGCTCGGGCAACAGAGTTTTTTTAGGCTTTAGTACTACGCCCGCAAAAATTGCACCGAAAATGTGAATAATAAATACTCGAAGAATTATTGGGTAACTTTACAACTCAGATGCAACTATTTGATTATGTACTTCAGTACCTGCCCCAACCGCAGCGCTAAGGCCAGTCTATCTCCCGCCAACATTCCGGGACAGATGTAAGTGTAGAGGGTGCGAAAAAACAAGTTTTCGATGAAATTCCGCCTTCTCTGAAAGTCCTTGCCGAGTTTCGCGATCGCAGGGTCCGTGATGCTGACCCGGAAAATCTCGAAAAAGAAGTCCAGTGAGTATTGGTACAGGAAGTTGATACTGCCTAGAGATTCGAGAGAAAAGTAGGCTCTTGTTGCGGCAATCGCTAAACTGGTGTACTCAGCTGAAGTTCTGCTCACCTTCTCCATCGTTTCGTCAATCTTCGTGAACTGTTCCTTCAGCTCGGCCGACTCTGCTTTTATCTTCTCCATCGTGGTGATCACATTTTGATCTTCCAAAATCGACCCCTCCACGTTCGCTAGGGCGGCTAACAGCCCGTCTTCCATCGCGCGCATCTTCACTTTGAATTCTCCCTGGAGCACCAGCGCCTCGTGCCGCTGCTGGTCCACGTCGGGCCGTTCTTGCCGGAGCACCATGTTTAGCGTTTGCGATTGTAAGCTGGCTGGTGTGATCGTGAAGTTGCAGAAGGACATATCCTGAGTAAAAGCGTCCCCATAGTACCAGTGCCAAGATGGAAAATCTGCTAGACAAATCAGGCAGCTTTGGTTGTTTCGCATGACAAGTCCTCTGTCCTCGTAGTGTAATCCTGTTTGGCTAGTTCAGAAGCATCACAGATCTAGCATATCATGCTATTTCTAGCATCACAAATCCCAAACCACGACTAGAAAAAACTTTTCATGTGGCTTCGCATGAGACACTTTTTTGGCATGCAGATTTGCATGACAAGAACTCTGGGGTGGGGATGTTTTTACTCAGAATAGGACACCCTCGAGCACAAATCCGGGGTAAACACCGCGCCCGCGTCCCGTGTCGACAAGAAAATCTCAAAACTGGGCGAGAAATCCACCTCCTGGTCCCCCATGGTGATCATGGTTCTCCCCCCCTTCTTGTGCGTTTCCTTGTTCAAAATTCCGTTCAAAACCGGATCAAGTTTCTCCACGTCGGTCAACAAGATCGGCGTCCCGAACCGCACGCCCGATTCCAGAATCTTGTAGAACTTCGGATCCAAGAAGCTGGTTACGTGGATGTCCTTTTTGCTGTACTCCTGTTTCAGCCACTGCAGGGCTTGGCCACTTGGGTCTAAGATCAGCGGGTACCTTTGATAATTGTAAATTATCACCGCGTTTTCCACACAGAGCTCATCATCGGGTAGCCCATTCGACACCCAGTTGAAGCGGTCTGCGGTGGTGGCCAGATAGTCCGTGATCGACAAAGATTTGGAGAATTTTATGCCCCGCTCCTCCGCTAAGAAACTTTCCCACTTTTTCAGCACCAAGTTCCTCGCGTACATGTCGAAAAATCCGATGTACGCGAGGAAACCGCCTGAAAGTAAGGTGTCTCCGTGCAGATTTAGCAATTGTTGGTCGAATTCCGCGGTGGACTCGGACCACCGCTGCTTCTCCCCAGATAAATCGGTGATCAATTTTTCCGCCCGACTGGCGTTCTGCACGACGGATTCCATCTGCTGTTTCAGTTTCTCGACTGCCGCGACTAGTTGCGCGTATTCCTGCTTATACGCGTTCAGTTTTTGCTCCAGCGACTCCACAACCTTCTGATTTTCGTCGATGTTTTTCTGCGACTGCTCCGCTTCCAGCTCCAAATCCGCTAGCTCCTTTCGTAATTATTGCAAGGAAAAACCCCACCTGCGCCTCCCCATATTGAAAGCGCATCCCACTGAAAGTTTGTGATGCGGATCTGTGACCACAAAGCGCGCCCGTCTTGCAGGGAGCCAAGTGCACGCGGTCCGCCACGTTCTGCCGACGAATTGTAATGCTGTAAGGACTACAGGGCAGCCGTGTACCATGCTAGGCGCCTACAGCAATAAAGGGCCCCTACCTAGGCTTGCGATCTGCGCACAGTGCTCCACTGCAAGACAAATCTGATTTGTGTACACAAATCCAGCATCACAGATTTCCTTTTCGATATGGGGAGGAGGAATTTTTCCTTTTGGTAGTAACGGCCCGATGTTCTGCAAAATGCCCGAGTACTTCAGCTGCGCCTCGACCCAAATACCTAAGGGTCCCGCCGCTTTGCTCGCCCGGGCAATTTTTTGCGTGTCCCAGTCGGAGGATTTGGTTAGCTTCTCCGCGAACGCACGGGATCCGTCCGTGATCGATTTTGAATCAAATGCGGTGACATTAGCGATCAGGCGCACGTCCTTCATTTCCTTGCGCGCCGCGTCCCAAGTCACGTCCCCCTCCACGTGCTTCAACAAGATCACGAGTCCACGACACGCGATTTGGATCCCCATGGGCGCGTGTTGTATCCCGTGTAAAAACGTCCAGAGTCAGCCTGGGGATTTTGCAACACAAACCTAGAAGTTTTGGGACTCACGCATCAGAAGTTGCAGCCCGTAGTGTAGTGCAGGTTAGCAAGGACAAACGTGGATCACAAATCCGTCTGCTTATCCTGGTTAATACAGCATTACAAATTCCAAAACACGAATAGAAACGCCTCTCATCGGGATGCACATTACAAATGTTCCTGTCATTGCAAATCTGCATCACAACTCTGGGGTGGGGATGTTTTTACAAATGATATGTTGGCCCATCTGTTATCCCACAAAAAAACTGTTTCACTGTGGTGATTTTGCAAGATCTGCATCACAAGTTTGTTACACATGACTCTGAAAATTTGTCATGCGCGCTTCCCAAGGGAAAACACGCCTGAAAATCCAATGCCTTGCAGGTGTAGCAAGACAAATAGTTCTGTGTTCCATTTTCTGCATCACAAGTTCACAGTGAAACAGTTTTTTCTTGCGATATTTGTTTCAGTTCATTCAAAGCGGAGGAGCTGATGTATGGATGTGTCAGAGTTGAAATCGACAAAGTTGAAATAATTTGTCATGCATAAAATGGATGCCAGTTGGAACCCAGTTTCCAATTGGCGCATGACAAATTTCGGCGGTCCCTAAATCTAAGGGCGCGCAGCCCACTAGCAGCAGACCGGGGCTCGAACGAAAAAACATTTTGCCCTGAAAATTTTAAAAAAATTTGATTTCTGTGCGCCGGTTCGAGAAGGCGGCTTTGGGGCGGTGTCCAGGATGCACAACTGCGACAGCGGACTTGCGCTGCATGTCCGGGAACAAGATGTGGCGTGCACATCTCTCGCCGAGCCCTGTCCGGGGAGTCGGTTTAAAATAGAAAAAAGAAGCGACCTGCGAAGCGCTTTGGCTGCCGATCTCGTGTTGATTCCAAAATAAACAAAAAGCGACCTCCGAAGGGGCTTCGGAATCTACTACAGGTCACGCGGTTCCAAAAACCAGACCAAGAGTCGCGCCGCCGATGCCGCACGCTGCGGGCACCGCGCTCTGTAATCTAGAAAATTTTCTCCTGTGGCGGCAGGTCGGGGATGATCAGTCTCGGAAATACTCCTCCGGAATGCCATTTCGAAATGAATTCTAAAAGAAATCGACTCCGAAAAGGCATTCCAACCACCCATTCCGACAGGGCATGTCGAAAAGGCATTCCGAAAAGGCATTCCGAAATGGCATTCCGAAAAGGCATTTCGAAACGGCATTTCGACAAGACACCCATTGCAAATCTGGGCGTCGTGTTGTTTCGCATTCTCATGCGCTAAAACAAAAAACGTAGATCCTGAGCACTGATATTGTGTTGCCACGCTTGAACACCCGAACAGTGGGAACCCCATCAGCGCCTCAACGTATCGACACCAAAAGATCGCATCTACCAAGCAGGACTGCGACATAAATGCGCTTGGAGTATTACGCCCGTTCATCCACTGCGAAGTCCCCCCGGTGCTTGCTTGATCTCCGACCTCGTCCAGGATCGTCTTGTCGCGACGCGAATTTTTGAAATTTTGTAAAATTTTAGGGCAAAAAAAAAATCCGTTTGAAACTGGTCTGCTGCTAGTGGGCTGCGCAGCCTTACTAAATCCAGTTTGTCATGCTGTTTAGGCAAAGACGACCGATTTTCTCATGCTACTTTAGCAGCTCGAGCTGTAGCCCCAAACAGGCTTACAATCGGCCTCACTTGCCTGCTCTGCAACACACGCGCCGCGGGTCATGCATTTTATGCATTACAAATTATTTCAACTTTGACGATTTCAAACCTGACGCTTCCATATGATGTTCGAGACCGCCTTATCGTCTTGAAAAACGTCCCCGCCCCACAGTTGTAATGCAAATCTGCATGCTGAAAATGTTTCTCATGCGGAGCCCCATGAGAGACTCTGTCTAGCCGTGTTTTGGAATTTGTCATGCTCCAATCAGCATTATATACTAGATCTGTGATGCTGCTGAGCTAGCTCAAACAGCACTACGCTACAAGTCCAAACTTGTCATGCAAAACAGCCAAAGCTTGTGGATTTGTCTAGCCGATTCCGCATCTTGACTATGGGGTGGGGACGTTTTTACATAGGATACGCCTCCTTGGCCGCCGCTAAAACCGGCTCGACGTCGCTCAGTTCCGTTTCCACCGCTTTTTTCCGTTTCGCAATCTGGTCCTGCTTCACCTTCAGGGCCTCGGAAAGTCTTGCTGTCTCCTGCTTTTTCGCTTCCGCGTCCGCCTGCCCCTTCACCATTTCTTTCATCTTCTCTTCCGCTTCCGCGTTCTTCGCCTGAAGCTCCTTGTTCTTGATTTCCAGGCCCTTTTTCAGATTTAACACCTGTTTCCCGGTTTCCTCCAATTTCTCAAGCCCCCCGGAAATGTGCGCTTTGCTACCTTTGATTTCCTGTGACTTCTTCTCGTGGGTCTTCACGAAGTGGTGAATAAAATCCAAAAAGTCCCGGGGTGCGATGTAATTGTATTTCTTCGCCGCTTTTTTCGCCGATTCGTGCGTGTCTTCAATGATCTCGTGCATCCCGACAATCGACTCGGCCAAGACGATGTGCAGCCACTGCAGGTCTTGCTTCTGGTCCTTCGCCAGTTTCGTGAAGCAATCGGGGGTGCTATCCTGTGTAAAAACTTCCCCACCCCAGAGTTGTAATGCAAATCTGCATGCTTAAAATGTTTCTCATGCGGAGACCCATGAGAGGCGTTGGTTTTCTGGAGGTGGTGACTTCAGACTTGTCATGTTCGAATCAGCATGACAGACCGGATTTGTGACGCTGCTGCACTAGCTAAACACGACTAAGCTTCGAGCCCAAATTTGTCATGCGCGACAGCCAAAGCTTAGGGATTTGTGTAGCAGATTGGGTGGGGACGTTTTTACTCAGGATAAGTGAGTTCCCGCGCAATCTGGTCCGTGAACTCAAACGCGACCTGACACAGCGCGTCCCGGGACCAGTCGCCGAACCAGTCGATGATACAGCGGTTGAACAGTGTATCGCAAGAAAAATCTGTTTTTGTAATGCAGAAAGTGTATCGCAGACGTGTTTGTCTTGCTACACATGCAAGACAATGCATTCTCAGTCGTGTTTTTCCTCGGGTGGCTCGCATGGCAAACCTCCTTTGTGATGTAGAGAAAACTTGTGATGCAAAACTTGCAAAATCCTTACAGTGAAACAGTTTTTTCTTAAGATACAGTGCGGGACTCGAGGCGCCGCGGTTGTAGAAATCTGGATTCGCGGGGTTCATCGTGAAAACGATGTGGAGGTTTCGGCAAACCGACTTCGTAAACTTGCTGAAAATCTCCGCTTCGTCCATCATCTGGATTTGGTCCTTCATCGTGCCTTGCTTGCACTCGTTGATCAAATCCTTGTAGTAGTCGCCCTCGAACAGCCCGGGGACTTCCCCAGATGCCAGCAAGGCATTCATCCTTTCCAGAAACGCCGGTCCCAAGGCGTTGGACTCGTCGAAGATGAAAGCGATTTTTTCGTCGTGCGCCCCCGCTCGGGTCATCACGTTTCGCAAATCGTATGCAGGAAGAAAAGTGCGTAAGTGTAACTTTCTTGGAGGAACAGCATCACGAATTTGCTCTGCATGACAGAGAAAACCTCTCATGCGTAGCTCGTACGTGGAAACACGCTCGAAGAGAGCCTCTGATGCATGTCCAGCATGACAAGTATAGGTGTTCTTTTGCATCCTCTGCAATACAAATTTACACTTACGCAGTTTTTCTCTTGCATAAATCGTCTTCGAAATTTAACACGTTGTACCCCTTGCCGCACTTGATTTGGAAAATCGTCAGCCCGTTCATGTTATGCGTTGCAAAAGTGTCTGGGTCTGGAAACTTGTGATGCAAGGAAGGGACGAATGGTGAGCGCACTCTAATGCGCTGGCAAGCATTACAAGTTTTTCCGTGCGCTGGCAAGCATTACAAGTTTTGCGCTGGCAAGCATTACAGAGTTGCGTACTCCGCATGAGCAGCCGCGTTTTTGCATGACAGACAAGAGGACCTCTTCGCGGGCACGCAATACAGAGTTTAGAGTCATGCCAGACTAACATGAGAAATCTCGCAATTTCCCAAACCCAGACATGGTAGTTGGCACTGCATACATGTGGGACACGAACTTGGACAGAACCGTCTTCCCCGCGCCCGCGACGCCGACTAGTAACAGATGCCCTAACGGCTGTCTCAAAACCCGGTCTATCCTCGTCACGTGGTCCAAGACGTCGTCGAACACCACTAAGTGGACACCCAATTCTATGGAAGCGTCAGGTTTGAAATCGACAAAGTTGAAATAACTTGCAATGCATAAAATCGATACCAGTTGGAAGCCCAATTGTCAAGCGGCGCATGACAAATTTTGACACCGTCTAAATCCAGTTTGTCATGCTGCTTAGGGACAGAAGGCGTCCTTTGTCATGCTACTTTAGCAGCTGTATCGCAGACCCCAAACAGGTTGACTGTCGGCCTCGCTTGCCATCCCTGCAAGAGAGGCACTTCATGCCTTGGAGTTTATGCATGAGAAGTCATTTTTTCAACCTTGACGATTTCAATCCTGACGCTTCCATAAATTCCTCCTCGCAGAAACTGTGGATTTTTTCCTTGATCAACACCCGGAGATCCTTATCAAATGTAAAAATGTCTGGGTCTGGAAGATTTCCAGGTTTGTCATGCATATTTCGCATGGGCTATGATGCCTGTAATGCATGACCTAGCATGACAGATTTTTTGCGGGTATCTTGATGCCTATCCCGCATGACAAATGCCCTCTCCGCGGAGCAAAGTCTGGACGCCTCTTGCTGCTCATGCAATACAGATTTCTTAGATTCCAAAAATAGCATCACAAGTTGCATTCTTCCAGACCCAGACATTTTTGCAATCCATAATCCTCCTCGTGCACCTCCCGATACGGGGCTCGCTTCCCCGATTTCGGCGAGTGATCTCCGCCCCAGCAACTGAAGTAGATCGGCCGCTTCAAGTCGTCCTATGGAACTGTCAGGATCGAAATTGACAAAATCGAAAAATTTGTGATGCATAAAATGCATGGCGCGAAATAGGTGTGATGCAGAGCAGGCAAGTGAGGCCGATTGTAAGCCTGTTTGGGGTTATAGCTCGAGCTACTAAAGCAGCATGAGAGAATCAGTCTTCTTTGCCTAGACAGCATTACAAACTGTATTCAGGCACCACCTGAATTTGTCATGCGCCACTTAGAAACTGGGTTCGAGCTGGAATCTATGTTATGCATGACAAATCATTTCGATTTTGTCAATTTCGATTCTGACCCTTCCATACGTCCTCAGACGCGTTTAGTCGGTTTCTCGCGATAGAATCGATTTTGCGGTTCGTCCACTCCCGTTCATCGGCATTCACCAACCTGTATCCTGTGCAAAAGTATCGCACTCGTAGTGCAGTCATGCATTACAAATGTTTTTCTTGAGGTAAATCCGCATGACAGATATCATTTGCGATGCTGACGAAATTTGTAATGCATGTATACGAGTACGAGACTTTTGCAGTTCATAACCTGTCGCAGAAAATCCGTAAACCCTCGTGGATGTAGAGTCGCGTCATTTCGGACGGCGTTAACGCGTCGTCCTCGGAGCCGACAATCGCCTCCATGACCGCGATTTTCCACCGGGTCAGTTCCCGCGGCGAGTACAAGTAGTGTGGCTGCATTTCCGTCGTGAACTTCTTCGCGGACTCGACCCAGAAGTCGACCATCGCCTGTGCCAGCGGCATGGCCATGTTCAGACACGGCGGGCAGAGTTTCATGACCCCCTTCATCAAAGTCCCGTAGATGTGCGTTAAAGATTCCTTCCCGGGGTAATCCACGAGTAAGATTGGGCAATGCCGCAAGAAGCGATCGCTCATCGGCCACCTGCCCGGGTCCGTCGGGGGGTTGCACGCCCCGAGGAACTGGACCCGTTCCAAGCTGATCCACGCCTTGTCACTCGACCGGTAAAATCCCCCCTGCTCAAACATTTGCCGGATGTACATGATGACGCGTTGTGTGCCGTACTTGTCTTGCTGCGGCAGGTTGCATTCGTCGCACATGACGATGACAAACTTATCGTGCCTCAACGGGCGCATCACCAACCCCTTCTGCGTCTTCACCGTTTCGCAATACTGCTCTAGCGAGTTTTGATATGCAAAGAAAAAGTGTTGTGTTGCAGGCCAAGCAAGACAGACAAGCTCTGTCATGCCGGATATGCGTCGGAGCCTTGTTGCATACGTGTTTTATTCCCTTATGATCTCCGCACTGCAAGTGCAAGCTTTCGAAAATTTGTGTTGCTGAATTGACAGCAGATGCGTAACCGTACTAACACCTTGTTCTTTGCATATTTGAAGTAAGCTGCTTGTCGTTCCAGAGGAGAAATTGAGCGAAACGAGCTCGAAAATATCCGACTTCTTCAAAATCGACATCAGCGTCATGGACTTGCCGGAACCGGGCGGGCCACAGAGAATGAACGGGCGTTTCTCCCAGATCCAAGCGCCCGCCGCCGCGACGTGCCGTAAAGTGTCGATGGTTTGAATGACCAACTCCGGCGCCATGGACTGCTCGGGACTCAAATCCAACTCCGGGACCTTCTCCGACCACAAGTGCCAGTTGCCGATATCGTCTAACCTCACCTCGTAGTCCAGTAGTGTGCATTCGTCATCCAGTCTTTGGGGTAAGTGGACCAAATGGTCGCAGTAATGCGCCACTTCGTTGCAGAACTTCAATCTTTCCGACAGGTACATCGACCCGCCGAACGCCCAGCAAAGCGCAAACGGTACGTACATCTCGGTATAGGTGCTCACGTCCGCTTCGGACAACGGGACTTCGTGCTGGTCGTTGAAATCTTTTACGTCCTGCACCGCTTTTTTGAGCAATCCGAAAAAGGACGTGATTACCCGAATATCGGTATAGACCATCACGTGCTTCATGGTCGTGCACACTTTCAGCAATTCAATGATCGACGAAGAAAATTTTTCCACGGAATTCCGGACAACACTTATCGAAAGGAAAAACTTCCCCTCCCCATATCAAAACGGAATGTCTGATGCTGGATCTGTGTACAGAAATCAGGTCTGTCTTGCTGGAGAGGACTGCGCGCCCATATCAAGTCTGAGCAGCGAGGCTTTGGCCTAGGCGTTTAGCATGGAAAGCGTCTGCGCTGTAGGCCCAACAGCATGACAAACCCCCTGCAAAATGCGGCGGAACCTGTGGACTTGCCTTCTTGCAAGACAAATGTGATTTGTGACCTCAAATCAGCAACACAAATTTTCGGAAACACACCTTTTCAATATGGGGAGGGGGAGTTTTTCCTTTCAATAACACTCGCGACGTTGTCGTGGTCTCCTGGGGGAAGTTATCCTGTGCAAAAGTATCGCACTCCTACTCGTAGTAATTGGACCCATGCATTACAAATTTTCTCAGCATGAGAAATAAATTTGTAATGCGGATTTACCTTATGAGTCATAAGGTAAATCCGCATTACAAATTTATTTCTCATGCTGAGAAAATTTGTAATGCATTTATACGAGTGCGATACTTTTGCAATGCATAGAAGTGCGGATTCCGGCGGCGCCGCGGCTGTTGCCTCGTCTGACGGGGCGTCCTGCCGGCTTTGTCTGGTCTGCTGTTGCGGAGACCGTGGTCCGCCGGTGGTTTGCCCAGCGCCGGAACCGTTTGCATTGCAAATATGTCTGGGTCCTCTGGAAGTAGCACATGCAAGGTTTGTCATGCTTGTCTGTCATGACTGAAGAGTTTGTGATGCGTGTCCTAGAAGAGACCCTATTTTTCATCATGCAAAACGCAGTTTGTGTTTGTCATGCTGAATTCGCAACACGACTAAGCAGAGCAAATATTCCTCATGCGTGGCTGTGCACTATTACAGAGAATTCACGATTCACAAATCAGCATTACAAGTTTCCAAACTCAGACATATTTGCATTTGATAAACCGTTCATGATGGTCGTCCCTTCGCCGAATTCCAAAACGTCCAAGTGGTGTTTATGGCGTTCTCAGCTGTTCTTACATTCTCCACTGTTGCATCAATTCGTGATGCAAGAATGCCAAAAGTGAAACGGGCAAGCGTGCGCCTTTTGCATTACAGCTTTAGCGCAGATTCTCAAGCTATCTAGCGAGTCGGGAACTTGTCATGCAAAGCAGCGTGATCATGTAGATAAATATTGATGGCAAATCTGCATGACAAATTCATGCAGAAGTTGAAAATGTAACGTTTGAGAATCCACCCATAGTGTTTCACCAACATGTCCCTCGTCACCACGTCCTCCGCGAACCACACCATGCCGCAGCGGGACACGGTGGCGAGAGTGGCGTATTTCAACGTGTCGACCTCGAAGAGTAGCCTCACATTCGGCGGGATCGAAAGCCGCTCCCCGTTCGGTAGCGTCAAAAGTTTGTTGTCGTCCAAAACCTATCTTGTGCAAAAGTATCGTAGTCGTACTAATTGCAAATATGCATGACAAATCTCCTTCCTAAGGTAAAACAGCATTACAAATTCCACTTTTCTTCTTGCCAAAATTTGTGATGCAATTTTTTATACTAGTACGATACTTTTGCGATGCATAGAACCGAGTTCAAATTCTCCGCCCACTCGGGGTCCACGTATCGCAAGAAAAAAGTCGTGCAGTTACACACTGTGTTGCAGGCCAAGCAAGACAGGCAAGCTCTGTTATGTCGGATATGCATAGGAGCCTCATTTCATAATCATAGGTGTTTTCCCGTAGGATTTTTGCATTACAAGTTTTCTTTTGCATGCAGAGAAATTTGTGTTGCTGAATTGACGTACAAATGTGAAACTGGAACACTTTTTTCGTGGGATACCACGTCGCCGTCAAATACTATCCAGTACCTCCGATCCGATCCCTGTTTCGCGGTCGCGGAGTTTTTTGATATATGAAATGCAAAAATGTCTGGATCTGGAACAAAGCAACTTGTCATGCGAAAGCTGAATCATGCAAAGATCTGTGTTGCGTGATTACCAAAAGCTGTCCACTTTTGACCTAATCGAGAGGCAATTTCTCATGCAGGATAGGCATGGTAGACCTCTCACTGAGTCTGTTGTGCTATGTCCTACATACCAGACCCCATGGGTCATGGAAAACCTGCATGACAAGTCTGGCATTCTTCCAGACCCAAACACTTTTACATTTGATATGATAAAATCCGGCGCAAGTTCGCCGTGAAAACGCCGTCCGTCCACTCCAGCGTCGTGGGGTCTATGTCAAATGCAAAAATGTCTGGGTCTGGAAACTTGTAATGCTGCGTTGGGAATAGTGAATGCTCTGTAATGCACAAGCAAGCATGAGAAATATCTGCGCTTCTTTGCGTTGCGTTTTTCGCATGACAAACTGCGTTTTCGCATGACAGGCAGAAGGATCTCTTCTTGGACACGCATAACAAACTTTTTGGTCATGCCAGACAAGCATGACAAATCTCGCATTCTTCCAGACCCAGACATTTTTGCATTTCATAGTCTAACCGCCCGTACAGCTCGTCCTTCGTGATTGCTTTCGGCTCGATCACGATTGCCTCGGATTTGATCTTATCGATTCTTTCCATCGCGGCGAGTAATGTTCTCCACGCGGCGGACTTCCCGGTGCCAACCGTTCCGACCATCATGACGCCGTGGGTGATTCGCTGGATCTCGTACAGCTGCATCATTTTCTCCAAGAAAACCGCTTCGAGCTGTAGGTGCGTCGTGGCGCAGAGGTTCTTGATCTCCTCCTCCAGCTCGCGTTCCTCCATCACGACTAAATCTTGCCCCGGGAAAACCCCGGAGAGTAAGGACCGGAGTAAGGGCTTGTCTTCTGCAACTAGTTTCGGGACCAAAGTGTTGCAGATGGATCCAACTAGCAGATCCTCTTCTGCCTTTGCGATTTCCTCTGCTGACTGCTGCTTTGCTGCCTGTCCTTTACTTTCCTCGCTGTTCGCTGTGTCCTTTTTCATGTTCCCCGCCGTGGTTAACACCGCACGAAGGGACCGTAAGCCGAAGTCGTAGTGTGGCTGCTGGGAGAGTTGGTCCAGGCATAAGTCGAACAGGGACACGATCCTGCCCCCGAGCCTTATGAAAGTGCACAAGAACTCCCCTCATTGTATTGCATGAACAGCAATACAAGCATCAGCAAGAATACAGGTTCTGCACGACAAATTTGTAGAGGAGTGTAGTGCGATTTGGGCTGCCAGAACTTGTCATGCAAACCATGCCAAGAGCCAAGGCGTAAGTTAGGTATTTTGCATGACACATGAGGGGCAGGGGGAGTTGTGCACTCTCATAAGCCTTTCCGCGGTGGCGAAACCCCGGGAGAACAGCTGGACTTCCGCGATCAAGCTCTTATTCGGTGTGATCATCGCCATTTCGCGGAACAACTGCTTCAAGTTATCCGGTAAATTGCTCCGCCCCGCACACTATGCACTGCAAAAGCATTGCAGTAGTAGAAATCACATTACAACAAATTTACTCAACCAGAAAGATGCAGTTTGTCATGCTGGACTGCAGAATAGAGTATGAGATTTGTCATGCGTAACTGCAGTTCCAATTACTCGGAGTGCGATACTTTTGCATTGGATACATACCCCGGGTTCATGGTTATGAAAATCCCCACCCCCGGATTCAATCGGACCTCCTTTCCGAGCAGTTCTATCGTCTTCATCTGCTTCCGGAGCCCGGTCTGGATGGTCAAAATCTGCTCGGTATCAACTGCAAAAGTGTCTGGGTCTGGAAGATTGCCAGGCTTGACATGCATATTTTGAATGACCCATGATGTCTGTGATGCATGCTCTGCATCACAGATTTTTCGAAGGCTTTGTGATGCCTCTACCGCATGAGAAATGTCCTCTCCGCGTAGCACAAAGTGGAGTCCTCTTGCTGGACATGCAATACAAATCTTTTTAGAATGCAGAGACAGCATCACAAGTTCAGAATCTTCCAGACCCAGACATATTTGCATTTCATACTCGGAGCAAGCAGACAGCATCTGCTCCTCCAGTCGATTAAACTCGTCGAAACAGCCCCAGGCGTATCCACAGGAAAAAACACCCATCCCCATGCATTTTTTGCATGACAGATAGTGGATCTTATTCATGTTTTGCGTAACAAATTGGATGGGGATGGTTTTTTTTCTCTTGATAAGGCGCCGACCTGACACAAACCGACAAAAATCCGGCCCATGGACTGGAAGTCGAAGGTTTCGTCGCAACAGAAAACCAGGACAAAATACCCCATTTGCGCACCCAAAGCCTTCACGGATTCGGTTTTCCCGGTGCCGGCCGGTCCAAACGGGTTCCCGCCCATCTTCATGTGCAAGGCCTGCGTCATCGTGAGAAAACAGCGGTCCGTCAGCGGTGTTTGGCACAGTTTCTCCGCCATGCCCAAGTACTCAAACCCGTAATTCAAAGACGCGTTGGTCATTTCCACGCGACAAGCCGTGCTCATGTCCCGCGTCGCGTTCGCGTCCCAGTACACGCGGAGTAGCTGCAGCCAGTCGAAGTTGTCCGCCTTGTTGATCCTTTTCGCGGCGAGTTCCCGACTGACGTCCCGTTGGTGCACCATTTCGGTGATCAACTGGGCGAGTTTGGTTAAGAAATTCCTACTGATGTTTGGCTCCAGGACCTTTTTCGCTAACACGTCCAGCGTGTGAATGCAGTCGGACGCGACAGACTCGGTGGTTTTGCCGGCTTTCAGAAAGCTTTCCACCCGGATCGTCCACACGATCTGCGAGGCGATCAACATCAGTTGACAGGGCTGCTGATCCACCCAGGCGGTGAATTCTTGATCGGAACTTGGGTCGATGGAGGCAAGAGCCGGCCAGGCGGTACCTGATTTTGATGGTGGAAAACATTTCTGTTGCGGAAAGTAAAGATAAAGAACCGACTGGGACTGACAACATCACACTGTCATGCACCAAAAAACACATTAACCATAAGTACAGAAATCTTTAAATCGATACTCAATCTCGCCGACAATGCAGTTCTTATTGCGGTCTCCACCTTCGTCAGCCAAACGTGGATGCTAGGATCTTCGGAGATTACCACTGGTTTCTCAAATTTCACCTCCTCATTCTCCCGGCTCCGCATCACCGTAATCGAATCCCCTTCATTCTCCGTTCCAAACTGCGCCACCCCAGCAAACATCTTCGCCAAGTGATGCCCGAGGACCGTGACGTCCCGGCTGTTGCCGATAATTTCGAGCAGGTCCTCGTCGCCGATAAAATAGAACCGCGCGAACTGGATTCTCTGCTTTTCCAGGTAGTCTCCCAGCGCTTTCTGCACCTTCCCGAGATTATCCTGGATCTTCGTCAAGATCTTTTCCAAATTCGCGATCTGGATAACGTCGAGGACTTTCGGTTTTTGTGATGCTTTTTTGCAAATGGACGTGAATTCCGTGTCAACCTGCTTAAACCGATTGTATTCCTGGACCAACAAGGTCTGGATGTCTGCCGACCCGAAGAAGATTCCCTCGAGGTACACCCACTTCCGTTGCACGTCCATCCAGATGTCCATCAAAGTATTCACTTTCCGTAATTTTTCGTCCCATATGCATTGCAAAAGTATCGCACTCGTATAAATGCATCACAAATTTCCTCAGCATGAGAAATAAAATTTGTTATGCGGATTTAGCTTTAATGCATGATTGCAATACGAGTACGATACTTTTGCACAGGATATCCCAGGTCGTCGCCATTTCTTCGAACGCCTTGTAGAACGGAGACATTTTCATCGACGCGAAGGAGTTCAAATGCTCCTCGACCTGCGCGAACAGCTCGTCCCAACCGCGGATGAGCTTGCACCGGTTTTTGTACAAAACGAGCTCCAGTTCGTAGTTCGTCCACAGCTCCTTCACTTCTTTCATAAACTCCTGCAGTGCCATCTCCCCCTGCGCGAGTTGGAGCTGCTCCCGCACCGGTTTTTCGCAATTCACCCAATCGACTTTTTCCCATAAATCACCCAAGGTTAAGTGTGTATACCCCTTGTCCTTCAGATTGATCACGGTCAAGATGCTGTCCCAGTGCCGCTCTTTCAGCGCGTCGGTTTTCAAATCTGTTAAGAGAATGTTGAGCTTGATGAGCTTGTGGATCTTATCCACCATATTCGCGTAGCTGTCGTACTGCTGGATTTTATCCGGCATGTGCTTCAGCTTATGAAAGCCTCAGGTTTGAAATCCCCAAAGTGGAAATAATTTGTGATGCAAAAAAACGACTCCAGTAGAAGCGCCATTTGTAGTCGGCGCATGACAAATTTTCCGGGCACTCAAAGCGTGTCTGTCGTGCTAGTTAGGCAAAGGGGTCTGACCCTTCTGTCGTGCTAATCAGCAGCCCAATTCTTCACCCCTAGCAGGACAATAGTCGGCCTCCATTGTGTCATCTGCAGCGCAGTCTTTTTTGCCTTGCATTTCATGCATCACAAATCATTTCCACTTTGGGCATTTCCATTCTGAGGCTTTCATACAGCTTGTCCTGTAGAAGATCCTCGTCCAGAATTTGCCGGATTTTTTTCGGAATCACCGCGGTCCAGAGCTTATCCTGTGCAAAAGTATCGTACTCGTACTAATCGCGTTTATGCATTTACAAATCTCTTTACTGAGGCAGATCCGCATTGCAAATTTGATTTGTAATGCTAAGTGAATTTGTAATGCAATTTATACTAGTACGATACTTTTGCAGAGGATAGAGCTGTTCCTTGAGCGAATTCAGCTCCTGGTCGACCGAGTTCAGCTGCGTCCACACCTCCTTCAGCGATTGGATCTCCGCGGCGAGTATGGATTGCAATTATGTCTGGGTCTGGAACAGTGGAACTTGTGATGCGTGTCTGGCATTCCTGGAAAATCTGTGTTGCAGGAGCAGCACATACAAGAGGAGCTTCCTTCGTCATGCAAAAGCGCAAGAATTTGTGACGCGTGCTAGGCATCAGCAGGCGTCTCAAAAACTTGTCATACTTGGCTCCCATTGCAAGCGCTTCAATCATGCTCAATTCAGCATCACAGGTTCTTTCCAGACCCAGACATATTTTTTGCATTCCATAGCGAGTGGCTGGAGCTGCTTTTCCAAATTCGCGGTGGAACGGTTCAGCACTGACTGAATCGTATCCTGTGCAAAAGTATCGCACAATCATGCACTACAAATTTTTTTTTGAAGGTAAATCCGCATTACAAATTTTATTTCTCAACATGCTGCGGAAATTTGTAATGCATTTATACGAGTACGAGGATACTTTTGCGGTTCATAAATCGCGTCCCCAATGCCGGAACATTCCGTTTGCATCTGCTCCACCTTCAACGCGTATTGGCTGCAAATCTCCAGCGCCTTCTCACAAGACTCCACGACGTGGATCGGCTTGTCCTTCGTCCAATCGGAGTAGCAGGAGCGGACTTCTTCGGTAATCTTCTTCTCGTGTCGCTCGATCCCGGTTGACAGTGAACAACTCTTCCTCCCCCTCGTTTCAGTATGGCAGAAACAGCAACACTAGCAACAGCAGCTATGTGGCTTCCGCATGACAAATCTGTGCACGGATAATTGTAGTACTGTTTGAGGTTGTTGGTTCCAAAAAAATTTGGCATGCAGACACTGCCTCAGCAGGGCAGGACGTGGACTTGGTATTTTGCATCACAAAGGAAGGAGGGGCACGGAAGGCTGTGCACTTTCATATCCCGGCGCGGAGCGACGGCATTTCCCGCTCCATCACGAGCGATTTCCGGTCTAGGACGGTCAGTAACGAGTCCCAATCCGACGCTTGCTGTTCCAAAGACGGGAAGTCATCCGGAAAGGTATACCCCCGGTTCCGCATAAGCGTCTTTGTACAGTCGAGCACCAACTGCACCTGGTCGTTCAAATCTTGCTTTTTCTTTTTCAATCCCTGCACGATCGTGATCGATTTCAGCGTTTCCGGTGACCCCGGCTCAAAGCTGGACTGCTCGAGGCTCGTGCGCAATTGCCGCAAGTCCTGCACTAATCTCGTGCTGGAATTGTAGACTCGCTCGCCAAACTCGTGCAAAATGTCCCGCTTCCACAAGTCGTATCTTCTCTATGACAGTGCACCACTCCTCCTTTATGTAGCGTACACGGCTGCAATACAAACACCAGCGCACGTGGCGCCTGTGCATGACAAGTTCATGCGCCGAGAAGTAAGTACAGTCCTGCTTGGGATTTGTCATGCAAACAGTGCCACAAGGCAGCAGCCAAAATGTAGAGTTTGCATGACAAAAGAGGGGGTGTTGTGCACTTTCATATTGTCGTGATCTTCGTGGAAACCTTGCTGTGGTCGATGATAAGTGGTCCGAAAGTATTAAACAAAAAAGTGTTAACGTCAACGTTTTTGGGGCATTGCAGTCATGCATGACAAATTTTCGCTATCATGCATGCTATGCAATACAAATTTGGGCATCGTTTCTCGTGCAGTCCTGCATGCCAAATTCCGTTAACGTTAACACTTTTTGGTATGATAGAAAGCTTTCTCCCGGTTTTCCTTGTCGTTTTCCAATTGCGCCCGGTTCTGCTTGATCTCCTGCAAAAGTTGCTGCCACTTGACCAAGTCATCGCCGAGCTTCTCAAAAACCTGCTCCGCGTTGATGTCCCACAATGCTTGGTACTGCAGCCAGGCGTTCGCATACGCGTCCATCTGCAAAAGTTGCTGCTCAATCGCGTCGTAGGCGTCCAGGAAGATTTTTTCGGAGAGGGAAGACAGGAGGAAGTTATACGTTTTCTTCTTCGACAAACCCTCCTTCAATTTCACTGCGAGCATGGTGGTGTTTTTCTCGTTCGTGTTTCGCGCGAAGTCGTCATACCGATTCGCGACCAATTGTGGCAAGGAGCAGACAATCCCGAGCGTCTGGTGAAAATGCTGCATCCAATGCTGTCGGGCGGACTCCTTGGGCGGATTCAAAGCGAGCAGCTGCTGGTTCATTTTCAATTCGTGAACCGTTGGCTCGTCAATCAAGCTCGTCCCCGCGTTGGGGTACCGGGTGAACTGTTTCACCCACTCGGTCACGAGTTGCTCCAGCCGTTGCTTCAGCTTCTGCTCGATCTTTTCCTTAAGGTGCGACGAAGCCCAGTACTCCAAATTCGAAAAATTCTTCAAGTTCATGTCATCGATAAGACTCTGCATTTGGTTAAACACCGACTTGAAATAGGCCCGGGCGGAACTGCGGTCCAGATTCGTGTTGTCGTTCAGAGTTGCTTGATTGGCGCCGGAATTCTGGGCGAAATCGGAGGAGGTTTTGTCCGCTATGATTTCATCGGGTGCAGCACCAAGATCGCCTGGGTATCGAGGTGGAGAGTTTGATAATTGATGAACAATTTCAAGTACTAGTAAGTACCCCAGAAGCGAGCACTAGCATTAGCAGTTATAGCATCAGAAATACATCGGGACGAGTTCTTCTTCACATCTGCGGAGCGAGCGTCACAAACAAGCTGCAACGAAGTTGTACTTTTGTTACCTTCCACAGCTATTTTCGCCACAGCAGTTGTAGACCCGGCGACTTTAATTTTCGCTTTGTCAACAGCGCCGCCGTCGTCATCTGTAATATCGTAGTCGTCCATATCCAGGAAAAAACACCCGTCCCCATCCATTTTTTGCATGACAAATAGTGGATTTCATGCATGTTTTGCATGACAAATTGGATGGGGATGGGTGTTTTTTCCTGGATAGTCCAGTTTCATGATCAGCCGGTCCATATCGTTCACGCACTTGCTCACTTCTGATACCCGGTCTTGGAACAAATAAATTTCCGAGCACAGTTTTTGCGCGTACGACTCCACCTTGTCGTGAATCCACTTCAAACCCATACCCTGCTGAATCAGGCCCTGCACATCCGCGTGGTGCTGGGCCATGAGCAGTTCGATCGTCGGCGTGAACTCGCGTTGTACCACCTGCATGTACGTTTTGCACGCTTCCTGCAAGCCGTAGGACACGGGGTAGGAGAGTCTCGCCTCGTCCGCCATGACTTTCAAGCTGTACGGCACGCGGAATTGCAACGCCTGGAGATTCCGAACTTCCTTGAACAGAGTAGTGATTGTCGCGTCCGTATTGACCGTCAGCTCGTAGTTTTTGGCCTGCACAGTGATGTCAAAGAGCCGCTCTTTCGTCATATCGAAGGGTTTCTGCGCCTTCACGTCCTGCATCCACTGCTCAAAAAGCTGCACGGCCGAGCACTTCTGCAAAAAGGCATCTACGCTCTGCTTGATCTTCGACCCGTCCACATGTTGGTCCCACCCGCGGCCGAGCACGTCTTCCACGCGCCTTAAGCAGATCGTAAGCTTTCTTTCGATCTGCTTGGCGAAGATCACACTGCCGGTGATTGGTGGGATGTCTCGGGCTAACGTCACCTGGGAGGACTTGCTGTGTTCGAACTTTTCCTTGAACTTCGTCTGCAGCTTGTTTACCTCTTGCTTAATATTCTCCAACAGCGTCGATTGGTACTCCTGAATCGCGCCACGGATTCTGCTGCGAAAGAAGAGCGCGTTGAATTTCTGGAAGGATTTATCATTTGTAAAAACGTCCCCACCTCCGCCCCAGAGTTGTAATGCAAATGCGCAAGAATGACAGGAACGTTTGTAGTGCGCATCTCCATGAAAGGCATCTTCAGTAACGCTCTAAACAGGATCAGAAAAAAATCTCTTTCTCATGCGCCTTTCCCTGCTAGCCAGCACTACACTGCAGATGGAAGTTTGTCATGCAGAACTCCTAAAACTTGAAGATCTGTGTTGCAGACTTCCCGTCTTGACTATGGTGTGGGGACGTTTTTACATGGGATAGGATTGAAACATGTCGTCCGCGTTTTTCGCCTTGGAGAGCTGGTTCTGCAGTTTCGCAATGACGAAAGTCTCAACCCGGTCGACCCGCTCGTTGTACTTCTTCTGCGCGAGGTCCCACTTCGCGGTCCCTGTTACTGATATTCCCAGAAAATCAACCATCCCCATCCACTTTTTGCATGACAGACACAGAATTTTATACATGTTTTGCATGACAAAAACTAATGGGGTGGGGATGGTTAATTTTCAGGGAATAACTGACGTGTCTAACACGTCGAAGGACTGGCTCGTGCTGATCTGCGGACTGATATGACAGTGCACAACGCCCCCTCCCCCTCATTTGTATGGTATGAACAGCAATACAAACACCAGCGCACATGGAGCCGATGCATGACAAATCTATGTGCCCCCCAATGTAGCACTGTTTGGGCTTCCAGAATTTGTGATGCAAACAGTGCGACAAGGCAGCAGCTGGATGTGGGATTTTGCATGACAAATGAGGGGGAGGCGGGGAAGTTGTGCGCTTTCCTAACTGGCTTTACTCGCGGCTCCGTCGGACGAAGAGGTGGACGTAGCGGCAGCTCCTCCTATTGCACTTGTCGTCATGAACACCTGGTCATACGCGTCTTGCAACTCTTTGTTCAGATCTATCTCCGGTACGGCGGAGTCGAAACCACCCGCGCCCTTTTCCTTCTTCTTGCGGGTAGAAGAAGTACTCTCTCCGCCTTTCAACATCGCGGACGAAGCTGCACCTCCTCCGCTACTCGATGGGGACGAGAAGATCTTTTTTAACACATCCGCCATCTTTTGGTGCTGCCTCCGGAACAGCCTGATGTCGTCCACCCGGTCTTGTAACGACTGGTGCTCGCAGTTGATCTTGTGCGGCGGGATCTCCTATGTAAAAACGTCCCCACCCCATAGTCAAGATGGGAAATCTGCTACACAAATCACCCAGCTTTGGCTGTTGCGCATGACAAATTTGGGCTCGTAATGTAGTCACGTTTAGCTAGTGAAGTAGCATCATAGATCCAGTTTCTGATGCTAATTTGAGCATCACAAATCTCAAAACACCACTAGAAAAAGCTTCTCGTGCGTCTCCGCACGACAAATGTTTTTAGCATGCAGATTTGCATTCCAACTCTGGGGAGGTGGGGACGTTTTTACACAGGATACGGCCGCTCGCTGGTCCCTCGTCGCTTCACTTGATCCCGGACCAGCTCCTTAAACTGGCGGATTTCCTTATGGAAGCGTCAGGATCGAAATCCACAAAGTTAAAATAATTTCTCATGCATAAATTGCAAGGCATGCAGTGCCTCTCATTGCAGGGATGGCAAGTGAGGCCGACTGTCAGCCTGTTTGGAGTCTACGATAGAGCTGCTAAAGCAGCATGACAAAAGACGCCTTCTTTCCCTAAACAGCACGACAAATTGGATTTAGTAGATGGCGCTAAAATTTGTCATGCGCCGCTTGGAAATTGGGCTTCCAACTGGAGGTATCGATTTTATGCATCGCAAATTTTTCAATTTTATCGATTGCGATCCTGACGCTCCCATATTCCTCCTCCCACAGCCTAAACAGCTTCTCCGACTCCCGGGTGCCTTCCTCGAACGTCTGATAGTCCAGCATCATCCACTTTTGCGTGGACAGGATTTTCAGAATCTGGGTCTTCAAATCCCGCGACAACGCCTCCGCCAGCTGAAACGCCCGCGCCAAGGGGTAAGCGGTGGCGTTCTTCAGCTTTTTCAAATGGTTGAACAGCGTCTTAATCGCGTTCTGCAAGTGCACGAAGCTTGTCGCGGCGAGTAGGTCTTGTACCGGGAACTCCCTGAGTAAAATCAAGTAGTTGGACACCGAGTCCATCGCTTTCTGCAGCCCCGTGTCAGATTCGAAAGACACGCTGGTCAGAAACCGTTTTCCCAGACGGAGCACCCCCAGCGTGAACTCGACGTCCGGAGATTGCAGTTGGTTCCGGACGTGAAAAAGCGCCTTCTCTATGCCGACCCAGAAGTTCACCTCCGACATTGCCGTCCCCGTGATGGAGCCGCTCGTGCCCCCGGGCTGGAAGTACTTGGTCAATTTCTGGATATCCTTCATCCACTGGTTCACCCCGGAGTGCAACACGTTCAACGTGTTTACCTCCAACAGGGTGCCGGAATACTTCTCCGGGGTTGGCATCGGCCGGTTTTCCCGTTTTGCTTGCTCGAACAGTTTCAGCACAATTGGGTCAACCTTTAACACGATCTCGGGAATCTGAATCGTCTGGCCGCACTGTTGCAGCGCGATCCCCAACTCCGCGAGCTTTTTTTGCACGATTTGCTCCGCATCGTTGGCCTGCTCCTGCTCGGACTGTTGCTGAAATATCCTGTGCAAAAGTATCGTACTAGTAGAAATAGCATGATAAATTTTTCCAGAAGGAGAAATGGAATTTGTAATGCTGAATTGGCTAAGAAACCGGATATGTCATGCAGGGCTGCAATTCATACGAGTACTACATTTTTGCAGAGCATATGAAAGGAACTTTGATTTCCTGTTTGACTTTGCTCTTTCTCCTTCGCCGCGGACTTGATCGCGAAGAGCGGCGCGACTGCGGTCTGGAGGTACATCAAAACCGTGTCGTACGGTGTATCCTGCTCGAGAGTGAGCAGCAAAACCGCTTTCGCGACCGACTTCGGGTACTGCTCTTGAAAGATCGGGCGTTTCAGAATCGCGAGAACATCCTGGTTGAGAACATTACTAGGGGACGAATTAGGCATAGGCTGCTCCTGTTGCAGCTGTTGAGACGCAGACAGTCGCGGGGTCCCGCCCGAGGCTCTTTCTTGGAAAAAATCACCTTGCATATTATTGCCTGATGTTAGAGATGAACTGCTACTTGGTAGGTTGTAACCGCTGCTACTTGATGTCCTTGTGGTCATGGCAGAAGGGATGTCCAGAGCCACGATCAAATCCTCATCGGCGGCGGTTGTGCTACCACCAGCTCCTGCCCCGGACGAAATATTAAGTGATGGTGATGCCTTCTTCCCGAAGAACAGTGCGGGCGTTTCTTGCACCGCGTTGGCCACAAAGAGCTTCAGCTTCTCCACCACGTCCCGCTGTTTTAACCGCGTCGCAATTTTGCTTCGGTTCAGCTCCAGCGTCGTGGGCAGCAGATTGGTCAAGTACTCTATCAAAGGGTCCACAGCGAGAGAGCCGGTCAGGGTAGTAGTGCCAGTTCCGCTTCCAGAAGTCCCGCCAGGTAGAAGACCACCTCCCCCTCCAGGCGCGGAGGTCCCGCCACCCCCGAGGAGCGTGTTTGAGGAGGCCATGTTGTTTTCGTGGCGGTCCTGGAGCCTGTAGTCCGGGGAGCAGAGAGGCCACTTAGCGGGCGCCGCTATCTAGCAGCCAGGCGGTGCACGAACATCAACATTCTCTAGAAAATGATCGACGCCCTCGCGCGTCGACCTATCAAAGCAATGCGCCGCAGACTTCAGATTCATTCGATAAATAGGTTTTGGTGTTAATATCCACAGGGAAGAGTTCGACTTGTAGGCGAAGAAGTACAACTAGAGATCGATCCAAGATCTAGTCCCGAAACAGTAAGATCGTTTCTTCTTTATACTGATGTTGCTGGTGGGACGGAGACGATGCTGTTGTTGAGAAGTCGTAAATGGACATTCTCATCTTCCAGCAAAGTTGTAGACCCTTCTACTGTTATTTCTCTTGGAACTGTTCATCAGCAGAGTGTCTGTTCTTGTGCAAACTGTTCACTGACCAGCAAGACGAGAAACTTCAAACAATACAGCAACAACGGAGATCATCGTCTACGTGTTCACTTGTTTTTTTAGTAGTATAGAACCAGCAGATAACTGTGATAAAAGCCCAAGCGGCAAGTAGCAACACAAAATTGTCGTTTTTCGGCCTCGAAGATAGAACACGACCAGACGTGCGGGGTCGGGAGCTGAACACGACCATCAAAGATGACAGCTGCAGCGGGAACGGTACCCGCTGAGGAGCTTATGAAACTCGCCGCCGACGAGGACGATACTGGTATTTTTACCAAGAACGCCGTGCCCGTGGACGAGACCATCGTCCATATTAGTTGATGAGTGACTCATCATTCAACATCAAAAACGGAGTTCCAAGTTTTGCATCCTCGAGAGAGAAATGCTCGCATTTTTAAGGATTACGTCTTCTCGCAGAGAAAAGCAGCGCAGGGAACATTTACTATGCTTGCAGGTTACATTTTTACGGAATACGAAATGTGAACAGCGTCACATGAAACGAAGCTCAAAGTTGTAAACAGCTTAGATTTTTATGAAGAGCCTTCAGCTTTAATTGTAGGTCTTTTTTGTCAAAATCGGGATTAACTTCCTTTGGATAGAAGTTTAGGTAACTTCTGACGAAGATGGCGGCAGATACGATATCATCAACTTCCTGTATGTGCAAACAGCAGCATGATCTACATCATGTTCATGATGTCGACGCAAGGTGTGTGATTCTCAGAGTCTCGTCTCGTTACCAGCAGTCTCGGCCCGTTCACTGACCTTCGGATCCACCGGAGACCCAAAATAAATCTGTATGTATCCATCGGCCCAGTATAGATACGAGGAAAACTATTTTTCGGCCGGCGTAGTACCTGTACCAAAACCCGACACGACGGGGTCCATGCTCAAGCGCAAAGACAGCGTCGCCATTTGCACGCGGCCGTGCAGCAGATTCCCGGGGGTGACCTCCAGCTCGACATTCATCCCCTCGATTTTCACTTCCAAGAACTCCCGCCGTCTGCGGTAAATGTTCGGGAAAAATTTCTGCGGATTCTCCTCCAGCACCACGTCGTGTGCCCAGAGGATCTATCAAATGAAAAAGTGCCTGGGTCTGGAAGAATGCAACTTGTGATGCTGTCTTCGGATTCGAAAAAAATCTGTAAATGCATGACCAGCAAGAGGGGTCCAGTTTTTGCCACGGCGAGAGGGCATTTCTCATGCGGAACAGGCATCAGGAAGCCCTCTCAAAATCTGTGATGCTAGACCATGCATTGCAGACCTCATGGGTCATGGAAAACCTGCATGACAAATCTTCCACTCTTCCAGACCCAGACATTTTTGCATTTGATAGGATCAGGAAACTGCTCAGGTTGTTGACCCCGTTGGCCATCGCGAAGCGCGCCGTGGCACCGACGGCAGTCTCCTTCCCCGTGGGGTCGTCCTATGCATTGCAAATGTGTCTGGGTCGAGACGTGTCATGCAGTTTTTCCAAGCTCTGCCAAGTCTGGAATGCGGGGCCTAGCATGACAGGTTCTGCACGTCCTTCGTGATGCCTATGCTGCACGAGAAATTATAGCCTCTCAGCATGGCCACAAGTGAGCACCTTTTGCCAGTCATGCAACACAGATCTTTGCATCGTCCGCAACTCGCATCACAAGTCTTGTAACCTTCCAGACCCAGACATTTTTGCAATCCATACGTCGGGGTCGGGGACAAAATACCGCAGCACGTTCGGCTCGCTTCTCTCCACGCGGGCAAACGCGCGGGCGAAGCTTTTTTCCAGTGTTCTGCAAAAATACTTGATTTTGTCATCATGCAGCAAGTACATCGCCATTGTGTCATCGATTTTCTCCTGGTGCGTGAGTTTCGCCTCCTCGCGCAAAAAATCCTCCAAGTAAGCCTTCCACTGGTCCCAAAGACTCAGCACCGGGCCGTGGAAGGTAGTCGTCTGGCGATCCTGGGTATCAAGTGCAAATACGTCTGGGTCTAGAAGCGTGCACGTTTTTTGTCATGTTTGTCCCTTGACGTAGGTATCAACAGCAAATAGGTCTGGGTCTGGAAGGTGGCAACTTGTCATGGGAAGTCTGAAGCATGCAAAAATCTGTGTTGCATGAGTGCCAAAAGCTGTCCACTTTTGACCAAGTTGGAAGGGAGTTTCTCATGCAGGATAGACATGATAGGGATCTCACAGAATGTCTGTCATGCTAAGTCCCGCATTCCAGACCCCATGGGTCATGGAAAATCTGCACAACAAGTTTACACTTTTCCACACCCAGACATTTTTGCAGTTGATAGTAGGTCAAAGTGATGACACAGGAGGACGAAGTAGAAGACGTCGCGCTCCCGGTGGTCGGAGCCACTTGTACTAATTCAGGAGGACGAGGACCAGCTGCAGCTTTGACGGTACAACTATAAGCACCGGTCTGGTGGATCTGGTTCTTTCCAGGACCGTCAGTTCTCCCTGCACGACCCGGGCAGCAGCCCTCATGCAGCCCGGGCAGCAACAGGCTGCTCACAGGCTGCTCACCAACAGGCTGCTCACATCTTCTCCTTCATCACTGGCAGAATGGATTCGCGTGCGAGCCGGTCAAACAGCTCTGGATTTCGCGTAGTGGCCAGTTCCACGCCAGTTTCAGTGTGACTGCTGCCCCGGTGCCCGGTTGTGAGTACGCGACTCGAGGAGGACGAGGCTCGACGATGTTGTCCACGCGGCCCATCCGGGCGTCTCTGAAGTAAGGGTTGTGCTTCCTCGTCCATGGCGGCGATCATTCCGCTATCATTTCCATGCGAAAAAGATGAATCGCGGGGCTGCCCCGTGAAGGGTACGTGACTCGACGAAGAGGCTCGATCATGTAGATCTAGTACTTCATAGCCAGCCGCGGTGCGGCCTCTCGGGAGTAGAGGTTCTGCTGCTTCATCTTCATCCTCTTTCTCTACTTGATGTTGAGCCCCCCCAGGAGGCGCAGTATCCGTCATTTGCCATTGCTGCATTTCAACATTTGCAGCATGACCTCCAAGAAACAGCAGCGACGAGGAAAAGAAAGTGACAGTGAGGATGCGCCGCAAGGTCGAAATGTTAGGTGCAATAGGCGAGCAGCTGCGAGAACTACGGAGGTCCTGCTTCGACGAAAATGGGGTAGACGACGGACTCATCGTGCTGCAACCCAGACGAGCCATTTTGATGTTCGTGTTCCGAGAGCGGTCCTTTGCCACTAAACCTTCGACCAATCGTGGCTTTAGAAAGATGAAATTCTTTTATAAACGATAGTGTCGTAGTACTATGCTAATAATATTTTTTGAAATTCAAATTCTTCAATTTGTACTTAGTTACAATTTTAAGCTCCACCTCCTGATAAACTTGACAAGATGAAATAGTACGGCGTGCCTCGACTCGATTTGGATAAAGTTGATTAAGTAAGCAAATAGAAGAATGATTATATGAGAGAAGCGACCGGAGCTGACAATGGAGTCAATCTCAAATGTTCTACTACGTTGGCAACCTGCTGTTCTTATTTGGTGTTTGGAAGCTGCATGGTTATCAACATCATGATGCGTGTCGATCAGTCAGGATCGACTGGAAGCGGGTCGTTCTCGTGGACAAAAACACCACCAATCACTAAAAAAGGGAAAGATCGTGATCTACTTACAACTGTCAGTCATGGTTACGCGATCGCCAGGCCCGACAAGCTTTGGTTTTGCGTAAGATCAACGGAAAAATGTGGAATCGACCCTACGGCGGAATGCGCCTGCGCAAGAGCATGCGGATTTTATTTTTCACTTGGTGGGACAAATAATCGCATTTCTTTCGCCTATTCATTTTGGTGCACGGAACAGGAACGCATTCTTTTCTGGCTGCACGATGGACTGTAGTTTCAATGACAATGAGATGCACTTCTTCTATAAATCTTGTTCCTGGTGAAGTAGTAGACCACCCATGTAGCGAATGCGGATCGAAGGTGGAACCGGTTATTGATATTGTCCGTACAAAGTAGATCAGAGTCTTCATGGAGATTCCTCGAGCTGCTTTTTATTTGGGTGTTGCACGACCATCTGTACCGCGAATAATTTTTCCGGCACAACAAGTACTAGTTCGCGAGATCCCGGGCTCTCTGAGGTCGGCAAATAGGAACTGCGGGGTGCACCTTTTTACCAACTAGAGGCGGACAGTACGAGGAACACTCTGCACTGCCATTACTGTAGCATCATCGACGCCTTCATTGGATGGCCGCTCGGTGGGAGCAGTCCCCCACCACGTCGTCGAGGCGCCCAGGGAGATGGAGCACCTGACCCGCGATGGAAGACATGGACCTCTGTCACACCCCGTAAGAAAAGGGCGGCGCGAGGTCTTAGCGGCCCATCCGTAGTAACGCAACCACCTTGAAACAACTGGGAGGGAGGGCGGGCGAAACAAATACCACCCCGAAATTCGGTGGGTTGTCCTGACTAATCTTCTCAAGTCCTGGCTACCGTACACTAAAGGGCTGAGGGCGGACACGGGCATAAAATACCGCCCGACCATCCTCAGCCTAGACTCACAGGCTCGCTAGCCTGCTGCTGCCCGGGCATACATTTTATGCAGTTACCGCAGACGGGCCACCCAATGGATGGCCGCTCGGTGGGAGCAGTCCCCCACCACGTCGTCGAGGCGCCCAGGGAGATGGAGCACCTGACCCACCGGCGGAGGCCGGATACGCCGAAGCATCCCAAAGAACCCGCTGTGGCGCTTGCGGCCAGTAGATGAATTTGGGAAACCGGTGCGCCCCATCGATGAAGGCGTAGCAACGAACGACGACGGGCTGAAAAGTGAGCCGATAGACTAAGACGCGGGCCTATCAGAAGGGTCCGCCAAATAGAACGAAAAACCGCGATCGCCCAGGCTTAGCATAGCCCCATTACAAACCAATCGGACGAGTCTCGGTCTCGCATAGCGATGGGAGGGGAAGTCCGGATATTTATCTCAAAGCAGATCCAACGAAGTCCAGCGCTCTAGTCAGGGAGAAAGTTCGCAAGGGTAACGGGTTCGAACCGCCAGTGCCAAACGACCCCTCCTCCCATCGCAAAGCGAGACCGACCGCCGTTCCTCGTCCCGAGGACAGAACGGCCAGACAACACCTATCCCGCATAGATAGCTGGCAACCGTACGAGGAACACTCTGCACTACCATTACTGTAGCATCATCGACGCCTTCATTTGTTTTCGCTAGCGATGCTAGCTCACATCATCACTATCATCATCATACATCTTCCATTTCTATATAGTGCGCAGCATGTTGTCTTGGGGTAGAGAATCCTTTTTTGTAAAAAACTGGTCTTTGGAGTGCCCTTCTTGAAAGTTAGTGCCGACGCCTCCACCTCCGACATTGATTTTGATTTTGGAAGACGACCTTTCTTCCACTAGCAAGTTGTGCCAAGTCTGACTTGGTACAACTTCGACGTCCCCTCAACGGAGGAGGAATGTCAGACGCATCCATTTCATTTGGCGGGGCAGTTGAAGGTCGAAAATCGAAGCTTCAAAGCAGCAGCTAGCTCAAAACATGTAAGTACGTAGAAAAAGTCTCAAAATAAGGAGGTTCAAAATGTCTCTCTCAACAACGTTCAACAAAAATACTTTGCGCATGCTTCAAAAAGATGCTGCTTATGCTTCGGCAAACGCCTTCTTTGCGCCATGTTGGGTCGAGCTCGACGCAAGTCTATCCCTATAGTCATCTCCTGAAAAAAGGGAAAATTTCGGTGAAGGGTTTTCATCACGAGGGTACATAGCATATAGTGACTACTTTTGTAAGTAGAAAGAAGAGTGTAAGAAGTACTGTAGCCGTTGCGAATCCAAATGTTGTTGTAGCATCAATTCTTCTTCCTCGACGCTAGGCTCTGAAAGTGTTCTAACTGTAGATGTAATTCTCCTCCACAACTGAAGAAGGCACATTTAGGAAAAACCTTCCGAATACATCATTCCGCGGCTTTTCTGTACAGAAAAAAAAAAATAATTTTGAGATTGGGTTGCTCGATGAATAGTGACCTTTACAGTGCTGACGATTTTGGCCTTTGCGTTCAGGACGCCGATCATATAGGAGCGGCAGATTGAAAATTGATTTGCGACGCATAAAACCAACGCTCCCAGCTTCGCTCGCCCTTTCATCTAGGCGGCGCATGACAAAGCTTCTCCAACATGTTTAAGTTTATGTACTAAATGCGCATCCCCATCTTCTATCTTTACTTCGTTCTGTTTACTTTACTTAGCTGAAAGATGACAGACCGTGCCTCTGTCATGCTCGTCCATAGCCATTCTTTGTTTCCATGCATGACCACCCTGAGGGGACCCCGACAAGAACGCCGGGACCGATCTGCAGCTATTTTTAGCCGCTCAGACTCAGAAAACGGACTCCATCCGCGAGGGCGCGCGTTCCGTCCGGGTTGAACCGCGGCATCGCCGCGGGGGCGGGGTTGTCAATGAAGGTGACCAGGCGCCGCAGCATGTCGAGCTTTTCATCTTCATCAACGGAAAACGAGGAATATTCCCCCTTGTGCTGCTGCTTTTCGTCCATAAAGCAGTCAAACCTCACCGTAGTGATGGTTTGCCCCATAAACCTCTTCTCCCTCACAACCCACGACGTCACCTGGCACACCTTCCCCATGTAGTCCTGGCTCCCCTCGCGGAGAATGTCGCGAACCTGCTTCACGTCGGAAGGGGAAGCAGCTGCAGGCAACCGGAAAAAAACTCCTTTCCGGAACCCCTGCTCGCCGTCGTTTTTCAGGTTCTGCAGTTTCTCCTCTTCCGCTTGCTTTGTGAGCGCTTCGACCTCTTGCGCCGACAGGGCCAAGGCGTTCGAGGACGTCGCAGGCTGCGCGGCCCGTTCGTTTTTTTGTCCGGGGGAAGCCGACCTGCTGCGAGATGAGCGACGGCGCGAGCCGCGCGACGAGGAGGACCGTTCGCGACCTGTCGGCGACCGGCTGCGACGTTTTGTTCTCGTTGAAGCTGCATCACCAATCGCGCCAAGCCCCACTGAGTCTCCGATTGTTTTCATCAATTCCGTCGAACCAATGGCGCCGACCAGTTTCAGGTTGTCTTCCGTCACGGAAATCAGCCCATTGAGCATGTCGCACAGCTTGCGCACGGCGCCTTCCGTCTCTTTCCTGGCAAACGAAACGTCGTCGAGGTCCAGCCACGCGTCTACCGCCGGGAACTTCGCCTTTTTGGTGGGTGCGCCGAAGGGGTTCTCTCGGAAAACGCCCGTTGCTTTCTCTTGAACTCGGATTTGGACCTTGGCTTTTGAAAGAGGAGGAGTAGCTCGATGCTTTGTTGTGTCAACATGAGCAACATCTTCCTCGACAACTGAGGCGGTTCTTGTAGTAATAGGGTCAACTACATTATACAGCACCCGCACCCCCTTTACGCGAATTGGATGACCAATCTCCTCGTCATGTTGGTTCTCGGCGTCAAATTTTTCAAGGCGGGCGGAAGTATACTTGGCGTTGTCGACGAGGACCGTTTCGTTGCCACTTAGGTCGTAGGCTCTCTGTGGCCGGCCCTTCTCGTCCAACACGGCAACTTCGTCCAAATTCAAGCCGGCTCGGGTCACTTCCTCTAACAACACTGACATCTCTCCGTTCACGACTGCCGACGCCCGAAACCAGTCCACGCCGGCGGCTTCCAGGCGCTCGAACGGCGCGTTCCGGTGGAAAAATTCAAACTCGTTAAACGGAAATTGGCCCCGGTAGGGCCCGAAAGAGACTTCCTCGACGCTCCGGCCTTCCAAGAGGTGCTTCATTTGGGTTGCAAACGCCTCACCGTTGTCGTGTCCCAGCAAACGCTGCGCGAGGGCGTGGGCTTTCTGCGTGGCGGGACCGGCGCTTGCCTTTTTCTGGTTTCCCCACCGTTTCAGTGTTTCCAGAGCATCCAACACGGCCTGGGACGCGCGAGTGAAGTCTTCTGGTTGCAACGAGACTGCTTCCTCGCCGCCTGCTCCACCAGCGCCATCACTCTTTTTACTGCGGAGCAGCCACATTGCGAACCGGTCCGGATGCACGGTGCGCTGGACCGTCTTCATTTGCTTTTCCGCCAGACTCAGAAACTCGTCGACTTTGCTACTCATAACCGCCGCGTCCGTGAGCTGTTTCTTCACTTCTGCTAAAGCTTCGCTCACGTCCAAGATAACCGCCGCTTGTTCCTCCGGAGGTGTAGCTGCAGTACTAGCACCTCCATCCTGCGCAGTAGTTGCCTGCAAGATTCGCGCTATCGCTTCCTCGACGGACACCGGACCTCCTGGTGACGTGGTTTTCTTCCGTTGAAGATCCTTCATCGGCGGACCACCACGAACTCCCGCCGGGCCAAACGACATTGGCGGTCCTGCGGCGAGGGAAGCAGATGCAGAAGCAGCGGACGAGGAGGACGTCGAGGTCGTGTTGTGCTGGAAGAGGCTCTGCAATTCACTCTGCAAGCCATCCTTTGCCAGCCACTTTTGGAACGCTTGTTTGACCTCCCCGGCCGGCGGCTTACTGCTTTGGTACGTAGAAGGCATGTTGGTTGCGAACATCAGTGCTTTTTTTTCTTTATTGTACGTTCCCTTCAACACCGCGTCTCGCAGACTCTGCAAGAAACTTTCGGTAGTATTCTCGTTTAGCCAGACAAGTGCCCTACTGTTGACGTCATCCTCCTGTTCGATGGACAAACTACTACGCCCGGGGGAAAAATCGCGCGGAGCAGGAAAAGCCGCCCGCACCACGACGCCGAAGGGGGACAGCAGTTGCTCTTGCTGCAGAAGCAGGCCCACGCCCAGACCCGCCGCAGCAACGAAATAGTTGCAGCCGTGGTTGTTCAAGAAACGCGTCATTTTCAACATGCTGCTGTAGAAGTACTGCTTTGGTATGAGTTTAATAATAAAACCTGTTCTCTGAAGATGAAAATGCTCGATAGAAGAAGGTAGTTGGTCTTGTTGACCAAAAAAGTTTTTGCGCCAAAAGTTTTTGCGCCAAAAGTCAGAAGACTTCGCGTTTAAAATTTTGGGTAGAACTGCAGCACAGCCACAGTTAAGTTAGGCGAAATAATTGATTGCTCGTTTATAAATGCGGATGCTGTAGTTTTTAAGCTAGATGAAGCGATGTTGATCCTGCTTAAGGATGAGAGCCTCTGTTTCAGTTGTGTTCTACTTAAGGATGAGGACGAGTAGCAATGCAAAAAGATGCTTTTTGTAAATTGGTTGCTCTCTGTAATGGTAATTCAATAGCCTCGAGCTTGTTCGCTGCATCTCTGTCATGCGATAACAGCTTCCTTTCGTGAAAAAACAAGTTTTGCCATGCAGGTAATGTATACTGAGCGCAATTAAAAAACAACAGAGGTCTGCATCTGCAACTTGTGATGCAAAATTAGTGCACTTGTTGTTATTTACCACTCAGACGACAAACGTACGTTGCTTCTGGGAAGGAGTGCGTTGATTCTGGGAAGAAAAGGAAAAAACAGCACCGATTTCGTTGTGCTCTGTGGTCCACCGCTATGAAAAAATCCTCAACAACAAATTAGAAATGCTTGACCACGCCCATTCATAACATTTGTTACATTTACAAAAAAAAAACACAACTGTTTTTGGCGCGCAGAGAACAAATCTGCGCTCTGACATAAAAGGCTCCGAAGCTTCTGAAGATCTATCTGAAGGCTTTTTCTGCGCGTTTTTACAAAAAGTGACGTTTTTAGTTGGCGGCGCGCAACAAAAACATTAAAGTTTGTCGGGTCTTCTGAAGGTTCTTCAGAAGATGCACCTTCAGAAGACTCAAAAAACAGAGTCTTCTGAAGGTGTGTTTTTTTTATTTTTCTCATTTTTGTCAAATTGCGATAATTTTTGAAAAACCTTCAGAAGAAATTTGCGTCTTCTGAAGGTTTTTTTTGATTGTCCTGTTTTTTTTGATTGTCCTTTTGGGCCACCCAGATCGGGCATTTGTAAGCGGGAGGAGGGTCGCAATTTTGGACCTCATACCGGTCGAAAACCGTGAGGTTTGGACACACCTCCACAGGCTTGATAATTGTTTTATTGTCGTCCAATCCCGGTGCCACGGGCCTCCGGACAAATTTGAAAACCACTTTTGAGCGGCAATTTTCAAGCGGCTTTAGCTTTTTCAGCGAAAATTGTCGTTTTCAATTTCCAAGCGGTTTCCGGGGACTGCAGAAAATCGGCAAATTTTGTCGGCCGCTTGTATGCTGCGAAAAATTGCATTTTTTCAACGCTTTTTTTCAATTTTCAAGCGGCTGGAGCTGCCCGGACGTGACGCATTTTCCGCTATAAAACGCATCACACCATCGGCCCTAGCCAAAAGCGCCATTCTCTTTTTTCAGATTCAGACCGGGCGGAGCTGCAAAAATGCTCTTTTTTACCCTTTTCCGACATGGTAATTGCTGTTTTGGCTGCTTTCGGTAAAATTCCCAGAAATTCTGCCCGATCCGCTTTCTGAAGGCAAAACGCACTTGGTAATGCCCAATTTTTCCAGTGATTGCATACCCCCGAGTTCCTCCCATATGGTAACGGCAAAGCCTTCGCGCTGCGTTTGCGATGGATGGGCATCTCGCAAAGAGCGCTTTGCGCGCGGGCAAGCCCGCGCGCAAAGCGCTCTTGCGGATACTGTTCTTAAGCTAGATGAAGCGATGTTGATCCTACTTAAGGATGAGAGCCTCTGTTTCAGCTCCACCACCATTGGTTCACTCCACCACCCCCACGTCGCTGGGAACATCAACGCCCCCGCCTTCCCCCTCAGTTTTCGCCCTTTCCTGGCCTGCCAGATTTTCTGCTTCTGCGCAGCGCTCCAATGCGTTTGCCAGCTGCGGCGCGGCAACGACGCTCCAATGCGTTGACACAGCCCAAGCTGCGGCGCGGCAACGACTGCCCCGCCTGCGAAGCCTCTGGCCCGTTCAGAAATGTGTCGCATGAATTAGGCAACCCAGGCAGCCCCGGCAGCAGTGGCATGCAGCTGTTGGGGAGCCGCTGCCAAGAACTATGCAAGCGCGAGGTGGGCTGATCGCCCTGCGTGGCGTTTTGGATTGTTCGGCGGACCGAATCAGGTAAGCGCCAAAGCATTGGCGCTAGGCCGAGACCAGGCAACACCGCGCTGCCGATGTCGCTCTTTTAATGACGCCCGCCTAGGGGAATGGCATCGCGGCCGCGTGGCTGTTTTGCTCGAAATCCTGACGCCGGGGGCCAAGAGTGTGCTGCGGATCCCAAAAGAATGGCTCTGGTCCGGCTGATTACCTAGTCGCCTCCTTCGTTTCCCGCAAACTTATTCGCTACGTGTAGCCTGCGCAGCTGTCTGCTGGTGCTCGGGGTTGCGGCTTAGCCTGCCACCCCTACCCGAATCCGTAGGCAAGGCCATTGGGAATGTTGGAATGAGGCCGCCCTCTTAAGTAGCTATGCGGAGAATGGGAAAAATAACGCAGGCGTTGGCTAGAGCCCACCCATGAACAGGCTCGCCTGCTTTGATATCGAAATGCGCGGACCCTGAATTTTTTTTATCTACTTTGAAAAGATGCAGTTAGTATGGCCATATGTTCTTAAGCTAGATGAAGCGATGTTGATCCTACTTAAGGATGAGAGCCTCTGTTTCAGTTGTGCCAGCAATAGTCTATGCGTATTTTTCGTCGCGTGTCGATTTTTCAGCTCCTCGCAGCTTTCATGTCAACACTTGATCCTGCACACATTTACATTCGAAAATTTCTGCTCTCCTTCTCTCGGATCTTCGGCAACGGGATCATAACTCGCTTGATCCTGTATTTGTTTGTGGAACGACCCTTGTTATTTTTGTACAAGAGCGCACAACTATTGATCTTGATGCGGTGGACCGAATTTCTTCGTTGGTAGAGACACTTACACAACGAAAAAGACAAGAGAATAAAGAGCAGCCTCGTAGTGGGGTGTTGCATCAAAAGTATGAGCATGGAAATTTCAACATGACCACTTGAAGAATCCGAACTTGTCGCTGGCTGTACGAGCACAAATTTGAAGATCTTTACTCGGTGCTAGTCATTTTCACCGAGAGGGAGCTGTAGTTGTACAGCCTGGCGGATCATGGCAGATAGATCGGAGCAGCGCAGCACCATTTGATCTCTACTACGACCGATTTCCAAAAGTCTACACAGCCATGCTCACACGAGTGTCGACGTAGTCGTATGAACAGATGAAAAAAGAAAGAAAGATATACGAGAAGTGAGTAAGTACCAGCGGAACATCACTCCCGCATGGATCATTTTCATTTACATCGGATTCTGCGTCATGGTCTTTCCTCCACCTCCGTTACTGTTGCGATTTTTCTGGTTCGCGGCTTTCACGCGTTTTGATTTTCACTTTCGTGTGACCAAGAAAGTCTTCTCTGTGGTCGTACCACTCGCGCCGGCGCAATATGCAAGAAAAAACTTTTTCCTGTGGCTTTTTTTCGGAACTAGTACATGATTAAGAACTTGGGGTCGTTGTGCTTTTCGTGTACGGGTTATTGCATGGAGTAACTCCTTAAATTCATTTTCGCTACTAGCGTGCAGATGGCGTGTGCTTACCACTTGCACTTCCACTTTCATAGGAGTATTGCATGAACAGAGTCTTTGAGATTTGCTTATGTTATCGTAACATCCCCCATGCCTTCTATTCACAAACACGATACGTAATGCATTGTTCACACCGGCGCCAGCACCATACAAACCCATTGCTCAGGAAAAGTATACATGTCTCTTACCCTGATAAAACTGCGCCCCGGCCACCGGTTTTCACTTCGCTAATCGAAAAGCGATCCGACTGTGCCTTTAGAAACGTATAAATTGCAAAAGTATCTTCGACGTAGTGCCAAAAATTGGAATTGCATATACAAATGTTTTCGAATAAAGCAAATAGCGCTGACTTTTCAGGCAAGTAACCTTTAGATTTTTTGTCATGCAGTACTGCAAGTGGTACCAGTTCTAGTACATTCATTAGGACGACATACAAGTACTTTTGCAGAAGTGGATAAAACGTGAGCAGCAGCGCTTCCAATTCGAGCTTTTTTGGATGTTGCATCTTTTCCGCAAATTCCGGCACGAGGTCCGCGAGTTCCGCGACTGTCACCGTTCGCTTGCGCGCCTGATCCATCCGGTTCTGGAACAAAAGGGGCCAGTTCAGGTTCTGGGAGGTTGTCTGCTTCGATGTTGACATCAAGCCGTTTTTACTTGCAGTTCCACCAGTTGAGGCAGATATAGCTGCAGTTTTCGTTGTAGTTGTCCCATTTGTGTTATTGTTCGTCTTTTTCCCGTCTCTCGACCGTGGGAGTTGAGCAATTCCGGCACTGTCCGCGGGCTTGTAGGCCAAGATTGGCTTCGTTCCATAACCGTTCTCTCTCGCGCTCTGCAGAATGACGAGATCTGCTGCACGGGGCCTTTTCATCTCTTCTTCACCGCCTTGGTTGTGGGGGGCGGTGGAGACGGGGTTTTTCATGTCTCGCTCGCCAGTCCTCGTCCCGGAAAGAAGGGTCTTGGTCTCAGCCATTTCTTCGCCCTTCTGGGTTCTTTCAGCTGCGTGCTGGCTCGCTCGTGTACTAACACTTGCTGGTGCAGCCCCCGGAAGGTCTTTACCACCTTGCACGCTGGTGCCTCCGATCGTTGTAATTTCACCATCATTTTCGCGTTGAACAACCAGTTCCGTTCTTTCTACGAAGGCTGGGTCGTGGCCTTCTACATTTGGTATTCTGTTCGAAGGGTTGAATAAAGCTGGACTCCCAACCTTATTTTTCGTGGCGTTCAGTTCTTTTTCTTTGTCTTTCGCGGCATGTTGTATCTCGATAGGCGCAAGGTCAGCCGCAGCGACCCTCGGCACCGCGCTGAGATCCCAGCCGGGCGACGTTTTGTTCAAGGCAACCACGACTTCGCGCCCACCTTGGCTGTTGGCGGAAGTGGTTCCTTTCTTCTTCGCGCCCGCAATGGAAGTTGCTGGCGTTTTTACAACACTGGCCCCACCCAATGCGGGAAACGCTTCGAAGTCATCTCGGTCAGGCATGGACGCTCGCATGGGTCTCTTGTGGATGTCGCCGACCACCGTACGGACTTCGAATGGTGATCCACGGCCGGGATGATCCATTTTCGACGGCCCGATGGAAGCAGTACTAGATGCGCCACCTTCGAAAAGTTCGCCGCTTTTGAAGAAAATATCCTCGCGCATAGTATCAGAGAAAGCACCTTCTACTTCGCGCGTATTCGCTGCAACGGTGTTGTGGATCTTCGACGCTGAAGTAGCACCAGCTGCGTTTTTCATATTATTTCCACCTGTCAACACACTCTTTGTCTTTTCCAGCAGCTGTGTCTCCATGGCTTTCAGCGAGGCGGCAAGGACGTAGTCCTCATTTTGAATCGCGACCCTCTTGCGCTCTTGGATCCCCTCAAGTTCGCTGGCGTGGACTTCCTTACTTTTAGTGTTCAGAAAGACCAACAGGTCGTGGACGTCGTGGTCGTCTTCCTCCTCGTCCTTGGGTGACGTCGATGCAACCGGAGGACTTGTAGTAGTTCTAGGGTTCTTGTTCGCTTGTTCAGCTTCCTTCTTCGCGTCCTCGCCAGGTGGTTCTATAATTTGTGCCCGTCTACTTTTTATACTTGCCTCGTCTGCGAGGGGATCCTGGACTACAGCTCCAGGAGTAGATGGTGATAGCGAGACGAATTCGTACTCCACCCCGGCTCCGCGCCAGAAACTTGTCAGCGCATTCGAAATTTTTTTCGAAAGGAGAAACGGTGCATGAAGATAAAGATCCTCAGACTCATCTGTACTAGTTTTCGCGTTTACAGCTTTCCCAGTGAAAAACTCTTCGGGGAGCGCGGACCTGGTATGATGGAAAAAAATCGAGATTTCGGATCGCAGTCTCGCATTGATTTCCGACAGAAGGAGGGCGCCGTCGTGTTCTTTTCGCTTTGCTAATCTTGAAGTGGAGACTTTAACATTTTCAGCAATAGAAGGAGCGGTGCCACCCGCCGATGTTTTGGCTATTGATGAAATTCCAACATCTTCTTGTTCCATTATCTTCAACTCCGTAGGCTTAGAAGCTCTGTTCATCCCACTTCTGCTCCTCTTCTGTCTCTCTTCTAGCAGCAGCTCCACCACCTTTCGCTGCAGGTAGTAGAACGGCTGAGCCTCCTCGAGCAATTCTTCTTGCCAAAAAACCGGCCGCGCTGGTCGTGGTGGTGGAGTCGTTACGGCGATATCACCTTGCTGTAGTTGCGGTCGTCCCGCGTCTCGGCCTTGTTGGAGAAAGAACACGATGCTCCCACCCTGAAATAGCACGGGGGTAGTCTGTTCCTTCTGGTGACCACGCTCGCGCTTTGCAGACGCGGCTCGTTGTTCCTCGGGCAACATCCCCGTTTCGTTGAGCATCTCGGAGGACCGAGCCGTGAAATCCTGCACAAGTTCCAGCTTGTCCACCAGGAACTTCTTTAGCTGCGCTGGCAGCGGGGCAACCACTTCGAAACGTTTCTGATCCAGCTCAAACCGTTATGAGGGTGCACAAATCCTACTTCTAGTGGTCCTCCCCTCATTTGTATATCCAAAATTATACCGATAATCGGAATCAACATCGACATCTTGCCTTTAAGCACTGTTTGCATGACAAATAATTTTGGAATCTACTCAAACAGTCAACTACAATCTGCGTAGAGATTTGTAATGCGGAAAAGCCCCTTGGCTTTGATTTGTCATGCGGAAACGCCCCTTGGCGTTGGCCTCGTCTGCTGTTGCTTGTTTTGTGCTGCTGCTCATGCTCTTCAAATTATGCGGGGGATGGAACATCAACGGGACGAGTTGCGCACACTCATAAGCCAAGGAGGTAGGAATGGAGAAACAACCTCGGACAAAAATGGCGACTGAGATAGTAGCTTTCATCACCACGACCCCCACCTTTTAGAGATACTCCCTCGTTCTTTGCTGCGGCAGGAGGAGGATCACGAGTTAATCTAGTTCCAGCTGCGGCGGGCCAAGCGGTCGTTGTAGAAGGAGCTGCAGATGAATTACTACTAGAAGAACCTTTATTTTTCCACGAACTTGGGCCGTCCTCTGATGTTATCTTCTTCCATCGGTATTTGTCGTCGCACACCAGTGGATGCCCAATGTGCTGTATCAAATGCAAAAGTGTCTGGGTCTGGAAGAATGGAAGATTTGTCATGCAGGTAGTTTTCCATGACCCATGAGGTCAGTAATGCGTGGTCTAGCATCACAGATTTTGAGAGGGCTTCCTGATGCCTGTTCCGCATGAGAAATGCCCTCTCGCCGTGGCAAAAACTGGACTCCTCTTGCTGGTCATGAATTACAGATTTTTTTCGAATCCGAAGACAGCATCACAAGTCACAACCTTCCAGACCCAGACATGTTTCCATTTGGTATGCTGCAGGTGCACCCGAATCTGGTGCGTGCGCCCGCTGTGATATGACAATGCACAACTCCCCCTCCCCCTCATTTGTCATGCAAAATACCCAATTCACCCATTGCCTCTTGGCACTGCTTGCATGACAAGTTCGGGTAGCCCAAATCGCACTACACTCCACTACAAATTTATCATGCAAAACCGGCACTCTTGCTGATGCTTGTGCTGCTGCCGTTCATGCTATACAAATGAGGGGGAGGGGGAGTTGTGCACTGTCGTATGTGAATGCTGCATGCGAGAAGAGAGAAATATCGACGAGAAGCAGGTGTAGATGACGATGTTGCCGAAGCGTGATGAAAACTAACCTCCTCGTCCTGCTCCGGAGTTGATGTAGTAGATCCCGGCTTATTTTTAACACCAGGCGCACGACCCGTTATTTCAGCATCTTCTTCCTTCCCTACTTCACCACTTAGTTTCTCTCGAAACCAGCCGACGAGTACGAAATCCGTGCGCGCGGTATCAAAATGAAAAAAGCCCCCGCCCCATATCAAATGGGAAATCTGTGACGCAGGATTTGCGTACACAAATGCGCGCTGTCTTGCAATACGGCATCGCAGCCAGATCCGCAGCCTAGGGAAGGGCGTTGCGGGTCTAGTTGCTTAGCATTGCAAACGGCTGCCCTTTAGGCCCAACAGCATGCCAAATCGCTTCCATAATGGCGCGGAAGCCTCTGCGTTTGTCTTCTTGCAAGACAGACGTGATTTGTGGTCTCAAATCAACAAGACAAATTTTCGGAAGCATGCCTTTTCGATATGGGCAGGGGGGATTTTGCCTCTCAATACGCGGGCTCGGCGTCCTTCGTGCTGGCTACTTCGGACCAGGTGCTGGCGTTCGAGCGGACGGTGCGGATGGGAAACTGCAGCGACCCGCGCAAATCCGTCACCTTCCCGTGCACCAGGCACAGGTAGTGCTTCGCGACCTTTTGCTTGTGGAACAGGTCCCGGATTTTTTCTCGGGCTTTTTTCGTTTTCCCGACCAGCATGGGCCCCGAAGTCTCCCGGTCGAGGCGGTGACAGAGGGGCCCGAACCCCGTGTCCCCGCTGATAGCCTGGTTCGCGCTATCAACTGCAAAAGTGTCTGGGTCTGGAAGAGTGCAAGGTTTGTCATGCAGGTTTTCCATGACCCATGAGGTGTGGTATGTAGGACATAGCGTGACAGATTCTGTGAGAGTTCTATCATGCCTATCCTGCATGAGAAACTGCCCCTCGATTCATCAGGTCAAAAGTGGACGGCTTTTGGTAATCATGCAACACAGATTTTTACATGAGTCAGATTTAGCATGACAAGTTGCTTTGTTCCAGACCCAGACATTTTTACACTTGATACGCGCTGATTGCGAACAAGTTCTGATCGATAGAAAAATTCGCGCGGTTGGCTTGATATGAAATGCAAAAGCACCGTAGTACTATAAATTGCATTACAAATCAGTCCAGGAGCATTACAAATTGAATTTCTGATGCTGATTTACCTTGAGAAAGAGATTTGTAATGCATAACTGCAATTATACTACGAGTACGATACTTTTGCACAGGATACTTGGAGCCAGTTCGCGACGGACTTGTTGATGTTGGTCGAAGTAGAGGCATAGGCATTTGCTTGATTTGTGGTCGTTGTTGTACTGCTAATATTCTTGCGCGTGGACGTGGAGGAAGAGGCGGGTTGTGCTTGTGCCGCTCCTCTGCTAAATGCTGTCGTGGCATTACCAGCAGCGGTGGTCGTGCCCACCGTGTTTGGGACTTGCTGCTGCTGCTGCTGCTGCTCTGTTGAAGGAGAGATCAGCTCACAGGTCCAGAAGGCCGGCTTGGCAATGACGAGAAAATCTGATGCCTCGACCAGCACATGGGGCTTAGAGTCCGACATTTTGTTTTCGATGTAGTCCAAAATATTGATATATACAGTGGGGGCGGTGGAAAAGGAAAATGAAAAAAAAAAGGGGGAAGAATGATCAGGAGGGGCAAAAGAACTTCTGTTTCGTTCGGGCCGACGAGAAGACTACAAGAGACCAGGTAGAAAAGCCTCTAAACAAAATCAGAGCACTAGTGGTCACATAAATTTGCAGGCCATTTTCAAAAAAACAGACCTCCTGCCAAAAAAAGTAAAAATGCGAAAAAAGTAGGCGGAAATGATCCAAATCCTACACCTACTCGGGGACACAAGAAAGTGAAGTACAAGTAGGAGCTTTTATCATCTTTGAAATGCGACTTGATAGATTTCTGACACGAAGTTAGTTGGATCAAAGTCCTGCTTTTCATCAAAATATTAATTTTCCGCGTTGCGTCAATTCAGTTTTTTGGGCGGACAAGACAGTGACCATGAGTGTACCGCTGGGTCGATTGCGGCGGTTTATGTCGAGATGAAGCATGTGAGTGCAGCCGCAGCTGCACCCAGAGATCTTCGCATACTGCTGTGCCATACGAACACGATGTTTAGCTTTAGCAACGAAAACTTATTGCCGCTCAGCAACGTTTGCTGCAGGAGCGGGTTGTAGTCGTGGAGCAATGGAGTGGCAGAACCACAACCACTACCGACGCGTCAATTCATCTACAGGACGAGTGGATGCTGGTGCCAGGACTCACTTCAGTAGTTAAGTACCAGTTACTACTGCTGCTGATGCTGATGATGATGATGATCGTGCACCTGAGCGCTTTACTGGCTTTACCAAAACGTCGAATACTATACACATTTTCTAGGTCGTTTTGGACATCAACAAGTCCAGATCACCTGTTGAGGCGGAATTATGGCAACATCCGGAGATCATGAAGATGATCCCCACGACGAGACGAGTCCCCACACGAGGACCAGCGTCGTATGGGACTCTCAAACGTTACATTCTCAAGAACTGTTACATGGATTTGTGATGCAAGAACACACACAGTGAAGGGAGCAAGCTTGCACTTTTTGCATTACAAATTCGGCACAGATTTCGATTCTGTTTAGCCCTTCGAGAATTTGTCATGCGAAGTAGCTTGATCGTGGTGTGGCTGATGGCAATTTTGCATCACAAATCATGTAACAGTTGAAAGTGTAACGTTTGAGAACCCCGTACGTCGGCGACTCGTTCACCGCACTGGCCTCGAATACGCGGACCGCTTGAAGTATGGAGGCGTCAGGATTGAAATCCTCAAAGTTGAAATAGTTTGTGATGCATGAAATGCAACCCACAATGCGCCTGTCTTGCAGAGTAGGCAAGGGAGGCAGATTGTAAGCCTGTTGAGGGGTCGAAATGATTCTTAAATAGAGCTGCTAAAGTAGCATCACAAAAGGCGTCTTCCTTACCCAAAACAGCATAAGTATACAAACTGGATTTATGCACTACCAAAATTTGTCATGCGCCACTTAGAAACTGGGCTCCAACTGGCATCCACTTTATGCATGGCAAATCCTTTCAACTTTGTCGATTTCAATCCTGACACTTCCATATGAAGGGCTTCATTTCTGCCGTCCAGGTCTCTTTTTCCGGGCACGTTTTTGCGTACACGCAGTTGTATTTGACCACCTACTATGCATCGCAAAAGAAGTAGTATGATCGTCCTGGCACGCACTCGCACTGCTAGTGTAGACAAGACTGCTTGTAAAAATTATTATACAGGAGGAGTAGATCTTTCTATGTATGTAATTTCGGTAAAAGAACGCGAACGTCATGCTGCAGCTGCCTGTGGGAGTTCCAAAGAAAGACAAAGACCTGGATGAAAACTCATCCTGTATTGCGGATGGTACGAGTATCGTACTTACTTCTACGATGCTTTTGCAGAGGATACCTGCGGGCGGTTTTCGAATTCCGCGTCAAAGCCCGCCTGCCAGCCGAACGCGAGCGGCACCCCCATCTTCCTCGGGATCAGGTGCTTGATTATCAAATGCAAAAATGTCTGGGTCTGGAAACTTGTTATGCTGAGTGGCGTAGCATGAGAAGGCCACAAGTGCTGGCTCAGCATGACAAATTTCTGAGCTTGTAGGTGTTGCCTATTCTGCATGACAAACTGCGTCTCCGCATGACAGAAAAAAACGTCTCTTGGACAATGTGCATGACAGATTTAAGAGTCATGCCAGACAAGCATGACAAACATGCATTCTTCCAGACCCAGACATTTTTACATTTGATATTGATGTTTTTCTTGCGAAACGTTCTGTCGTAATTCACTAGGTCCGTGTTAATATGCTCTGCAAAAGTATCGCGCTCGTACTAATTGCACATATGCATGACAAATCATGTCCCTAAAGGTAAAACAGCATTACAAATTGCATTTGTCATGCTGAGCGAATTTGTAATGCAATTTATACTAGTACGTTTAACTTTTGCAATACATAGTTCAGCTCGCCTTCTTCGTACGCAGGATTCATGGGTTGGTCCTGGGCAGCACAAAAGCAGAGTGGAAAAGACAAAAGAAACAACGTGGCAAACGACCTGGAAAAACCTGTTCTACTCGTTGTCAAGAACCCTAACACGACAGCGCAAAGCGCCGGGGCCACGACCTTCATCGTCGGTGAACAAAAGCCACCAGGTCGTGTGGAATTATTCCTCGGCATGATCTTCTCCGACGTATATATTAAGTATTGCTTCCTCCTTCCTGTCCTTGAGGAGCAGAGCTAGCACATCAAAACTGAATAAAACTCAAATTGCGCTATGGGTTTGATTGTCTCCAAAAGCTCAGCCTTGTAGTAAAATGGGCTTCCTCGTCGGAGGAAGCCATCCCCACCTCATGAAAAAACCAGCTCTAGGACGCAAAACACGACGACGCACAACATGAACATCATGTATGATCACCCGGCTTCAGAGTTCTCATGACATAGACAGTTTCCATTTTCCACCGCGCAGACAGACGTCGCGAGATCTGGGACAGATCTTGTTCAACTATTTTCCAGCAAGTCCTTGACTCGCTCACCACAAGCAGTGGCGGACGCCTTACTTTGCCTCTACAATTGGCGAACATCAAGGGACTGCGCTGTCGTAGCTCTTCCCATCTATCTTCGTCCTCACTTTTTTTTCAATTTTTTTCGTCTTCTTTTCATTTTCTAAAAGTTTTGCAGTTTCTTGTCACGCGGCTCTTGTGTGCGAATTCTTGTAGTTACAGTTAGACTTTCCTTGTTCTGGAGCTGTTCTTAATATAGTGACGCTGGGTCGAAAAATATAAGAGGAGCGATACTCCTGCCGACCGTGATAAGGGTCTTGAAGCTGCACTACTGGTCATCATCATCATCATGTTAGTGCTTGTCCTGTGAAAGTTTCCGCTATTCTGTTCTCTTTCATTTCTTCTTGGACGTGCACACGAACATCGTGCTTTCGACATTTCGGTGTCATTCTGCAGTCCAGGTTTGATCCTGGTTGCGATAGAAAGCCACCCCTGCGACGTACTTCACTTCTCTTCCACTGTTTTCACAGAAGTCGTCGCCGCACGCCTCGAACAGCGCCTCTGGGTCACATTCTAATTGCCACGCGCCATCCCGTGCGCCGGGCACTCTGCGCCAGCGCTTGCCGCTGATCTTCGATGTCATTTCCTGCCTTTTTTCCTCTTCCTCTACCCGCTGCTGCTGGATTCTCTCTCTCTGTTCCGCGTTCCTTGCTTCCATTTTTGGCGTTACTGTTTTTACTTTCCTCTGCCGGTCTGCTCTCTCCGTGGCTACCTTCCTATTCTGTTTCAGGGTTTCCTTCAGCGTGACGGCGTCGGGGGGGGCGCTTATAAGAGTTTCAAAATCGATGCTGTAGCCCTCCAGGTCTTGCAACAACATTTTCCCCCACTCGGATTTGATTTTGACCTCGTTTGCGATCCACGCAGCTGAAGCTTCGGTCTTGTCCCTCGCAGCGTGTCCTACCCAAGCTATTCTTTTTTCTGTTAGCGCTGTTTCGACGTCGAGGACCCCCATCTTCCGGCAAAGTGCGAGCCGGCTCGCGTACTCCTCTGCCTCTGTTTCTTCGTTTTCGGCGTCTGTCTCGTCCTCTGCGTCGTGCTCCTTTTGCCACCTGCGCCGTTCTCCTGTTGCGGTTTTCAGAGTTTGCAGTTGGAAGCGCCGCAGCAGCTTCCAGTCGTGTTCCCTCATGGCCCAGCACTCGCTGTTGTACAACGCGACCGAGCTGCAGAGGCTGTTGCAAAGCTCTGCCTTAAGCCCTTGCGGTGTGTCCCGGTCCTTCCAAATTTTGCTGAGTTGCCCCACTGTGGCCTTGGCGATCCCTGTCCGCCGCTCTACTTCCTTGCTGGTGCTGCCGTTGTTCGCTATCTGCGTACCGAGGTACTTGAAAGCGCCTACTGTTGCCACTTCTTTGCCGTCGTACGTTCTTAGCCCGGCGGGTACTACTACGGCCGCGCGCTGCGCCTTCGCTTTTTCTTCTAGGTATCTCCCTACCCGGAGCACCTTCTGCTCCTGCGTGCTCATGCCCGGTCGGCAAAAACCCGTGGCCCTGTGCCACTTAAGTGCGCGCGCGTCCGGCAACACATCTCCGCAACGGGGGCATTTGTGGATGTTCCGCTCCTCATCCACGAATCGGACCTTGCCCACTCGCGAAAGCCTGAGCCGCTCCCCGTCATCCAACACTGCCCAGCTGGTCTTTTTCAACCAGCACAAACCAAACTTCCCGTCATCCCACACTAGTAGATGGGTCGTCTTTTCCATCGCCGGGGCGATGGATTTCTTGCTTCTTGCTGCGGCTGCGTACTCTTCCACCAAGTCAACACCATCCCACTCCACCGCCCAACCCCCACGCTCGTACTCCGTTCCCTCCTCAGTTACGAAGCGTTCTTTTTTTGCGTCTCGGTTGTCTTTTTTGCTTGGTTGGAGCCCTATGGTCATGGCCTCCGTCTTCTTTGCATTCAGCTCGAGCCCGACGAACCTGCAAGCTGCCTGCAGCTGCAGTAGTGTGGCCTGCGCTTCTGCTGGTGTGTCGCTTCGCACCACTAGGTCGTCGACGAATCCTAGCCACGACAAGTAGCTGACGTCGACCTTGCTCCGTGCCCAGAGCCCTTCGCGCTGCATTGCAAGCTCGAAGGCCTGCGTTGCGAAGTCTAAAACGAGCACAAAAATCAGCGGGCTCAGGCTTGAGCCCTGCCGGATGCCGGATTTCTGTTCTGTTACACCGCTAAGCTTCCCCGGTGCTATCTTCAGCGCATAGGTGGCGGAGCCGTACATTCTCCGCACAAGCTCCACCAGGTCGGCCGGAAACCCCTGCCACCGGAGTACTGCCGCCATCTTCTCCCAGTCTAAACTGTCGTATGCTTTTTGGAAATCGATGAAGTCATAAACCCGCTCCTCCCCATTTTTGATCGCGTGCTCCATGTCCCTCAGCAGCCGGAACACGGCGTGCCGGCAGCTGAGGCCCCTCACCGATCCTTTTTGTCTTTTATCGATGGCCCGGTATGCGCTTTCCCGGATTCTGTTCAAAATTATCAAGCCCACTAACTTCTCGCCAACATGGAGGAGGGCGGCCGGCCGGTAGTTCGCCGGCTCTGCCCGCGGTCCATTTTTGTGCAGCAACGCTATTGCTGCCTCCAGCCATTTTTCTGGCATCTGTTGCCCCTCGAAGATCTTCTTCACCACCAACCGGAGCACCCTTCTTGCGGTGTCCGATTGGGCGAAGAATTCGGCCGGGAAGTCGCTCGCGTGGCTCTTCCCTTTTTTCAGCTCCTTGACCGCCTTATCGATTTCGCTATCTTCCGGACTGCCTGCGTGAGTTGTCTCCCACGTGGGCCGGGGCGGCTGCTGCAACATCTCCTCGCACACCTTCCACGCCGTCGCGCCTTTCAGGCGCTGGTCTGCTTCTGGTCTCTTCGTCCCTAAAATGCTTGCCCAGAATTCGACGTGTGGCCGCTCCCCCCCGGGCAGGTGTTGCTGCCCCTTTGCCCTCGCCTTTCCGGCTAACTGGCGGACCGTTTCGTATACGGCCCGCGCATTGCCGCTGCTGTCAGCCTTGCGCAGGTCTTCTATCTTTTCCCGCAGCCATGCTGCCTTGTCCTCTTTTATTTCGTGTTTTATCTTCCTGCGTAGCCTCGCGTCCGCCTGCCTCGTCCTGTCCCCGCCGGTTTTTAGTTTCCTTCGCTTCGCTATTGTCTTCCACGTTCGGTCCGTTATCCAAGGTTTCCGCCGTTGCTCGGGTTTGTTCTTCTTCCACTCGTCTTCCAGTTCCTTCATCAGAGGCTTCATCACCTCCTCGAACTGGTCCCAAGCTGCTGCTGCTGATCTCCCTGGCGCTTCCATCGCCCGCAACTCGTCTTCTGTTAGCGTTTTCTGCAGCTCCTCCTCCACCCGGCTGGCGGTTTCTTTTTGTCTAATAAGTTGCTTCCCGGTGGCTCCCTTGTGTGTGTGCGCACCCGCATGCACTACTGGGTTTAACTACAAATAAAGAATTGCATCTATGCGTATTATATGCACTTGCAGGTAGATTCATGCGTTTGCGTCTGCAAGAAGTAAAAGAGTCCCCCCTGCTCCGAACGAATGTTGATTGCGTGACTCATCGACATCGTGTGCTTCTACTCATAATAGAGATAGAACGTCGAGGTCTGCAAGTTGCAAACCATGCTGCAGCAAGACCAACAAGTCTCGTCAGCGTCTTTTCCTTACACGACGTGCGGTAGGGCGGCCGGGGAGATGATTTGACTTTGATATAGAAATCTTCATTCACCATCTTCACGTACGCGAGCACCGTTGGCGATTCGTTTTGCTCCCTCGCCGCGCCCTGGTGATGACGTCGTTCTTTTTACTACTGAGAAATTTTACAATACGTACTTTTGATGAGCGATGAACTCCACACCTAAGTCTCAATAAACGCTCCGTGAGTTGTTATGTCCTTACGCTGAAATTATAAGGACCTACGTCCATGAACATATTAGGCATAATCATGATTTAGATTTTTCTTTTTCAATCGTACACTATGGGCACCCGTTCGTGGTAAAGTGGCACCATCAAGCTTCAGTGGCACCCGTTCGTCGCGGTAAAGAAGTTGTAAAAGATGGATCTACTTTCGTACTTGAGTACTCAATAGCGCACCCACGACCACCTCGAAGAGGGCCGGGCTACGTATTTTGTTTGCCGACTTTCCATCCTCGTTGTAGACGTCGATGGCTCTGGCTCGTCGTCGTCCCACCTCGCTCCGATTATCACAGGAAAAAAGTGTTACAGTTACACATGTGTTGGAATTTCTGCATCACAAACTTGCTCCACTTGGCAAAGAAAACCTGTGATGCGCAGACTATAAGGGAGAACACGCACGAAATGAGGCTGGCAAGCATTTTTTGCATGACAGAGGTTGTCTGTCTTGCTTGTCTTCCATCAGGGTGTGTAACTGTAACACGTTTTTCTTCCCATACCGATTTATTTTAGATTATTGTCACTATAAGATAGATGGTAATGGAGACCACATCAGAGACCCGGGCTTCCTCCGGCTCCGGCTGTTGGATCCGGTCAAGGTCATTGTAAAAAATTATGAAGCGTATGCCCCGGACTCCCCCACCGAGGCCGCCCATTTCAAATTGCCTTTCCGCCTGCGAGGAACGAAGAATTTCTTGGTAGAGTCCGGAGTTTCGGGAGATTTCTACCTGAAAATCAGGTAGGTGGAGCGAGAATAGTATCGTATGGAAAAATCCAAATCCCTATCCCCCCTTCCCGTATCAATAAGAGATTTCTGATGCGCGACTTGTATTGCTGGAAGGTAAAAATAAAGGGACACACGACCCGCCGCCTATTTTCAGGCACTTTGATGGCATGCTGTTCTAGGGAATGCAGTTGCTTCTTGTACTCCTGCTGGAGAGGCAGCAACTGCCTGTCCCAGACAGCACTACAGTCCGCACCTTTTCCCTCCTAGCACGACAAAATGATTTGTGGCCACAAAAAATCAGCATCACAAAATTCCGGTTTCAGTATGGGGTCAAGAGATTTATTTTCATTTCGATAACTAACCGCATCGAGGCATAGTGACTATTATAGTCATCGAGGTTATTGCCATGCCGATTCCCCTCGCTGAGGTATGAACTGCAAAAGTATCGTACTAGTATAAATTGCAATACAAATTATCTCAGCATTACAAATTAAATTTGTAATGCGGATTTACCTTGACAGCCTAGATTTGTAGTGCATCACTGCAAGTAGTACGAGTACGATACTTTTGCACAGGATATGAGGGCTGGAATATCAACGTCAACAAAATCTTTTTGAAAGCGGACCGCGTCGAAGCCGCCTATCCAAGAAAAAAACGCTGCTATTGTAAATTTGTGATGCGCAACATGCAAGATGATTGCGTCTGTCATGCTTGGCATGCATCGTAAGGTCCATTAAAGGGCGTTTTCACGTACTATCTGCGGATGACAGGTTTTTGCTGTCCTCATGCGAAACAAATTTGTAATGCTGTTCCTCCAAAAAAGTTACACCCACAACGTTTTTTTCTTGGATACCATCGTACTGCATTTCCCTCTGTTCATCATTGATGGAAACGGAGTACTGTCTGATCCATGTCGTGCCCAAGTGGAGGGCAGAATCATATGAGAGGCTGAGATCCGGACGGCGCGCCAGAGCCAGTCTCTTTTCGAGCCTTTTGAACAACCAGTGCAAATCGTCTGCATGTGCAGCGTCAGCAAAGTAATCGCGTGGTCCCGCGACAAAAGTCGGCCGTCCAGGGGGAGTCTCGACTTGATTCGCGAAGGCGAGAAACTGCTGCCGGATGCCCAGGGTGTCGGGATTGGCTGCGACCGTGCCAATCCGGATCTGCTGCAAGTACTTGTCCCACTCCGCCCAAGCGATTTCTTCATTCCCCAGCAGCTGGGACGCTTTCATAGTAATCGAGGTTATTGCCATGCCGATTCGCCCCGCTTCTGTGTCTGGTGGTGAGAGCTGGAATACCAACGTCAAAAAAAGGTGTGCGAAAGTCCTCGTCGTCGACGCCGAACAACATCTGTGTCTTGCTTTGAGAGAAGTACTCTCTGGTCCACCTCGTCGTGCTAGAGCGGTGGTCCCATGATGAGAAGTGGAGATCCGTACGGCGCCAAAGAGCTGCCAGTCTCTTTTCGAGACTTTCGAACAACCACTGCATCTCTTCTGCATGTGCAGCGTCAGCAAAAGGATCTACGATGGTGGGCCCACGTGGTCTCGCAACAAAAGTCGGCCGTCCATGGGGAGTCTCGACTTGATTCGCGAAGGCGCGAAACTGCTGCCGAATGCCCAGGATGTCCTTGCCCGGGGTGTCGGGATTGGCTGGGACCCTGCCACGCTCGATCTGCTCGAAGTACTTGTCCCATTCCCTCCAAGCGGTTTCTTTATCCCCCCACTGGGACGCTTTCAGGAGACTGGCAAAATGGTCCGGCGGCCCTCGGGTGACTAGAAGTTGCAAGGACAGCGCGTTGCTTTTGCTCCTCTTCACATGCTCCTCCAACTCCATCAGCACCATTCGAGTATCACCCTGTTTGTAGCGGAAAGAAACACGACGCGGCTCTTCCGACCGTGTGAGGAGCGTGTCGGGGGCGCCCATAAACACTTCGTGCGGCTGCGGTGGCAGTGGGTCTTTGGCGAAGACTGAAGCATATCCAGTGCAACAAAGGTAATTAAAGTATTTTTGCAAGACTGCATGACAAATCGCTTTCCTAGGCATACGCTGAAGATGAGTCAGCATAAAAATGCAAATTTTTATCAACACATGGTGTCCAGCGTTAACGTTTGGAGAGATCATTTATCATGCGACTCGCGCCGCGATGGATACTTTACTTACATTTCGTTGCAATTCATAAAGCAAAAAGCTGGTTGACACGCCACTCACTCCATTGTTCAAAAGGAATGGCTGTGATCCGGTTCCTACTCAGAGCGTGAGTAATCTCCAGAACAGGTCGAGCTACTGCACCCTCATCTTGCCCACCTGATTGCACAGCCCCACCACGTTCTCCGTGTTGCGTGGCTTGATTTATGTTTCTCGCAGTAGAAGAAGAAGAGGCTGTATCTGTAGCACTACCAGCAAAGTCCTCCGGAGCTGCGTGCTGCTGAGCCATAAAGATTGCACCAGACTCCACGACAGAAGCGCCGCTGGTGTGAACAGCATCGCCTGCCCGACCCCGACTTGATGCTCCTCCAGAAGGTCGCCGAGATCGACTGCCAGAGCGACCCGGTAGAGATGAAAACAAGGCGGCTGCCGAGGTCAATTGGTGCAGCAACGCCACAACAGAGAGAAAAATTTTTGCCGTACTTTTCCCAGGTACGACGAAACGGGACCAGCGCGCAGGGTTGGGAAGAACGCCGCGGCCGCTTCCACGGTTCTGCAAATCCACGACCATAGAAGGCATGGCGGATTTTTTTTTACGCTTGCTCGTCTGCTTGTAAATGTTGCGTTGCGAATGAAAATCTGGTTGTACAGAATAAGCAAAACAACTTTAAAAATGCTGTTGGAAATTATAGTTCTTGTTGCACAGATACAGATTAATGAATTATACAAGGTACACGTATAGGTGTTGTGGGATTCAAATTTATCTTTATGATAAAGAGCAATTGTAGTAGAGGCGACGCTCTGAGTGAAACGAATGCTGTTCGTTGCTGGCGGATGAAGCAAAGTTTGTGGGTGAGTCAGTGTAGAAATCTGCCACACGACAGGTCGGTTAGCTGCAAGATCCGGCTTGTTATAAATTAATATGACCCCCGAGCCAACAGATCTGTATTTTTCAGGAGCTAGTCCACACTGGATCGCTAGATACTGATCTGATCTCTCCGCGGCAGGCGCAGGCGCGGAGTTGGAGGAAACGATTTGCCACTTTGACTTTGCATATACTCGACTTCATTTCATTTCAAGACACCTCAATTTTTTTGCGACCGACCACATGTGATCTGATCAGAGGATGAGTTCTTTTATTTGGCGCTACAAGTTGTCGCACAAGAAACTACAATGCGCTAGAAGTTGTTGCACAAGAAAAGTGAAGTGTGCGCTAGATGAAGTTGTTGCACAAGAAACAGTCGGCGCCTGTGCCTCCTTGGCGCTGATAGAGGTCGGCACTTCAACTTCATCTTCGTGTAGGGGGTTTTAGCAGTACAGCGACCTCCTGTCGAGACGAGGCGTACTTGCTTGTATTGTATAGATCCGCGATCAATACGAATGCGACAATACGAAAACTCTCTCATGAGGGTCGAGAAAATACAAATGCGAACAACGACAATACGCATATACATAGATGAGAACCAGCAGGAGGAAAGCGAAAAAAGATTTTGACCTTCGGTCTTCGGAGAGCAAAAACGAACACCGTTCCCGCCCGCGACCGCCCCACCCAATTTTTATATGATCGCGAAGCTGTAGCTTCCAATCAGGTCCTCTTTCAATCATACACGCAAGAACTAAGTATTCTCACACGACCTTCATCTGCTTGTTTCTTTTTTTTCGTCCAAAATTCCGCATTTTTTTTTCCGGAAGTAAAAGTGCCGGCTTTATGAGTGCGGGGCGAATGTGATAATTTCGATCATGCTCATCGTCTACAATTGTAGTGCCCTCTGCGATCATTTTTCTGTGTCACAAACAAAAAACCAGGGCGCGAAGAAGGAGATTTCATCTCCTTCGACAAATGTAAAGCAATGCCTCCCTTATCGAATAGTAAATAATGCTTTGACGACACAACACGAGCCAATCTGTATCTTACACATGCAAATGCATGGTGGGCATAAAGGTAAACCTTGAAAAGTTTCCTTATCCGCGCCTGCCGTGCTTCCGAGACAAGGAAGCCATCAAGTCTTTTGAGTTTTGACCCCTTTTGTGTTTGCTACCATCATCTAACGCCCGATAAAATCAGGGTTGATTCAGAATGGCTGTGTTGAGCTGAATGGAGAGAGCGGAAGATGTATTCATTAGAAATATGCAAGCAAATAGTTGACATATCATGACGCGAGCTGTTTAGCACGAAAAGGAATCGGAATAAGCAACTATTTGAAATCCTCCAATATAGCAGAATGTAATAAATAAAACGACTACGAATCACGGCGCTGCTTCTGCGGACACTGTGCCTCTACCTTCCCCTTTCAATTATCCAGAGAAGCTCGCTTGAGCTCTGACTGTCTCCTGCGAGGGGTAATGTCCCCCTCTCGCTCTACTTCTCCGGGGTTCGATAGTAGCAAAGCCAACCGTTATCTCCAGCGTCGCAGCTGCATCTACTGCAAGCACTAGAGCAGGAAGGAGCTCATTTTTCAAAACAAAACGAAACAAAAGCCAGCACTTTCCCGCCCGTCGGGGGATGCAATTGTAAAGCGCTGGCGTTTGTTGATATAATGTGTGAATGTGAATGTGTCTTCCAAAACTAGCAAAACATAAAGCATCTTTGTGGAGGTCCATCGTGTAGGAGTAGTTTTCCTTTTTCAATTTCAACAAACGTAGAGACGAACTGAATGGAACTCGAGCTTCCATTTATTCTATACGCACATCACAGAAATACATTTTGGCATTTTGATTTTTGTTTAATGGCATTTTTGTTTTTCGTCCATTCTACTTGTTTATTCCCGTTGACGTTGTAGTTGTACTGCTAAGTGCGGAAAAAAATAATCATCGTAGCCAATATATCGACTGTAAAAACGTCCCCACCCCAGAGTTGTATTGCAAATTTGCATGGTGAGAATGGTTCCCATGCCGAGACCCATGCGAAGCAGTTTCTAGTCGTGTTTTGAGCTTTGTGATGCTAGTAGAATCAGCACGATAGGCCAGATCTGTGATGCTGCTGAACAAGCTAAACAGGACTAAACTACGAGGGCAAGCCTGTCATGAGAAACAACCAAAGCTGGTGTATTTGTCTAGCAGATTTCCCAATCCCAATTTGACTCTTCGGCGTTAATTTCGTTAAGCTTTGCTTGCAGCGCATTCGCAATCCTGGACCGGTCGGCTTCATATTCGGCGCGAATTGCGGCAAGATGCGTTTGAAGCTCCTTAAAAACATTGTCACGATTGGTTCTCGCGTATTACAATGAAAAGTGCCCCCCCGCGGAAGTTGCAAAAATTTTTTTGGGGAGTTTCCAAATGGAAACTCAAGTTACTTTCTATCTTGCATGAAAGAGCTAGTATGAGGCTTCTGGATACAGAATCTAGTCGCGCAAGGCGCCTTGCTGTGCATAACAGGCCCGGCAGTCGCTGGGCTCTTGCGTAGCGACTAGGACTACTACACAAATTGTAGCGATTCAGCATAATTGCAGATATGTGATGCTGAAACATGAAAGATGGAGAGCGTTCTTTCCAGCATTGGACATCAGCTTTGCTGCACTGCAAAGGCTGCCACGTTCTGGGGTCGTGGGGGCATTTTTCCTTGTAATACCCAATAAGGATCTCCCTGGAAGTCTTCAAGCGACTTGTTGTAAATTAACCAACGCTCGGTTTGGCGCTCCTCGTCTATCGTGACATGCTTCCAAGCAGCTGCGGCCTGCGTCGTGGCACGCACGGTTTCGTCGTCTGTGCGAATCGTGGCAAGCTCGGTCTCAAGCTCGGCGTCAATATTGGCAATCTCCGTGCGGAACGTGCGGTCAATCCTGCCAAGCTCAGTGCTCAGCCGAGTTTCGATCCCTGCAAGGAGCTCGGTTTGCTCGGCGTCACGCTTCTCCGAAGCGGCTTGGCGCTTGGCGGCACGCTTCTTCGCGTCGGCTCTTTCCTCGGCGTCGCGCGAGACCGAGTCGGCTCCCTGCTTGGCGTAGCGCTCGGCTGCCGCGGCTTCCTGCTTAGCCTCACGCTCGGCCTCCTTCGCTTTTGCTTTGGCCTCCTTAAGCGCAGCCTTGTGTTTATTTTTGGCCTCCTTGAGGACAGCATCCAAGCGTTTTTCTTCGGCCACCTTCGCCATTTTTTCGGCCTCCATGTCAGCATCGAGTCGCTCTTTTTCGGCCGACTTCGCCGGCTTTTCGGCGACGCGAACAGCTTCGCCGAAAGCATCCGAAAGCGTTCTATTGGGCGAAGTGCTTCTCTTTCTCGTGGGCGAAGTGCTCCTCTTTCTTTCTCGGCTTCTCTCGCCACGATCGGCCGTGAACTGCAGCGCATGAACCACGCCCGGTGCAGTTGCCGCGAGGGAACCAAGCAGGACACTGACGCACGCCGCACCTGCGGCCAGAGACATTTTCATCCTCATGGATCCGATTTTCATCTTTATTTCCACTCGTTTCCAAAATCAAATATGTTGCAATGTAAAATCAAAGCACGACAATTATATAATCGTATAGCTCTGCTTGGGAAACAAATCGAAATCGAAGCTTGTTCTTTCTTTTTGATGTTCTCGTCCAACTGTAATTCCTCGCTAGTAAAACTTTAAAAGTCCAATTGATTCTGTCGTCGCGATCATGACGAAGGAGAAGAAATTATGAAGGATTGGAATTCAGTTCCAGAAGATTCAGTTGCAAAAAATACTTACTCCCATGTTGATCCACCTCGTCAAGATCCTCATAATTTGCAGCAGCATGCAAGATAAAAGGTATAGGATTTTTTACTTTGGCGCTCCTTGATGGTATGAATTTGTTGATCTCCCCTTGGCATTGCTCCTTTCCTGGTTCAGAGAAACATCGAGTCTATGTGAGCCGACCTTTTTTCGCGATCTTCACGACCGAAAATGCAGGATCGGATTTATTTCTCGAAGTCACAGCGGTCGGAGTGCTACAACTAGAACTACAGGCCGTGCTCTCTATGAGTCTTTCCATTCGCATCCAGACGTGACGCGATGATCGTTCTGATCTTGGTTTGCGACGTTGTGCTGAAGATTTTCATTTTCTTGTGACCGGAAAAGTTTTCTACTCTGTCGCTCGCTCTAGGACGCAAAACACGACACACATGATCATCCGGCTTCAGAGTTCGTCCCATGACGTAAGCGGTTTTCATCTTCCGTATAGGCAGTTTTCATCTTCCGTACCCATGACATAGGCAGTTTGCTTGTCTTGTATAGATCAAAGTCAACGTAGGAAAAGCAAGGGGAGGTACAGAAATTTCGACGTGTTATTCGCTTATTTCAAAATATCGTCAGACTCAGATGTATTTCTCGGTGATATGTTAGTGGCAGAAGAAGTCAGTGGTCTTGCGACATCAAGTAGATCAAGTGGATATTACTGCACCCAAAAAAATAAGACCTGCAAGCGGCACTGGCAGGAGCAGAGTGTAGCTTTGTACTAGTTGAGCACGACATTAATGAGCATCAACGTCGTGTACTTACAACTACTCGGCGATGGTAAGTAGAAGTGACTACGCCTCTGCTACTTACGCTGTCACTGCCCCGGTAGACCCCGTCGGAGATGAACCCGCCAGCATTGCGCTGTCGTTCATTTTGTTCGCCGCGTCTGCCTTTGCCACAGAAGTGGCATTCTTTGTCACACAGAAAAAAGTCAGCGCATCACATTTAATAGAAACGCAAAAACAATAAATCTGGCGTGGTCGTGATGCATACCTGAAAGTACTAAAAAAGCATGCTAGAGTTCAACATCGGCCGTGAGAACCGTGAGAGATTGCTATTCTGTTTCATCTGTTTTGGCATTTCGAACAAAATGCGCTACTTTTTTCACTGTGATATTCTTATGACAGTGCACAACTGCTCCCCCTCCCCCTCATTTGTACTGCATGAACAGCAATACAAACACCAGCTCAGCACACGTGGAGCCTGTGCATGACAAGTTCTTCATGCGCCTGTTGTAGTACTGTTTGGACTTCCGGAATCTCTCATGCATACAGTGCCACAGAGAAGCGCTTGCATTTAGGCTTTTGCATATACAAATGAGGGGGAGGGGGAGTTGTGCACTCTCATAATTCTTTTTGAACTGATAGAAGCTCCGGATTTTGTAGAGGAAAGATTTTCCCCGCGCACTGTTCCTTATCAACTGCAAATGCGCCGTCCGGGTCTGGATGAGTGCAGATGCTTGCAATGCAGGTTTTGCATGACCTCCCATGAGTTCTGGAATCATGTGGGACCTAGCATAACAGACTCTGTGAGGTTTCTGTCATGCCTATCCTGCATGAGAAATCCCTTCCCAACTTGGTCGAAAGTGGACACCTTTTCGCACTCATGCAGCACAGATTTTTGTGCGATTCAGATTTAGCACGACAAGTTGCAATCTTCCAGACCCAGACATATTTGCAATCCATATTCCCGCCAATCGGACAAAACCCGCGGATATGCATTTATCCTGAGTAAAAACGTACCCACACCAGAGTCAAGATGGTAAATCTGCTAGACAAATCAACCAGCTTTGGCTGTTTCGCATGACAAGTTTGTCCTTGTAATGTAATCCTGTTTAGGTAGTTCAGCAGCATCACAGGCCTAGCATATCATGCTGATTATAGCATCACAAATCCCAAAACACGATTAGAAAATGCCTTTCATGGGGCTCAGCATGAGAAACTCTTTTGGCATGCAGATTTGCATTACAACTCTGGTGTGGGTACGTTTTTACTCAGGATAGCATTGCAAACGATCATGTCACCCGGGTGGCCTGGTGGTAACGCGCCAACCTGTCGACAAGGAGCTTGCCGTGTGTCAGTCGCCACAAAATCTGTAGTGTCTGCCTTGCACCACGACGGGGTTAGATGCCTCATGATCATGAAGTGGCGAGACAGACAAAAATACAATAGAGATCATGACAGATGCCCTGCTGGCAAGAAATGGTATTAATCGGCATGGTCGCAACCAATCTGAGCCTTCCACCACCACTCTGAAGATTGACTCCGTTTGATAGCGAATCTCCAAGTACTTGCGAGCCTGCACCACGGAGTCCGTCCACATCTTGATGAATTTGAACTTTTTCTTTCCCGCGTTCGAAGCCTTAACCGACACCACTTTGCCATTCTTGTTTTTCCGCAAGTCGTCTTTTTTCAGCCCGCCGGTGGTTTTCTCCTTGGTGCCCCGGTACACCGAACTCTTCGCGCGCTTGCCCTTGGCAATCTTGTATCACAGGAAAAAGTGTTAACGTCAACGGTTTTCATAGACATAGATTGCTAAAATGCATGACAAATTTAGCCTAGCATGCATGCTTTGCGTGACAAATTTTGGCACGGTTTGGGATGAATTTCTGCATGACAGATTCCGTTAACGTTAACACTTTTTCCTTGCAATATCTTGCTCACCTTCTTCATGGCCTTCTTTTTCATCGGTTTGGCGCCGCCGGCTTTCTTATGAACTGCAAAAGTATCGTACTCGTATAAATGCATTACAAATTTCCTCAGCATGAGATAAATGAAATTTGTAATGCGGATTTACCTTAGGAGCAGGATTTGTAATGCATGTTTGCAATTACTACGAGTACGATACTTTTGCACGGCATATTTCTTCATGGCATTCATCTTTTTCATCGGCGGTCGGCCCACCTGCTTCATCGCCACCTTCATTGCCGGTCGTGCCGCGCCCACAACCTTCATGGAACCCTTTGGCGGCATTTTGGAAGAAAGGAATGTCTTGAAAACAAATCTGCTGGGGTCGTTTGTGCGTTTTCGTTTTGTTGGAAAAGAAACACTTGTTGCGTGGTGTAGAAGTTGCTGCTTTCGACTAGATAAGAAAATGTACGTTCAAATGTTGTGTATTTTATCTAGGAAAAAGTAAAAGAAATGGAAATCTTATATATTTGGTTAAAGCGCCTTGTACCTACTACTTGATGAAATTTTCGTTGGATACACACCCAATAAGCTAGCACCGGAGCAAAGTTGTCCGGGCCTTTATTTTGCCGAAAATTTTTTTGCTACTGACGTTAGATGAGAAGAGAACTATTAATATTGTACGGCCACGGCGACAGAATTTCGTTTTCGTTGAGACTAATCGAAATTGATTCGCTAGCGCTGGCGCACCAACAACAGCGATTTTCGACCATTCGCGAACCGCTTTTTTTTTTTGGCGCCAAGCCAGGTGTAAACAGATCCAATCTTCCACGACCACACCACGGCCTCCTTATTGGCGAACGAGATATACTTATCATCACACGCAGACAGTAGAACTAGACGTGTAGCGACCCCAAATCACAATCAGATCAGCAGAAGAAATTCTTTGAATAAAATGCGCCGGCCTTGTTCGAACCCGTTGGACAGGAACGTACATGATGAGCAACTCGATGATGAACTTGGGAGGCTGTGAGACCCCTTTTAGCTGCGACCTTCGCGTTACTTTCCCAGCTTCATAACTACAGGTCAGCAAGAATAACACTACTTACTCCTTCTAATGTGCGTCTGCTACAGAAGATCCTTTTCCTTCGAACGGATGAAGATGATCTGGTTTTTCGTCAGCACAAAACTCAGTTTAGCTACGAACAGAAAAGCAGCGCCCCGTGCGCTCGTGCCTGTTTGTACCTCCAGTAATGTTGAACTTTTTATTTATACATCTTCACAAGAAAGCTTAATAAATCTAATTCGCTAGTAGCTCTAGCTTGTTCGATTTCTTCATGTGTCTTGGTGCACCCAGTTAGCACACAATATCCAACTTTTTTCAATTCATCAGCGAAATGAGCTCCGACACCTCATCTTCCACCTCCATAAACCCTGGAGTTCGACGCATGTCCTCCTCCGAGTTTTTGTCCTGCTGGAAAAAAACCGCCGCGTGGCCGCCGCGCTGAGGACAACTCCTGTACGTCGTGTAGTGCCCCGCGCTCTTGCTCTTCTGCTGGTAAAAATCCTGCGCAGCCGTACTTGAAGATGCGACCGTCCATGAAGCAGGTTTTATTCCGTGCACCAGCGGGTGGGGCTGCGAAGTAGGAACCTCGTCCACCTGGGCTGTTGCAATGAACTCCAACCGGTGCTGTTGTGCTCCTGCACGACCTTCAACAGCGCCACCGGCTGTTCCACGACTAGCGTCTGGCATGCCCCCGACCCCGGTAGGAGCTGCTAAAAGCGGATGACTCAGGTCCGGTTTTTCTTCTCGCACCTCATCCACTATCAAGTGTAAAAATGTCTGGGTCTGGAAGAATGCGCGATTTGTCATGCAGCTTCTCCATGACGATGACCCATGAGGTCTGGAATGCAGGGCCTAACATTACAGATTTTTTGAGGTCTCTATCATGCCTTTCCTGCTGCATGAGAAACTCCCTCTCAACTTGGTCAAAAGCGGACAGCTTTTGGTACTCACGCAACACAGATTTTTGCATCATTCAGATTTAGCATGACAAGTTCTAACCTTCCAGACCCAGACATTTTTACAGTTGATATCCACCTCCACGTCGCCATTCAGACACGCCCGCAGCATCTGGATGTCGATGTGCGGTTTTTGTTTTGTTGTCGAAGCTATGCATTGCAAAAGAAGTATCGTTTATTAAACTACGTGTAGGTTGCATGGCAAAAAATTTTTCCAGAGAGCAAGCTCAGATTTGTCATGCGAAAAATGCGGGTGGGAAAGTAGAGGTAGAGCTGTCATCCGATAATCGCAAGTTGTTACGTACGAATACGATACTTTCGCCACTCATAGAAGCTGCAGCAGGATGTCTCGTTCGTGGACTGGGAAGAGCGTGTCGTCGTACAGGAGCCAAAACTTCAGCTTGATTCGAGGTTCCTGCACAGGAGGAGCTCCTTCTTCTGTGCGTCGAAGGAATTCTGCTGGCTCGGCGACAACCTCCGCGTGGCTCGTCATCGTCTGCCGACTTTTGCGCTGCAGTAGAAAATCTGTTGTCCAACATCGTCTTTTCCAGCTGCTTATCAAATGCAATAGTGTCTGGGTCTGGAACAAGAATGCAGGTTTGCCATGCATATTTTCCATGCTCCATGAGGTCTGGAATGTAGCAGGACCTAGCATGACAGATCCCGCGAAGTCTCTATCATGCCTCCCCTGCATGAGAAACTCTCGCTCATGTTGGTCAACAAAACAGGACAACTTTTGGTGATCACGCAACACAGATTTTTGTGTGACCCACAGGACGCATCACAAGTTCCATCCTCCCGGACCCAGACATTTTTGCACTTCATACTGCTCTTCCAGCAGGTCGAGCTGCTTCTCAATCACCGCAAACTCGTCCAAACCTTGCAAATCTGCTTCTGCGGGGTCACAACCTGCACGGCCGGAGGTACTGGTACTGCCAAACGCAGCATCTTCTTGGAGATGAATGTAGCCCCCACCACCAGCGCCGGAGGTGAAGGCGGCCACTGCAGAACGACCAGCACTATGCATTGCAAAAGTATCGTACTCGTATAAATGCATTACAAATTATTTTCTCAGCATGAGAAATAAAATTTGTAATGCTGATTTGCGTTAACAAGATGATTTGTGATGCATGGCTGCAATACAAGTACGATACTTCTGCACAGGATAAGCACCGCTGCTACTAGACGTGTTGAGATCCTGAATCAGGTCGAACATTGACTGATCGTAAAACCCGCTTCCGAGCTATCAAGCAAAAAAGTGCTAACGTTAACGGTTTTCGTTTTGGGGCATTGCAGTCATGCATGACAAACTTTCGCTATCATGCATGCTATGCAATACAATACAAATTTGGGCGTCATTATTTCTCGTGCATTCCTGCATGCGAAATTCCATTAACGTTAACACTTTTTGGTATGATACGAGCCGCACGTCACCAAAACTTTGGCGTGCTGGTGTCGGTGTGGACAGCTGATGAGGATAATTATATGAAGATGGTTCTTGTACCGGCGCACCCCGTCGGACTGCACACGACGACCAGCCCTGCCCCTGTCGTGGTGGTGCAACGCGACCAGACGAACCTCGGTCTACTTCGTCTTCGTCAATCACGACCATGAAGCTCGATTCCTCCGTCTGTGTTTCGGTTTCCACCACTCCTTTTTTGGGAAAACTCGCAGCTGTTGGCCTTGCTGCTGCGCTTCCGAAAACGACGTGCGGTTTCCGCTGGTCATCGCCATGTTGTTCCTGTTCAGTATCTTCCGGATGCTGCAACTCCCCCAGATTCGTAAGGTTTGTCCTCCTCTGCTGCTGCTGCGGACTGGCGGGTAGGGTCGTGTGCTGCTGTGCCTGTGACGACGACCTGGTCCTCAAGAAGAGCGTGTTGCTGCCTCCTTGAGTGGTTCTACGTTCTTCGCGGGATAGAGACCTTTTTCTGGCTCTGTTTTTCTTTTCCTCCCTCCCGTCCATGAACCGTCTCAGCAGTGCCAGTTGCGCAGGCCGGAGCGTGGAATTAGCGAGCAGAGAATCGCGGAAAAAATTCTTGTTCCTCGGTGGGGAAGACGGAGGCGGAGGTCCATCTCGTGCGGCGGGTGATCTGTTTCTTTCATCTGGCGTGGATGACGTAGATGTAGATGACGAGGAACTTTGTCGTGCTGGGGACTTTGCACCATTGCCTTTGTGATGAGAGTCACCACCATTCTCGCCCTGGACATCCTTCGCAGAAGTAGATTTCCGGCTTCGACGCACTGTTTCCGCTACTGCTGCGTCACACTTTTCGGCAGCAGGAGCAACAGCAGAGGAAGTGGCCGTGTTATTTCTACTCGGGGATGATCGTGATAAGCTGTCATCTCGCTTGATTCTGCCTTCTGTTTCTAGAACTTCCACCTCTTCTGCACGACCAGCGCCACCTCTCCTGCACTGAGCATCGCCTTCTACTTTTTCCCTAGTACCTCTCGTCTGTCCCCCATTCCCAGCACCGAGCGCCGCTTCGTGCTCCTGTTGTAGTTCCTGATAGAGCTTTTGGTACAAGCGGAGTAGCTTGAAGCACTTCGCACACTTCTCCCTCCAGGCGGCTAAATTCGCTTCGGCCTTTTCCCTTCCGCTTCTTTCCTCGGAAATTTTTTGCATCAGGACCCCGATCCGCTGTTTGTCTTCCTCGCACAGATCGAGGAGGCGGGACATAATTGTCTTTTGCTGGAAATGGAATTGAAATTGTACGGCAATGACAAAATAAAGACAGGTGAACTTCTTCTAGTATGAGAAATGGTAGAAGTACCACAGCGAAGATTCTGTAGGTATTTATGTATTGTTCTGCGTCAGGAGCGTCAGCGATAGTTACCATCCTATCATGCTGACATTTAGTGCATGTGCTCCTTCTGGATCATCGTCATCGCCTAGCTGCAGCTGCATGAAAATTATCGAGGCTGGACCACATCTCCAGTCGACAGAAATTTGCATTTCTATGAAAGACGAAGTGGACATCGACATCCTGCAGCTCTCGTCCTCTCGTGTGCAAGGGCTTAGCTCTTTTTCATGTTGTCTTTGCAGATGAGTATATTAGGCCCGTCCCCGTTCTCCGCTTCAGGTACAATCCACACAAGCCATGAACAGCTCGAGGAAAAAGTGAACAGCACAAACGAGGAATGAATCTGGCCACACTTATTTGCGGCAAGCCGTGGTAAGGAGACCGACACTGGAAATAAACGACATAGAACAACACACAAAGTGCCTGGTAGTCGCAGTTGCGAATGTAAGCGATGCTCCACCACAGCTATGTTGGAAAATCATTAGATGTAGTTGCTTGTTGTGGCACTAATGCGTCTCTCTAATTATCGTGGTTCTTCTTAACCCTTAAATAATTTTCATCAGCCGAAACAAAACGGACTGTCAATCTCGTCACAGTTCCGCCCTCGCAGCGGCACTTCCTCCGCTAGCAGCACTTGCGATTTTCAGACTCCCGTCCGCATTCAAGAAGCACTGACAGAAGTCCAATTCCTTCGGGACGTACTTCTTTTTCGGCTCGAATTTCGGAAATCGGAGGCTCAGGCCCGCTGCTGCTACGTTACCAGGCGGATTTTTCATCGCAATCATGGACAATTCTCGTCTTCGGGAAACCACGTTCCACATATGAAAGTGCGCAACTCCACCCCTTCCCCCTCGTTTGTCATGCAAAATACCAAATCGAGGCTGTGCCCCGTCTTGGTTCTGTTTGCATTATAAACTTCTCCGGAAGCCCAAACAGTACTACGCTCCAGTGTAACTCTGTCATGAAGAACCGGCATTCGCATGCTTTTTCTTGCTGATGCTTGTGCTGCCGTTCATGCTATACAAATGAGGGGGAGGGGGAGTTGTGCACTGTCATACCACAGACACTCGTGGTTGTCGTACTGGTACCGGTGGATCTCGAGCAAGTCCCAATTCAGTCCCTTCGCGTCGTACACTTCCGTGCAGTACTTTTCGATCTCCAACGGCATGTGGTCCTTCCGCTGCATCGGCCGGACCTTCGCGCGGCCCAGTTTGGACAAGGAATACAAGTACAACCCGACAGAAACGTCCTCCCTGTAGGGGAAGGGCGACAGAGAGCCGTCGGACAAACCCTGGCTATCCACAGTAAATTTCCCGTAGGCGAACAAATGCGGTCTCCACATGACAAAGCTTGGCTTCGATCCTAGTCTAGCATGACAAGTTTTGCGCTCCAAATATGGTGAAATTTGTGTATGCATCTTGTACATGTACGGAAAATTTGTATTGCATACTGGCCAACAGCGAGCACCAAATCCTCGCTCATGGCGTAACCCAATCCGCGGGCGTACGCCGGGTAGAATTCGTTGCCAAACGACCGGTAGGGGACGTAGTATTTGTCCGTGGTGTTCCTATTTGGCTGCACCAAAGCCATGATGAAACCCCAGTAGTGCCCGGTGTGCTGGTATGCAATACAAATTTTCCGTGCATGTACAAGATGCATCACAAATTGCGCCAATTTGAAGTGTAACACTTGTCATGCTAAAGTAGTATCGCATCCAAGTTTTGTCATGCAGGCACCGCATTTGTACGTGTACGGGAAATTTACTGTGGATAGCAGGTGCTTCGAGGACTCGTAGTTGCCAATGTCGACGGTCTGGATTTCGATTATGGGGCTCTCAAACGTTACATTCTCAACTGTTACATGGTTTGTCACGCAGAATTGCTTTCAGAATCTACACCATCAAGCTGCTTCGCATGACAAATTCTTAGAGGGCCAAACAGGCGGATAATCGGCGCCAAATCTGTCATGCAAGACGCGCAAGATCTCTCCTATCACTTTTCCCATCCTTGCATCACAAATTCATGTAACAGTTGAGAATGTAACAGTTGAGAACGCCATATCGATCGTCGGTTTGATTTCCCGTGGCGTGATGTCGTCTGTCGCGGACCACAGGTCCACGCCGTGGCCTGGTGGGGGTTGGGATAAAAACATCAAGTACAACGTAATATTGCGCATCATAGCATTCACCAAAACATCAAATAAAGCTGCAGCACTCTACTCTTGTCATGCGCAAAGAAGTATCTATAATGAATCAATACCTTCTGTCACATTTGTTTTTCCTCGAGAGCTCGCGTCTTCCTTCCGCCCCGTGAAAGCCGCGAACAGGTCCTCGATAATACCGTCGATATTGAAAAAAGTGTCGTCGTCTGCCTTCTATGCATTTTTACAAAAGTAGTTGTATCGCACCAGATAGCAGAAAACTGCATTGCAACAGCAACTTTTTTCAAAAGCAAATACTTAAAATCAAGTTTGTCATGCAGATCGAGCAGGAACGAATACGAAAGAAGATCTGTCATTCGAGACTAGCATTGAATTTACACAAGTGCGACACTTCATTTGCAAAGGATATTTTCATCAAGTAGCGGAGTCTTGTATCCTGTGCAAAAGTATCGCACTCGTATAAATGCAAGTCTTGCATTACAAATATTTTTCTTGAGGTAAATCAGCATGACAAATTTTATTTCTCATGCTGAGGAAATTTGTAATGCATTTATACGAGTACGATGCTTTTGCAATGCATATCTTGTCCTCGTACTGGGTTTACGGAACTGCATCAGGCCGAATTTCATGATATGAAAGCCTCAGGTTGGAAATCCTCAAAGTGAAAATAATTTGTAATGCAAAAAAACGACTCCAGTTGGAGCACCATTTATAGTCGGCGCATGACAAATTTCCCGGGCACTCAAAACGTGTCTGTCTCTGTCATGCTAGTTAGGCATATAAAGGGGTGCCCTCCTCTCATGCTAATCAGGAACCCAATTCTGAACAACCCGTAGAAGCACAACAGTCGGCCTCCATTGCGTTCTCCGCAATGCAGTCTTTTTGGTGTCGCATTTCATGCATCACAAAGTATTTCCACTTTGAGGATTTCCATTCTGAGGGTGTCATACATGATCGCAGCGGTTTTGATCCAGATGTTCTCAAACTTGTCGTCATAGTGGTCCAACAGCACCAAGTCCTGGTACTCAGCATGCTCTTCTTCCAGCGCGTCGTTCTCGTTCTCCTCTTCGCGGTTGTACTCATTCTCGCTACTTTTCTGCTTTTTCCCGATGAAGAACATATTCTGTGCACAAGTATCGCACTCGTAGTAATTGCAAACAAGCATTACAAATCGAAATCTTGCTCTTAAGCTAAATCCGCATTACAAATTTTATTTCTCATGCAGAGAAAATTTGTAATGCATTTATACGAGTACGATACTTTTGCAGTGCATAGAACACGACCCGGACCAAAATTTCCGGGTATAACGGGGACCCCTTCGCCCAGGTTTCGCGGATCAACGCCCGCGCGCGCTTGTTCTTCTATGAGAGTGCACAACACCCCCTCCCCCTCGTTTGTATGGTATGAACAGCAACACAAGCAACGGCAGAAATGGGCCTTCCGCATGACAAATCTACTTACACACGGATACTACTGTTTCAGGCTCCGAAGCTTACCTTGCGAACAGTGCTTCAAGAACGCAAGTGGTGTATTCGGTATTTTGCATGACAAATGAGAGGGAGGGGGAGTTCTTGTGCGCTGTCATATCTTCCTGGCGGAGTGGACACAAACTAAGAGCTCCCCCGTCAGGGAAGAAGTTGTTTTCCCGGTGATTTCGTCTTTCACAGACACAATCGACATTTCTTGGTAGTGCATGGAGGTGACGGCGGTGAGGAACCGCAAGAACCGCGACTGGCCCCAGTATAATGCGGTCAAGTAGTGGTTGGACTCGTGCGTCATGTACATCCGCACCCCGTGTTGTAGGATCCCGCTGCCATCCGTCAACGTCGCCACGAGATTGTGCATTTCCTTCGGACTCGTGAAGTAGAACGGCATGAAGAGCAACACCCGTTCCAGAAAAGAAGCTAGGTTTGCGGACAGGTAGTAAATCGGGATGATCCCCTGGGTATGAAATGCAAAAGCATCGTACAATTCGTAGTATTGCAATACAAATTCAGCATGACAAATGAAATTTGTCATCCTGATTTAGCTTGAAAAAGAAATTAGTAATGCATAAATGCGATTCGTACGTCGAGCACGATACTTTTGCGGTTCATACTGGGATAAGCACTCGATGAACTCTTCGCCGATTTTATCCTGTGTAAAAACGTCCCCACACCAGAGTTGTCATGCAGATTTGCCATGACAGGAACATTTGTGATGCGCAACCCCATGACAGGCATTTTCAATCGTGTTTGGGAACTTGTAATGCTGTAAACACACACAGGATCAGCAGATCGATTTGTGATGCGGCTGCACTTGCTAACTTGCACTACCTTACGGACTGAAACTTGTCATGCGTGACTCCCAAAACTCCTAGGTTTGTGTTGCAAAATCCCCATCTTGACTCTGGTGTGGGTACGCTTTTACTCAGGATGGATTTCCTCGGTAAATATGAGCCGGAACGGCATGCGGTCGTTGCTGCAGTGTTCCGCGTATGCATTGCAAAAGTATCGCACTCGTTTCGTAGTAATTGCTGGCAGCATTACTTTTACTACAGATTTCATTTTGAATGCTGAGCCAATTTGTATTGCAATTTCTACTTAGTACGATGCTTTTGTAATGCGTACCGCGTCGAGGCACATGACCACTTCGCCCTTGCGGACCATGTCCAGGAAATACGGCGTCCATTCGTCTGGGTTTTCCAGCCACTTGTGGTGGTTTCGCTGCGCTTCCTTGTCGAAAACCCGGTGCGCGTGGAAAGAAACGAGAGGGATTCCCTCCAACTGAATCGGTAAAATTTCGTCCGGCATGGATTGCAAAAGTGTCTGGGTCTGGAAGAGTGCCAGACTTGTCATGCTCGGCTAGCATGGCCCTCAAGTCTGTCATGCACGTTACCCAATGAATGAATGAATGAATGAATGAATGAATGAATGAATGAATGAATGAATGAATGAGTGACGCCCCCTGACGCACCTCGTCGATCCGATCGCTTCACCAGTTCTTCTAGTCTCCTGAACTGCCACGAATGCAAAGCGCAGCCAGCTTGTCACGCATACATATTAACCAGCAAGCGATTTCCCGGTCCGACGGCCCCTCTTAATCCGGTTTTCGACGACACACGCTGTGTCGCCTGTGGGTGAACTGGTACGCCATGCGTACATGGACGAAACCCCGATTGGCCGTTGAGCCACCCCCGCGGCACCTACCGACTCTCCCTGAGCCAGTACACGTGGTCAACAAACACCACTAGTGCGTACTGCTAGCCGCGTCGCTTTTCTGTCATGCGGAAACGCAGTATGTCGTGCAGGATAGACTACACCGACCACCTCAGAAACTTGTCATGCTGGAACGGCAATTGCGGCATCCTAATCATTCGCAAACCAGCATCACAAGTTTCCAGACCCAGACATATTTGCAGCATTTGATATCCGGCCGCCAGGGCAGGCTGTGAAACTTCTCCGTATCCGGGTTTTCGTTGGCATCGAAGGGGACTAATTTGCACTTTTTCAACTCCTCGCGCATGTTCGTCGTTTTTTCGCGGAACGCGACAATCAACAGCTCGTCCTCCAGGACCAGCAGGTCGTAGTGGCTGCAGAGCTTCTCGGCGACAAGCAACCATGGGTCCAGGGATTTTCCTTTTCCGTGCAGCCAGAGGACGTGGAGCGCGGCCTGGGACGAGTAGAAAGTGGTGGCTTTATAATTCTGGTCCTCGTGCTCCTGGCCATCTTCACTTGGACGATTTCGAGTGCGTTCTACTTCTGCACCAGCTCCAGTACCATCGGATTCTTGGCCAACACGAGAGTCCTCTCCTTCGTTCCCAATGCTCACCAGGTCCTGTAAGTTCCACAGTTTCTGTATCCCACAGAAAAAAGCAGGCAGGGCATATTTGTAATGCAAAAATAAATACACAGGAAAATCTGTCATGGGCGAGGCCGTAACATCCTGTTCAGGGCATGCAGATTTTTTTGTCTATTTATTTTTGCATTACAAATATGGCCTGTGCGTCCGTTTCTGGAGCATATTCAGCTTTTTAAAAACGTCCTCCGGCTTGAAGTTTTCCGCTGCTGGCTGCCCACCTGAGGTGAGTATACTGTGCAAAAGTATCGTGCTCGTATTGCAATCATGCATTACAAATCTTTTTCTTGAGGTAAATCAGCATTACAAATTTTATTTCTCATGCTGAGAAAATTTGTAATGCATTTATACGAATACGATACTTGTTTTGCAGTTCATAGTGAGTGCGCCGGACGGCGTCATTTCTTGGCTTTCGGCGGTAGCGACGTCGATTACCACGCACCCGCGGGATGACGAGGGTGAAAATAGTAGTCCCGCTTGCGAAGATGCTGTAGAGACTGTTCGCTCGTTATTTTCAGATGAATCAACACCCACATGACGAGTATTCCGCTTCAGCACCCCGCTGACCTCCCCGGAATCCGCGTTGAATAAGGCGACCACTTTGCTGTCGAGTTTTTTGAAGCTCAGGAGCGTGGAACCAGATCTCGCTGCAGTTGTTCCTATTGTCGCTGCTCCTGCGCCAGCAGAGGACCTAGCATTGGAAGAGGCGGTATTGATCATACCGAGCAAAGCCTGAGCGTCCGCCTCGTCCGCGTCGTGGTCATCTGCAGCTATGGACGCCGATAAACCTGCTGCGCTGGTGCCCACTGATCCGGTTGACGCATCGTCCTTGTCCGCATGATCGGCGCGTGTTCCTGATGCAGCTCCTGCCACTTCTCCCGCTGAGGAACTACTCCGTTTTCTCTCCGTCGGTGGCTGGAACTTTTCCGAAGGTTTGTCGTCGAAAATACTCCGCAAATAAATATCCGGATGATAAGGGAACAGCGTTGCCAAGCCGCCCTGCAGATGGGTGAATTTTTGCTTCAGCCAACTGGTCGTGTCTATGTTGTTATGTTGACCATTGTTCTTGTTCGAGCCACTTTGGCTGTTCGATGTGGTGGATGTGGTCGTGCTGAAACCACCTCCTCCTCCGCCGCCTTGAATCGTGCTCGGAAGTGGAACATTCCCCAGGTTGCCGAAGCCGCCAAAGCTTGGTGGAAATAGATTCGCGGCGGTTGGCGTGGTGTGGAGGGTGGCGGAGACGATAATTGCTCCACCTAGGAGTTGTAAGTCGCGCATGGTTCTCGTTCTTCTCTGTCGTGAGGATGCAGCAGCTCTTCTTTTGCGGCGCCGCCTACTCGGGGAAATAGAACGGCCGGTATTAAGATTCTCTGTTATTCGGCGCGGGCAGGCAGAAGTCGTCTGCTGCGACTCCTCTTGTTTTTCTGTGATCGACACAATCATCGATAGTTTATGTTTCTCAGTCTCCTAAAGAAATTTGATTTCCTTTTCCAATAAACTAAAGGAAAAATAAATATAGCGACCGTCGAAAGGCTGAAACTCAAAATAAAACGTCTGAGCAACAACAAAAGTATGTTGTGGTAAACCAAGTTATTAAACTCGTCACGAAGGCATCAGACCGCTCGAGAAGCTTTCGACTCTACTACCTGGCGAGAAAGGCAGATCCACGGAACAAAACATTTTCATAGATCGTCCAGAGAACCCCCTTTCGTCCTTGTCAAAATCTTCTTCCTCCAGTTCATTTCCACTTGGGCGAAGAACGCCGGCCAAAAAACAGGGACAAGACAACGAGCTTCAAAAAAAAACAGAAAGTAGGATCGAAGCGACCTATTAGACCAGCGTATAAGTTTTAGTTTTTCCTTTCGGGACTTATGGAGGTTTTCACCGTGATACTGATATTAACCGAAGTTGTGGCCGCAGAGCAGACGAGAAAAATTGGATCGCGTTTGTATCAGCCTACAGATCTGGTGGCGCGCAAGAAGATGAAGATTCAACTACATACGAGAAGGCTTTCACAGCGACATCTCGCCGCTTCGACGGAGAACAGCACGAGCGGGTGCTCCTTTTACTACTCAGCATTTTCGTTGCACCACGCGGCGAGCATGATCATGCTTTTTCATTCATTTTTTTCGCAGATGAGGTGAGAGGGGTAAATACAGTCGGGTGAACCAAGGAAAAATTTGTAGAAACAGGCTTCCCGCCGTTCATGCGCATGAAGTATAGGTGAAACCTGCAGATTTTCTGACCCATGAAAAGTTCCTCACGGACAGAAAAAAGGCAACTTGAGTGATAAATACCGCTTCGCCATTCTGAATCACGAGTGTTCATTGAAAAATATGCATACCTGCTTGCGTGTGGTTGCAGCTATATAATTTCGTTTTTTTTTCTTGGATGGCAGAGCTGCTATTATTTTGTGATGAGTCTGCGTCAGCCTCAGCCGCGTCGGAGTTGGTATATAGCAAAACCAAGCAAGATGAAGAATGTGTGATACGAAAGGGAGCTCCACGGTAAATCACGTAATTTAAGCGATTTGGCGAGTGGCATTTTTTGTTCAGAATCTGAGTAATAGTAAAGTGGTGCGCGACCGCGAAAACAAGTAGCTCCTCTTATGCGTTGACAGGTCATATATATTTGTAGAGCACCAGCTCCTGATGTTCGTGACGGCGTTCTTGTTCCGGCAACGGCGTGGCGGTTGTTTAGTCTATCGTTTACAAGAGTTAATATCTAGTGCCCCTGGTTGTGCATGTTGGTGCTCACGTCCCCGTACAATTTCTCCTTTCTGGTTTCTCCGTTCAACTTCGTCAACATACAGTTTTTGATATGCATTGCAAAAGTATCGTGCTTCTAGTAGAAATCGCATGACAAATTCAGTCAGCATGAGAAATGGAGTTTGTCATGCTGTTTTGCCTTGGGATCGAGATTTGTAATGCATGACTGCGATTACTACGAGTGCGATACAACTTTTGCACGGTTGTAGTGCTGCTGGTGCTCCTCCTGAGGGGAAATACTAGAGCGGCCGGTATGATTTTCTGTTCGGCAGGGCCAGGGGCAGGCAGAAATTGTGTGCTGTGACTCTTCTTTTTGTTCTGTCGTGTTCAACATGATCATCGATAAAGTAGATAATTCATGCTTCTCAACACCAGTCTACTAAACGAAAAACGAATTTGATTTCCAAGAAACTGAAGTTGCCTTGGCTCGGATTGCATCAGACCGTTCGAGAAGGTTTCGACTCGACTTGGCGAGAAAGACACATCCACGGAACAAAAAATTTTCATAGATCGTCCAGATGAACTCCCTTTCGTCCTTGTCAAAATCTTCTTCCTCCAGATCATTTTTACCTGGGCGAAGAACGACGGCCAAAATGACAACGAACTTCAAAAAAAGACAGAAAGTAGGATCGAAGCGACCTATTAGACCAGCGTATAAGTTTTTCCTTTCGGGACTTATGGAGGTTTTCACCGTGATACTGATATCAACCGAAATTGTGGCCGCAGAGCAGACGAGACAAAGTGGATCACGTTTTTATCAACCTACACATCTGGTGGTGCGCAAGAAGATGAAGATTCAACTACATACGAGAAGACTTTCACAGCGACATCTCGCCGCTTCGACGTAGAACAGCACCTGCGCGTGGTCCTTCTACTACCATCTTCGTTGCACCATGTCATGCAGCGTACATGGTCATGCTTTATTTTCATTCATTTTTCGCAGGTGAGGTGAGAGGGGTAGATAAAGTCGGGTGAACCAAGGAAAAATTCGTAGAAACAGGCTTCCCGCCGTTCATGCGCATGAAGTTTAGGTGAAACCTGCAGATTTTCTGACCCATGAAAAGTTCCTCACGGACAGAAAAAGGCAACTTGAGTGATGAATACCGCTTCGCCATTCTGAATCACCAGTGTTCATTGAAAAATATGCATACCTGCTTGCGTGTGGTTGCAGCTATATAATTTTGTTTTTTCTTGGATGGCAGAGCTGCTATTATTTTGTGATGCGTCTGCGTCAGCCTCAGCCGCGTTGGAGTTGGTATATAGCAAAACCAAGCAAGATGAAGAATGTGTGATACGAAAGGGAGCTCCACGGTAAATCACGTAATTTAAGCGATTTGGCGAGTGGCATTTTTTGTTCAGAATCTGAGTAATAGTAAAGTGGTGCGCGACCGCGAAAACAAGTAGCTCCTCTTATGCGTTGACAGCTCATATATATTTGTAGAGCACCAGCTCCTGATGTTCGTGACGGCGTTCTTGTTCCGGCAACGGCGTGGCGGTTGTTTAGTCTATCGTTTACAAGAGTTAATATCTAGTGCCCCTGGTTGTGCATGTTGGTGCTCACGTCCCCGTACAATTTCTCCTTTCTGGTTTCTCCGTTCAACTTCGTCAACATACAGTTTTCGACGGACTTCTTCAACTTGTTGATCAGCGCGTGATAGTTATGACAGTGCACAACTCCCCCTCCCCCTCATTTGTCATGCGAAATGCCTAATTTACGCCTTGGCTCTCGGCACTGGTTGCGTGACAAGTTCAGGTAGCCCAAATAGCACTACAATCCAGTTCAAATCTGTCATGCAAAACCTGTGTTCTTGCTGACGCTTGTATTGCTGTTCATGCAATACAAATGAAAGGGAGGGGGAGTTGTGCACTTTCATAGTAGTCCAGGTCTTGCGGGGCATCGTAAGAGTCCATCTTTGTCTTGTCCGTGAACCAAACCTGTTTGTGGTCATTGGAGTTTTGGTGGATGACAACTTCCTCGACCATATTTGTACGGAAATAAATGCGCGACAAAGCTGCATCACAAGTTCTTGTAGGTGCACGACAAAGCTGCACGACAAGACGCGTTGCACCAGAAGCTGCATCACAAGTGTTCTTGTAGCTTCCTGTTATATTAAAGTAGGTTGCCAAACCAAAATTTGAATTTCATCTACCTCGATCCTGAGCACTGCCGCGGTCTTGGCGTATTCCAATCGGTCGACTAATCGCAGCCCCGTGATCATAGAACTCGGCTGAATTTGGCCGCCCAAAACGCCCAGGACTATCAAATGTAAAAATGTCTGGGTCTGGATGAAGATTGGTAGCCTTGTCATGCAGGTTTTCCATGACCCACGCGGTCTGCCATGCACGGCCTAGCATGACAGGTTCTGTGAGACTGAGATCTCTATCATGCCGTTCCTGCATGAGAAACTGCCTCTAAACTTGTTCAAAAGTGAATGCAATACAAATTTTTCCACGATCCAGATGCAGAATGACAAGTTACACTCTTACAGACCCAGACATATTTGCAATGCATAAGGACCAAGTTATTCCAGTACTCATCTGCCAACGCAGCGTTCTCTTGGAACGTGAACTTCTTCAACCGAAACTGGAACTCTCCGCCATTCTGTAGTGTTCCGTTAGTGCTGCAACGTAGTACTTCTATGGACTCATCTTCGGATCTTTGACTTTGCATCTTTACAGGAGACAGCAGCTCCGAGTACGGAACGAGAAGTTGGCAAGCATGTTATACAAGTTGTTCTAATGCAGAATACAATGACATTGCCAACCAAGGCTTCTCCTGTTCTTGCAGACGCTTAGCGGTCCGCCGCAGAGGTCCAGGTCGGACATCAAATAGAGTTGTGTAGTTATCAAACAAATACCATGTTCAGCGGGTCTTCCCAGGCTGGCTTGATTCCGGCTCGGAAAAGCATGACGCAACTGACCGGACTGGTACCATCCCGTTGGGAGATTAATCTTTTTCCGAGCAATAATTCGCTGGGCTGCGGCAGGAAGTTCCAGTACTTCCAGAAAGAAGCAATCGAATCGATTTTCGCAACCTACAGTGGTTTCATTTTTTGTGGGGTTTCTTTTGATTTTATGCATCACAAAGCGTAGTACCGAAGCGTGTGGCGCATGAGAAGTTCTCCTGTATCCAAAAAATATATATACCTCATGAATTCCGTCCTTGTCCCACTGCTTGTTCTTTCCTGACTCTGCTATCGAATGTAAAAATGTCTGAGTCTGGAAGAATGCAACTTGTCATGCTGCACTTGGATTCCAGAAAAATCTGTATTGCATGAGTACCACAAGGAATGTAGTTTTTGCTACGCGGAGAGGGCATTTGTCATGCGGAATAGGCATCAAGAAGCTCTGAAAAAATCTGTGATGGTGCTAGGGCGTGCATCACAGACATCAGGGTCCATGCAAAACGTGCATGACAAGTGTCAGAATGTTCCAGACCCAGACATTCTTACAGTTGATATCTGCCATCTCACTCAAGATCCAGGGGTATCGCAGCGGGTACTCCTTGTTGGCGTCCAGATTGTGGTCTGCCACCTGCAACTTCGGCACCAGTGCGCTGTTCAAGCTGAAAAACTCGGACGGGTCATCTTTCAGATTTCCCGAGGCGCTGCCAACGTTGCTCCCTACGGTGCTCATGTTGTCACGATTATTTTTGTTGTAGCCACGATTCTTATTGTGGTACTGCTGACCACCAGTACTGTGCTGATCACCAGCTGTTCCGGAGGAAAAAGCGCTAGCGACTGAAGCGGTATTGGTTCCCAACAAATTTCCACCCGAGGACTGGAGGTCTGAGGACTGCAACGTTTGATGCTGTTCTAAGTTGCTAACACTGGAGTTAAGGCTGCTAGTAGGGTACAGCGCGGATGTGGTCGTGGTGCTAGTAGCGCTTAGGTTTTTGGTCAATTGCGTAGCAGTTTCTGGTGCTAAAGGACTACCTGTGGCAAGGCTTTGGACTTGGCCGCCCTGATTGTTGCTACGACTTCCTGCGGTATAGGGTGCCATTCTAGCTAGTAGTGCCGACACGTGGTCCAAAATCAAAAAGAGAAAAACGAAAAAAACAAATTCAAGTTTATCGACTAAGTAAAATTATGTCGCCTGGCCTGCTGGCGATGCAGGTTATGTGTGAGCCACAAACTTTGTGGGTGGAAATAAATCGAAGTGCATTGATCATGATCATATCTTTATCGCAGAGTTATCATGGTACTACCTTCTGAGATCAGGAACCGGCATCCATCTTCACCATCGCTGGCTTAGCTGATCATGATCTTCTGCAAAGAAACAAATAGGATCTCCATCTTGCAGTTGGAAATTTATCTCTTCGGCTAGCCTTGTGGCATTTTTGGAAGCTTAACTCTAGTAACAAGTCTTGATAGATTGATATGAGTGAACAAAGGACACGTGGGAAATCATGGTTGCAATTCTAGCGCTTTTTTTTACCCAAGAAGAACTTCTTCGCTTGTTCCAATGATCCTACTTTTCAATACACTATCGCAATTTGATATTTGCAGCTTTAATAGCTACACGAGCAGATCCTCTCTCGATATCAATGCCTGCTTGCCTACTTTTAACCGTCGGCAGCGCACGTGAAGAAGATCCAACTCTTTCTTACTCATGCTATATTGGGTTGCTAACGTGTCTTTTCATAGTGAACGAGCGCTAGGCTCATCTAGAGCCGAGACAATACTAAATCTAAAGATCATCCTCGGGGGTGGAGCAGCTCCTGAAATGCAGTACGATGCATTTTCATCTGCGCTGCTGCTGCAGGAGAAAACCGAAAGAAACTCAAATTGAAAAAGTAGATTTCATCAAAAACCCTAATTTATTTCAGAGAAAAAGAAAAACGAAACTAGCTATGCTCCAAAATAAAGTAGTGGGCATCAGCATGCTATAGTCACCTGTCACATAATTAATGACCCCAGTAAAAGGTAGTAAGTATACATTTACATCATACTTATTCAAGCTTTACATCAATTCAAAAAACAACCGGTTCTTCAGCAGCACCGCGTGCCCCATAGTGGTATCCCCCTCTTCGCTGCGGAGAAACACTTTCGCTGTCGTATCGTCCTTACCCGCACTTTCTTCTTCCTCGCCTGGCAGTAATGTATCCTGTTCTCCTGAGGTCTTATCGACCTGTCCCTCCTTTGTTTTCCCTTCCTGGTTCTGTTTAATCAGTATCTGCAGCCAGGTTTTTTCCTTCTCCTCCGTTTCGGTGAAGCTAAGCGCTGACTTTCTGTCGCTTACGATTTCCCCCACATCTTCCTTCTCGAACAAACACACCAACCCGTGCTCGGTTCGATACCAGTGGAAGTGCTGCTGCGGTTTGTATTTCAGAAACGGCCGGGACAGGTTTTTGTGAAAGTAGCAGATTTTTGGTCGTTGAAGACTTGTTGTACTACTTCTATCTCCTCCAAGATCATCATGATGTTGTTGAACATCAAACACTCGAATTTTTAAGTGGATCTTGCTCGCCTGGGCGGATTATGGACTGCAAAGTATCGTACTCGTATAAATGCATGACAAATTTCCTCAGCGTGAGAAATAAAATTTGTAATGCAGATTTGCCTTGGGAACAAGATTTGTAATGCATGACTTGCATTTATACGAGTACGATACTTTTGCACAGGATACGGACAACTGGCCGGCGGACTCTTCGTTCGGCGGGCAGAATTCGAGTATTCTGCTATTACAGTGAAAAACGCCCCCACTCCCAAATTTGCAAAAATTTGTGATGCGAAGTTTCCAAATGAAAACTTTTTGTCATGCATGAAAGGAGTAGTTGTAGTAGGAGTTTCTGATGCAGAGTTTAGGCGTATATCGCCTCGCTTGCATGACAAGCGCCAGTCTTGCTGGGATCTTTTGCAATACAAATCTTTGCTAATTCACGATTGGAGATCTGTGACGCTGATAGATGCAAGAGGGCGAGTGTTTCTTTTGGAAAGTTTTGCAATACAAATGCTCCCAAGAAGCTCTGGGGTGGGGGCATTTTTTATTGTAATATCTGCTGCTCGCATTTTCGATTTCAATGTCGATCGTGGTCCCTTCGACATTCTGTTGTTCAGCTGGCGGCGGCAGGATGAGGATTAAATGCGTTTTGGTTTCCAGGTGGTGGAAATCGTCTTTGATCTCCTGATACGACGGACTACTCGAGTCGTGGTGGAGGTGGGCCTCTTTAGCATCATCGGCAGAAGAAGTGGATGAAGAAGTAGACGATTTTACTCCTCCAGCAAAAAGATTTTGTTTTATCGTTATCAAATGTAAAAGTGTCTGGGTCTGGAAAAATGCAAGATTTGTGATGCAGGTTTTCCATGACCCATGACGTCTGGAATGCGATACCCAGCACGACAGATCTTTTGAGGTCTCTATCATGCCTTTCCTGCATGAGACACTCCCTCTCAACTTCGTCAAAAGCGGACAGCTTTTGGTACTCACGCAACACAGATTTTTGCATCGTTCAGATTTAGCATGACAAGTTCTAACCTTCCAGACCCAGACATTTTTACATTTGATAATCGTGCTGTGAAAGCAATATTCGGGCTTTATGTCCTTCAGCAACACCGCGTTCTTATGCTGTGCAAAAGTATCGTATTCGTATAAATGCATTACAAATTTCATCAGCAAGAGAAATAAAATTTGTAATGCGGATTTGCTTTCAGAAAAAAATTGTAATGCATGATCGCAATACGAGTACGATACTTTTGCACAGGATAGTTCTCGTCCGCTAACGAGCGCTTTTTCTCGACGCCCGACGACTTGCTACCGCCTGATGAAGACGAGGAGGACCCTGTTTTACTCTTGTCTCCACTCGAAGCTGCTATGGTGCTACTCCCGTCCTCTATTTCCTCGACTAAAAATTCATCTTTTGTTGTGCCACCTGAAGAGGAGCTTTTATTACCCCCAGCATCTACTTCTCTTCCCGTTCTACTTTCCGGCTTGAAGAGCACTTCTTTTTTCGCGGTTTTACCAACTGACCCTACACCATCTCCTTGCACTAGGTCGCGGTAGTAGCCGGTGCCTTTTCTCCCGGTGCCGAAGTAGTACCCGGGTCGGGAGCCTGAGAGGGGTGAGATAATCAAATCGAAAACGCGGCATAAATGATGTCATGGTGCCGAGCCATCTCAGTCAAAAAACAACGACGAACTTCAACACTGCGCTGTATCATCCGTATCTATAATACCAGAGTAGCCCCTAGCAGGTATAAACTCTTCCACCGCCGTGAGGGACTTGTTTCTCGGACTGACGTATGTGATTTCGTCATCGGCGTCTTTTTTGGGCTTCGATGGTGTCGATGTAGAGGACGAACTCGATGAGGAACTGGTTTTACTTTCTCCGTCACGACCAGCATTGCCGGCACTGCTACCCTCCGCCGTTGTCGATGACGAAGCCGACGATGCAGCTGCTCCCTGGGTTGATGATGAAAATACGTAAATGTACTTACTGTCTGAAGAACCACTTCTTCACGACTTGTGACTTGTGCTGATCATAAGAGAGTTACAACAATAAAAGCATTCAATGAAGTAAACTAACCTCCAAAACTAACTAATTAAGCTACTTAAAACTAGATGAACTTAGATCTTGTTTTGACTTGCGATCGTTATTTGAACTGGAAATGGATAGAGGGCAATGGGAAGAGGCAGACGTAGAGGTAGGAGGGATCGGAGTATTTCGTTTTTTGAAATCTGGTGGTCTGCTGGTAGTGAACGTCTTCACTTTCGCCTTAAGCGCCGGCCTAAACCTACATCCCGTTTGCCGACGGGATGTAGACCGATCTAGATCCGCGGCTCCAGCCTGTAGTAACTCCGTAGGAAAAGACATCGCAGGGGACCGGGGCGAAAGACATAATTCCACCGCCAAGCAGGTATCTATGAGGATAAACAACCAAGTTGGAGGAGTCAGTTCCTTTAGGGCTACCTCCACACGACTGTGACTGTGACTGATAATCTCAGGCTGAGAAGTTTTTAAGACCTAACGACAAATTTACAGTTACTTCCTTTATACCTCTCCGTCATCGGCAGTTTTGTTCCCACCACTCTCGTCCTCCTTGTCCTCCTCTTCCTTCGGCAGCGGCGGTAGCCCGTCGAGGGAATCTTCGTCATCAGATTTCACGATGTCATCGTCCCCGTCTACGGCCCCAATGCCGTACTTTTCGTAGTTGGACAGGCTTTCGGTTGATACTGGTTGGTATACATTGCAAAACAATCAGCGCACTAGTGAAGATAATTTGCATCTCACACAGAATCGGGAGAACATGAAAAATGGATTTTGCAAATTCTGGTTAGCGTACAGGTAGTACACAGGTAGATCTCCCATGGAACATTGCAGCTAGTACGACAAGAAGTGCGATATTTTTGCACTGCATAGCTGGGCGCGCTTCAAATTTTCCTCGTTCACCGCCACGGGCAAGACCAGCTGCAGTTCCTTTTTCGGCTTGTCGAATTTTGCGGACCCATCGTCCGGCAGAATCACGTACGGGAGCGGTAAGTCCAGGTAGAAATACTGCGTTTCCAAAACGATGTTATCTGCCTGCACATCTAGTTCGATTTCACTCGCGGAATTGATCTATCGCGAGGAGAAAAAACTGTCTTAGTCTTAAAACTTGTTGTAAATGCGGAACTTCCTTGAGACTGTTTTGTGCCATGCTGCAGCTGGAAGTAGAGCGCAGTCTTTCAACTCAATATGTGTTTTCTCTTGCTGTCTGAACGCCTCACAGATCATTTTTCGTTCCTTGCTTTGCGAATTTGTATTGCCGAGTCAGAGGTTCTTTGAGACTGAGACAGTGTTTTCTTGGGATACAATCCCGGGCAGTTTCACCACGAGCTTCAGGTTCCGCGGTATTCTCGGCGGGATGGTTTGCTGGGACAAGCTATCCTGTGTAAAAACGCCCCCACCCAAGATTTGCCATGCGGATTTGCAATATCAGGAACATTTCTGATGCGCATCCCAAAGATATGCTTTTCCAAGAATCGCGTTTTGGAATTTGTAATGCTGTAAACAGGATGAGCAGACGGATCTGTATTCGCACATGTCCTTGCTAGCTTGCAATCCACTACGGTCTGCAAGACCTTGTCATGCGTGAGTCCCAATACGTCTAGGTTTGTGTTCGTGTTGCATACTCCCCATCTTGACTATCGGCTGGAGACGTTTTTCGTCAGGGTACAAGCCCTTCTGTATGCTATCGAACTCGAGAAAATCCAGCTCCCCCTGGTGGATCAGGCTGTGCTGCGGGACTCGAATCTTCTTGGTCTGCTCCTCTGGGGCATCTTTTTCATCTGATGTGATTAACGTGATGCATTTTCTTTGTTTGATGTTTTTCTGCTATCACATATTTTGCGCTTGCACGCGTGGCCTCGAAAGTAAGTATTTGTCGCTTATGCATGGACGACAGCAAAAGTAAATAAATCGAAATACTACCTTTCTCCTCATCCCCGCTGTCGTCATCGTCATCCATCATATTTTTCAGTCGTTACGTATCCCGGGAAACTCTTCGTCTTTTCGCTGAAACAAGGAAGCGTCGAAGCGGAATTTTAATTTGTTGCATTGCAGCAGTGGCCGCACGCTGATACAGAAACGAAAATTTTCTTCTCCTCCTGTTCTTGCGCTTGGCTTGCAAACGCTTGTGTAATGACAAAATTGCATTACAAATTCCACGACGGTTTCAACATCCAGTTGACGAGTTTGTTCCCTTGGATAGTTCGTGGCGTCCTTTTTCATCTCCTTCAGTTCCCCGGGCGTGGCGTGTGCAAGAGAAATGCAAATGCTTTTTAGGTCTTCGAGGGGGGAGCTCGGAATTCGAATGTATTTTAGGTGTACGCCTACATCACATATTATCTCTATTTCTAGGAAATGCTCATGTGCTGCGCAGCACAATGCACTATACGCCGACAGACACAAACCCAAATCCAACGTCAACTTCGACCCAAAAGGCATCATTCCTGTACAGTTGGATACAATGCCGTCGTTTTTCGGATCGGACGCTTTTTTCTTCTTTTTCTTCCTCTTTTCCTGCTTCAGGTCCGCGGTTCGCACGGACATCATGTAGGGCTTGCCGCCCTTGCACTGGATCTTTTTCATCACCTTGAAATCGTTCTTCACCTCCTCGAAGCCCTTAAGGAAATTTTGCGACAGATATCCTGTGCAAAAGTACTATCGTACTAGTAAGTATAAATTGCAATACAAATTGGCTCAGCATTACTACAAATTGAATTTGTAATGCGGATTTGCCTTAGGAACTAGATTTGTAATGCATAAATGCAATTAGTACGAGTACGATACTTTTGCACTGCATAACAGATTCTTCGTAGCGATGTCCACGATCATGCGCAAAAAGTCCGGATTTTGCTTGCACTGCGCGACTATGAGGTGTAAAAGTGTCTGGGTCTGGAAGATTGCCAGGTTTGTCATGCATATTTTGCATGACCCATAATGTCTGTAATGCATGCTTTAGCATCCCAGATTTTTCGAAGGCTTACCAATGCCTATTCCGCATGAGAAATGCCTTCTCCGCGTAGCACAAACTGGAGTCCTCTTTCTGGTCATGCAATACAATTTTTTTTTGAATCCAGAGACAGCATCACAAGTTTAGAATCTTCCAGACCCAGACATATTTGCATTTGATAGCGAAACTGTTCTCGGACACGCCAAAGTCGCAGGTCAGACAGGTCGCCTTCTTCGAGTCTTGGTCGACTCTGGGGGGCGAGAGGGAATAGGGCAGGGAAACCTGCTATCAATTGCAAATATGTCTGGGTGGTCTGGAAGGAGGCAACTTGTCATGGTAAATCTGAAGCATGCAAGATTCTGTGTTGCATGAGTGTCAAAAGCTGTCCCCTTTTGCCCAAGTTGGAAGGGGCGAGTTTCTCATGCAGGAAAGGCATGGCAGAGACCTCGCAGAGTCTGTCATGCTGTCCCGCATTCCGGACCTCATGGGTCATGCAAAATCTGCATGACAAGTTTACACTTTTCCAAACCCAGACATTTTTTTACTTGATACCTGCGAACCTCCCTCCGTCTGGACCATTTCCACGTCTTTCAGCAGGTTACTGTAGCAGACGTTGATGTAGCACTTCTGCGTTTGCCCGTTCTTGAACTGCACCTCGGTTTTCACACAGAAACCCGGCTCGCAGCGCAGCAGCTCCATCCCGTCGGGCATTTCGCCCTTTTCCTCCAGCTGTTCCATGTACTGGACTATGCATGGCAAAAATGTCGTACTCGTAGTCCTACAAGCTTGCTGCACGACAAATCACGTTGCTTACCTGAATCGGCATGACAAATTTTTGCACTTTCCCATCTTGCACAAAAAAATTGTATATGCAGTTTCTACTTAGAACTGGTAGAAGTACGACAATTTTGCAATGCGTATGGTCATACTCGTCGCGGTTTTTCGGGTCTGAGATTTCGTCCAGATAATCTTGCATCAAATTCCCGAATTGCTCGGTTTTCATCGCCTTATTGATGCGGCTGACATCGTCCGTCGTCAGGTCCTGCATGTTCATCGCGTTAGGGTCAAACATCTTGACCGTGGGAGAAAACCGCCGTGCCCGGCCGGTCTATCGAAAAATGCGCGTTTTTCTTTTTTCACGAGGAAATGAAGGTCGATACGTTGTAGTCTTGCTGACTCGTCCAAGACCCAATTTGCACGGAGACGTTCTTACTTCTGAAGTCGCACGACTAAAAGAATTTGTATTAGCGATTTTTTGAAACTAGAGACAAACGAGGAAGAACTACGACGACGCTATTGCTCCGTAAAAAGAACTGCAACAGAGCTCTTCACGTCATCAGGAGCGTATCAAGACTCTGCGTCGGTCAGCTTATGGAAAGAAAAAGAAGGCAACCGAGACTTCTGAGGGGGCGAACCGCGGCAGTTCAAAACAATCGTAGTTCTCCTCCAAGATGAAACCTCAACGCCACGTCAAGCAGACTTGAAACCAACTAGACACGGAGAAGAAAGGACTCTCTCAATGCATCAACCACCTCCAGTGGAGAATCAGGCTGCCTCCACTAGCTCAGAGTTGAGCGTCGTACTCGGACGAAGCATAATACCTCCACCTCCGACTACAATGTAGTAGCGCAGCAGGACCAGGAGGTCGTCAACTTTTTCTTTTTTCCTCTCCTGCCCTCACTGTCAAGAATGCTCCTGTAGGAAGAACTCTACACGCGTTTCGTTTTCTTTTCCTCGTTCATCTGAGGACATTGCGAATAGCTACACCAAGGGAACACAACTTTCATATCAGCACCCTGCTGTCGCGTAGGTTACAGCGTTTTGCCTTGACATGATAAATGTTACTTCATTTATTTGTACTACTTCCCGTCTCGTCACCGCACAGACATGTAGTTCATGTCGGGCGATTTACAAATACAATCATCTAATCCTACATGTAGTACTTCAACATCTGCAGCCAGGTCAATAAATGCATCGCAAAAATACATGAACGTGCATCAAGTTCTTTTTGGCGACAAGATGTAGTGGTTGACCGGCGACAGGCCAGTCTGCAGCTGGTGTGCTAACAAGTAGACCGTCGACAGTCAATAAATTCGTACCCCTACTACGACTTCTGTTCTCCATTTATGGTGCGATAAAAATCTCTCACTTCATTTCCAAAACGCATAGTACACAGATTGTTGTGGTCACAGTCACGACGGCGCTCCTTACATAAGGAGGCTCAGCAGTCTGCGATTGTTGCTTCTTCTTTATATCTTTTTGTGAATTGTGTTTCATCGCCGACTTCGAATCAGTACTTGCCCAGGAGGATGCGGAGTTTCTTCGCGTACTTTTTCTCTGGGCGCCTGTCAATTGGCGATCAAAACACACAGCACAAACCCTTAGCGTCACTTCAGGCTCGTGAAGTGCCGGTACAACGTACAGACCAAATGCTCTTCTAGCTCCTCGTGATAAAGGAGGCTGAGCGAGGCACTTCATGATCTTCCATAAAACTGTTCAAGACGATGACGAACCCAAGTCCCGTTCTTCCGTGACGAGATCAGTTTTCACCGTTGTCGAAGTCGTCTTCCTCGGCGGCGGCATCACCGGCTTTTTCGGCACCCTGTTTCTTGATCGAAAGCACATTGTTATTTTGAAATTCCTTCGGCGGCAGTCCACCCATGCCACCAACCATCACGCGAGGATGGCCGCGCACGCGTTGCTGCTCGGCCGGAGCGGGCGCGGCAGAATCCAAACCCATATCATCACTGTCAACTCCGTTATTTTGAAATTCCGCCGGCGGCAGTGAACCCATACCACCAAGCTTCATGCGAAAGCGGCCGTTTTGCAGCTTAGCCGAAGCGGGCGCGGCATCATTCGAAAACATCATCATGTCGCTCACGTTGCTGCTACCTTCGTCAGTTTGCTGCAATGCCTTCGGCGGAAGTCCACCCATGCCACCAACCATCATGGGAGATTGGCCGTTTTGCTGCTCCACCTCCGGAGCGGCCGCGGCATCATTCGCAGACGGCACGGCGTCGTTGCTGCCCCCTTCGCCTTCGTCATTTTGCTGCAATTCCTTCGGCGGAAGTCCACCCATGCCACCAACCATCATGGGAGATTGGCCGTTCTGGTAATCCTCAGCCGGAGCGGCCGCGGCAGCATTCGATGCATCAAAATCCATACTGTTACTGTCTTCGTCACCGAGCGAATCTTGATCCTTGTAGTTCGCAGTTGTCTCGTCCATGTTGTTCGAAGAAGGTTTCCTCATGCCATGGGTTTTACTTCCCAGCAAAGAGCGTCGAGGCAAGTGCGGCTTCATTCTCGCGTAGGTCGAGGACGAGTTCTCGTCGTCCGCTGTGTTGGCCTCGTTGCGGCGGTTGAGAAACGACAGCAACTCGCGCCCCTCGACGGAATTCGTGGCAGAAAACAGCGCCAACGCGGCCGCAAAGGCAGCGGATTTTTTCATAGCTACGACCATTTTGAATGGAGTCTCGAAGTACTTATCACTCTTCGCTAGAATATCAAAATTGGGCTCTTTCGGACCACTTTGCAGTTTCAATTCCTACGATGCGCTCTGCTCGTGAGAGAATGTCGTTGTATCGAAGAGCCTTAGGCTTTGTTTGTGGTTTTTGGTTTGAAGAGAAGTGGTAAAATTTGGAAATACAGAAAGGAATGAAGCTTCTGCAGCTTACTTTCCGATGGAGAAGTTGTAGGTAGACGAGTGTTATTATGCTGGCGCGGTTGTTTTTGATGAAGTGGGAAATTCTAGGAGTCGGTGACGAAGAGGCACTCAACGATCTGTGCACCGGATGAAATTCAACATTGTCTCGTCATTTCCAGTGGATGATCTTTTGTGGTCGTGCTCCATTTGTGCTGAGCACCGGCACCGATAGAAAGAGCACGTTCGCACTTCGTGATCCATTTGTCTGCGGGCCTAGTCACGGACACTGCCAATTCCTATTCATTGATCATAATTATTGAAGCTGCTACAACCGACGACCTAGAAATAACCGAGCAGCAGTCGCTTTGGATCTTGTTCTTGGACGAGAAGTGGTGGAAAGAAGATTTTCATGAATTTGAGTTGTTGTAGTGCTGCTAACTACCACCTTATATATTGATGCTGTAGTTCTTCGGGTTGCGAACACCCACACGTCGTGTTTTTCTTTTGTGCCAGTAGCCTCCCTTTGTCTTTCTGAAAGACATGCCCAGACAAATACTTCCCTTCACCCCACAAACTTTGCTCGATGCTTGCGCGCAAGTGGAGGAAGCGTAAATGCGACAAGTAGGCCACCTTATCATTGTACCAGTAGGTACCATTTTTTTTTTTTCTTTCACTGCACAGACATGTAGTCCACATATGTGCAGCTCTCTAAAGTTTAGCCAGCTGATGTTGATGTAGCGGATGAGCGGCAACAGGCTACTCAACTCTACTGCCGACGTGCATCAAAAACCACCCGTCAATAGTTCGTGCTTCCACTGCGTCGTCTACGCCAATTGTCCTTATTTCCATTACTACGTCGGTCCTCTACGCCACTTCGTCTTCCTTATTCCCATTGTGTGTACGATAAACGTCTTTTGGCTTCATTTCCAAAACAGATACGGAAACTCCTGTCACCGCGCTCCGAAATAGATTCTATTTCGGAGCGCGGTGACAGGAGTTTCCGTATCAGTCTGCAGGTGGTTGTACTCCATCCGATACCCATACGACCGGCTATGACTATGTTAATTGCAATTATACACGTACCACTTCGTCGGAATTTTGTTCCTCAAGATTATGTTGTGCAGTGGTCAACATGTTGCACATTATGTTCCACCGCCGATTTTGATTAAGCACCCACGTGGAGAAATGGAGCATGCGGAGTTTCGCGCGCTTCTTCTACTTCGGTGGGCTACGTCCAAAAATCGGCGACATCAAACTTACCGCAAGGAAGAACCCTTAAAAACTTCTGCCACTCCACTCGATTGCTCGGGATGAAGAAGGCCAAGCCCAAGGCACGTCTTGTATATAACAAGGTTCGTCGGATGAAGATGAACTGCAACAAGAGCATCGCTGCGTCGTTTACCATGGGTTATAAACGCCACGGGTTATACACGAGCACGCCGCTAATCGAAGATCTTCTTCGTCTTCAAAGACGAGTTCAGTTTTCATCGTTGTAGAAATTATCCGCTGCAAAATCCGTCGAGCTGTAAGCAGAATCGGGTGCGGTATTGGCATCATCTCCCGGCGCCGGGCCCGACGTCATTTCGTTCGGCATGGCCATTTCTCGACGACGCCCCAGCATTTGGCTGTTCTTGCGCTGGTTACCGGCACGATGCGTGCGATCGAATGAAGCAGCAGCTCCTTGCTGCTCACCAAAGGCAGACGGAGCTCCGGCCGCGCCAGCCGCAGTGCCGGACGAAAAGTCGGTACCAAGAGTGGAACGAGTGCGAGCAGCAGCAGCGTGGTCTTCCAAAGATGCCAACATCTCGTCGTGCATCGAATCCATGTTGGTCTTGCCCTTGTGGGTCCTTCCTAGCATCGGAGGACGGGAAGCGGAAACAGCCCCGTCTGCATTTCCGTTCGCGCCACCGCGGGTCATGCCCAACATCGGATGAGAATGAGATGCGCTTGCGCGGCGCTGGGTCATGCCCAACATCGACCGAGATCGAGCGCCGCCAACGTTGTTCCCACGCGGGGCCTGCCCCTCTTGCACATCAGGAGTCAGCTCGTCGTCCATCGAAAAACCTCCCTGGTTCGGACTTTCGTCCATCATGTTTCCCAACATAGCACTAGAGGACGCAGCACTATTTTCAGCCGCAAGACCAGCGGAAGATGGAAAGGAACTCATGGCGTTGTAGTCTCCGCCTTGAAGTTCTTCGACATCTTCACCACCGTCTTGTCCGAAAGTTGTAGTGTTCATGGTCTCCACATCGTTTCCAACTTGCGCTTCCACGTCGGAGTCCGGGTCCTGCTCAGCGAAATCCAAACCAGCAAACGGTTTGTTCGCCTTGTTGCCAGAAAAGGTTCCAGCAGCAGCCCCAACTCCGCTGGTGCTGGCAACTTGCATGTTGTCATCGTAGTCCGCCATCTGATTCATTTCGCTCATCCCACTTCCGAATCCAAAAGCGTGGGCGCTCTTGCTTCGTCCAACGGATAATCCATTGGAGCCCATGTCACTGTCAGCGGCGCCGTCGACGTTCATCATTTCCATTTGGTCATCGGCTTCGGCGTTTTGCTCCTTCATGTTTGAAAACATGTCGACGTCGACGTTGGCACCTTCATTATTCTGAAGGCCACCCACTCCACCAAGCATCTTCCCATGACGCTCGTCGTTCTTGCGCATCGGCGGCAGACCACCCGCACCACCAAGCATCACGCGACGATGGTCGACATTCTGGTGCTCAGCCGGAGCCGTGGCAGGAGCACTCGACGCGCCATAATTATCCATAGTTCCCTCGCCCTCGTCTCCGACGGAGTCATTCTTCGTGGCGTTTGCCATCGTCGTCGTCTCCGCCCACATGCCATGACCGTTACGTCCTAACGGAAGAGGGCGGCGAGGCCGAAGCGAGTGCACTTTCTGTTTCTTGGTCGCCGCATAGGTCGAGTCCTCGTCCGCGCTGCCCTCCTGGTCGGGAGTTTTAGTTTTCCCAGTGAACGAAAAGGGCCACTCGCGCCCCTCGACAGAATTCGTTGCAGAAAGCAGCGCCAACGCGGCGGCAAAAGCAGCGGATTTCTTGGTAGCTAGGACCATTTTCGATGCAGTCTCTCCAGTTTCAATAGAGACAGCGCTGTTCTTGTTCAACGACGTGATTGGTGCAGTTTTAAGTTGGTCTTGTTAAGATATGCGGTTGGTTGAAGTGAAGTTGTGTGTGAAGCACGAGAAGTAGTAGTTGACAGTCGGGAAATAAATTGAGGAATGAAGCTTCTGCAGCTTACTTTCCGAAGATGGAGAAGTTGTGAGTAGACTAAGTAGTGGCTGGAGGTACGGTTGTTTTTGATGAAAATTTTGCAGAAGTCGGCGAAGGTGAAAAAGGTGAACTCAACAACGAGTGCGCCGGGTGGAATTTGACATAAATAGTCATTAGAAGTTGGATCATCTTTTGTGCTCCATTTGTGCTGAAGAGCACCGCGACCGAGAGAAAGCTTAAGTTGGTACTAGTAGGACAAAGTAGAAGATCCTTATTTCTTGTTTCCGGGCCTCTCTCTATTCACAGACGCAGCCAATTGATCATAATTTTTTCGGGCGCTACAACAACCTGCCCAGAAACCGAGCCAGCATCTCAATCGCTTTGAATTGGATCTTGGACGACGACGAGCACAGCCGATTCATTCTGTGAACTGCTACTTCTTTTTCCAGTGATTTGTGATGCTAATGATCTTACTCCTGTTCCTGTTCCTGTGGACGTGGAGGTACTAGTTCTGGTGACGAACAACAAGCCAGCGGTGTTTTATTTTTCAGCTTTCGTGCTTTCGTACTTGCCCTCCCATTGTCTTGTTTCTTTCGCCTCGACATTTCTGCCTGGTTTCGTGCTTTGTCAGCCATGAGTGGTCTAGAACAACGTAGTTAGTTTGTCACCAAAAAAAACAAACACTGCTATGACAGTCCTCACCGCTGTGATCCAACACAATAGCTTGCGCTTCTCTACATGAACTAGAACTAGCACGGCGCTGACAGTCAGTGATCAAAAGCAATACGCTTGATGTTTGTCCAAAACTAGTGTGACGGCTCTGACAGTAACGATTTTTTAAGTATGCTCCAAGACGACGCTTACGCTTTCTGCATCTTCTTATCAAACGCTATGTCGTAGTTTACATGAAGATAATATCTTCACCTGACGGCCATCCTACTCCCGTGCGTCCTCCGGTCCACAACTCCAGAAATACTGATTTTGTCGCAGAACCGGACGACCAGCACATGATGGCAGAATGTATGTAATGTACCTCAGAAACAACTACCGCGTTCGAGAAAGCTTGACTTGCGTGATAAAATTAAAATGGGTTTTTTGATGTCTGTAGCTCGAAAATGTTGCGCGTCGTCCGTTCCTGTGAAGATCAACAGAGGATCTCCACCCGAAATCAGAAGTCAGTCGTTTTGAGCCAAAAAAAAACCTACACTTTCTTCGCTTATTTTAATGTCACAAGAAGCTCTTCCCGCGTGCGCGTTCTGAAAAGCATAATCGTCCTCGCTACAACTTCAGGCCGTGGTTGGGTTGTCCGGCTAGCACAATCATCATTTTCATATACTACGTACTACAAGGAGGAAGAAACATGTATAACCATACATTCCTCCTCCTCAACATGTATAGCCATACACTCCTCCTCCTCAGGCGACGGAGTTCTCGTCAGAACCTGGCGACAAGGAAAAATTTAGTAAACATGAAGAACTGGTGCAAAACTTCTTCATATTTCTTCGTACTCACTTAATATATACAGCAAGCTCACAGTTTCGATGAAATTCATCTTGACTTCATTTTCATGATTTGTAGCACGAGGCTTCACCGACACTGGCTGCACTTCATCTAGAACTACTCTACTATTTTCATCTTGCTTCTCTTTCCCAACTCAGTTTTCCTTTTAGATCACGACCACGCGGCAACAAACGAAGATTCTGGTACAAATACAGAGAAGAGCCGCATGTTGTGTTCGTTGCCGTGGTCGTAGACAGCATATAAAAAAAAACGCACTTCTTTTAATCTTGTTTTCTTTCAACATAGTACAACAACTCTACTACGCCTCTACGATGAAGAAGGCTTCGTCCACATAAACTACGTTCTTCTAGCGATATGGTATTTCTTCTCCTGCGCGCGAGTGAGTTTAGTATCTCCTCGATATTTCATTTTTGTTCTGCCTCTGGCACGTAAACGTAAACGAAAAACACCCACTGCAAATGCAACTTCTCCTTGCCTCCGCGGCCCCGGGTTGGGTAATATTTTACTAGAATACGATGCTCCCGGTCCTCTGCTGGTGGTCCACCCAGGTTCTTGTGTCCCTACTTGTCTACGTCTTTACACGACGGCCACGACGAGGTCATAAAAAATTTCAAGCCGCGGAGTGCCGAACTGTTTCCACAAAAAATGATCAAGCCTGGAAGGTAGTCATGCTGTTCGTCCTCATATTCATCTTCTGACTCATCTTGTTTCACATCATGTCGATCAAGACCACTGTTGAAGAATATGTGGCGCTCTACTGAAAACCATCCGTCGTTCCCATAAATTCACATCGGGCCCACCACGACGCAGGTTCTTCTACTGGGGGAAACGAAGGAGCCCTACATCACACAGAAGCAGAAGGTGCAGTTTTCAAACAAGTTTTGCGCCATCATTTTCACGTTTACTAGGAGTGCTATGCCAGTGCAGACCGTGTCGTCCATCATCGCTAGGATCTAGTGTAGTGGTTGTGTTTTTTTCGTCAGAAGTTGTAGTCATCATTATCATAATCCGTGTCACTGCCGTCGTCATCGTAGTTTCCACCTCCATAGCGGCCTTCATCTGGGTAACCATCTGCTTGTTCAACGTCGTCTTCGAAGCTCTGCGCCGCGCGGCCAACTTGCTCCCCGATGGCAGCTCCAGCCCCAAACGCGCCCATCGCCCCGCCGTTGCCCATGTTTCGGCGGTTCCCGTAGCCGCCGTAGTTATTCCCCATGCCCCTGCTGTAGTTGTTCATACCGGAGCGGCCCATGCCGCCCATCATGTTGTTGTTGTTCATCATCCCGGCGCCCATTCCACCCATACCACCGAAGTCGCCACCCATATTGCCCATACCGCCCATGCCTGAACCGGCCCGGTTGCCGAAGGGATCATTCATTCCCATGCCCCCGCCCATTCCGATATTGTTGTTTTGGAAGGGCAAGCGGCCCCCTTGGTTCAGGACGTTATTCATCTTCATTTCGTTCTCCCATTTCCACCGATTCGCGGTTTGCCTCATGTTGTCGCGGATCCGATTATACTCCGGGGGGGTGGAGTAGTTTCCTCCTCCGCTCTGTCTCCTAGAAGGGGCTCTGCTGTGACCACCAGAAGAAGAAGAAGAACGTCCTTTAAAGAGTCGGCTAAACCACGACGACTTCTTTTTACCCTGGTTATTTTCGCTGATCTGGGAGGCCGGGGGAGCGGACGGAGCCATGGCACTTGTGCTACCTGGCACGACGTGTGGAGCATGATTAGGATCATAGCCGTATGGGTTGTTGTAATGTGTTGCGGCGGGATGCTGGTGATTCACGTCGACGTGTTGACCAGGATAATGAGCCGCAGCAGCGGGATGATGCAGTGGACTCACTGGTTGAACACCAGGATGGTAAGGCGGGTAACCAGGAGCCGCGGGTTGCTGATAATGTTGAGTCACTTGACTAGGATGGTAAGCAGACGCTGGTTGGTGTTCTTGATGTCCCCCGGCGGCGGAGGGGGGTGCAGGGTAACCAACCCCTGGAGCCGCGTACGGTGCCCCCGGCACCACAGGATTGTTGTGGCTGTGCATGTGCTGGTTGTAGTCGTATGCAGGATCATTGTAGCCCTGCAATGCTTGCGCAGCGGACGGACCGCCAGTCGTGGCCGTGCTGCGACCTTGCTGCAGTTGCTGCTGAGGCTGTGGTTGATAATAATTGTCCTGATTGATGGAAGACGGGGCCGCACCCTGATGCTGCAGAAGCCCAGCATGCGGCTGTGGCTGTCCCTGCAAGAATCCACTACCAGCAGCTGCACCACCTGGACCGTGAGAAGTTCCCAAGAGACCGCGCTCCTGAGGAGTAGTACTCCCTCCGGCACCAGCATGGCCATAATATGAATCGCGAATTCCACCATCGCCGGGCATTTCGTTTTCCCCGGAGTAGTCCCCTTCGTCGTAATCGTCATCCTCAGCGTCATCGTCTTCCTCATACCCGCTCTTCGCCAGCTGCAGCTTCTTCCCCGCAACTAGCAGAACACTTTGGAAGATGTTGTTACCGCGGCCATGGGTTGTATCCATCCAAGAACCTCCCAAACCGTCCTCGGTCGACGTGGCAAGCAACGTGAGAAGCAGAGACGCACAGAGAGGACGACGACGACGCTCACGGAGCTTTTCAAAATTTTATTTTTATGGGCATAAAAACGCAAGATGTGTCTGATTCCCTTCAAGTGCCAGGGCAGTGGTGTCTGTTTCGGTTGCGCGCGGCCGTCAAGTCCTGCGGGTCCTCGGATAATTAGCAATTCAAAGTGGGCACCCTATTACCAAATCCAAAGTGGGTACCCAATCCAGAGTGGGTACCCAGTCTAACCTCGTACCATACGAGTACGATACTTTTGCAGTTCATATCCGCCGGAAGAGCGCTATGTCCGACGCGGAATCCCGGGCGGCGACGTGGAGGGTCACGTCGAGTTGGCCTTGGATTTTGTCCGCTTTGTTGACCGTGAGAGCCACGTCGGGAAAGGGCTTGTCGGAAAAAAGGCCCGTGATGTTCGCTGCCGCCGCATTATAGGTGCTTGCGATTGAAGATGAGTTGTTGCTTTCATCTTCTTGTTCCGCCCCCACGTACGGCATCGCAGTGAAATTTTCCAAATACACGTAATCGGGCTTATCCCCGTACCCGTGCCACTATCAAAGTGAGAAAAACCCCTACCCCATACTCAAAATCAATTTCTGTTGCGGGATTTGTGTACACAAATGCGCTGTGTGTTGCAGCAAGAGCTTGTCGGCATATTCCGAACCCATTTGGGTACGCAAACGCATCCGGCTAGCAGCTGAGCATGAGAGATGACCTGTCTGATATACGCAAAAACACATGACAGGCTTGCTGTGCAATGCGCCACATGGGTGCCGATTGCCTTGTACGCACGACAAAGCTTATTTGTGACCACAAATCAGCATCACAAGTTTTCTTTTCGATATGGGGAAGGGCGATTTTTCCTTACGATAGCCACCGCGGGTTGCCCATTCGGATGAACTCCTGCCGCGCACCTCGGCCGCCCTCCCGGTCCGATCCCTCGTTGCCGTCAAAGGCAACAACGTCGGTGTTTTGCCCGTAGATGGGCGAAGCTGGGTCGGACGTTTTCAAGCATTTGTTACTCGTTTCGGGATATGCATTGCAAATATGTCTGGGTCTGGGAGATCCATGATGCCTGGATATTCATGTCCTAGCATCACAGACTTTTAGAGGGCTGCCTGATGTACCTTCCGCATGAGAAACGCTTTGTTCTTGTAGCACAAACTGGACCCCTCTTGCTGGTCATGCAATACAATTTTTTTAAGAGTCCAAAAACAGCATGACAAGTTGCAATCTTCCAGACCCAGACACTTTTGCAGTTGATAGAAAAGCAGAGACGCACAGAGAGGACGACGACGACGCTCACTATCCTGAGTAAAAGCGTACCCATACCATAGTCAAGATGGGAAATCGGCTAGACACACAAATCCACAAGTTTTGGCTGTTTTGCATGACAAATTTGGATTCGTCGTGTAGTGCTGTTTGAGCTAGCTCAGCAGCATCACAGATCTAGCACACCATGCTGATTGGAGCATGACAAATTGCAAAACACGACTAGAAAATGCTTCTCATGAGGCTCCGCATGAGAAACATTTTCAGCATGCAGATTTGCATTACAACTCTGGTGTGGGTACGTTTTTATTCAGGATACTCACAGCGCTTAGTTTGCTCTTGGTGTTCTTGACCCGGCATTTTCATTTTCTCGATTTCCACAAAAGGTAATAGTGTTAGTGACAAGAATGATAAAGAAGTGGGTGACGAACAAGTCCCGGTTTGTAGTCGGAGAGAGTAAAACTAAAAATCACTTTCAGTTGAAGGTAAACTACGATGATGAAGCTTGAACGAAGTAGCGAGTGCGAGACGCAGCTGTAATGTTGTACTTTCGTGTTTTGAGGAATAGATGACAAGTTGTAGAAGTTGAATTTGGAAAAAATAACAGTTGAACAGAATTATGAAGCTTCTGCAGCTTACTTTCCGATAGAGAAGTAGTAGAAGTAGTTGCTGGTTTGTTTTTTGATGAAAGATAAAGAACCTCATGGATATTATAATCGGCGAAGAAAAAGAGAAACTCAGCAAGCAGTGCACCGAGTTGGAACTTGACATTTTGGCGCCGCCCGGCTTGTTTGTGCTGAGAAGTACCGCGACCGATAGAAAGTTCGTGCTACGACAAGGACAATGTAGATCCATGATTTGATGTTACTTTGAGAAGTCCTACTCACAGACATTAGATCCTGCTACAAGAACTACCGACCTAGAAACTGGACAGTGATCTGAGTCGATTTCGATCTTGGTTTTGGACGAAAGTAGGGAGCAAGCATTTTTGAAGATCTGCTGTTTTGTGTACCTCCTTGTTGAATAGAAATCAGAATATCATCTGTAGAGATGTATTATGCTGCTCCTGCTGAATCTGATCTTCATGCTGTTGTACAACCTCTAGTAGTGTTTGTTCTTGCGAACAACCATCCATGCGCCTTTTTTTTCTTCTCGCGCACAGGGGCTACTTACCTAGTACAGCAACTCCTTCAGGGGTGGAACAGACAGAGAGTCTTTCACCCCTTGGGGCGTGTTATCACTTCTTCATTCTTCAACATCGTCTTTTCATGATGGCGCGCCATCATGAAAAGCATTTTGCTAACATGGTCCCTTCATCGTTTTCACCATAGATGCGCAACTTGGAGTCCAAGTGACAGATAAGCACGCTAATGCTACGGACTGTTATTTCCAAATTTTTCACATTACATCCTACATGCGATGATTTCTTCATTACAATAAGAACTACGTGCGATGATTTCTTTCATTACAATAAGAACTTTGAGTTAGCAGCTATTCTTAGTCAGTCTTACTTACCTTTACTTTTTAAGAAAGCACAAGAGCAGTAGTAGTCCCGGGTTTTTTCAGCGCTTCTGGTTCTGGTGCCGGAGAGGATTTTTATTGAAATAGCGCTAGAGAAAAAAGGTGAGTAAACGCGTTCCCACCTTGACGCATAACTACAAACAAACAAACTTCGTACAGGATTGCTCATCATGCACTTCTTCATCATACACGGTGACGGTCCACTTCTATGTTGGTTCTCACAAGTACTAGATAGTTAAGTACTAATATCATGTCCGAAAATTGTTCACAAAATCGTTCAGCTGGTGGGTGGTAGTTCCTTAGACAGGAACTCACCTTCCATAAACAACTCTTTAAATTACCATAAAACCTCCAACAATTTTCCACCGGAAGAGCCGGATCGCCCGCCTCCACTCATCATACACACAGCACAAAAGTATGACAGAAAACTGAAAACACTTCACAAATCATAAGTTCTTCAGCAACAGCTTTTTTTTCTTTGGTCAATCCTTCACGCACTACAACCTCTCGCCAAAGATGTTACGTATAGAAAATTAATTGGTAGGACTTCTACAGATGTTGCGACATTCGACATTGTTCCTTCGGTCGCAAAAATTCTTGCCCCTCTTGTCGGTCGACCACGGCGGTGGAAGACTAAAAGCAGACCCGCCGGAACTACAAGCTGCACCCGTAGAATTTAATCTGACGAAAAGGAATTGGGCCTGTTGCAGCCGGGTCGTGCGAAATAAAATGCAGCCGCGCAGGTTGTCGACAAAAAACTCGCCTCTGCCCAAGAACAAAACGAGGAAGAAGACTCCGCTGGAGCAGGTTATTCCGCATCAATCATTTACCCGCGAAATTTTTCCTCGTCACGCTTCAGGGGCGGTCTCTCCAGCCCCTGGAACGGCCGTGTATGAGATGGCCGAGGAGGGGGGCCCGGAAACTGGCGCGGGGTTTCTCCTGCGACACGATCTCGAGGAGAAGATACTAAAAAACCCCCGATCTTCACAAGGATCTTGATGTCTACTCTGCGCGCTAGGTGTAGTTCCATGTTGACCTCGAGTACTCGAGGAGGGGGGCGTAGCGTTTGCGTAGTTGGGCAGCACATTCCTAGTTGTACTGGAATCTCCTCGACCGCGCACCATATTCCCTAACCGCTGCTTCCACGTAGACGGAGCCACAGCCGCGAACATGCTTTCAATCTGCTGGACAAAAGCGTTTCGCACCGTCCACGCCGCTTCCTTAGCCCTCTCGGCCTGCTGCTCACGAAGTAGAGATAATTCTTGAGCTGCTCCTCCTGGCAAGGAGTCTTGCGCCCCCTCCACCCGGGCGAGCACAACAAGCCGCAGAGCCTGCTGTCGCGCCTCGAAGATGCCTCCCCGGAGCTGGTTTAGAAACAACTCCTGTCGGTGTGGCGTGCCGATGCTTGTGCGGAGGCTCGTCACGTAGGTCTCCAACGCCTTTTTGACTTTTGACAAGTCCCGCTGCGTTAATCTTTGAAAGGCCTCTTTCGTCGGACCCCTGACCTCGTTGATAGTTCCACCGACCCCCACTTTGTACCACCCCGCCAGACTCAACGTCAACGCGATTGACACCAGGACGGGGTTCTGCGTTTCGCGCGTGTGCTGCAGAAGTTGGTCCCACAATCCGGACCGAATCAGGAGATCGGGACGGACGGTCGCCAGCCACTGGGTTTGGCACACGTGCCGCCACTGAAGTTCCCAAATTGTCTGTAAGGCAAGATCACTATTTTCGACGTCGGTGGTGTCGAAAAATGCTTGAAAGATGCTTGGCATCCTCTTTCGGTAGTCATTGGGGAGCTTGCTCCACAGCAAATCCCGCCACTTCTGGATCGGCTGCGGCCCGTGTGCGGCCAGTTTTTCCCCGAAGTGCTTCAATACGAGCGGCAGGCCAACGAGTTGCTGTGCTGCACCAGCTGGGACGATTGTGCTCTGCTCGCGCGAAGAAGACCACGACGTTGATGCTCCCGAGTAGTCCCCTATGGGAGCGTCAGGTTTGAAATCGTCAAAGTTGAAATGATTTGTAATGCGTAAAATGCATGACCCGAGGCACGTGTGTTGCAGGGCAGGCAAGTGAGGCCGATTGTAAGCCTGTTTGGGGTTCCAGCTCGAGCTGCTAAAGTAGCATGAGAAAATCGCTCTTCTTTGCCTAAACAGCATGACAAACTGGAATTAGGGACCACCGAAATTTGTCATGCGCCACTTGGAATATGGCCATGTCAACTATCTCAACAAAAACGTTCTCAAAAATTTTTGGATAGCTACTTAAGATGCCTATTGATGTAATTACTTTTTATGTGCTCCAGTAGCTAGCCTGAGCGCATGCATTAGATAGATCAGTGAAGTAGGTAGCTTCCTGGTCTCCCGATCTGTTGCCTCCCGGACTCTTCGAAGGTTGGTTTGACCTCACAGAGGGCACCTCTGAGGGGTACCTCTGAGGGTACCTCCAGAGGGGTCTCGAAATAGGTGTGAGAAAGTTTCCCTGAGCCCCCAGCACTTTTTTCGCCATACCATCGGGAATTAACAACGTACTCAGACCATAAAAAAATGCTTCACTTCCCTTCTTCCTCAGCCCTCCCAGAGGGTGGCCCCAGAGGGTCGCGCATGGGCTTCCGTGTTCATTAGTTGTCGGAGATCAAGTCCGGAAAGTAGCAGAGCGGCGGACCAGGAAGGTACCTACTTCACTGATCTATCTAATGCATGCGCTTCAAATAGCTAGTTTAATAGCTAAAAGCGCCTCTTTGTAAATAGTTAACTCATGCACCTAATCAAAAATTTTTGAGAATCTTTTTGTTGAGATAGTTGACATCGCCATATGGAAACTGGCTTCCGACTGGCGTCCATTTTATGCATGACAAATTATTTCAACTTTGTCGATTTCAACTCTGACACATCCATATCCCCCCGCGTAGCCGTAGTTCCCTTCGTTTTATTGTCCATGATATCTCCCACCGCCCAGTGGAGGTATTTTTTATGGCGTTCTCAACTGTTACATCCTCAACTGTTACACGAATTTGCAATGCAAGAAGGGCAAAAGTGAAAGGAGGAAGATTGCGCCTTTTGCATTACAGATTTGGGACAGAATATAGTGCTATTTAGCCCTCCGCAAATTTGTCATGCGGAGCAGCTTGATCGTGAGAATGATAATGGTGCTTTTGCATGACAAATTCATGTAACAGTTGAGAATGTAACGTTTGAGAACCCCATATTTTTCGACGGCCCCGTCGAGAAGGGGCGCTGTTCTGTCCAGCAGTGGGTGACGCGTGAAGAGCTGCAAAAGCACAGCCGTCGCGGGGCTTATTCCTGCCTCGGCCAAATCTTTTTTTTCGTCTCGTGCGCCCCTGCGACCATCAATCTGTGCATCTTCTTTCCTCACACGGTCAGCCTCCGCCAGGAACGCTTCCCAGACCACCGTCTCTGCCACGTAGACGTCTCCCTGTGAGGCAAAGCCCACGACGGGCCCGATGGCGTTAGATGTATCGGTGGATAGGTTTAGTGTGTCCAACGCATCTTCCAGAAGAGTAGTTGAGTTCATCTCGCGTTCGCCATTTAACATTTCATCTTCGGAACGAAGACTCTGACTCCCACTCTGTTCTTTCATGTGAAGACCCTCCTGGCCGCCGAGCCAGGAAGAGTCGTGCCACTTCGAACAGGCAGCAAGCAGGATAAATTTGATCAGGTCTTTGTATAACGGAGCCAAGCAGGGCTCTTTTTGCGCATGTTCTCCGGAAGAATTATTGACGAGAAAAATTCTCCGAAAGTCCTCTTTCGTCGCAAACTGACCGGCCCACGTCGCTCTGTTGACGTCTGCGAGGATTAGCGTAATGCTCTTCCTCGGACACAGCGAGCCCTCGAAAGAAGTCGTAGATGCAGCAGGTGCTGGGTCCTCGCGGGCCTGCTTGGCGCGACGAGCCTCTTCATCCGGCAGCTGCACGGCTGAGAGTTTTTCCCGTTTGGCTTGTAACTCGCGCGGGGGCATGATCCGCTTGTAGACGGGGGAAAACACGAGAAGTTCGAACTCCCGCTCCAATGCTGCTCTGGTCTTCGGCGTAATCGTATCAGACTCGTGCTGTGCCGCGACGTACCATTCCTTCAGTGCTCTCAACTCAATGTCCTGCAGGAGGGCAACATCTCCATTTTTATCGTCCAGGTCGTATTGGTTTTTCATCTTCTGCGCAGGTGGAGATGAGGCTGTGGCGGGAACGAGTGTACGTGTACGTGTTGCCGACGCCGACTTAGAAGTCCGCCCAGAATTTGTCCCATTGGGACGACGATCCGAACCTGAGCTGCCAGCGGAGGTAGATCTAGATCCCAAGCTATTGGCAGACGGGGTCCTTGTCGAGGAGTTTTTAGAAGTTGTTCCGTGGTCCTCACGACCACGACGCCCATTGCTTATGCTTCCCTTTTTTGTGCGACCAGTAGATGTAGCTAACGCCGAGAGCGGCGGCCTGTGCGGTGAAGAACGTCGACCACCAGGCACTACGCCCGTCCCGGAGACTTTGTTCCCGCTGGGCAAAAACCCGCCCACCAGGAGCGCCGTTGTGCGCAGCAACAGCGCAAGGGGACGAGTGCAGCAGCTTGGAGCAGTCCACATGTAGTTCTTGGTCATGATTGTGAAGTTTTGATCTTTGTTTAATTTCAGTGTACTTGTTCTAGTACTTCTCTAGTACGGTAAATAAAATTTAGTAAGTGTCGCTCTGCTGTGAACTTATGTTCCTACCAACTCCAATCGCTTCTGTTTAGTAATGTTTTCGGTCTATTTGTAGAAGTAACAACTTCTTTTTGCAAGAACAGAGTCACAAGGTCAAACGTCGTCGGGTCTTAGCTATTATACATGTCAGAAAACTATCTTTATTGTAAAACAATCGCTTCTGGATCTGGTACACTTTTTTCAAGTCGTAAGCCGCTCTAACTACATCTACACTTTTTTCAAGTCGTGAAACAAATATTACTGTCTGTACTTACATACATACACGATTCACTTTGCCCTGTGTCTGGGGTTCGTGACGCTCGATTTTTGATCGTGACACCTGGAAAGCGATCCACTCAAACGATTGTACGGACGAGCAAGTGTGTGGAGTAACCCTCTGTGAACTTTCTGGTCTAGCAAGACCTGCGGATCATCTCAAGAGGTGAACATCGGAGCCAGGAGGAGCCTGTGCTGCCCCAAGGGGGGCGGGCGTCTGTGTGCGCTCCGGCAATCTCTATTCCTTGTTCCTGATGGCCACATCAATGCGGTTCGCGCTACAAGCGCCTTGTCGATCGATTTTGCCACGGTTTTTAGACGGCAGCAGCTTCAGCTGCGAGCTGACTGCGCTGCACATCTTGCATCTCGCCCTCGAGCAGATGTTGATGCGTGCCTACAAGGTGCAATGTCATACAAAATTCACTGCGACTGCCCCCGCGGGGCATCACAGTTCTTCGTCGGTGCTGGAATCATCGGGCGGCACGTGTGCCACGTAAGCGAAGACCTTAGCTAGGCGCTCCGGGCAGGAGAGCGCGTGGAGGTTTCCTATCCCGTAGCACTCGAGGAAGTGCGCGGGGCTGTCCTCTACCCGACGACATTTCGGACAGGGGACCCGTTCTAGCCCTGTTGCGGCGATTCTCTTGAACCTTGTGGCACCGAGGAATGCCGCCGCCGTCGTCTGGACGTGCCGGGACTCCCCCTGATTTGCAAGGACACGATAAAGCGACTTGGCGCCGGCCCTGCCGCTGACGAAAGCAGTCGCGATCTCTCCGCTGACCGAGACCTCTGCCGCACCAAGGTCCTGCAGGAGCTTTGCCTCTTGCTCCGCCAGACGCTCCTTGACGTGTGCTTTTAAGTCCTCGACAGACAGAGGCGCGCCCCAAGCTGCACCAGCGTCGCCGTGGCGCAGCGCGGTCTCTGCCGCCTGGTCAACCAGTTCATTGACTCCCACGCCGGTGTGGGAGTAAATGTGGGCCAGTTCCACACAATGGAATTTGGAGCAGAGGTCCTCAAGGACGTCGAGGAGGGTGCACTCCGCCTGCGTTGCGAGGCCACCGCAGATGGTGAGGGTCGACAGACGTGCCAGTAGCGATTGGCTGTCTACGACTAGCAGCAGGTGTGCGGCTGCAGCCTCCGCCGGTTCTTGTTGTGCGGCGGTGCGCGCCTGCCCCAGGAGTTCTGTAAGACCGGCGCGCTCAGCCTGGTATGCGGATTTGTTGCCTGTCCAGCGCCCTGTTGTCAGTCGGGCTCCGGTTTTTGCGTGGAAGTAGGCGGCCATGGAGCCTCGTCCTGTGCTCTGTTGGTGCGCCCCGTCTGACGCACCGAAAAACGCACGGCGCTCACGTAGTCTGCTTCGCAGTTCTGGCGCCTCTTGGGTTGCGATTTTGAGACCCGGGAAGCGGCCTCGCGGGACCGGAATCGCCTTGAGATACTCGACCTCATCTCGCCGCCACCCGCAGCTCTCGAGCACGAGGGCCGCTTCGATCGCCCACGGTGGGCAATGCCCATCACTCCCGGCGAATTTTCTGTCTTTGTCTGTACTTCACAGACAAAACTAGTATCGCTACAGGAAGTAGGTTTTTACGATAATAAAAACTACAGGACAACTTTTGCAGTTCGTCTTGTTCTTCCAGTGAAGTAAGTAAATGTAAACAACTACAACGCATGACACAAAGTTGCACGATAGTGCAATTGCTTGCTTCGCGAAACTCGTGTATCAAGGTTGTTACTTGTCAACGGAAACTGTTTTTGATGTGGAATTTCAATTTTTTTCATTTCGTAAAATCGCTTTCTCACTCGCGCAGCAGGTGAGAGCTGCGCGTTGTATGAATTGTTATGCAATGCACGAAGTGGTGGAAGATGAGGATCGTAGGAGCTGTTCATAGCTCCTTTTCATGATCCCGCAGGTCTTTACATGAGCTCCTTTTCATGATTCTTCCAACAACCGGACCACTTGCGATACCGATACCTCTTGATCTTCTGCTTAATTTTTGGAGAGAATGTTGAGAATGCACGCCCGCGCGTTCTGGCTGGATACGGATGTTCAGATCCGTTTTTCCTTCTAGACACATGTGCAGTACACGAGAGGCTTGAAGGTGTAACCCTAACCGAGAATCAATTTATTTGAAAAAGAAGTCGAGGTGTGTGCCGAAATAGTATTAGTTTTCAGTGACAATCGTATGTAACGGATCTTGCTGAATATTGACCATGATGCAGGTGTGCATTCTCTATTACTTCTCGTCGGTCGACGATCTTCGACATGCTTCTTGGGAGCTGATCCCCATCGTCCTCCAATCGTGTTTACTACAACAAGGAGCGCAATATGAATAATATGATCAACATCTTGATCTTAGCTCGTGGACGTGATTTACTTTGTCGTCGCATGAAATTCTACTTTTATCTCAGCTCCAGCCCAGCCGGCGGGGATCGTGTTTTGCGCGTGTCAATGAATAATGTAGTCGATGAGGCAGGGACTGTTTCTCATCGGTAGAATTCTTTTGATTTACAATTCAGGGATGAAGATGACCGCCACAAAGCTGTCGTGGAAAGGAAATTCAACTCATGATCGAGTTCGAACTGGTTGACCAGAATTAGGAGCAGAAGAGCAACTCTAAAAAGAACTCGCGACAAGAATTATACAGGAAACACTGCATGTCACCGTCGACGTGGGCCGTGGTCGAAAAGCTTCTTCTACGCGTAATTATTCAAGAACAAGATGCGACACAAATAAGGACAGTACTGAGGCTGCAAGGCATCCGCATCACCCGACGTGTTGAATGACGGTGGTGGAACAAGAACAGCTAGACATCAAGTAAGAACCTAGCAGCACGGGGACAAGATGTATCCAGGAAAAAACACCCATCCCCATCCATTTTTTGCATGACAAACACTGCAGATTATGCATGTTTTGCATGACAAACACAGGATTTGATGCATGTTTCACATGACAACTTGAATGGGGATGCTGGGTCCTCTTTTTTTTGTGGATAGAGAAACATCAACACGTATGAGGACGACGGGTACGGGCAGCGACCCCCGGAAAACGTAACGCGTAGTGATGACTACCTGGTGCACAAGGTACTGCGAATAAACCACGCAACTGCGCCGGGAAGCGAAGATCATCATGGGCGGGGAGATGCCCTACATCACAACAATGAGCCGCGTCTGAACGATGAGGAGCGGGTGCAGCGGGAAATCAACGACATTGTGCTGAAAAAGGTGAACGAGGACGAGTCCAGCCCGCTATGCATTGCAAAAGAATCGCATTTAGTAAAAATTGCATCACAAATTTTATCAGCAAAGAAAAATGAAATTTGTAATGCTATTAACGGTAAAAAGGTAGGTTTGTCATGCAAGATTGCACTTAGTACGAGTGCGATACTTTTGCACAGGATACTCGCTGAAGGATGCGGATTTCGAAGATTTCCGGCGGTCCCTCGCCAACCGCGACCAGCTACGGATCAAGCAGGAGATATGGAACTGTCAGGATCGAAATTGACAAAATCGAAAAATTTGTGGTGCATAAAATGCATGACGCAAAATACATGCGTTGCAGAGCAGGCAAGTGAGGCCGATTGTAAACCTGTTTGGGGTTATAGCTCGAGCTGCTAAAGCAGCATGAGAGGATCAGTCTTTTTTGCCTAAACAGCATTACAAACTGGATTTAGGCACCGCCAGAATTTGTCATGCGCCGCTTCGAAACTGGGTTCGAACCGGAATCCATTTTATGCATGACAAATGATTTCGATTTTGTCGCTTTCGATCCTGACACACCCATAGGAGAAAAAACGGGAACAGAAAATTGACAAGGCCGAGGAAAGCGGAACAGTGATATTACAATGAAAAATGCCCCCACGACCCCAAACTTGGCAGCATTTGCATTGCAAACCTTTCCAATAGAAACATTCACCGTCTTGCATATCTCAGCATCACAAATTTTCCATGCTGAATAGCTCAAATTTGTGTTGCGAAGGAGCCCAACAGCAGCCGGATCTGTCGCGCAGAAGGCACCTTGCGGCTGCGCAGTCTAGGTTCTGCATCAGGAAGGCTCGCAATCCTTTCATGCAAGACAAAAAGCTTTCATTTGGAAACTTTGCATGACAAACTTCTGGAAATTCTGTTTTGGGGGCATTTTTCATTGCAGTAAGTGAATGTCTTTCTCTACGCCAGCGACAAGGGCGACACGAGGACTTCCACGTATGAACTGCAAAAGTATCGTACTCGTATTGCAATCATGCATTACATATGGTAAATCCGCATTACAAATTTTATTTCTCATGCTGATGAAATTTGTAATGCATTTATACGAGTGCGATACTTTTGCAGTTCATACCACGGCGAGAGGAACGACCTTTCTGCGGGTTGGCGGCGGTGATGGTTCATTTTCTTCAAGTGGTGTGAATATCAATAAGGTAAGAACAAACTCCACCGCTTCAGCCCTCCGTGCGGAAAAGCGGAGAGAAGCGTACGAAAGGGAGAAGGAGAAGAGGGAAATGCAGGAGTGCACCTTTCGGCCGCAGTCGCGCACAACTGCTAAAGGTGTGAGAACATCATCAGTGGGACGAGCAGGAGCCGTGTCGTCTTCTCGACCCGTAGTGCGAGAGCCACCTGCTAGTGCAGCTGGTGCAGCGGTAGGACAGAAAACCGAAAAATCATCTCCGATTTCTTCTACTTCCGGTTCTTTCGTCTCCGCATCAGCCACGACCCCCGCAGCCGCGCCATCTAGAACAAATATGAAACAAGTTCAGCTTGCCCCCTCCGCGTCTGTGAAATTAATTTCCGTGCCCGGCTTATGGAAGTGTCAAAATCGAAACTCGCAAAATCGAAAAAATTGTATATGCATCAAATGTAGTGGGGCACGTATGGCCTGTGTAGTTGGGGTGCTTGCAGGCAAATGAGACCGATTGCAGGCCTGTTTAGGGGAAGGCGATGCGCTGCCAGAGTAGCATGACAGGAGCAGTCTTCCTTGCCCAAACAGCATGACAGGTTGGATTTTGTTGCTTCCGAAATTTGTCATGCCCCACTTGGAAACTGAGGCTCCAACTGGTATCGAGTTTATGCATCACAAAAAATTATTAATTTCGATTTTGTTGATTTCGATTCTGACGCTTCCATACGGCTTTGAGAAATCCGCCATTCGGATGCGGCTCGGGCGGCTGCAAACGGAGTATGAAGAGAAGAAACGGCAGCTCTTGTGCGGAATATCCACTGCAAATCAAGTATCGTACTAATATAAATCGCATGACAAATTTCCACAGCATGAGAAATGAAATTTGTAATGCGGATTTAACTTAACTACAGAAGAACTTGTAGTGCATAAAAAATGCGATTAGTACGAGTACGAACTTTTGCAGTGCATACGGAAATCTGAACGCCAAAATCACGTCTAGTTTTTCATCATCCGCCCAAACCCTCGACCGTGCGAGCTGGCGGGACAGACGGCTGGTATCCTGTGCAAAAGTATCGTACTCGTATAAATGCAAGTCTTGCATTACAAATCTTGTTCCCAAGGCAAATCCGCACTACAAATTTTATTTCTCATGCTGAGGAAATGCATTTATACGAGTGCGATACTTGTACTTCTGCAATTCATAGCTGGCGCCGCCCGACCACGCGACCGCGATCCGGGACATTGTCCTGCGGGCGGTGGAGGAGAAGGAAGGTGAAAAGAGTTATTTTCGCGAAGGCTGGAAAGGACGAGGGGCAGGGGCCGCAAGCACCTCCTGGAACAATAAGCAGTCGAGCCCCACGACCGGCGATGAAAACAGTCCACCTCAAGGTCGTGCCAGAAACAAGCAGACCGGGCTTGCTGTTGACATCAGCAGGAGTGGAAACAAGAACAGAAGCAATACAGGCAGCACGACAAAGAGGGGCAAGAATCAAAAGATAAAGACCACAACCGACGTCGTCGAGGATATTCTGCAACAAGTGCGGAAAATGCAGCGACGAGACGCTGCAGAGAAAGAACACAAGATAGACGAGGAGACGAAGAACAAAGACAATCTTCATACTCATCAAACGTCCAAGGCGGTGGATCATAAAAATGCTGTCAAAGGCAACCATGTGAGGACGTCGCAAGGCTCGATATTTTCCCCGCCAGGGACTACGTCTGCTCCTGATGTAGAACAAGTGCTGGCCTTGACTCGTCAACAGACCATGGCTGTTGATGATGAGCCACAGAGTGAAGAAGAAGAGCATGAGCAAGTGGCATCAACTACAACCAAACACCCACTCCCGCTCGCAGCCCTGCTTCACACGGACCGTAGCGCCCTGCGGAGCCGAATCCTTGCGAGGAACACGGCAGATGTTGTGGGTCACCAGCAGGAAAAAGATCCACCGCTGCGGCAGTCGCATGGCCATTGTTCGCCCGAAGTAGAGAAGATCCTTGAGCAGGAAGAACGTGTGCCCGACCGCCACCAGTTGGCAGCTGTAGTAAAGCCACCCGCCCCCGCCGCGGATGTCGATTTTGAAGTCGATATGGGCTATGTTGATGAGGACGAGTAAGCAGTGGGGATGGAATTAGAAGGTGTACTCGCACTTCTAGTTCTATACGCTTTGAGTTCCTGTCGTTTTTCCGAACTTCGTTCTTCCCTTGCACGCACGGCTGGATACAGATTATCACGCCGTGCTGCATCAGGAGGATTTTTGTTCTTCGAGCGGTTTTGAACAAAAGGCAGGGCGGTCGCGGTTTCATTATCCAGGAAAAAACACCCATCCCCATCCAATTTGTCATGCAAAACATGCATAATCTGCAGTGTTTGTCATGCAAAACTAACATGCTGATGGAGATGGGTGTTTTTTTTTTTCCCTCGATATTCGCTCCTTTCGCACGGCCTCCTCGAAGTCCAGCAGCCATTTTCTGGTTGTCGGACTGACGTCTTTTTCCCAGTCCGTCCCATAGTAAAAGTCCTGTTCGTACGACCAGTCTACCTTGTCGTTCTCCTCGCTGTCTCTCAGGATTCGTTTCCGATCCTCCTCACTCTGGCGAAGAAACTTTTTCCGCTGCTCCATCTGCGCGGGCGTGAGCAGTTTCAGTCGTTCTTTCCGAATCTCCTGCGTCCGCCGGAGTTCGTCCCGGCCCCGCATGAAATCCTGGATAAACTCCTTCTTCTCCATGATCTTCCGACTTTTCTCTTTTTCGCTTTTGAAGTCCCGCGCCCACTCGGCATCCCGCTGCATTTCCTCGCGAATCTTCTTGGCTCGGAACCTTTCTTCCTTGTCGTCGATCGCTTTCTGTTATCCCATGCGCAAACAAAGCATCGCACTTTAGTATTCGTAGTCAGTGATTGCAAGACTTTGCATGACAAGTAGAAATCGCTTTCCTAAAAAATATTCCTGAGCTCATGCTGAGACAGCAGTACAGGCTCGATTTCTTCCTCTTCGTCTGAAAAAAATTGCCGACGATCCTTTCACTGAATAGTTGTGCGATACAACTTTTGCTAAATGCATATCTGTGCCGCGACGGCAGCGGCGTAATCGCCTTTGCGATCGATCCGCATCACGGCGCGCTGACGCAACTTGTCACGCGTGAGGTTGCGGTCCTCTCGGTAAAGGGGGTGGTCGTCACCATAAAAGGCTTTTTCCTCATTTAGCAACCGCTGCTTGACACCTGTTTTCGAGAATGGAGTGGTCGTCTTTCATTCAGATGTACAAAGTGCAGAGTGCACAAGGAAAAACGAAAAGTTGCAAATTTTCGTGGCTGAGATGAACATTTGTTAGTTTGATCAGGGGGGCAAGACGGAAAAGTTGAAACGTTCGTGCGCGGATGAAATATCGAATAAACATTGCTGCTATCGGAGCTGAGGACCGGCGGGCGCCTGGATCTTGCGGCAAAGACGAAACAAGCTTTTTGGCTCATTTTGGAACATTGAGCACCGTCCCATCTTTGCAAAATGCATGGAAAAGTCCAAAAATTGCTGCTTTCGTGGCTGAGGACGGGTGCGTGCCTGACTTATGCAAGCAAGACAAAACAATCTTCTTTTGCGCTTATTTTGCAAAATGGAAGAAAAAAGCAAAACTTTACTGTTATCGAGGCTGAGGACGGGCGGGTGGGTGGCTCATGTAAGCAAGATGAGCTAAGCTTTTAAATTATTTTTTTTGGAGGACAGCTCGCCATCATCTACAATGAATCACGAGGGCGTAGTGAAAAAGTTCTGCATAAAGCATTTTCTTGATGTAAAAACATACTTTGAAACGCATCACGATGGCACGATGAAAAAACATCGTATAATTTAGGTTAAGAAGTGCGATTTTGCGTGACTGTTGGACAAGCTAGACCTTTCGCGGTCATACCGTCGTGTTTCTGTTTTTTTCTTCGAAATAAAATGCTTTTCATTTCATTTTCATTTCAAAATGATTTCGCATTGCCGAAAACAAAATCTGAAACATAAAAAAAAGCCTGCGGCTGCTTGCGCATTCCGATACAGAGAGAAGACAGAGTAGGAAAAGTTAAAATAGCACTACTACAAGCGAGTGGAACAAGTTGTTGTTCGAGTATAATTCGGTTAGTACCAAGAAATCAATCATACCAGCTGCAGACTGGTGCCACTTTTCTCGTTCGCGTCGTCTTTCTTCTTTTTTGATTTTCAGCTCCTTCACCCTTTCGTCCAGAAGTTTTGCCTCCCCGCTGGCCCACACTTCGCGCACCAGCGTTTTTTCGTTGTGGTTGATCGATTCTCTGGCGCCGACGGGCTGGTCGTGCAGTGTCGTTGGCGGAAGAAAATCGTCGGAAAACTGACTCCCGGCTTCCCACTCGAGTTGCTGGTAAGCAGGGGAAGCAGCAAGTGGTTCATAGTGGTGCACCAGCGGCGGCTCTTGTATTTTTTCGTTGTAGGTGCGATCGAAAGTACTTGTACTAGAAGTAGCAGTAGTATGCATGGGTCAGCAGAATCGAAATCGACAAAGTTGAAATGATTTGCCATGCATAAAATGCAGCCCACAAAGTGCTTGTCTTGCAGAGTAGGCAAGTGAGACAGATTGTAAGCCTGTTCTGGGGTAGAAATAGCGCTGCCAAAGCAGCATGAGAAAAGGGGCCTTCCTTACCCAAACAGCATGACAAACTGGATTTCGGCTTTACCCAAATTTGTCATGCGCCACTTGGAAACTGGGTTACAACTGGCAGCAATTTTATGCATGAGAAATTATCTCAACTTTGCCGATTTCGATCCTGACAGTTCCATAAGTAGCCCCAGGAGTCGTCCTACTTCTGGCGTAGTAGTTGTCCCTTTCGCAGTACGCTTCATCCTCACCATTCCAGCGACTTGTAGTTTCATCCTCGTCGTTATCTGCGGAAAAGTCGTGCGCCGCTGCTGTCGCTCTGACCACAGTGGTTTCTCCTGTTGGAGCAGGAGCACCACCACCCTTGCCGGTGTTTTTACTAGCAGGCCTTACAACTGTCGTCGAACTCGAAGCACCGTCTTGATACGGTGGCATACTTCTACTTTGTCCCGCGCCGTCCTCTTCGTCAACAGCACCTCCACCATCCAGTCCCGTCTGAGCGTCTTCGTCAAAAAAGTGCTGAACGTAGACCGCTCGATCGTATTCCGCCTCTTTGCCGTCGGAAGAGAGTCTGGCGTGGTTGTTGTTCTGGCCTTATGAGCTGCAAAAGTATTGTATCGTACTCGTATAAATGCATTACAAATTTTTCCAGCATGAGAAAGAAAATTTGTCATGCGGATTTACCTCAAGAAAAAAATTTGTAATGCATAACTGCAATTACTACGAGTGCGATACTTTTGCAAAGCATAGGCCTCGGATGTAGCGCGACCGTTCCTGGACTCCCGAACTGTCAACTGTAAAAATGTCTGGGTCTGGAAGATTCTGCGACTTGTGATGCACGTCTTGTATGAGCCATGATGTCTGTGATGCACGCCCTAGTAGCACCACCACATATTTTTTGAGGGCATCATCTCGATGCCTATTCCGCATGACAAATGCCCTATCCTTGTAGCAAAAATTATACTCCTTTTGCTACTCATGCAATACAGATTTTTTTGGAATCCAAATGCAGCATCACAAGTTGCATTCTTCCAGACCCAGACACTTTTACAATCCATACGGACTGTCTTCCAGCAGTTTGCTGAGACTCACATCCGTCTTCGGCCGCACCGGGCTGTATCAAGTGCAAAAGTGTCTGGGTCTGGAAGAATGCAAGATTTGTCATGCATATTTCTCATGACCCATGATAGTCTGTGATGTATGCGCTAGCATTACAGATTTTTAGAACCCTTCCTGATGCACATTCCGCATGAGAAATGCCCTGTACGTGTAGCACAAACTGTACTCCTCATCTTGCTGGTCATGCAATACAAATTTTTTTTAGAGTCCAAAAACAGCATGACAAGTTGCAATCTTCCAGACCCAGACACTTTTACATTGGATAGGCTGTTTTCCAAAACCACGTTCTCCGTCCACGGGGACTGATACGACAGCTGTGCCGCCGGTAGTGCTCCTCTTCGCTCGCCTGGGTTGAAATAACCAAGTCGCGGCCTCTCTTCAGAAGCGCTCGCGGTGTTGACGCCTCTTTTGCAGTAGTTACCACTGCTTGCTGGTGTGCTGTCATTTCTACCTGCGTTCGGCGCGGCTCCGGTCCTTGCTTTGCTCGAAGAAGACGTCGTCGGTCGCGAATAGTTCTGATTTCGCTTCTGTTGACCGCTCGAACTCGATGCTGAAGTAGCCGAAGCACGGCCCCCACCGCCCGCAGCGCTACCGACGTGAAAATCGCTACCCAAGCCGTCGTACCTTCCGTACGGATATCCAGAAAAAAAAAACCCATCCCCATCCATTTTTTGCATGACAAACACTGCAGCTTATGCATGTTTTGGATCACAAAGTGGATGGAGATGGGTGTTTTTTCCTTGGTAACGGAAAGCTGTCCACTACGCTCCGGCTGTTCGGGTCCCGCAACTCGCGGTCGGCGGAATTCCGGGGCTGCGACGCCGTCAGCCGCAAGGACCATTTTTCGTTCTTCCCCCCGTCTTCCGGCGGTCGGACGACGACTTTTCTCCATCGATGTTGCTGCTGAAGCTCCAAGCACCGTTTTTCCAGGCGGCGCAGCTCCTGCTTCTCGTCATCGGAATCGTTGTCCAGTTCCTCCGGCCAAAAATGAAATTTCTTCGAGCAGGAGGCGGAGGAGGAGGATGATTTCATTTCATCCGTTCTTGCTACGGCCGCGTTCTCGCAATTGGCGACATCTACTTCATCACGAGAAACTGCAACAGATTCGTCCGGTGGCGGTGGTGCGGCAGTTCTTGCTTTATTTGTTCCTCGGCCTTCGTCCTCACCATCCGTGGCTTTGACTTTGTGTTGATCGTGTGCTTCTTGTTCATCTTGAAAAATATTCTTAGCCAGGGACGAGAAGGTCGAGCTGGGCTGCGGTGCCAGATCTATTCAAGAAAAAAACTGTGTTAGTGTAAGTCTTTTGGGAAAACAGCATCACAAGTTTGTCTGCCATGACAGGAAATAAAAGTTGTTATGCGCAGATAGGAACGGAAAACACACAGGATGAAGCGAGCCGAAGATCATGCATGGCGAGCAGCATGACAAGTGTATACTGTTTTGCATTTTCTGCATCACAGATTTACACTTACATACAAAGCTTTTTTCTTGCATAAGATCAGGGACGAAAACATTATCCTCCTCTTCGCTACGAATGCTGGAGAGGGGAAGAGAGCAGTTCTGCGGCTCGAGTGCCATCGTTCTGTGAGTGGTATCAGATATCTTTTCATTCAAAAAGGCACCATGATCGATCAAGGCCATCGGTGATGCCATTTCCATTTGCATTTTCTCCTGTCACTCCAAAATAAACATGCAATGCCGCTCAGTAGTTCACTCAATCTCACCAGTGCACTTCATATTCCTTAGTGTGCAGCGCCAGCGGGCGCAAAGCGCGACATCGCTTGTGCGCCAGGAGCTAAGGTAAATGTAGCATCTCTTGGTGGCTTCGGTCACCTTGAAGATGAATAATGCGAAAATTATTGCTTAGTAGACGTCGAGAACAAACCCGGTTTTCTTTTAGTACTCAGTACAGTTACGGCGCAACTGCATCTGCAACGCGGCGTCTTTCGCAGGCGTGTTTTTTTGATTTTTTTTCAGTTCTCAACTTGCAAATAAAAGAAATTTAGTTGCAATCATTTTTGATCTGTACTGTAACTCGTCCCTGAAAAGATTCTAATGAAGTGCTGGCTTTCGCTTTCGTATTTGCTCTTCTACCAGTCATACGCGGCATAGTTTTGTAGCGTAGCAGCGACGACCACGACGACGTCTCGAGCCGACTACGAATCTGTGATGGACTTGACCACAACAGAAAATTACTGCAGCTGCGTTGTTTTCTAGTATGCTGGAGCCTTTTGTTGTGGTGCCGACTTCTACAACATCGCGTGTTCAAATTCTTAGTTGGTGCTGTGCAATAGATGTAGTAGCTTGGAGTTACTTTGGTTCTCGTGCGTTCCAAATTGCTTAGAATCTTGTCTGAAACCTGTAAAAATAGTTTATGTCCTTGAAACTTTAGTGTTCATAAGAGTGGGGTAACAATGAAATCCTTATCCGCCCCCGCGGCGGATAAGCCGGGGGGGGGCCCCCCCCCCCGGCTTATCCGCCGGCGGGCTGTCCGGGAATAGGCCCTATGAATTGGCCCGGCCCCGGCGCCGCTGGGGTGAGCCCGAGGGACCCCGGGCCGGCACAGACACAGCACGCCGTTGGTGCTTACGGTTTAAGTAATACGCAGGGGGCTGCCAAACGTCGGCGACGTTTTTTTTGTTGCTCTACCAATCCCGGTGGTGCGACGGTCGCACCACCGGGATTGGTAGAGCAACAAAACAAAGAGACACGGCAGGCCAATTGTTATCACGCAAGCAAAACAAGGCGGAAAGGCGTGGCTTTGGGAATTCACACAAAGAAAATAAAGAGCCAGGTCAGCACTTGCAGAAGCAGAAGGCGTATAAAAGCCCTGAAAACGATAAAAGACTGGCTCTGGATGTTGTTGCCCTTCCTCTTGTTTTCGTTTAGCATGCGCCCGCTGGATTCGAATCCTCGGGAACGAGGTTGGTCAACAGAGGCCCGGGCTTTGCATGTCGGGGCCTCTCTGGGGGGGGTTTGTCAATAGAAGCCCGGGCTTCATCACGTTGCAGACAATAGATACATACACACAGACCGAGTCCGACAGCGTGCCATGCAAACAAGGCAGGGCGCCAAGCCTCACGCGTACAGGCTGGGGTTGGTTGCAGGTGTAAGCGCCTTGCTGGTTTTGGGAGCTACGTACCCACAAGCCCCGACAGCTACCAATGCGCACCTAAAACACGTCTCGCGTGAAATCAGTACCAAGCCCGCAGCCGCGTGGCGTGGCGGCCGGGGTGTCGAGAGTGAGCCAGCGCGGGGGCGGTAGCTGGTAGCAGGCCGCGACCTGCCTAGAGCCACAGTCAACCCGTCGCGCAGGGCCCCGGAGCCTGTGCGGTGGGGAGACCTCACTGGGGCCCGAGACGGGAACGGGAAAACCTGTAATGGGAACCGAGACAATCTCATTGGGCCCCGGGGCCTGTCTCGCATCACTTCGGTCGCCCGGGCGGGAATTTGTGCCGCGCCGGAAATCCAGAGTGAGCGCATTGGCCGGCGGCGGGCGGCACGAAAAAAAAGCCGGGGAACAAAAGTAGAGCCTGCGATGCTGTCGCCCACGTCGCAGCGCAGCTGCTTAAATTAATACTGCCGCGGCGGAAGCCGAAGCTATTCGCGCTGCGGCAAGCATGTCTGTGCGTCACCAGCACGGCCCGGCCCGAAGCCCAGGAAATGGCTGCCCAACCTCGGACCTGTCGCGAGGGAATATAAGTCGAGCACACCGCCGGGGGTAATTTTACCACCGATGGCGCCCCACATTTATAAGACGCGGGGCCTGGGTCAGCAGCAATGGGCGCGGTTGCGGCCTGTTTCGGTGCGTGGGCCCATTACAAAAAGAACGCAGGGGAACCCATGGCGAGCGGCGGGCTTGTGTCTGCACAGGCGCACGCCACCCACACCCTTCGAAGGCGGGCGCGCGCGAGATAAAACCCTCGGCCCACTGTGTTTCTCGCTTCGGACCCTAAGCCGCTACCCGCGGGCATGCCCAAGCAAGAGCAGGGCGGCATGGCCTGGCAAGTAAGTACACAGCCCGAAGGAAGTAGGCGAGGAAGCTCGGCGGCCCCCGCGCTGCACATGGAAGGAGTTTACTTCTGTGAGGCAGGTTCTGGGCCTGGTCTTGTGTGCCCGTTGCTTGCTATCTGCTGGGCCGTTTCTTGCGCGGCGAATTTCCCAAGCTTTTTCCCTTTTTGCGTGGCAATTGAGTCAATATCTGCTGGCGAGTTTTTGAAAGTCCAAAGCAGCCCCGCCAGTGTGGAGGCTTCAATTGCTGCGCCTGCTACTTTCAAAGAAACATCACAAAGACCGGCGGCGTCATGCCGTCAGTCTTTGTGGTGTTTCAAAATCTGCCCACAACATGCCGGGTGCTGTCGGCATATCCGGGTCCTCCACACGATGGTGGCGCCCGGCCACTTTGTTGTGGCAATGCCGGCACGGCCCGCCGGCGGATAAGGCGGGGGGGGGGGCCCCCCCCGGCTTATCCGCCGCGGGGGCGGATAAGGATTTCATTGTTACCCCACTCTAACCAGGGACATGATCAAAGAAAGCTGTACAAAGATAATTTTTTTCATAACAAAACGAAACTCGAGCAAGAAAAGAAATTTTCATCCCCGCCGAAAAAGCTCCAACTACCTCTTCAGCCGCAGCTTAGAATACCAGTCCTACAAGCCGGGCAAGACAGGCAAAAGCTACAAGCTGTCGCGACACGTTGAAAGCCTTCTGACAGTGAAGAAAGGATTTGTTGTTGATTACTGCGAAACTGATTTTGAAAAGTGGTGCTGCCGATTCTAGGGAGGCGAAAAGGCAGCTAGAATTATTTTCATAGTGTAGTTCTCGAAAACAAAGCAAGTCTGATTCACCGCATAGAATAAATTATGTAGAAAGATAGCCATTAACAATTCTTACTGTACTTTTTTCGTACCACTTGTTTTACTGCAAGGTCATCAACACTGAAGTCGAGAGGTGCTGATCACGACCATGCGTAAAAATAATTACACAGAAATAGACGGAGTTCTGAATTGATGTCTGATTCTGAATAATTGCCGTGCTGGTCGTGTGAGAGAGACTGGGTCGTAGTAGTGCAAACCAGGCTCAAACACACGAGTGTAATAGATTGTAACTCGAATATAAGAATAGAATTCGGAAATAATTTACCTGTAAGAATAGAATGGAAACAAACATAAAAGCTCAAATATGTGTAAAATTTAACTCCACCGATAGTAAAAATTAGCAGTTGCTTGTCAAGGCGTCTGATATTTGATTTTTTACTATAAATAGCTGTGTGCAACTGCGATCTAGATACTGAAACTTTTTCCAACTGCTCAAACCTTTTAGTTTTACTCCTCAAGCACTATAAATTTTTTTTCCAGAGTAGAAATGAATTTGAGGTCTTCATAACAAAATCGGATTAGCAGCACCGTGGCTTGTAGTTTGACGCTGTTCAGTTGAGTTCTGATGTGCTAAATCCTGTCTCTTTTAACAAGAGCTTGTCACGTTTCGACAAAGACGGAACCACGAAAAGTGAAAGTCGTCTTCATCTCCTTGTGATTTACCTTGTGGAAGTAATCTTTTTCATGATCTGCTGTTAGATTTTTTTGCTCTTCTCCTTCCCCGCTGGCAAAATCGTGATCTCTCACTCTCTCTACTTCTACATCGAGATACCGATATCCAGAATCATCGCGACCCCGCCCAGGATCCACTTCTGCGGCGGCTGCTTGGTGCGCAACTGGGCCAAGAAGACGAAATCCGGGCGGCGGCCGGGCGTGCAGTAGGTCGGGCACATGTAGACGTTCTTTTCCTCGCGGTCCAGCGCCAGGCCCGCCTTACAGATGATGACCGGCATCTTGCAGAACATCTCCTTCGGCTTTGACTCCTCCATGGAGTTGGTGTTCGTATCCCACCTCGCTTATCAACTGTAAAAATGTCTGGGTCTGAAAGATTGCAACTTGTCATGCTGCTTTTGGACTCTAAAAAAATTTGTATTGCACCATGACCAGCAAGAGGGGTGCACTTTGTGCCACACGACGGATAGGGCTGCATTTCTCATGCGGTAGAGGTATCATAAAGCGGTCTAAAAATCTGTGATGCTGCGGCATGCATATTACAGACATCACGGCTCATGGAAAATATGCATGACGAATCTAAGAAATCTTCCAGACCCAGACACTTTTGCAATCCATAGCGCTCCCTCCAGGAACAGCCCGCACACGTAGCACCCGTCGCGCGCGTGGGCGTCCACTTGGCCCTTCTCGCGCTTGGTGACTTCCGTGAACGTGTATCCACAGTAAATTTCCTGTACACGTACAAATGCTGTCTCTGCATGACAAAATTTGCCTTCAGTCCTAGTCTAGCATGACAAGTTGGACACTTCTGCAAGTTAGCAAAATTTGTCATGCGTTTTGTACATGTACGGGAAATTTACATTGCATAACATGTCCAGTTTGTCCAGCTCCAGCTGCTGCTGCTGACAGCACAGCTGCTTGATCGTATGAACTGCAAAAGTATCGTACTCGTATAAATGCAAGTCTTGCATTACAAATCTTGTCCCCAAGGCAAATCTGCATTACAAATTTTATTTCTGATGCTAAGGAAATTTGTAATGCTAATGCATTCATACGAGTACGATACTTTTGCAATGCATAGATCGCGGTCAGGAAGGATCTCGGGTTGAAGAACTTCGCAATGTCGACGACCTGTTTGTTGTGGGTGAGGCCGGAAGATGGAGATGGAAGTATCAGCACTGCACCCTTTTGGCATCACAAATATTTTCCGCGCAAATCGTCATACAATAATTACAAACATATTACACGACGAGGAGTTTCTTTATGCATCACAAACTCCTATTTCACCTTCAGCTTCTTCACTACTTCAATCAAACATTACTCTTATTTGAAGCAATCAATCTGTACCTTCGGAATCGTGAGCGGGTCGCCAATCCAGTCGTTCAGCTGTTCGCAACGCTCCTTCAAGTTGGACAGCCAGTTTGCCAAGTTTCGCGTGGTCGGGAACCCGAGTTTCTGCCACCGCGGCGCGATCTTCTCCTTGAACAGGGAATCCGCTAGCGCTTCCATCTGTTCGGACATCTGCAGCTCACCCTTGAAACCCAACTGCAGTTCGCCCAAGCCGCGGACCATCTCGCCGATCAGGTTGTTCATGTTCTGACACTCCTGCAGGAAGACGAACTGGTAGGGCCCCTTCTCCTCCTCGCTCATGCCCTTGCTCGTGTCCTCCACCGCGAACCGGATCTCCTTGATCTCCTCGAAGATCTCGTTGCACAGCTGCTCCGCGATCTGCATGGGAGACGCGGTGGCGCCGTCGCCATCACCCGCAGCTTCTTTGGGTCGGAGATTTTGCAGCGTGTCGAACATGAGATTACATTGCGTCGTGCGGAATCCGATCTCGGCGTTCGGGTGCATCCCGTAGAAGAGCGGGGATTCTGCTGGCATGGTTTCCAAGTGTTCCACCACTTTCTCGTGCGGAGAACCAGACGCAGGGGTGAACCAGACCAGCTTGTTATCGCAGTAGGGAACAAGTTGGAGCTCATCGAGAATGTCATCGCGCATGAAGTAGGCGAGATACGTTGCACACAGCCGGCGATCGTAATCATCGACGATATGTCCACCGTACATAATCTCGCCGAAGATGTATCGGAGATCATCCCACGGGATTTTCGCGGAAGAGGAGCCCTCGAGGTAGTTGTACAGGACAGAAGCGGAATCGCGCAAGTCACCGTTCGAGAACGGGTACATCATGTTGTAGCCCATGGGCCCGAACTTCTTCCGCTCCAACATGATCGCATGGAAGTGGCACAGACCGAACAGAATCGCCTTGACCTTCGCGTCGCGGTCGTCGAAGTCCTCCTTTGTAAATAAAGCGAACGCGCGGCGGAGATTCGCTTGCAGGCCCTGCGGTGGTTCGTTGGTCAGTTTGATAGACCGCTCGAGAATACCCGGTGGAATACCGTTCGACGGATCGGCGGAGAGGAACAAGCGGAAGTTCGGGTGCGAACCCTCGATGGCCATGTTATCGAGGGTCTTCTCCAGAACTTTACACCACGACGGCATCAAGTGCACGTTCTGCAACATAACCCAATGTCCCTCCTTGTGGCCCATGTCCAGCTTCGCCATGGCGACCACGTCCTGCCCCTGTCCCATCGCGACATTGTGGTAATTCACGTTGGGCTGCAAGCCGATCATTTTGCGACCCATCGCCTCGACCTCCTTCACCGGATCCGCACCTTGCGACAGAATGAAGAAGATCGGCACCGTGTTGGTAGAATCCTCGAAGGAATTGGATAACACCGTGAAAAAGGAGCTGGACCCGTCGCAGAAGACGTACTCCTTTCCGTTCGGCAAAGCGTTCACGATCCATTCGGTCAAAGCAATCGTCATCCGGTCAGGACGAAGGCAGCGCAAGACGAGCAATTTCTGGAACGGAACCTGCTCGAGCTTCTTCCAGTCCAGCGGTAACTTCACATCTTCTGGCGCGAGCTCGTTGCACCACTCGCGAAACCGATTCGGGGCGTCCTTCTCCATGTTCTGCGCAAAAGAATCGAATCCCTCCAGGTCCACGAGCTTGTTGACAGCGAACCATGCAGTGTTCGGCAACCATTCGGCAATTGGGTTTTCGATGCCCGGCTTGACAGGACCCTTCAGCAAAAAGTCCATGTAGGTGGCGTTGTAATCCTCATTCAGAGCACCCTTCTGAAACAATTGGAAGGTCAATAACGCACAGAAAATCAGCTTGTGCCTCTCGAAGAGCCCTCGATTCACCCACCGGAACACGACCATGCGGATGGTGTCGATCAAGTGCAGCGCACGGACCCGAGTATCCTCGTCCTGTGGCGCTTTGTCGATTGCTTTTTCCAAGAAGCCACGGAACGCGTCAAGACTGTACTGGTACATGTGCTCGACGAAGCACAGTTGGATGATCAAAAAGAACAACATGGAGCCCTCGGCCGCGGCCGGACGGTACATTTCGCGGGACTCATTGATCTTGATCTCGGTCGCAACCGCGATTTTCACCTGAGATAATTTCATTGAAGAGGTGGAAGGAGAGCTGTTTGATTGTAACTTACACTTGCTATGGAACGGACTCTCAATGCATGAGTGTGCGAGGTTTGCGATTTTTTTAAGTAAATGCAAAAAGAATGACCACCACACAAAAAAAAAACACTGAAGTACCTGCTCGTTGATCTCGGCCGAGGTGGCTTTCGTCACTTCCAGACCTTCAATCAGTGGCATGTTTTCCAAAATCGTGGCCGGATCCGCCGCGGACAGCTGAGCGAGAAGGTCGTCCTCCAATTGGGACAGGGTCACCTTGAATTCGTTTTGCTTCCTGACCAGTTCCTGTTTCTTTTGTTCCAGCTCCGGCTTCTCGATGTTGACGACAATAGCCAAAATCTGGTCCTCGAGACCGGACGGCGTTACGATGAAGTTGATGATGGTACACTGGGCCGCGATCTCCGGGCGGTAGTGCGGGTTGGCCAGTTTGGACTGCAAAAACAGCTTGAACTTCGGGTCGTACTCGACCTCTTCACCACCGAGCTTGATGATAAACTGCGAGCGGCCGCGCTTGATGACCGCACGCCCGAGCAGCGGCTCGAGGATCGCGTCGATTTCGGACCCGACGGCTTCGATCAGCAGGGTGAGACCCATAGAAATCGTGTACACCACCTTGTTCAGCCAGTTGTTCTGGGTCAGTTGAATCGTGGTCAAGTCCTCGCCGAACCGCTGCTTAATCCACTTCACCCCCTGCAGCTGCGGATCGATCATCAACGGCCAACGGGCACAAGACACGATCACGGAGGCGTTCTCCAGCGAGACTCGGTCGGCGGGGAGCCCCTCGTTAGCCCAGCCAGCCATCTCGGCCTCATTGGTCAAGACCTGTGTGGACAAATTGCGGCGTATGCAAAAAATTTATGAAGTATTTCTCCTTTACTCGCGCATAGGGCGCCGTAACTTTACTGCGTACTAAGACAGATCATCTGCATCTCATGGACAACGTCCAACTAGTCTGTCAGTTTTGAATTCCAAATCTTTATTGCGGTAGATACCTTCAACGGATCCACCCCCTTCGAAATCGGGATCTTTCGCCCTTCGATATCGGGAATCCATTGGTTCTTCCACAGGTCCAAACGGAAATTGGACGAAAATGGCGAAATGTAACCGACAAACTCGGAAGCGAGTAAACAATCGCCGATCAACAGAAGGCCTAACTCCTTCAAGTCCTTCACCGTGTTGGTCCAACGCTTGTACTCATCCGCCAACCCGTTCACCAAGCGTTCCGCCAGACCGAGCTTCTCCAAACAAGCCGCCGCTTGCGCCTCGACCGCTTCTTTCTCGGACACGGCGTTGCTCAACGTTTCGTTCAAGCTTGCGACTTTCTCTTCCACCTCTTTGACCCGCGCCATGACAATCGCTAGACTCGCTTCGGCCTTCTCTTTCGTTTCCGTTGCGATGCGGACCTTCTCCATCAACGGCGCCACCTTCTTGTAGATCTTATTGTACCCGACAATGTTGATCACCCAGTTGGTCAAGTAAGCCGCGGCGGTGGACTTCCCCTTCATGATGTCGTAGGTGAAGAATGGCTGCGCAAGCACCGGCTCAACATTCTTCAGTGCCTCGTCCGGAATGTTGTTGGCATCGAACGCGAAGATCTCATCCAAAAACGCCCCAGGATTGTTCATCATCTTCTGCGCGCCCTTCCAGTCGAGCTTCTTCTTCTCGTTCTTCAGCAAAAACGCGCACGCTGCACACACGTCGATACACTCGACCGGCGGCTTACCGAGCGACTTCAACTCCTGGATGGCCGGCTTGGTCAGGCAGTTCACCGCTTCCTTGGCAGCCTCCATCGCGGGCATAGCCTCGGACAATTCCCCATCCGCCTGCGCTTTCACCGCCGCTGCGTCCGCGGCCAGAGCGTTCGTCTTCTCAGCTTCTTCGTTCGCTGCGGCCTTCTCGATGTTTGCCTTATCCGTGGCCTCGGTGACCTGTGCGATCAGCGCATCAGTGGCGGTTTTATTTTCCTCGACTTGCACCATGGTCACCTTTAGATCCTCTTTCAAACCCTCGACTTTCTCCTGCACCTGTTCCATAATAGTCAGACCTTTCTCCAACCGCTCGAAATTGACCGTCACCTTGGCCTGACGGTCTTTCAACATGACCATGTAGAACGCAATGAGCTCCAAAAAAGACTTGGGTGTCGTGTAATTGTAGCGACGCTCCTGCGCAAGGTAGCGCGCATTCGCCACATCAATCGACAAGTGCACCTCCGCCATGTTATCACACACCGCGGACATCATCTCATCCGTGGGAAAGTTGCCACTGTCGATCATCGGTTCTAAGAACCGGGCAGCGACACCCTGCAATGCGTCCCGCGGCCACGCCATGAACTCGTCAACTACCATGCACGAGATCAACGCCGGGAATTTGCGCCCACGAATTCGGAAGTCGTCACCGACCGGCGAATGGCACAAAATCATGTGCAGGTTCTTCCTGACCCGATCTAGGAAGTATTGAAACAGTGCGTCGCGGTCGTCGGGTACGCCGGCGGCCTTCGCGAGGTTGCGGATCGCGCCCAGGTGGGCGTCGTACTCCTCGCGGGTGAACAGATCCGGAATGTTACCGGAGGAAAGCATGTCGTTCAAGTAAACGAGAAATCGCTCGTCCGCGATCTGCCCATCCGTCATCAGGAACGCGTGCGGCGTCCCAGGCTTCACCGCGGCCTTCTTGTAGAACTCCTGCAGGTCGAGCTTCAACTCCGCCATCCCGTAGGATTGATTGACCAAAATACGAACCACAGTGATTTGCATGATGAAGCAGGACAGGTACGAGAGCGACTGCTTACCTGAACCACCGACACCAACGAGAAGCGCGTGGCCGCATGGGAAGTCGATGATGCGACAAATACGGGAAATGTGCTTCATGGCGTCCTCGAAGAGCACCAGGTTCATGGCGGCGTTGGCCTCATTGTACTGGCGCAGCTGGTCTTCCAACGTCGTGCGTAGAGCCGCCATGTCCTTGATCGGCAAGTAGACCTTATCATTCCCGCCCGCCACCGCCATGAACGTGGTCCAGATCAACGGCTCTTGGAACATTTCGTCCTTGGGCACGATCGCAGCGATGTGCTTTCCATGGACTTTCTCCAGAATCGCCTGCAACTCCGCAACGTCGGAGTGCGAGACAAGTCGATCCCCGAACACCCGGTTTGCTTCGTGGAGCCAGCAGCGCGCCATCTTCGCCGGCCCATCTTTGAACATGGCCGGGTTCGTGAATACGATTCCCTGAAAGATGTTGGCCGCGTCCTTTAAGTTGAACTGGTAGTGGAACTTAGCAGCAGAGGGCAAGAAGCACGGGGTATTCAAAATGTTCTGCAGCACATCAACTGTCGCCTGCACCAGCACTGGCCCAAGGTCTTGAATGTTTTTCGGGAAGCCCTGCTTAAAGTGATTATCCACAATCGGCCCGTAAACGCCCTTGATGGACTCCGCGGTGGGTAGGAAGGTCGTCACCACAGTGAAGTGCCTTTGGAGCCTGTCGTTGATCATGAAAGAACCGGCCTTGGGGTTCATGCAGCACACGAACTGAATATCCTGCAGGTCCTTTTTGATGGAAAAATCATCACGGTCGTAGATCTGCATGTAGGAGAGCATTTGCAGCAGCAACATGGCACCGGATTGCGTGTCGTACTTGTCCATCGCCGGCATGTTCAAGTCATCGACGAAGAAGATGCATTTTTTGTTGCTCGGCGGACCATAGGTTCGGCCCGTCCGCTTGTCCAAAGATCCGACCAAAATCGACTGGAAGGCGTACGAAGATGTGTAACTGTTGTTGCAAATCGTGGAGGACATCATGTCGTCGCGGCGGATCTTCACTTCTGTCAAGTAGTCCTTGACGATCGTGGTCTTCCCCGTACCGGGCACACCCACGTACAAAACTGGTTTATACCGGCTGATGTGCAAGTCGAGCACGTACTTGTACTTCTCGATGTCGACGCCGGACACCACGATGTTCTGGTACATCACTTCGATGCCCGGAATCGGCTCATAGGGCTTGACAAAGTTCTCCCAGTGCACCCACTCCTTGTTCACCGTGTCGAACCGGTAGTCTTCGGGATTCCCAGCCTCGGGGTACTTTACTTTGGCGATGCCCTTGTAGAAGGAGCCCCAGGCCTTACGATAGTTAGTCACTTTGTCATCCGCGACGGATGCGCCGATGGCCCAGTTCATGGCGTAGATGAAGTAGGCCTCGTACACAAGCTTCTGATCGTCGACAGACATCTGCTTCAAAGCTTCCATGTTTTCCTTTGAGTTGTTGTTCAATAGAGCGTCAATCATGCACGTGATGGACTGGATGAAGCCCATGTCGAGCAGCGGGCACGAGAAGGCGAACATTTTACGGATGGAGTCGATGTTCGCCTCGAAGTAATTCGCGAACAACAGGTAAAACGTCGACTGCGCAACCTGATCTAGGTTTTCACGCCACGACTCCATAAAAGGCTTCCAGCCCACATCGGTCTCGTTGATGAACAGCACACCACCGCGGGAAACGGTTGCGGGAGACGCGTGCTTCATGTTCTCGATCTCGAGCAACATTCGCATGGTGGGCGCGAACGCGATACGTTCGTTGGAGACCAGCGTGAGCACCTTGTTGTCATCCATCACCGTGTTCATCGACTCGATCCACTCCGCATCAATGTCGCCATCAAGGATGACCCAGCGGTGGAGATGGATTGGTTTGTACCTGATAAGGGTTTGCTATATTTCATAACTGTAGCATTTTTGCAATAAACAGAATTATCGTTTGCCCTTGAAAAAGAACGTGCCTAAGCATGTTTTGGTTTTGCATGATTGGTTCAAATCATGATCAAAAAAATTTATAATCATCTGGAAAAATGCTATACCCGTTCATCTCCTTGCTCATGTTCCGCATCACAACCGCGATGGCACCATCCTTCCACTCCTTGGTCTTCGACATGGAGCCGTACAACTCGGAGTGCGTAATCGCCTTCGGGTTAATCTGTTCCCACAAACCCTCCTGGCCGATTTCCTTGACCGAAGCCATCAACGACTTCCACACCTCCGTCTTGGAGCAGCCACCGGGACCAATAATGAAGCAGCAGTGACGCACAAACAGGATATCAAGCAGGCCGACCACCTTGACGACGAAGGAGGAGTCCGTTTGCAAACCGCGTTTCTTGATCACGCCCGCGCACACCTTGGTGAATTCGACATCCACGAAGGGGTCCGGCCACACGCCGGTGAACAGATCCTTGATCAAGCGCAGGAAGATCGGCATGTCCATGGTCGTAATCTTCGGAGTGTTGAAGTCACGCAGCGCACGGCACAGCACCGGGTTTTCATCCGCATCGGGTTCCTTCCGCTTGAGCTTCCCCGCCTGACGCAGCAGCGATTTGACCGCACGCAGACCCCAATCGTAGTGCATCTGCTTGGACAGCAGTGCCGCGGACAGACCATACAAAGTCACGAATTTACGCGACAGCGGACGGGCAATCACGAATCCCTCACTCATCAACATGTTCTCGCAGATGAAGGTCAAGTCCGGCACGATCATGGCGCAGGAGCGGAACAACGCCTTCAGGTTCTCCGGTAGTTCCGTCCGCCCCGCGTAACCCGGGTTCATGGTGATAAATGCACCAATCGTCGCGATCAGCTTGATCTCCTCGTCCATGAACAGAAACGTCTTCGCGTTCTCACGAATCGCATCGAGAATAGCTTTGTATTGCGTGGATACCACGGACAACACCTCGATCGAGATCCGGTTAAACTCGTCGAAACAACCCCAAGCACCGACCTGCGCCAGCCCCATAAAAATGTTGGCAGTCGTCAAGTACGACATCTGATCGGAACAGTTGAACACCACGATCGGCAAAGCCAGTGCGCGGCATAAATCTTTGGTGGTTTCGGTCTTTCCGGTTCCGGCCGGGCCGGCCGGCGCGCCGCCGAGAGTCAAGTTCAAGGCCTGCGACAGCGTGATGTAGCACCTATCCGTCAGCGGGGTAATCACCAACCGACCGCAGTTTCCAACGTATTCGTAGAGGTAGACGGTGACCCAATCGCAGATCTTCACAAAGCACGTCTTTAGCTCGTCCGGAGTGAGACTGACCAGAGTCGGCGGGTTCTGCGGTTTTGGTCCGATGTAGAACTTCAACTGCGACTGCCACGCGAAGGCCGCGGCGTCCATGATCTTCTTGTTTACGAAGCCCTCGACGACATCCCGGCCGTGCACATCGATGGTAATCACAGTGATGATCTTCACGCGGAGTTCGGGAGACAAGTCGGTCTGCACACGAATAATAAACTTCTCAATCCGGTCGTCGCAAACGCGTTTGTAATCCTTCATCGCGGTCTCACTTCCCGCTTCGATCTCCTCAAACGCGCGACCGGTCTCCTCCGTCCACACCATCATGGTGATCAGGAGCGCAATCTGCATTGCAAATATGTCTGGGTGTGGAAGCTTGCAACTTCTCATGCTGACTTTGGACTCTAAAAAAATTTGTATTGCATGACCAGCAAGAGGAGCCCAGTTTGGGACTACTAGTGAGGAGGGCGCTTCTCATGCGGAATAGGCATCAGGAAGGGTTCTAAAAACCTGTAATGCTAGGGCATACATCACAAACTATCATGGGTCATGCGAAATATGCATGACAAACCTTGCACTCTTCCAGACCCAGACATATTTGCAGTTGATACGCAATCTGCGCGCAGTACGGTTCCAGCCAGAATTCTCGGGGATTGTCGATCTCCCAGTTCTCCGCGGTGCCGCGGGCAACCTCCATCTGGTCGCGCAACACTAATCTCACATGACCTTCCAGGTTGTAGAGGTACGTCTCCACGGCACCGGCAAGGGTGAAATCTTCATGGAACGCCACATACTCACCATCCTTCGCGACCATACCACAACCGATCTTCCCGTCGTCCGGAGACTTGGAGAAGTCCAACGTTTTCGTTGCGTCGAACACGTCCCCCAAGTACGCCGCGACCTTCAATGGGCGGTTACCATTGGAGAGGATATCCAGAAGCGCCTGATTATGGAAGCGTCAGGTTTGAAATCGTCAAAGTTGACATAATTTGTAATGCATAAAATGCATGACCCGAGGTACGTGTGTTGCAGAGCAGGCAAGTGAGGCCGATTGTAAGCCTGTTTGGGGTTACAGCTCGAGCTGCTAAAGTAGCATGATAAAATCGCTCTTCTTTGCCTAAACAGCATGACAAACTGGATTTAAGGGCCGCCAAGATTTGTCATGCGCCACTTGGAAACTGGGTTCCAACTGGCATCCATTTTATGCATGACAAATTATTTCAACTTTGTCGATTTCAACTCTGACACATCCATACTGATTCGCCACGAAGTAGAACCGCGGGAACGCTTTTTTCTTCTGCTCTAAATAGTCGTTCAGTGCCTTCTCACACGTCTCGATGGTTTCGTGGATCTCGCGCAGCGCATCCAGCCGGCCCTCGGCGCAGCAGATTTCGACCAGCATGGTGGACTGCGAGGCGTCGAGCATCAGCTCCTTCCACTTGCCGTCCACCGCCTCAAATATCCTGAGTAAAAACGTACCCACACCAGAGTCAAGATGGGGAATCGGCTAGACAAATCCACAAGTTTTGGCTGTTTTGCATGACAAATTTGGATTCGTAGTATAGTGCTGTTTCAGCTAGCTCAGCAGCATCACAGATCTAGCATACCATGCTGATTGGAGCATGACAAATTGCAAAACACGACTAGAAAATGCTTCTCATGGAGCTCCGCATGAGAAACATTTTCAGCATGCAGATTTGCATTACAACTCTGGTGTGGGTACGTTTTTACTCAGGATATCAAACCTTTTCGATTCATCCGGCAGCTGCGACCGGATATCGTCGGACTGCATGAAGATGGGCTCCTATCCAGGAAAAAAAGTGTGTAAGTGTAGCTTTCATCTTTGAGAAACAGCATCACAAATTTGCTCTACATGACAGAGAAAACCTGTCATGCATGATTTGTAAGGGAAAACACACATGAAAATAGGACTTCATGGCTGTCTGGCATGACAGGTGTAACTCTGTTGCATCTTCTGCAACACAAATTTACACTTACACAGTTTTTTTCTTGCATAGCTCCAATCGCGACCAGTTCAGCTGCACCTTCTGCCAGATGTCGACGACCGCGTCGATGGTTCTCAATTTCGCGGACCACTCGTCCACCACCGCCTGACAGAACTCGATGAACCGGCCCTGCGAGGTCATACCGACCATTTCTAAACTGTGCGCTTCCAGAATCTCGACAGTCTCACCTAATTCCTCCAGCAGCGGCACGCTATCAAATGCAAAATTGTCTGGGTCTGGAAGGATCCACCAAGGTTTGTCATGCACATTTTGCATGGCTCCTATGTCTGTGATGCATGCCCTAGCATCACAGATTTTGTGACGGCTTCCTGATGCCTATAGCTATACCGCATGACAAATGCTCTTTCCGTGTAGCAAAACTTGTACTCTCTTTGCTGCTCATGCAATACAGATTATTTTAGAATCGAAATGCAGCATCACAAGTTCCAATTTTCCAGATCCAGATCCAGACATTTTTGCAATCCATACACGTCCGGGTTTGACATGTTGAACCGCATCTCCATCTTCGACCACGTGTTCCGGATGATGGTCAGCTATCAGGTGCAAAAGTGTCTGGGTCTGGAAGAGTGTAGACTTGTCATGCAGATTTTCCATGACCCATGAGGACTGCCATCCAGGACTTAGCATGACAGACTCTCCGAGGTCTCTGCCATGCCTATTCTGCATGAGCAACTCAGTTCCAACTTGGTCAAAAGTGGACAGCTTTTCGCACTCATGCAACACAGACTCTTGCATGCTTCAGATTTACCATGACAAGTTGCAGTCTTCCAGACCCAGACATTTTTGCAATGCATATCAGCTTCTTGTCGATCTTCGCTTCCTTTGCAGATTGGTCCACGATTTCGGACACATCGTCCGCGTAGTGGTGGAGGTTCAACACCAACAAATCTTTAAAGCAGAAGTTCGGGCCCTTCTCGAAGTGCTTCCCGGTGACCGTCATGATCATGGTCCAGTGGCGGTCGCGCATGGTGTCGGACCGCAGGTCGTTGATCAGGGGGAGCACTGTCGCCATGTTCTTCACCTGGTCGATCAGCCAGTTGTACAGCGGCCAGGTGCGCATGCCCTTCGGCATCACCTTCATTTGCATCTGGAACTCCTTCACCCGCTGCATCAGATCGTCGGTGTTGATCTTGTCCCACAGTGTGGTGTTCCAGTCTTTAAACGTGGTCTTGATCATGGAGATGGTGTCCCACAAGTTCTTCAACAGGCCCAGATCGTCCAGCGACTCCTTCAGACTGCGATAGTTGGACACCGAGATGTCGAACAAAATCTCGAGATTGTTGTACTCCTTGGCCTTCTTCTGGATCTCGTGCGTCTTCACGTAGTAGTCATCCAGCGTCTGGTAGGCGCGGTCGTAGCCCTCCGCCTCGAACGCGTCGATCAGTTTCTGCGCGTCCTGCGAGTTGGCCGCCTCGTCGATCTGCGCCTGCAGCTCCTCCGGAATCGGGAGGTCCAAGAACCGGCTGTGGTCGAAGGGACACTCCGCGCGGAACTGCGCGCGGAAGTCGCCGACGGTGGACCCGAAGGAGTCGATGGTGTGACGGATCTTCAACATCTCGACGTTCTGCAGCGGCAAAATCCTCTCACGCTCGTCGAACGCGGCCCGAATCACCTCCTCCCACCGGGCCGGCGCCGCCTCGAGCTCGATCAGGTGCTCCTCCGCGACCGGGACGCCGTGCTTGCGCAGCAGGTTGCAGCCCTGGCGGATGGTATGCTGTGCAAAAGTATCGCACTCGTATCGTATAAATGCAGGTCTTGCATTACAAATTTCTTTGTCAAGGCAAATCAGCATTACAAATTTTATTTCTCATGCTGAGCAAATCTGTAATGCATTTATACGAGTATGATACTTTTGCAGTTCATAGATGGGCTCGAACAGCGTTTTCAACGGTCCCTGCAGGAACTTCACGTCGCGGATGTGCGTCATGGTCTGGTACAACAGCGCGGAGTTTTCCGGATCGTCCGCCGGGGAGATCTCGGTCAAGCCCTTCTGCACGTTGTTGATGAAGCCCATCAACTGCACAATGCGCTCCTCGACGTAGCTGTGCAGGTACATCGAGTACTTCTCCTCCCACTTCGCGACGTACTGCACCAGGTTGATCTATGGATGTGTCAGGTTTGAAATCGACAAAGGTGAAATAACTTGTAATGCAAAAAATGTATGAACGTTGTGACCCAGTTTCCAAGTCGCGCATGACAAATTTGGGTAGAGCCGGAATCCGGTTTGTCATGCTGTTTGGGTAAGAAAGACGCCTTTTGTCATGCTACTTTAGCAGCTCAGTTTCTACTCCTCAACAGGCTTACAATCTGCCTCACTTACCTACTCTGCAAGACAGGCACTTTGAGGGTTGCATTTTATGCATGACAAACTATTTCAACTTTGACGCTTTCAAACCTGACGCTTCCATATGATCTTCACGGGCTGCGAGTTATCAAAAGGAAAAATCCCCCCTCCCCATATCAAAACGGAATTCTGTGATGCAGATTTGTTGTCACAAATCAGCTTTGTCATGCTACACGGGAAAAGATGCGGACTGTAGTGCTGGGTGGCGTGGGGGAGCCTTGCATCTTCAGCATGATAGGAGGCAGCTGCGAGCGGGAAACAGCATGACAAATTGCCTGCAAACGAGACCACGACTGCGGCTCTTGGCCTTCTAGCATGACAAGTCGATTTGGTACCTCAAATCCTGCATCACAGATTTCCATTTCGATATGGGGAGGGGGGATTTTTCCGTTTGATACGAGTTGATGCGCAGCCAGTGGATGTCCACCGGGGTTTTCGTCCCCGCAATTTCCTCCTTCAACCGCTTGAACCGCGTGATCTGCTCGTCGAACCGCTCGAACGGCGGGATCTTGGGTCCCATGTCGATGCCGGCCGTGTCCATCAGCGTGTGGAAATCCATGCCGTCCTCCACTTCCGGGTTGACCAAGTCCTTCGCGCCGTCCAGCAAAAAGTCGGCGAAGGTCTCTTCGAGGGATTCCTTCCACAAAAAGCTGTGCTGCATGAACGTCTGTCGGTAGTCGATGCACTTCATCTCCGTGTTGTCGATCAGTTCGAACACGAGAGACAACAAGCATTGCATCTGGAAGTGCTCCTTCATCTCGTTCAGGTAATCCCCGGTACCGGTGTCCAACCGTGGCATCGTCACCGCCGCCATGGCGAAGAAGTCGCGGAGCCAGCCGTTGATCGTCCCGCGGAGCGCGACGCCGTCCTTTTCCTTCGGCGCGAACGGCGGGTCGAACACGATTTCCCCGCTTTCCGGGTCGAGTTCGATTTTGATGTCGAACAGCGGCTGTACGTCGTGTCTTGAGATGATCAGCGGGTCCAGAATCTCGCACAGGTACTGCAGCGAGACCGCGATCACGGACACGAAACCCTCGATCATGATGTTGTTCACGAAGTCCACGTAGTTTTTCCAGATGTTCGAGGACTTCGCGACCTTCAGGGCCTCGTTGGAATCCTTCAGGAACTTGTGGATCTCCTTGCCCGCCTCGCCCATCATGTGCAACCGCGTGCCGACGTTGGCCTTGTGCGCCAGGTCGAACTCGTCCACGGCCATCGGTTTGGCTTTTCGTTCCAACAACGGACTCTGGCATATGGCGCTCTCAAGCGTTACATTCTCAACTCTTACATGAATTTGTCATGCAAAAGCACCTTAAGCCGGCAGATGATCGAGCTGCGTCGCATGACAAATTTCGCGAGGGCTACAAAGCATCTAAATCTGCGCCAAACTTGTAATGCAAAAGGCGCAATCTTCCTCCTTCCAATTTTGCCAGTCTTGCATTAGAAATCCATGTAACAGTTCAGAATGTAACATTTGAGAACTCCATATGGCACCACTGCTCGATGATGGCGGAGATCTTTTTCAAATTTCCCTTGATTGCGTCCACCACATCGGACTATCAAATGCAACAATGTCTGGGTCTGAACATGCTAAACTTGTAATGCTGTCTCTGGATTCTGAAAAAAATTGTATTGCATGTTGACCAGCAAGGGGATTCCAGTTTTATCTACGCGGAGAGGGCGTTTCTCAAGCGGTAAAGGTATCGCAAAGCGCTCTAAAAATCTCTGATGCTACGGCATGCATCACAGACATCACGGGTCATGGAAAAGATGCATGACAAATCTAGAAATCTTCCAGACCCAGACATTTTTGCATTTGCTACGGACACTTCACCGACCACGTCTGTGACAAATTTGATCAAAGCGGGGATCTTGTCCTGTGTAAAAACGTCCCCACCCCGCCAGAGTTGTCATGCAAACGTGCAATGACAGGAACATTTGTAATGCGCTTTTCCTTGAGAGGTATTTCCAGTCGTGTTTTGGAATTTGTAATGCTGTAAACACGATGAGTAAATGGCTTTCTCTTGTTACGGCTTTCCTTGCCAACCAGCACTACACTGCAGATGGAAACTTGTCATGCAGAACTCTCAAAAGTTGGAGATTTGTGTTGCAGATTTCCCATGTTGACTATGGTGTGGGGACGTTTTTCCGTAGGATAGATTTTATCCTCGGTCTTCCACCGGAGGTCCGTCAACCCCGGACTCAGCGCGCTGTCCATGCGGACGATCTTGTCCTCTAACAGCGGCTCTTCCACAGGTAATAGCTCTGTTAACACTGCTATCCACAGTAAATTTCCCGCACACGTACAGATGCGGTCTCTGCATGACAAAACTTGGTTTCGATCCTAGTTTAGCATGACAAGTTTTACGCTCCAAATTGGTGAAATTTGTGATGCATGTTGTACATGTACGGAAAATTTGTATTGCATAACTGCGTTGTATTTTCCGACCACGATATCCAGCTGGCCGCACCAGGTGCGGTACACGTCGGCGCGCGAGAAAATGTTCAGTGCGGTTTCGTATCAACTGCAAAAGTGTCTGGGGTTGGAAAACTAAAGTGTAAACTTGTCATGCAGATTTTCCATGACCCATGAGGTCTGGAATGCGGGACTTAGCACGACAGACTTTACTGCGAGGTCTGTGCAATGCTTAACTCCAAAGAGGGCGTGCGCTAATTCATATCTACACACAATTCAAATGAATTTCAAAAGTTTGAAGTTTTGAACTTTCGAGGGCGATCTGGCATTGGGGCATGAATGTTCCAAATCAAGTCGAAATGAATGAAAACAAATATACAACGAATTCCGCCCGGCAGAGCTACGCCGGGCACATCGCCCTGCACACACCGCCATGCAGCTGCCCAGCCGGGACGGACAAGCAGGGCAACAGAGCAGGAAATAAAACCAGGAAAGGTGCACGCGCGCCACCACGAACGGACAGAGCGGGGCCCGCCATAAAGCATGGCCCGGCCCCATGAGCCGACACGCCCCGCCCCCTGCGGAATGGCGCGGCACACTGCAGGAAAAAAATAGCTAGCAAGCCGGAACGGGCGAAGGCCAATCGGGGGGCTTGTGTCATGTACCTGGCTTTCGTTTGCAGGACCACCGGGGGGGGGGTACGGGATTCCCGGCAGGGCCAGACGAGAAGACAACAAAAAGATCGCGCGCGCGCAGCGCGCGCGCGTTTTTTTTTTTCCCCAAAGAAAAAAAGCAACGCGGGGCAGACTGGTTTTCGGAAAGAAGTGGCGCAACCAGCAGGCCTCCGCGCGAAAAGAAACACAGAGGGGGCGAGCAAGCCAGACAGACCAAGCCAGAGGACGCGCCCGCTCGGCGGGGTATAGGAATATCGCGCCACGAGGAAAAAGCTGAGGATGCGCGGGGCCAGATTTCGAAAGGAAATCACGCCCCCATCTACATTCTTAGCGGCAATCGAGCACTTCTAGCGGCAATCATGGATTTCTAGCGGCAATCAAGGAATTCTAGCGGCAATCAAGGAATTCTAGCGGCAATCAAGCAATTTCAGCGGAAATCAAGGACCCGCCAAACAGGTCACAGGTCGGTCATAAATCGGTCAGAATTCGGTCCCTATCTTAGAAATCAGGACATGACCGATTTTTTTTGGGTCTGTGATTTTTTTTGATTGAAGTCCGGGACCAGAACGAAAGCGCTCTTTTTTATTTTTAATAATTTTTAGTCTTAGAAAATAAATCCTGGCAGCTCCGTCTCGATGGCGCCGGCGTTCCATTGACGAAAACCTGAGCGGCCGCCGCTGTCGCTGTGCTACCAAGAAAAGGCACTGCCTCTGCAGGTAGAGGACCCGCTCCTAAGACATATCCAAAGCAAATGAATCACCGCTGCAGGCGGCGGAAGTTTGTCTGTCTTCCTTGCAGTGAAACTGGTACGCACTGACTTTCAAGCAGAGAAGAACATCTGTCCAAGACATGAAAAAAGTCAGAAGCCGGCATATAGCCGCCCAGATATTGCGTATCGCTATCAGATGAGGGAAGAAGAGGTCTTTCCTCTGTGGGGCTGTTCACTGCAAGGTCGCCTCTTGCTCGCCCACAGTGGCGAAGCAATGCGCAAATACCGCTACCATATCAAGATGCGCAAATGCCGAAGCTCGTCCTCCTGCACAAATGCCGAGAGGGTAAAGAACTACAATAAAGAGGCGCGCTCAGAACTAGGTAGGCAAGAGGAAGGACGAACCCTAACTAAAAGACCATCAAAGAAGGAAGGCCGGCCTTGTTGCCGATGGTCAAAGAAATAAAGCCATGAGGGTGTCAATAAGCGATCTAGCTAGAAGGCGAAAACTCAACACAACGGCATGACTGGAGTATTCGAAAAGAAGCACGCTCGAAAGGAGCACGAAAATCGCTTGCGAATCTAGTATGGAAGGGCTGGGGCTACTGATGCGCCGCATTATACATGCCAACCTAGAACTAGCACTCTACTACTCGAAAAACTGAAATTGCTGAACTTTTGAATTTCATTTGAATTGCGTTGCGATTCAATTTAGCGCCGGGTGCTTCTGCGTTAATGCAATGCCTATCCTGCATGAGAAATAACTCCATCCTAACTTGATCAAAAGTGGACAGCTTTTCGAGGTAATCGCGCAACGCAGATTTTTACATGATTCAGATTTACCATGACAAGTTGCATCAACCTTCCAGACCCAGAAATTTTTGCAATTCATATTTCCGGGACCTCTAAGCCGAACAGCAGGAAATATCGCACTTCCCGGAGCAACCGGACCAGAGCCGGGTCGATATCCACAGGAAATTTCCCGTACACGTACAGATGCGGTGTCGGCATGACAAAACTTGGCTTCGATCCTAGTTTAGCATGACAAGTTTTACGCTCCAAATTGGTGAAATTTGTGATGCATGCTGTACATGTACGGGAAATTTGTGTTGCATAGTCGAAGTTCACCTTCAACAAACCGGTTTTCTCCAACCTTCGCAACAACCGCATCTTCAGCTTCTCCTTCGTCGGTTCGACCTGCGTTGCCTTCCACTCCTTGTACTTTTTACCCTCGTACTCGTCAAAGAGTTCGGATAACTGGTTGTACAACTTTTCCACTTCCCGGTACTCCTCGGGTTTTTCCCTTATGGAAGCGTCAGATTTGAAATCGACAAAGTTGAAATAACTTGTATTAATGCTGCATAAAATGGATGAAAGTTGTAACCCAGGTTCCAAGTGGCGCATGACAAATTTGGGTAGAGCCGAAATCCACTTTGCCATGCTGTTTGGGTAAGGAAGATGCCTTTTGTCATGCTACTTTACCAGCTCTATTACTACCCCTCAACAGGCTTACAATCTGCCTCCGATGCCTACTCTGCAACACAGGCACTTTGTGGGTTGCATTTTATGCATCGCAAACTATTTCAACTTTGACGATTTCAATCCTGACAGATCCATATCCCTGACCAACTTGTTAAACACCAGCAGCTTGCTCATGGGCATGTCGATGCGCTGCTTCAGTGCGCGCACCCAGTAGATGGCGCCGGCGACGGGTGGGAAGTTCAGGAACAAGGGCGCAATGTCGGACACCAGGTCGATCTGCGCTTTGTTCTGGCTGAACAGCGTCTTGCACACCTTCAAATCCGCGCGGACGTTGGTGAGCAGAACCGTGTACTTCTTTTCCAACTCGTCCTCCAGAATCGGGCGCTCCAGCAAGCCCTCGAACCCGTCGAAGAGCTTCGCCCGGCCCGCCACGGAGTCCAGGTCGTCGAACCCGAGCCCGAGCACGGTGGCCATTCGCCGGTCCAGCTCCCGGATGGACATGCGGAAGGCGAAGAAATCGTCGTCGAACCGCATCTCGTTGATGTCCATAATGTCGTACTCGACCGCTTGAAAGTATGCAAGCGCCAGGATCGAAATCAACAAAATCGAAATAATTTGTGATGCATAAAATCGATACCAGTTGGAGCCTTAGTTTCCAAGTAGTGCATGACAAATTTTGGGAGCAACAAAATCCAGCCCGTCATGCTGTTTTGGCAAAGAAGACTGCTCCTGTCATGCTACTCCGGCAGCGCATCGTCTTCCCTAAACAGGCTTGTAATCGGTCTCATTTGCCTGCTCCCCAATACAGGCCATATGTGCCCTACATTTTATGCATTACAAATTTTGCGATTTTGCAGATTTCGATCCTGACACTCCCATAGAAAGGTGGCGACCGCGCGCTGGAACTCCTCGTAGATGTTCACAATCGTATCAAATGCAAAAGTGTCTGGGTCTGGAAGAATGCGCGACTTGTCATGCAGCTTTTCCATGACCCATGAGGTCTGGAATGCAGGACCTAGCATCACAGATTTTGCGCGATCTCTCTCATGCCTATCCTGCATGAGCAACTCCCTCCCGACTTGGTCAAAACTGGACGACTTTCGGTAATCATGCAACACAGATTTTTGCATGCTTCAGATTTAGCATGACAAGTTGCATTTTCCAGACCCAGACATTTTTACATTTGATAAATCGCCTGGGTGAGCAACTTTCCCTTCGTGCCGCCGATGTCGATCCGCTCCAACTTGATGAACTGCACGATCGTCTTGGTGAAGTCCAAAATGTCGCGGCACCGCTCGCGGAACGCGTCCAACCGCACGAACAAGGCGTTGGACTGGATCTTCCACCCGCCGTTCGGCTGCTGCTCCGCGATGTCCTTGTACATGGCGTACCGGTCCTTAAACTCCGTGCAAATCGCGAGGGTCCTTTCCAATTTGTCCACCGCTTCCTTCGCCTCCTCGTTCTGGATCAACGTGAAGATTTGCGGCCCGTTGATGTACTTCAGTGACTGGTTGATGATCACATTGCACACTTCGCGGATCAACACGACCAGTCTCCCCGGGGTGTTGTAGTACTTGCTGTACTTCCAGATCAGCAGAATGGTGTGCAGCAGCCCGTCGAAGCAGTTCGGGAGCTTCTCGTAGTCCGCCCCATCGTTGGTCAAAACGTCGAAGAAGGGAACCAGCGTCTTCAAAAAGTGATCGTTGTCGATCGCCTCGTCCCGCGCCTGCTCGACCTCCTTCTGCAGTCGGGAGCAGGTATCACACAGAAAAAAGCTGGCGGGTCATATTTGTATATGCAAAAATAAATAGACAAAAAAAATTTGTATTGCATATCCTAAATAGCATGCTATGAGGCCGCCCATGACAGATTTTTCTGTGTCTTTATTTTTGCATTACAAATATGCCCTGCCAGCTTTTTTCTGTGGGATAGAAGGGTTGCGTGTAGGTGGACTTGTTCTGTTCCAGAAATTTCAACACCTTCTTCAGCTGCTCGGACTGCAGCTGTGCGTGGATCACGTTCAGGTTGGTCGCTTTATTTCTCCAGAACTCCAGCTCCACCATCGGGCCCGGGTTGCCCTGCTTCAGCAGCGCCTCGGGGTCCTGTTTCAACACGTGGGAAATTTGCTTTGTCCAGGTAATCACGGCGGACTCCAGGATGTGCACCCGGTCCTTGTTGGTGGAGGACGCCCGCTCGCTGGTCGCCTCCTTCGGCGGCAGGGGGAGGAGGGTTTTGCCCATCATCAGCCCGCAGGTGACGTGGAGGTTGGCCAGAAAGACGTGGTACTTGTCCATCAGGTCCTTGCTGATCAGGTCGCTCCAGCCGGTCTGGTTCGCCGGGTTGGACAGCGTGGACAGGTAAATGTGGTGGCAGTAGTTGTTCAACATAGACATCAAGTCCTTCGTGGCCTCCATAAACAAAACCCGGTCGTACAGGTTCTCCTTCGTTATCTTGCCGGACCCGCACTGATGTAGAGATAGAGATTTTATTTATTCATACTGGATATTACCATGCGAACGAAGAACGATCAGAAATCATGAATGCAGAGGAACAAGCGCGTCGAAGAAAAAAGAGCGACATAATATGTAGACTTTTTTCCGATTCCGAAACTCAAAAACATCAGCTCGTCAAAAAACAATTAAAGCAAACACCTTGTGCACGAAGAGGATTTTCTTTTTCAGCTTGGTGATGTCCGGCAGGTCGCTGGTGGCCGTCCAGTATCCTGTGCAAAAGTACCGCACTCGTACTAATTGCACATATGCATGACGAATCTTCTTCCTAAGGTAAAACAGCATTGCAAATTGCGTTTGTCATGCTGAGGAAATTTGTAATGCAATTTATACTACTAGTACGATGCTTTTGCATTGCATATCCAGACGCCCTCCGCTGCGGAGGAAAAGACCAGGAAGTTGACCTCCTCCTTGTCACAGAACGACTTGACCTCGGTTTTCGTGTCATCATCGATGGTCTGCATTGCCTTGTCCTTCTTGGCCTTCGGAAAGCCGAAGATGTTGTACACCTTGTCGTGCACCCAAGCATCGGGCTTGAAGGCGTCCGCCGCCGGCTTCTTCTCCTCGTCCGGCATGATGCTAACGACTATGTATCAATGATCAACGAAGAAAAATCCTTTATTTGACAAGTCGATCTCGATTCCTTATCGTGGATTTGAGCTTATATTACCTCAAGTGTGGCGCAGCTTTCCCGCCCAGGGGAAAAAAACACCGCTCTACTCTCTGCCTAATTTTTTTTTGGGTTTGAAATTTGTTTGAGAAGATTGATTTTGAAAGAAAAAAATCGTCTTGCTATGATTTGTGATTGTGTTGCTTCTAGAAATGCAAAAAATACTTCTGCTGCAATGCTATATTTATAGGATAGGCGTACTTCTAGTTCTGTCGAAAAAAATAACTTTTTTGGTTTTGAAATATCACGTAGGAGATGCTGAAGGTGATGTTCTGCGAACTTCTAAACCAGTGCACAAATTAGAAATAGACGCTTTGGTTCTTTGGAGATTAGGATTAAGTACTTGTAATAGAAAAAATCCTGCCCTTTTTTGGTGAGAAAAGATGAAGATTCCAGCACATTCTTTGGGACGGGGTCGAGGTCGTAAACGCACTTACTACGACGAGGGGAGCAAGTTTTTACCAGGTTCAGAGGACGACGACGAGACGTAGGGTTGTACGGTTATGTTGACATTATTGATACAACATAGAAATCTCGTCACCCTTGTTTTGCTACTTTTGTGGGACATCAAAGCGCCGTACGAAGAAGGAATGCAAAACTTCTTTTCGAACGTCTTCTTCAGATACTCAGGCTGGACGGGGACGTGATGTTGAACGGAAGTCTTTTTTGTACGAAGAAGAAGAATTGCAGATCAGCATAATACCTACGTCAGTACAAGAGCTAATATTACACTTTTTGAAGGACAAGCTGACATACGATACCCACAGAAGATTCATATTCATTTCTATTTCATAAGTTCTAAAAAAAGAAGGCAACTTTATGTATGAGCGTGCTTCCATCTAGCATGTTCGAGAGCGGGGTTGCCGTTGTATGAGTATGTATAGCACGGTATCTATCATCTTCATGTTTGTACGTACAACTGCATTCTAATGCTTTATTGATCTTGTGCTTCATCTAGGGTGGGCAGGTGACGTTAATATCCTTACAGCTCACAGATTGATACGTCCTCGACGAGACGACCCAAAAACGCAAATATTTACATTCCCTCTCGCTCGATGTCGATCTTGTTGGTTGTGACAACTGGACAGTTGGTTTTTCTGCAACGAACAACTTCTTGTACGAACACTTGCACTTCCTATGTGCTTCTTGATGAGAGCTGTCTCTGTCACTCTTTTTATTCTTACAGTCCAACACAGTTCTTGTGCTGTCGAGTGAAACCCATAGCTACAGCTAGTACAACTTGCGTCATGTAATCACTAAAAATCTTCAGGCACAGCTTGTCACTAAAATGTCTCGCTCCTTGATGCAGCTGTCGTGGGCACGAGCGCTGCGGCAGCGACATGCCTAAAAAATCGCCAATGCTGTATAATCTGGCGTGACGCAAATGCAGCTTTGCGGAGGAAATAGTCCCTTGTCCCTATGTATGATTCTGCCCGAGGTTGAGGCTTGTGGTTGCTGCAGCTGTGTTTCTTGCTACTGAAGATGGACTCAACATCAAGGTCAACAACTACAGGCCCACTAAAAAAGCAGCGGTGCGCATCAATGTGCTCGTCCAGACCAGGAGCTTATTTTTTGCTCAGGAGTATGATCGCAACCTCCACACGGAGAACTTCTACTGTCTGATAAAGAAGACGCTTCTCACAGCTCCTCCCTCCTCGCCCTTTTCCTCAGCGCCTTCTCTGGCGGTCGAAAGCCCTGCGTTAGTTCGTAGGTTCCTTTCCCAGGGATGTATTTTTCCGTGGGCAGCGAGTCCACCATTTTGTAGTAGTATTTCGTTGCCAGGCCGGAGTGTTTCCCGACTTTGGACAGCGAATTCATAGCCACGTCCATTGCGGCGTAAATTTCGTGCAAAATGATTGCCTGTTTGATCAGCTTTTCCCGGCGCCGCTTCAGCAGCTCCACGATCTCGCGCTCAGACGTGGCTGAGGATGACGAGGCTTCTAGTTCTACTTGTACTCTTTCATCTTCTTTCAGATGCACATCACTTTCACGACCTGCTTTCTTCACCACCGGCGCGCCGTCCTCTGCTCCCATGATCGCAGTTGTCCTTCTCCTCCATGCGTGTCTGAGTTCTTTTTCGCACGCCACAGCCCCCGTTGCACTTGCAGCTGGTCCGCTGTCAACTACCTCGTCCACAGGAGGGTCCGCATCCGTCTCGGAAGGCGGAAAAGATCTCCTCCTCGTGGAGGTCCTTTCAGCTGTCATCAGCTTGACGCATTCGTTGTACTTGGAAGCCAATCGAAAAATTTCGTTTTCGTCGACCATCGGGTTCACTTCTACTTCAGTTCCAGCGGGATCATGCTTATGCTGAGGCGCAGCTTCGGCTTGGGCTATTTGTCGACCTTCGGCCTTTTCCTTTTCCTCATTTTCTTGGGCTGAATTTATTCCTGCGTCTGTATGATCTGCACTCGCCACACGAACTAAATCATGATCTGCAGTGCCGCGGCTCCGATGTCCTGCTTTCTGCAATAATTTCCGGTACTGGGTGTCGATGTCTTTGATGTAAATGGCGTTGCCCCAGAGAGAGCTGGAACTCAATCGGGTGGGCTTCATGCCGCGCCCGGTCAGGTCGCTGAGCCGGTGGAAAACGAAGTCTCGGTTGCGTTGTCAAATGCAAATGTGTCTGGGTTCTCTGGATCAGGATCAGTCGCGCAACCGACGTTTGTCATGCTGTTCTTGCATGACCGAGGAGGTCTGGCATGCAAGCCCTAGCATCACACGTGGTCTTGAGAAGGTCTCCCAATGCCGAACCCGCATGACAAATCTCCTCTTTCGGAGTCATCAAATTGAAATATTGCCCGCGTTTATTGGTGTTCATGCATGACAGATCTTTGGGTTGTCTGAAGTTTGCATCACAACCTGCATCCTTCCAGACCCAGACACATTTGCAATGCATATGCGCAGGAAGATGTCGATGTCCGCAAACAGAGGCATGTCCTTGTACAATTTCTGAAAATGCTATCCCCAGTAGAAAACAACCCATGAAGATCCGGATCCATTTTTTGCATGACAAACACTGGACTTGATGCATGTTTTGCATCACAAATTGGATCATGGGTAAGATGGGTGGTCTTTTTTCATGGATAAATGCACCTCCACGTCGATGACCACTACCTCCTCCAATGATTCCTTATCAAATGCAAATATGTCTGGGTCTGGAACAAGGTTGCAACTTGTCATGCTAATTCTGGATCATGCAAAAATCTGTGTTGCATGCGTGCCAAAAGCTGCTCACTTTCGACCAAGTTGGCAGGGAGTTTCTCATGCAGGACAGGCATGGTAGGAATCGCACAGAATCTGTCATGCTATGTGCTGCATTCCAGACGACATGGACCTTGGAAAATCTGCATGACAAGTCTCGGAATCTCCCAGACCCAGACATTTTTGCATTTGATATTCCTCCGCCCCCTGAAAAACCAGCATCTCCGCTCCCTGCACATCGACCTTCAAAATATCACAGGAAAAAACTGTTTCACTGTGATGACAACTTTGCAAGATCTGCATCACAAGCTTGCTACACATGACACTGAAAATTTGTCATGCGCGCTTCCTAAGGGAAATAAAACACGCTTGCAAATCCAATGTCTTGCAGGTGTAGCAAGACAAAGAGTTCTGTGTCCCATTTTCTGCATCACAAGTTCACAGTGAAACAGGTTTTTCTTGCGATACAAAAAATCGATGTCGTAGTTGTTCGGCCGCAAAGTGTATGAACTGCAAAACTGTATCGCACTCGTACTAAAAATTGCAGATTTGCATGACAAATCTTCTTCCTACGCTAGAAGAGCATTACAGATAAATTCTATTTCTTGTCATAATTTGTGATGCAATTCTTACTAAGTACGATACTTTTGCAATGCATAAAATGTAGTCCAGTTTTACCGTCGGCACCGACTGTTCCAGTACGACCTTGTAGGCTTCCTCTAGTTGGTCGTATTTGGACACCACATCCACGTTGGGCTCGAGTAGGGAGGACGACAACTCTATCCACAGGGAATTTCAACAACATCCCGCCTCACACGTAGAAGTTGCAAATACGGTAGTTTATGCAGCATGTCATGTCAAAACTTGTTTGCAATCCTATTCTTTCAGCATGACAAGTGGCACTTTTTCAGTAGGCCGCGATTACATTTGTCGTTATGCATGTTGTGCGTGTAGTGCGGCTTCTACGGGACGTCATCAAAATTCGCATTCTATAAGCCCATTCTGGGTGACGAAAAATGTCCGGCGGCTCCCGTCACCGACGTAGTGGGGAAACAGAAGCATGTTCGGGTAGGATTTCCGGTACTTTTCGTTGGGGTCAAACCCGATCACCTGGCAGAGATCTTGCATCAGCAGCCGATGGTAAACGTGGGGCTTCCCGCGGACCTGAAGGCATCCTGGGGGAAAAATATCGCTTTCGTAGGTCGTCCTTCTAGTAGTTGTTCTTTCTTCAGAACGAGCTGAATTCAATCACAGAATGCATATACGACGACCATACTTCCATGTTTGCAATCCCTCAACATACTAACTGACTATCTAGAACGGGCGCGCGCGGCGGTCCGGGCGCCGGCCCACTGAAGTGGCCCTGTAAGGAGGAACGCCCGGACGGGGAGCGGCGGAACGTATCGAGGTGGAAAGTGTAAGGACCAGGAGAGACGTATGGATGACCAGACGGACGCAGTCAATCCGCGAAATTTCAAAATTTTATCTTTATTGTGCGAGCAACAGCTAAAGAGTATGTAGAAGAAGAGTTCTGACGCAGAGCCACACAGAGGCGTCGTGGCACGCTGACAAAAAGCAATGAGGTTGAAAGGTTTTTAATTAATGTTGACGCAATAACCAAGCAATCCGCGAAATTTCAAAATTTAATTTTAATGAAGACAACAAATCCGCGAAATTTCAAAATTTTATTCTTATCACTGGGAGGAGACTTACAAGAATCGTCTGGGTTTCGAGCATCATCGCTACACTGAAGTTGCGAGTCGGCTGGCGGCTACTGCGACCAGTAGTGCGTAGTATTCAACAAAATGTTGCACTTCGTAGTAGCGTATTAGAAAAGTCTCAGTTTTCGTACGCGGAAATTTCCTCCGATCTGTGGTTCCTCCACGACCCACCTGAGTGCCGTGCAGGAACGTCCGAGGCAGAGTGAAATTTCACAACACGAGTTCGACGTGCGCAAGTAAAGGCAAGGTGCTCAGTGGCCCATCGGTGTTCAGGTGAAGTCGCCACCGTGGAAGAAGGAGGTGCAGGTGCCTAGTACTACTTACGACTACGATAACGATAGCTCCTGTAGAAGTTTCGATGCATAAAATAGCGCCAACGTCGACGATCTGGATTTTTGGGAAGTTGTGCGACTGAAGCAGAAGCTATTCCGTGAGAATTCACCATCCCAATTTATTTTTTGCATGTGAAATTTGAACTTCAACAACTTCCTACATTTTTTGCATGACAAATTTCTCTGATGGACGTGATGGACGTGGTTAATTTTCAGGGAATAAAAGCTGCAGGTCAGGCACACGAGAGTTGCCGGCTGTCGTGCTCGCCGTACTTCCAGCAGCAGGCGGCGGTGGCGCGGATGAAGTGGTTCGCGATCCTCCTCCCGCTGCACTTCTAGAGGTGGCACTGTCGGTTCTACTTAAGGCCACCGAGCCGGCTGCTGCTCCAACATCCGACGAGGAAGAGGACGACGATCCTAAGACCTCTCGGATATCAAACTGGCTCCAATTCTCCAGCATCCACGCATGCCTGCCGTCTGCAACACCGGAGTCGAACACCACACTGCTGAGCCCCTGCATCTCCTTGTCCAGGTGCTTTTTCGCGTTTTCTTCGTCACTCTGCACCTGGATACTGAGACCCTGGAAAAAATCCATCTTTGCAAGCAGCTCCCAAATGGGGAACTGCATGCCGTAAAATTTTCGCAGGTCCAAATCGTGTGGAAAGGTGATTTATGAATTGCAAAAGTATTGTACTCGTATAAATGCATTACAAATTTCCTCAGCAAGAAAAATGAAATTTGTAATGCTGATTTACCTTAAGAAAAAGATTTGTGATGCATGATTGCAATACGAGTACGATACTTTTGCACAGGATATGATTTTGCGTTCGTAAATCTCCGCCACAAGATTTTCGTTCTCCTCCTCCGTTTGCGACTGCGCATTCGGGTTATGCATTTTTGCAGAATCATCAAACAACTAGCGCATGCATCTTCATGTTCATGCTCGGCCGAGTGACAAGTTTGCTCAAGATAAACTTATTTTTTGTTTATGCATCATTCAGGCAACATCAAACGTAACAAGAACTGCAAGGCAAATCTGTCATGCAGTGTGGTCGCAATTCGTGCTACTACCACGCTAGCAATTTTTCTGCACTGGATACAGATTCTGGAAGAGCAACAGGGGCTCGGCGGTCGTCGCGTTCGCTTGCTGGTCCTCCTCCACCTGAACACGCGATCCTGCCTTGCTGTCCGTGCCACTCGAGCCACTTGCCGTTGAACTCGGTACAGCTGGCAAGCTAGCGCTGCTCGCACCGCTAGACTTCGTCGTCGGAGAGGACGATGCATCTCGATCTCCTGCTTCGATGGCAATGGCAGCGCCGTCTACTTCTGCACCACTGCTCCCGCCCCTTCCGGGTTTCTTATAGGCTTTCAAGTATTTCACGCGGGTAAGAAACGCCTGCGCCTGGTTATAACCCGCTCAGCTGTTACAATCTCAAACGTTACGGTTGTACAATAGAATATGGAAATCTGTGATGCAAAATGTGCATGACCTAGCCTACTCCCACAGCATTGCGCATGACAAGTTCTGGACTCCAAAACCGCAATTGAATCTGGCGAAATTTGTATTGCAGAAAGTGAAACGCTGTGCGGGTCTGTCATGCTCATCATACACCACAAAATCCAGATTCTTTTGTAACGGTTGGGATTGTAACGCTTAGGCGGGTCATACTGGTGCACATACTCGAACGCCTGTACGCGGTCTTGGGCTGCGACGTTGATGAAAGCCAGGTTGATGGTATCCACAGGAATATTAATCTCCCGGACACGACGTACGAATCGGAATCATGTGGCTCCTTGTTCCGCATGACTACAAACCTTTTGCAGCATGACAAGTGAGTTGCTTCTTGTTCCAAGTTCGTGAAATGTGTGATGCACTTTGGACAATGTACAGGGAAATTTGTGTTGCATACAGCGCTAGCCACGCCATCGCGACCGGGCACTTGTTCAAGTGCTCCCGTTGCAGCACTCCCTCGGTCAGGAAGTGGCACCACGATTCGTGCAGGTCCAAGTCTAGGTCATCAAGCTTTTGCGGAAGCTGCAGGTCGAAGTGGTTTTCCCAGCCCTGGCTGCAAGGGTCCTGTAGGAGAACGCTGTCTTCATTTTGCTCACCGTCTCGCCCGCTGATGCCCTCAGCAGGAGCTGCGCCATGCTTGATCCTGATACTGTCGGAAATCACGTAGAGGCATCCACAAAAAAGGACCCAGCACCATCCCCATCCTTTTTTTGGATAGTAAACTACACAGGGTCTGATCTTGCATGTTTTGCATGACAAATTGGATGCTGGAGATGGGTCTCATTTTTTGTGGATCATAAGAGCAGCGGGAAGATCACGCGCGAGAAGTCGTAGAGGAAAAATAGTTTCCCTATCCACAAAAAAACAACCATGATCCCCATCCATTTTTTGCATGACAAATACTCAAAATTATGCGTGTTTTGCATGACAAAGTGCATGGCTATGGTTGTTTTTTCTTGGATATTCCAGTTGATCAGATCGATGAGCAAACTCCACTCCACAAGCCAGTGTGCCCCCGCCAGTTCGTTGCTAATGTTATCTTCGGTGTTGGTGGCGAGCCAGGCCAGGCGGACGGAGAGAACGCCGAGCAATTCCTCCGTAGTCAACTGGCGGACGTTTTCCTGGTCGACGTTGACGTCGAGAAAACATTTGAACTTCACAATCGTCGGCCACAACAAAGTATGCATTGCAAAACCAAAAGTAACGCACTCGTACTGATACGGATCGCAATCACGCATGACAAATCTCCTACCTTAGGTAAAGCAGCATCACAAGTTCCACTTTTCTTCTTGCCAAAATTTGTGATGCAATTCCTACTAGTACGACTACGATACTTTTGCATTGCATACAAAGTGTTCACCAGTTGCTTGATCCCTTCGCCCGAAAGTTTGTTCCGGCCCCCCGCCTGCAAAATTTCCGTGCCGAACTCGGCCAAGGGCGTGCGCACCTGCTCCCAGTCGATCTGCAACTCCCGGATCTGCTGGTAATTGGGGTCTTCGTACGGATATGCATTGCAAAATTATCGTACTAGTAGACTACTAGTACAAAAAAAAATTACTACTGTAGTAAAGATATGCATTGCAAAATTACTACTGTAGTAATTGCATTGCTTAGCATATACAACTGAAATTTGTAATGCTGTTTTACCTTAGAAAGGAGATTTGTCATGCATAGCAGCATTTACTACGAGTACGATAGTTTTGCAGAGCATAACGGATTCGGGTGGTGCGCGTTGCAACGAGTGATTTGTTCGAGTTGCGGCTGTTGTAAAGGCAGCTCCCCCTCCTGCGGGTTTAATATTTCTCGTTCCACTTCTTGCGCTGTTACAGGAGCGAGGAGGTTCAGGTTGTGGGGATCACCAGGCAGGAAAAACAACCAGGGCGCAGACAACCAAAATGGTGAGCGTGCATAAGTCGTCGCGTGGGTCCGGGTCGTGGAGCAAATTATCAGCTGAAAGCCGAGAAGAAAACTTAAGAGCGGCTTGAACTTGGAGGTCAAGAACGACGTCAGGGGGCTAGTTGTACTTGTCGCCCCCATTTTCTTGGACAAGTGTTGGATGCCAGCACGACCACGTGGGTGTGGAGCTCCAGCTGGGTTATTTCAGCGGTAGAAACGTCGTAATTTGCAGCTCATAGCAAATTTTTTGTTCATCTTTGTTTGACTTTCCTTCAAACGAAACTAAGCATAAGCAGCACGACGACAACTTTATTTTTCAGAACTTACAACTACTGGGTGCAGCGGCCTGTTTCATCTACAAGTAGATCTTCTAGTACCGACAAACTCGATGTAAAAAATTGTTGATCTTGAAGATTCGTGATGTAGATGTTTATTAATACAATAGTTGTACAGGAGAAACCTGTTTACTGACAGACGAATTGTACGAGCCTCAGCACCACGCACAGTATCAGACAAAAATCATGGAACTGCCTGGGAGCAGAGGGCGAAAAAAAGAAAAGAAGAGCCTTCACTTCAGCGGTCAGTCGGTTGCGGTTCATACACATTGAAAAACAATAAAGAGCAGATCCTCATGATTGGTACTGGAATCAAAGGAGATCAGCAGGTTGATCACAAGGAAAATTGCGTCTCCACGATGTCCAACACATATGTAAATTGAACAGGATGTAGTTGGCGAAGATCGTACTTCTTGTGGATATGGATCCCAGCACTCCGCAATAGAAACTGCTCTGCACGACCGCTACATGGGTGAGTGAAAGAAAAAAAAACGAACTACGGCAAGAACAGGCCTTCAAGCTGTAAACTAGACGTCCTCTTCAGGTGTGACACGAGCATGTTGAGTTCTATGTGATTGTTTCCTTTTGTGGAGCGCAATTGTTGTTCACGTTTATTACCAAGCCAAAATTTCAGTTCGTATTGTACAAAGTTCAGCGACAAGTTCTTTACTTTTTTCCCGGAGCAGACGAATTATTCCAAAAAGCGCCAACGGTGATGCGAGCTGCGAGTCCTCCATTGTTCGTCGTGATGATGTGCTTTTCTGTACAGAGGACCACTCGTCTACTTCACTACTGGCGATCCGTTAGCCAGCACTAACAATGAAGTAGCTCCTCACAGCACAACAAGATCATGCAGCGACTCATCTACTACAGGAAAGGCAAAGGCATGGGCTTTTCCTTTTCTCCTCCTGTTTTCGTGACTGTGAGAGCCACGCGTGCCTGCGAAACGAGCCTTACAACTGTAGTACATTGTCTGCTCGCAACACGCTGCGCCACGCCTGCATCAAACAAACTGGTATAAAAATGTAAATGAGATTAAGACTTCTATCGGCATCGACATGAAATGACGCGAAACGCAAACTGGTAGAAAAATTATGAACGAACTAGTGCAAGTTCTTTCGATAACGATATCTGGATCATCTGAAATAGACGCAAACTGGTAATAGTAAATAAGCAGGAAATTGATCATATTGATCAAGTATCAAATGTAAAAGTGTCTGGGTCTGGAAGAAAGCATGTTTGTCATGCTTGTCTGGCATGACTCTTAAATCTGTCATGCACGTTGCCCAAGAGCCGCTTTTTTCTTTCATGCGGAGACGCAATTTGTCATGCAGAATAGGCAACACCTACAAGCTCAGAAGTTTGTCATGCTGAGCCAGCACTTGTGGCCTCCTCATGCTACGCCACTCAGCATCAGAAGTTTCCAGACCCAGACATTTTTACATTTGATATCAAGACGACTATGTTGACTATCACGCCACGGACGCTGACTTCGCTAGCCGCTTCTTCTTCTCGGCATTCCGCTTTTCGAGTGCCCTTTTGGCGTCTGGGAGCTAGTATCCTGTGTAAAAACCAACGCACCCACCTCCCCAGAGTCAAGATGGGGATTTTTTTTTGCTACCCAAACCAACGGCTGTTGCGCATGACAAGTTCTAGTCTTGTTGGCTCGCAGTGTCATCCTGCTATGCTAGCAGGGCAGCAGCTGCAGCACATCAAATCGGCCATCTCAGCCTGATTCTAGCATGACGAGCTCCTAGATAGCAATAGAAAATCGTCCTCATACTAGGCGGCCTGCGCATGATGAGAAACGTTTGAGGCTTGCGCTTGCGCATGGAGATTTTGATTTGCGTGACAGGTCTGGGGCGGGGACGTTTTTACATCGGATAAGTAGTCTTGCTTCATCACGCGGAGCTCTTCGAAGAGGTCGGGCGGATACTTCAGGTTATGCATTGCAAATGCGTCTGGGTCTGAGAATAAAGTCACGACTTGGATTGCTAGACTTGCATTCCCGTACAAAAAATTTGTATATTGCAGCATGACCGACAACACGCGACTTATATGATTGTCATGCAACATTGCGGTTTGTAAAAATGCGCGTTACAACGCTTGACCATGACGACCTGGAGACAGTAGCAGCGCCAAAAAACTTTGCCATGCTTGACTGCATGAAGTAGAAGCGTCTTGGTCATGCCGAACTCAGCAACACAACTTTGCAGACCTAGACATAGGTCATGCCGAACTCAGCAACACAACTTTGCAGACCCAGACATTACATTTGCAAGGGATATAAGTACAGGGCACGCGACGCCTTTTCTGTGTGCTTGAAGAGCGGCGGATTGATGTTGATGGGCGGGGGTCCGATTGCAGGCGGCAATGGTTCGGGGCCCATCGGCTTCGCCGTGTCCGGGGGTGCACTATGCATTGCAAAAGTTCATCTCCCGTCGCACAACGTAGTTTTTTTTCATGGCCACGGATAAGAAAATCGCATCGGACCCGGCTTCCAGCACAGATTCAAATACTTAAAATGCGCTGCATTTATTTTGGAAATTTCGACGTGCGGGAACAAAGAAGCTACGAACAGCACGAAACCTAAACTTTTGCAGAGGATAGGGATCCTTGCCGTCCAATTTGGCCAATGCCTCCACTTCCGCACGGTCTGCAGCTCGGTTCTCCTTGGTTTTGTGGTAGTGCTTGATCTTTTGCCGGTGAAAGTAGATGGGGTAGAGGTGCTTCTCCCGTTGTATGTTGTGGCCGACCATCCAATCCTTGTGCTGCTGGCCCATTTTCTCCGGATCCGGTGGGGCGACGTCTGTGGTGGTCGTGTTGATTTTTATCTTGGTTTTCTTCTTCATCTCGAAAACGTACCTTCCTAGGAGGTAGAGGACTATCCCTATCCTTAAACATTGATCACGTCTTCTGATAGGATCTTTTTCACACTACAAGGGTTAAGTAAGAGTCAGGAGTCTCAGTTGCGCAATCATATACAGCTGTTGAGCGACTACATTACTTCTACACGTACCCTCTGGCTGTGCGTGCCACCTGTACAACTCCCTGCCGCGGTATCCCATTGCAAACGGTTTGCCGCCCGCGCTTGATGTGGTCTTGTTCTTCGCATTTTCAAGAAAACACGAACATTACACGAGTTCACTTCAAGTCGATTTTGAGAACGGCAACATAGAACATCTGCAAAAGACAGAGTTGTGCAGGCAGAGTTATTTCAGATTCAGGCTCCTGGTCCTCTTGAAAAAAATGCAAATGGCATGCATTATAAGTAGCAACAATCATGACATTCATCAAAAACGACAACGAGACTTGGAAAACGCCCAAACTGTACATTGATGAACAACAACTTCAAAATTGGAGATCGCCTCCCCGTGAAGCTGCGAAGAAACAACAACCACATCAGCACGGTGACATACTTTATTGTACTGTGATAAATCTTGAACCGGTCCTCTCCAGGTCTTGTAGCTCCTTGGTGGCATAAGGGCCCGCGCTTGCTGCCACGCGTTCAGCGTGGCTGGCTTGAGGTACCTCATAGATTTACAACGGGGGTGGGTTGTATGTTCGCTTCATCATCACATCAACACAGAAACGACGGCGCGGTCACCAGATCGTAGTACTAGAAGCGATTTGATGCCGCGTTCGTATAGATGACAGTATTTCACTGTATCTGATAATCTAGCATGCATGGTTTATCTTGTAGAGATGATGCTGCATTAGCATCAGCGGGTGCTCCACCTCCTGCTCAGCTTGCTCATGCTCACGCAACTTGTCATGCTCATCTTGCTTCACCACGACCCGCACGAGCTTCTTACATAGCAGAAAAATAGCGGTCGTAGTGGACTTCTGACAAGGAAGTGATGCAAGAATTTTCGTGTAGTTCAACAACTGAAACCAAATGCAAAAAAGCAACATTTCATCAACATTTCAGTACTGGTTTTGCATGAACGCCCTTCCTCCCGGATCCGCGACGAGGCCGCGCTTCCCGCCTTGCGACTCCTTAACAACAGGAATGCACGGGAAATCTTTCATCTTCACGACAGAAACACCAACATGATTTCCATGCTACAGCACGACGCTAACGCTAAGGTTGTCTTGGTAGTGATTTGGACCAACTTTTTATCGGCCAAGAAAATCGAAAAAAAATCCGGTGGCGCGGCGAAACTGTAGAGGCCAGAGCCAACCAACCTAAGGGGGGCGATTCCCGATTCCCGAATTTTGCATTGCTCAAAATCGATTTTGCATTCCCGCAGACGCGGATTGCACAAAATCGATTTTGCATGATTGCACGAAACCGAATCCCGCAAAATCGATTTTGCATTGCACAAAATCGATTTTGCGTTGCACAAAACCGAAGCCCGATTTTGCATTGCACAAAATCGATTTTGCATTGCACAAAACCGAATGCCGCAAAATCGATCTTGCATTGCACAAAATCGATTTTGCATTGCACAAAACCGAATGCCGCAAAATCGATCTTGCATTGCACAAAATCGATTTTGCATTGGACAAGATCGATTTTGCATTGCACAAAACCTAGTCCCGATTTTGCATTGCACAAAATAGATTTTGCATTCCCTCAGACGCGGATTGCACAAAATCGATTTTGCATATGCACAAAACCGAATCCCGCAAAATCGATTTCGCATTGCACAAAATCGATTTTGCATTGCACAAAACCGAATCCCGCAAAATCGATTTTGCATTGCACAAAATCGATTTTGCATTGCACAAAACCACATCACGGTCTGCTGAGCGCGGCGGCGGACGTCGCGGCAGCGGTGCACACGGTGACAGAAGCGGTAGACAGCGTGTCCACCCGGTTCAGTGACCTCGTCAACCCTCCGGCAAGGCTAAAGGGAAAAGGGACAAAAGCCACAGGCCGGGCGGCGGCACAAGGAGCCGGCGGCCGCGAGACAGAACGACAGGCGTCGCAAAGAAGAGCAGGCCAAAGAGAGGAGCAGAGGCACGAGCCGCCCGCGAGGCCGGCGCAGGAGGGGGAAAAAAAAGAGAAACAAAACGCCGAGGCTTCACCCCAGCAACACACTGAGGGGCGTAAGCACCGCCTTCGTACAGGTGGAGGACGAGGACGACATCATGTGGACACGCACCCACAGGAACGGCGCCGTCGACCTGATGCCGGGGGAGAGCAAGCGGAGCCTCGTCAACAGAGGCGTCTTGACAGAGCAACAGGTCCGTGAGCGCTTCTACGGCGAAGACAGCCCGGAAGCAATTGCGGGGAGGCAAAGGCTCGCGCAGCGGGAACAGAGGCAACAGCAGCCGAACGCGGGGGCAACGAGCAGCAGCAGCAGCAGCAGCAGCAGGAAGGCACGCCCAGCGCCGTCCCAGGACGAACAGGCGAAGGAAGACAGCACGGACGCGTGGGGCAGGCCACTAACAGTGCCCTGCAGCCATCGCTTCGACAAGACGACGGAACTTCTCTGCCACGACATCACGCCGGAGAAAGGGACACCGGACAAGCGATACGAGTGCACGATCTGCCGGGAAGATCCAAACGCAAACGCCAACAGGGTCTACCAGGTCGGGCGGGTCAACGCTCTGAAGGGCATGCTGAGCCATGCCGCAGAAGAGCACCCGGAAGTCACGCGCGTGATGTTGCCAGCGTACCCGCGGGGGGTACACACCGGCGGGGGCCCGGCGCAGATGTCCCACTACAAGGTGGGCTACGTCCAGGAGGCGCCACGAGAGGTGGCGTTAGACTTCGCCATTCCGGACCTCCCACCCCGAACCGACTGGGCCGGAGAGGTAGGAGTGCAGTGGAACTGCCAGAGCGTCCGTTCAGAAAAAGCAAAAGCAGCAAAAGCGCCAGGCCTGCGGAGGTTGGTCCGGGGAGTAGACAGCTCCCTCATCTTCCTGCAGGAGCACTGGTGCGAAACGGAAGAAGAGTTTGGCGAGTTCGTGCGCTTGTTGGGGGACGAGTTCGTGTTGGTATCGTTCTCCCCCGCAACGTCAGGCAGCGGCGGAAACGCGACATACGGGGGCGCCGCCGTCGTAGCGCACAAAAACGTAAAGGCAGAAGACGCGAAGGACGGCTTTCAGTGGAACACGAAAGAAGGAGGCCGGCACAACCTAGCAGCCGCACACGTCTACAGTGGCACAGCGAAGAACGCAGCACTCACAGGCGCAGCAGTGTACACCGCCCCCGGGGCGAAGGGACTGCCACTGCCGAAGGGCAAGAACGGGGACGAAGTCTTTCTCAGCTGGGACGTCAACGGCCACAGAACAGCTGTTTTTCCACCGGCGGAGCGGGACGACCAAAGAGGTAGCGACGTGGAACAGTTCGCATTAGACCAAGGCCTCGCGACATTCGCGAACCGGGAGACGCCAACGCGACCCAGCTCGGAAACCAGTCCCGACTGGCTTTTGATGTCTGACTCACTAGCAGCGCGGGCATATGCAGTGCAGCCAAACGGACCGGCAGTAGTACCACTAGCGAGCGACCACAGCGCGCTGGTGTTCTGCATCCCGCAACCGGCGGCGAGGACAGGAGCCCAGGGGGCAACAAGCAGCAGCACGAGCAGCGCCGCGGGCAGCGGCTCCGCACACCAGGCAGGGAAAGCAGAAGGAGTGGCAGACGCGGGACACAGCAGTGCAACAGGCAGAAAAGGGCCAGGCGGTTTCCTCTTCGGAGGGGGCGGCATAGCAGGCGCGCAAGGCCGGAAGCAAGGCGCAGCTCCGTCGAAAACGAGCGGAGCGGCACGCAGGAGGCAGAGAAAGGAAAAGAGGGCGCAAGCACGCAAGGCGTCCGAGCCCCGGGGTTTTCGGCTAGGGAAGTGGGTCACCAGCTGGGCCGCCGCAGTTCCGCTGGTTCAGTCGTTCTTCGCGGGCCCGCAACCACCAACACCGGCCCACCTTCAGTCCCTTTCGGAGGAAAAGGAGACAGTGGCAAAGCGAAAGCAGACGAAGCTGGTGTTCGAGCGAGCCGATTGGGACCTGTACCGCGAGGAGTTCACGAATTTCCTAACCGCCAACGCGCCGACAGAGGAGACGCCGCTGACCAAGCAGGCCGAGTTCTTTCGCAAAGCAGTAGTAACGGCGACCGCCAAGGCCGTTCCGAGGGTCTCGGTGAACCCCAAGAAAGTGAGGCCACGGAGGAAGCACCACGAGCCCACGGAACTCGAGGCCGCAATCGTTCGCCGAAACGAATGCGCCCGTCGGGCCCACGCAGCACAGACCGGGGACGAGCGAGCCCGCTGGCAGAAGGAGACGAAGCTAGCAACCAGGGCCGTGCGGGCAGCAGAGAACGAGAGGCGGCGCAAACAGTTCCGGGAGAAAGCAGAGAAGGCGCAGGCAACAACGAGCGGCGCTTTCCAGCTGTTGCGGGAACTCGAAGCGGGCGGCAGACCGGTCACGGGGGCGGCCAAAGTGCTAAAGTTCGAGGGCGAGTCCCATGCCACAGGGCTGCCGACGGTCTTCGCAAAACACTACGCCTCCTTGCCGACGTTGGACGAAGCAGAGGAGCAGACCGCGAAAAGAGAAGCCGAGAAAATCTTCAGCACGGAGATAAAGCCAAGCACACGGATCGAGTTCACGCTCGACGAGGTAGAAGCAGCACTGGTCTCGCAGTCGTCAACGTCGGCGGGGGGCCCAGACGGGCTGAAGGGGCCACAGTTTAAGAACTTGCCCACAGCAGGAAAAAAGTTTCTTCGCGGTTTTTTCTCCGACTGTGTGAACACAGGAGGAACGCCGCAAACGTTGAAACGGGAGCTGCTGAAGCCACTGCTGAAACCATCGAAGCCGGTCGACAAACCGAGTTCCTACCGACCAGTAGCCTTGACGCCAATCTTGGCCAAGTTGTTAGAGCGTTGCGTGCAAAGCCGCACCCGGCTCCTGTTTGCACAAGCAGGAACCCCCGCGCGCTCCCACCTGCAGTACGGCGATTGCAAGCACCGAGGGGCGGCGGAACATGTCGCTACGCTCTCCGCGAGGGCACAGAAGACATTCCGCGCCGGCAAGCGTAGGGCCTTGGTGCTGATCGACCTAGAAACCGCTTTCGACCGGGTGAACCGGCACAAGTACGCGCGGCACGCGCTAAAGAACGGCGCGCGCCTCCCGGAGGACAAACGAGCAGAGCACGCGTTGTTAGTCAGGTGGACGCGGAACTTTTGCGGCGACCGCACCAGGGTCGTCGAATACGCAGGAGGGCGAAGCCAGGTGCACAAAATCCCGCAAGGAGTTCCACAGGGGACGGTCATCGGGCCCACAGTCTTCTGCGACTTTTTCGAGCTCGCGGAAGTATTGGAGGGCACGGGGTGTGAGGTCTTCTTGTACATGGACGACCTCGCAATCTCGGTCGAGTACGATGATCCCGAAGAAGCAGAGAGAAAGCTACAGGCGGCGCTGGACCGGTTACACGACTGGCGCCGGCGGAACAACATGTCGCTTTCGCCCACGAAGTGCACGCTCACGGTGCTCCAGCGGGTTTTCCAACAAGAGGAGAAGGAGCTGAAGCTGTACACGCACAGCGAAGTAGGCACCGAGCTGCCGTATGAGTCGCATCCAAAATTCCTAGGCATCACGCTAGACCGCGAAATGAGATTTCGCAAGCACACCGAGAAAATGCTAGGAAAGTTGCGGCGCCGCATGGTAGCGGTGCGGGCACTCGCGCGGCTCCCGTGGACACGCACAGCAGATGTGCGAGTCTTCTACCGTTTATTCTGTGAGAGCTTATTTCGGTATGGCCTCGGCTCGTACTACTTCGCACTGCCACAAAAGTGCAAACAGGAGCTCGACAGGTTCCACAAGCAGGCGGCCAGGAGCATACTAGGGCTCCCGAGGACAACGAACGGCGACTGTGCATTGCATGAGGCAGGTCTCCAACCACTCGAAAACCTGGCAAAAGAAGAAGCTGCCGCGCTGCTAGCGCGTGGCATGTCGAGGGAGAAAACGGACCCGCTGCGAGAGCAGGTTGAAGCGGCAGCGGGGCAGGTCGACTGGGTGACGGCGGCAGCCGACGCGCTACGGGCTTCGGCGCTACCGGAGGGGTGTGAGGTTCTAGCGGAACCCGGGGCACTCCCGCAGAACGGCCTGAGCACAGTACACGCCGCAAAAGAAGCCGGGAGGCTAACGGTCCGCACAACCGGAACGACGGACGAGGAGTTGCGACAACTCACCACAGCGGCAGACGTCTCGCTGTACACAGACGGTTCGGCCAAGGACTTCCAATGTGCCGCGGCCGTAGTCGAAGACGCGCGGGACAGGTACAAGGAGTACGGCTGGGCAACAACGTCCTACGGGGACTCGTTCGATGCGGAGCGCGCAGCCCTGCTGGGGGCCCTGGCCACCGTAGCAGAGAGACCCGCAGGGGAAGTCCGCACGGCGGTCGTGGTCACGGACTCGCAGTCCAATCTCGAGGCGCTCCAAAACCCAAGAATTCGCGACGGCAGTGACCTGCTGCTCTACGAAACGTTGCGGGACGCACTTGAGAAACTAGGACCGACGGGACACCTGTCGCTGGTGTTCACAAAGTCGCACAGGAAGGTCGTGGACGGCAACGAGGTCGCGGACAAGCTCGCGACCATGGCCAGGGAGCAAACCGACTTCACCGGAGTCGGTGCAAGGGTCACGCACAGGCAGGCCAAGCGGGAGGTCGCGAGGTCCCTGCGGCAACAGAAAAAGAAGGAGCTGCAGGACAAGGGAAAACAGCCAGGAGGGTCGAAAACCTGCATGACACTCCGCCAGGTGTCCAACTTCGCGGCCAACCCGGTCGACAGCGTGGCGCACGCGACGAGAGCGGACGAAGTCGCCTACAACGCGGCAAGGATGGGCCTGCTGGTTTCGGACATAACCGGAAGAGACTACGCGTGCCCGTTTTGTCAGGGGAGAACACAGAACCCACCGGCAGCAACGACGGCGCACTTAGTGCAGGAGTGTCCGGCCCTGCAACACCTCCGGGTGGCAGACCCGTCCAACCCGGGCGCATTCCGGTCCGCGGCGTTGCAGGAGGACCCGTGTTGGGGCATCGAGTTCATCAGGTTGCTGCGGCGCGCGCTACAACCGGGCGGGGAGCTCGATGACGATGCAGACTGGGACAGCGACACCGAGGGCGAAGAGCAGCGGCACAGTATCGGGGGGAGCGGTGCGGGCGAGTTTTTCAGCGCAAACAAAGCGCCACCAGGACTCCGCCCACTGCTTCCTCCCTCCCAAACATACTACCGCGGGCGCGGGGTTGTCGAGGAGGCGTGGGGGGGTCCTGACCGGTATTCTTATAGTGATTGTTGCTTGCCTACCATGACTACGAGTAGGAATGAAGGCTGTCATGAGTTCACCCCAGATCTGCAGGATCCTTTCCTCCCCGCTCAACATGTCACTGCACAGAGCCGGCACCACCAGTCCTGTTCCCCGCCCCGAACCTCATCTGCAGAAAACTCATCGCAAGCTGACTCGCGACCAAGATCCCCCTCCACGGTCCAGCCGGAGGCCGCGCCCAACCTTCACCGCCAAGAGGTTTATCCAGCCACCAGCTGGGTGTGTGGACGCTCGGTACCGCCGGAGCAACGAACCCCTACGAACCTACGCGAGACACCGACCCGGGCACCTCCAGGTGGGGGGTGCCCGAACAGGTATAGTCATAGTTCCTGTGTCGCGCATGGCTTGTTCGAGTTTCACACACCACAGTGCTCCCGTTTGGCTGTCGTTGCTTCCCCACCGACCACACAGGTCTACCACCAGCCGCCTCGAAATAAACACCTGCTGCATCACCCTCCCAGAGTGCAAGTTGACCACTGCCCCCCGGCTACCGACAAATGCCGGGACCCGCCCCCACATCATCTGCCATCCGACCTTGACCTGCATTTGTACTACACCCTGCCCGCCCGACCTCGAGCTGCCGAAGTCAACCACACTTGGACGGCCACCACGGACAACCGACTGCACGCTGCGGCGGGGCAAAACGGTCGACACCTTCGCGAGATATGGGCGGGGGCGCCCCAAGGCGGGGGCCGCCCCCCGAACAGGTATAATTCCACTTCTAATTGTTGTGGTTCTGAGCTGCATGGAATGCAATACTTTCATGCCCCCGGCGTCGGTGTTTGCTCGTCCCCCACACAGCCACCAGGTCATTCGATACGTTGGGAACCATACAACACGTTCGGGAAGATCTGGAACTACCGAGGAGGTAGCAGGAGGCTTCCTGGGGCGAAGCAACATGGCAATGACCTCTGGTGGCGCAACCACGACAACCAGGGCAACACCCCTACGGCGTGGACATGGGGGCCGCACGCTAGGACGGCGGGCATTTGCGGCTGGCACCAAGGCACGACACCAGAGCGGGTGCCCCGGGACGGGGGGCACCCGAACAGGTATAATTCCACTTCATACACCTGTTGTTCTTTGTGGAGTGTTGAGGTCCACGACTCTCATGCTGGCGCGTTTGCTTCCCTCCCCTACAACACCCAGGTCCACTACCACCATGCGGGGCGGTCCAAATTCGGGCGGTGGAGCGCGACCACGGAACCACACCAGGCGGCGACGTGGCGGTGACCGAGCGGCGAAAACTGGACACGGCTTGAAGAGTCAGAAAATGAAAGAGATGAACTAGGAGTTTGCATTTTGCTGGCTCCAGCTGCTGCTAGAAATCTTGAAAGCTAGACTTCTAAGCGAAAAGACAAATTATTTATTTTTTAAGACGATCAAACTCGAAGTTGATAATTGCAAACTAATACAAACAGAGCTTTATTTTATAGGGGAAAGCTTTTTGGTATTTACTTTACAGGAGAGTGCTTTTTTCAGAACTTGTTGTTGTACTTGAGCAAAAGTTTTATCTTCAACTTCCTAGATCTTAGAATTCAAAAAATATTCGGGTTCAGCAGTGGTCTTATTGCGAGATCAAATCGAGAAAGAAGAAATTGGGATTGCAACGGAACTTTTAGGGCCTTGAACATTTGAAGCCATGCCCAGGCATGGAAAGACAGACAGACAGACACGGTTTTGCATTGCACAAAACCGAATCCCGCAAAATCGACTTTGCATTCCACAAAATCGATTTTGCATTGCACAGAACGCAGATTGCACAAAATCGAATCCCGCAGGCGCGGATTGCACAAAACCCCTCCTCCAGACGCGCAATCCCGCAGATTGCACAAAATCGATTCTCCATTCCCCCAGAACGCAGCGCCGACCAAAAGGTCGGCTTTGTGCTGGCCACAGGTTCGCCGTTGTGGGTCGCGCAATCGCTGTTGAAGGCCACACAATCGCCCGACCACACAAAATCGATTTCGCAGCTTCCCAGGTCCGACCGAATCGAGCGGCTGCGTGGCTCAATATCGAGGCGGTGCGCCACGCAATCCGCCGGGCCGACGGACTAGGGGGGAGAGCTTCCATCCCGCTATGCGCCTTAGCGGATCTCCCACAAAATCAATTTTGTGCGTCCGCCCTTTCTTCGCGGATGCAGTCTCCCACGCCAATGCCTTACCAACCCCCGTCCCAGCCCGCGCCCTATGAGGTACGGGCAACGAGCCCTACCGGCCACAAAATCGATTCTGCAGCCCCTCAACCCTATGGACAACGTCGGCACCTTGCCGGACATTCGATTTTCCGAAGAGATCTGGACTTCCGGAAAGATCTCGGGAGATCGCTGCGGTCCGGATTTTCCGACTTCCGGAAAATAAAGCTTCCTAGAAAATAGCAGAAAATCGATTTCGTGCCTCCATTACTATTCAATAGTAGCGAGATCGGACCAAACCTGGTCCATATCATCGGCGGAGGCAGTTGCTTACTATCCAGTTGGTAATCTGCTGCCAAAAATCCAAAAAAAATCCGAAGGCAGTCGCACTCGAGGTGTCGCACGCAAAAATACGATTTGTTTTGTGTTGCGTCCCGAGCAAAATAGTAATTACTATTGAATAGTAACCAACTGCCTCCGCCCATGGTATGGACCAGGTTTGGTCCGTCTTCGTTACTATTGAATAGTAACATCTGCGCACTTTTGGCGCACACTTGGGCGCACTTTTGGCACACAGAAAATCGACTTTGGTGCGCCTCCGAATCTCTTGAAAATGCAAGCGCTCGGATTTTTGGCAGCAGATTACCAACTGGATAGTAAGCAACTGCCTCCGCCGATGGTATGGGCCAGGTTTGGTCCGTTCTCCGTAGCAATGAAGCAGAAAAGCGATTTTCCGCCTCGGTTTTCGATTTCGAGGACTTGCGGATGTCCCGATCTCGATTTTCGATTTCGGAAAATTCCGGATTTTTCGCAAACATCGGAGTTTTTAGAATTTCCGGAATTTCCGGAACCCGGAAAATCGATTTTTCGGCAGTCCCGGAAAGTCCAACACGCGGATTTCCGGAACACTTGCTCCTCTGGATTTTCAGGAAGTTGGAAAATCGATTTTGCCAAGCAGCCGGACTGCCACCTACCTTGCCCACATAGCAGGCCCACCACCTCTTGTGCCCGCGCCACCACTCACGCAGACACCGCACAAGGAGCGGGCCAGCAAAATCGATTTTGCGCGCCTCGGGTGATTGAACCCACAGACGATTCTGCGAGCCTGAAGTGACTAAAGTCCCCGACTCTTCGCCCCAAGCGCCCAGCGGCTGTCGAGGACTGAGCCGCGGCACCCACCGAGGGCTGCCTGTTCACAAAATCGATTTTGCGACCCCCGCGCCAGCCGAGAGCCTGTTCCTGGCGCCTCTACGGAGCTCAGAACACGCAGACGGGGCCCATGCCACTCCCGCGGCTTTTCAGAACTAGGGCCCGGATGTAAATCCACAATCTCGGGAATTCCCATTGGTTTTTACGCTGGGCCAACACGGTGAATGCGCGGAACTTCATCGGGGCGCAAGTTCTGGAATTCGCGATCATCCCTGAGCCTGTAGCGTGCGACCGAAACATCGATCCAAGGCGGGCAGAGGCCCGTCCTCTGCGACTTCGCCCCACGCAATCAATTTTGCAGCTTTTGCCGGATTTTCCGGCATTTGTGTTGGTAAAATCGATTTGCGACCACGCGCGGATTGTGTGGCCCCGCCCGAGGATAGGGCATCTTTGAGAAGCGTACCGGAAGGGTGCGCACAAAATCGAATCTGTCCGCGAGTACTCACAAAAGCGATTTTGTGAGCACCGCCCGCCGGGCGGAATATGACAACCCGGCGTCCCCAACCCGGCTGCGGGAATCTTTCTGACAGCCCGGATGCTCCAGGGTGGGGCCTAACGCCTCAGGACACCGGCAAAAACTGCCGCGAGACCGAGTTGGCGCATTCTCGAGCTTCGAGAACGCGGGCAACCGACTTCGTTTCGCGCTACTTTGCTTCGCTTGTGGACGTTAGCAGCCGCGGCACAAAGTCGATTTTTTGCGGCGTGCCTGGATTTTTTGCGGATTTTTTTCCGATTTTCTTAACATTTTTGAAGTCGGTCCAAATCAGTACTAAGTTGTCAGAACAAAACATCAATTGACATCATCAACCCCCCAGCAAGAAGCATGACACATTCTCATTCAACTTCGTCTTCAGCATTCAGCTTCATATAAAAAATGCGTGGAGATGGAGAAAAATTTGCAATGCGTAGGTTGCTCCACTCTTCTTCTGTCGACCTCCACATACCTCATTTGTGATGTGTAAAGATTAGTACGCTAGAAGAGGACAACAGCGTGAATGGAGACTCAATGTCAATAGCAATATTGTCGAGTTCTCCAAAAAATCGTCACATGACATAGATGTTGTAGCATCACAGATGAAACGCACACAAACGAACGTATAACATACTTTGGCAATTGGAAGTCTTCTGATTTCGGCAATCCCTCTACTCCCCTGCAGCTAGCTGACCGAGCGAGTTGTCTTCGGAGTGGGACGGAGGCAGTATGACGTGCGACAACCTCCTGCTCCTGTTGTACGACTAGTGCCCCCCTCGTCCCTCGCATTCGTGATTTGATCTTTATGTCTCGATCATGAACGTGTGAGCGGGGAGAGGCTGTTGGACGCCCTTCTGCACCCCATGCAAAAAAGCAACACAGCAGCCAATGTTGGCCCGCCGTGGTGGAGGTCAACACCTGAGTGATGCAAAAGCAAGAAGCTGCGGCACCCTTTATTTTCGACGCAGCACGACTACTTCTCGTTAGAGTTAGTAGTACTAGTACAAAGAATGAAGCTACATCTACTTCATGAAACATCTCATCCGCGGCAGGAGAGGGGCGCTCTACTTACAACAAGCAGGAGGATTCTTCTGATGTCACGTTTGATATTCCAGCGTGGCGTTAGTTTTATCGATGCCCGCTAGTAGCACATCCATGTGCGGGTTGCCGCTCAGATCCTTCTTCGGCGGCATTTTGGCGGATGGTGACGGCGGATGTGCTCGTAGAAGACGGACGAGATGTGGCTGTCGCTGCTATTTTGTGGTGCAGAAAGTAGTAGATGCAGCACAAGGCGCCTCTGTGGAGAAGTCAATTCACCTTGTCCTCCTGATCCGCGTCGACGTCGCGCTGTGGTGCGCCGTCGTGGTCGTGTGGTGGAGGTTGTAGTACGCAGATTTTTTCTTTCTTGATTTTATGTCTTGTACCTACTTCTTTCTGGTTGTGATCTCCTCTGTTTCGTACATCAAGCTTCGACACACCAATATAAATATTTCGTCGTGCTGACCAGCCTTACGTTGAAGCTGAGTGACCCTTGACCAAATTAATACAACATGAGCATCATCCCGCGGCCCAATTCGTGCACGAAAAAAAAACTAGTTTTATTTTTTGCCAGCACAGAAATCATCTATATCTTTCATCCTGTGCGGTCCCCTAAACTGGAATAGCATGCGAAGAATCTCGCTGCACAAGACCCAAAGTCGTAGCTGTTGAAACAACACGAGCTGGTAGAAGTCTCCTCGTAGTTACGTCAGTTTTTAGTTCCGTCTTCAAGACAATACGAACTTCACATCTTCGACAACGATTACGATGGGATGGGCATGGGCTAGTACATCGAGTAGACGCAAACAAAGCAGCAGCTCTTCTCATCTCCGTGCCACGACGATCGACGACGACCATCCGCATAACAACTACAACAGCGGGTCGAATCTAACGAGAACAGTACGGATCTTCTTAAGTTGTCAGGAGTGACGAGTAGCGTCATTCGTTGTTCTACTACTTACCCCCCGAAACAAGGACCCCCTGCAACAGATCAGCCGTGCTTCACCGGAGGGATGAAAGGGACGACAACTTACCTTTTATTCGTGATTCGTATTCCAAAGAACTTCTCTACTAGTTGATGCTGCAACTACGTAGTTGTCCAGGTGGGTCATGCGGATTATGATCAGAGCAGTGCACAACTAGTACTGGAAAACGACTTCTATCGGCATAATTTCCACCCCTTGGTTTCGGTTTGAATGTTCTTGGTTAGGATATAATTTTTGTTTGGTTACGTACTACACGTCGACAAAGAATATCAACGAGTTAAATAACTTAGACCCTTTGTCTTTACTCATTCGATACTGTGAAAATAGGTGTTATAAGGTTGCCCCTTGTAATATTTCTAAGTGTTGCCGCGGGTCGTGGAAGGTGGAGCGCGCAGCTCGCTTCTCGCAGATTCCTCCTTGTCTTCGTTTGTAAAAACATTCTTGAAGCTCCTGCTGATGCTCTTACACCTACTCGAGCACGCAGCCTTTAAAAAATTCAAAATTTATTTTATTCTTCCTTGCAGTTGTACTACTGTGCTGTAAGCGGATCAAGATCATCAAGACCACAAATATAATACTGGCACGTGGTAGTACTTCCTGCTTCGACTTCATGACATATCCACTGCAAACGCCCATTGCACGCATTGGGTTTGGGTATGCCGCGAAATTAGGTTCACCTACGCCTCCAGCTTCGAGTATGAAGAAGTCAAATGGGAGAGCGTCGCCAAGAACTTGGAAATACAAAGAAAGACCATGAACATGACCAACTGCCTCTGGCGCCTCACAGCACGAAATCGATGTGAGTATCTTCATCATTTGTCAAATAGAAATACTGACTGTCGTACTTTATTTGCAGGTGAACAAGGACAAGCATCAGCATGCACATACAGTCAATTGGTCTGAAGAGCATTTCCATGCCGACGGTTCTCCCTCCGACTCTTCCATACCGGAACCAGCGCGGCAGTGTGGATGTGTCAGGTTTGAAATCGTCAAAGTTGAAATAGTTTGTCATGCATAAAACAGATACCAGTCGGAAGCCCACTTATCAAGCGCCGCATGACAAATTTTCCGAGCACCGGAATCCAATTTGTCATGCTGTTTGGGCACAGAAGACTGCTTTTGTCATGCTCTTTTAGCAGCTCTCTTTCAAACCCTAAATAGGCTCACAATCTGCCTCACTTGCCATCCCGGCAAGACAGGCACTCCATGCCTTGCATTTTATGCATGACAAATCATTTCAACTTTGACGATTTCAATCCTGACGCTTCCATAGGCAGTGTGGCCGGCGTAGTAGTCGCAAGCCTATCCCGATGAAATGAGATAAATGCGTTGTTTTTCTTTCCACGTATGAAGATTTCTATGACTACGCAGCGAGCTTTTCATGCACGTGCTCAATAAACGACGTTCCTGAGACCACTCTTTCGTCTTTGCGTTGAATCGACACTAAACTTCTACCCTACAAGTACAAGCTCCGACATCGTACTCCTACTCATGCATCATGCGCATGATGTTGATCGATGACCACATAAAAAAGAATTGCAATTCCTTATTCCATTTTCATCAGGATAGGGTGTCCGGTGCCTTGATGTCGAAGGTTGTGAAGCTGTGTATAGCCGCTTCAACTCTGGAACATCAATCTGAATCTTATGATCTTTTTGTTTTGTATTTTTACCGAAGCAAGAAAAAGAATGTTTCGGTCTTGCATACAGGCCAAACAGGGTGGAAAAGCGTAAGCTACTTCTTCTGCAAGGAGCTTTGTATGCGTATCTAAGACTCGGTAGGATTGACCATACTTCTTTCAGACAACTTGATACCCAAGGCAGAGATATCGTACTTGTGCAAGTTTCTTGTCATACTGAGAAGACGAGGACCCGTGAGTCGGGGTCGTCGGCACCACTTCTACCATCCACGACCACATCCGCTGATGAAATGGACCATTTCATCAGATTCAGACTGTTCCAGCTGAGCACGCCGTACTGTAGGACGGGTATCCGCACTTTTGGATGTAGGGGACCTGGTGTTGTACTTCTTTGTTCCTCAGAATCAGACAACTACCTTCGATGTCGTTGTGCGTGTTTTCGAATAATCTTCCCAGAAAAATTTGCATTTTTAGATCGACGAACAAGTTAGTAGAGCATCTTCTATCACGCTTCCTTCGTCGAAGATGTTGATCAAGTTGAAACATAAAGATATTACACATGCAAAAACACATCAAACCTGCGTCTGTTCCCACAAATCCTCCCACTTTTCATGTCGCCCCTTCGATTATGCTACGAAACTCATCTTCTTGAAATGAGCAGGCTGCCAAGTCAAGACAATATAATACACAAAAAAATCGAGACAAAGTAAATTATAGCGAGGGCAAGTCCAATGCTGCGCCGATCTTTGGTCCACCTGCTGAAGCTTGACTTGTCTTGACACAAGCTGCACGTTGAACAGCCATCTTCAGGTGGCAGCACGACAAGGACCAGGAACTGATGGATCATCATCATACATTCAAGTGGTATCTTACAAGTAACATCAAAGTGGTCGGTTTTCATCTTATGCTAAGAAAACAGCAGCTACGTCGTGTCTGAGAAGATTAACTTGTTTCTTTCTATGTCGTATCAAAACTCCGATGCTGGTGAGGTTGCAGTAGGTCAGAATTCCGCCTGGCTTGAGCTTGGACTTGACCTTGCCGATGAACTCGAATTGGTGCGCTATCAATCAGAAAAGCGTTTTCGTTACTAGCGGTGTTCTTTTCGCAGATTGCGGTCAGGTCGTGGCATAACTGATTCCATTTTCCTATCACGACGCAGCAGGCTGTGAATAAATGCAGGCTGCATCGTGCTGTAGATGGACTCTAGTTTTTGGTAATGGTTCTTTTGCTTTTGCATGCGTTTTTGCATCACAAATTCTGTTCGACGTTATTCAACCTCAGCGTGCACTTTTCTGTGTGATATGCGTGTGCTGCTCCTCGGCATTCAGCGGGTAGGGGTCATACCTAAATTGTGAATGTGTATGTGATTGAGTTCTTGTTCGCGACGAGGAGCATTAGTACATGCGCTTTTGAAATCTTCGGCAAAACCAAAAGAGCCTGAATGTTGCTACCATGGGTGAGGTCACGATACGCCGCAACATCAAGAACAAACAAAACAAATCAGTACAGCACTCCGTCCAGGTAGCCTTCGGGCAATTCCGCCACTTTGTCTTGCCACAGAACGTATCAAGCGGAGACGTGGTTGTCGAGGCAGCAAGGTTCTTCTCAGGGAAACAATGCGTATCAAGGAAGAGAATAAGAACGTACTTAGAACAAAGCGAGTGGTTTTCATGATCATCCTCGTCTTCCGATTGTTCGCAGCGCCAGCCTTTCGACCGAAAATCGTCTTCATCGTTGCATGCAGATTTTCTTTCTTTCTTCTGGTTCTGCCTACCCCTACAAAAAAATCGAGCAAAAGGCATGATTCACGGTGCACATATTGCGACGACGTTGGTTCCGACAATTAAGCACATTTTATTTCCACTTTTTCCTGAAAGAACCGTCACCGTGCAACCCCCACAACTAGTTCTTTGCAGTGCGTAGTCCGTGCAAAAACGTTATCAAATGCAAAAGTGTCTGAGTCTGGAAGAATGCATGTCTGTCATGCTTGTCTGGCATGACTCTTAAATCTGTCATGCACGTTGCCCACGAGCCTCACTTTTCTGTCATGCTGGGCCAGCAGCACTTGTGGCCTCATCATGATACGCCACCCAGCGTCACAAATTTCCAGACCCAGACACTTTTGCATTTGATAAACGTCACCTTGTGCGGTTTGTCCTTGGCCCACTCCTGTCCACGCTTGATGACGTCGGCGTTCGCCTCAATTATTATGTGCTCCTCGATGTCGCTATCCCTAGAAAAAAGACAATCCCAGTCAGCCAATGTCATACATTTACCACGTTGTACTAAAACATCGAGTTGTAGTACTTGAGTCTGCAGCTTCTGCTTCTGCTTCTGTCTTCATGCAAAGCCAAATGTACGTGGGTGTAGTGAGTCATATTTTTCTCAGTGGATAGTCGTATCGCTGGACGGCAGAGGCAGAGAGACTGTAATATTTTTACGGTAATTTTTTCTAATATCCATTTTCTTTACGTTTTATTTTCATTTTTCGTGTACAACTTACTTAAACCATTCTTTAATATCCACGCAGCGACGACATACAGTTTCATCCTTCTCCATCTCGTAGTGATTATCGCCACAACAACGGAGCTGCAAGGAAGTCGCTTTCTAACCTTTATTTCAAACTCAAAAAAAAAAAAAACGGAAAGAGTTGCGATTTGTCCTCTATCATTTCAGCAAATCGCAATCGTCCTTGTGTTAATTTGTACTATGATCGTGCACTGTGCTAACTTGTGCGGGAGGACGACTCTCTACAAGTACTTTCTGAAAAAATAAGAAACGCATAGTTCATCTTACCCGAGTCCAAAGCCGACCTCGAGGACTTTTCCGCCCTTCTGTATCACAAGAAAAAGTGTTAACGTTAACGGAATTTGCGATGCAGGAATGCATCAGAAAAGGTGCCCAAATTTGTATTGCGTAGCATGTATGGAAGGCAAAATGTGTAATGCATGACTGCCATCTGTGAAAACCGGTAACGTTAAGACTTTTTTGTTTGATATTCTGCGTGGCCACTTCCGCGAGTTTCTCCATGTACGGTTTTTCTTATGACAGTGCACATTATAGCTCCCTCCCTCCCGGCTCATTTGTTGTAGAAGGGCATGAACAGCAGCAATTATAGAAACGCGAACGCTGCCAGCATGGAGTTTGTGCATGACAAGTTGCTACGCTGCAGACTGTTGAACCACTTGCCCTGTCCTCGGGATTTGTCATACGTACTGTAGAACGGCAACTGCTGAACTTGGGATTTTGCATGACAAGTAAAAGCGAGAGGGGGAGTAGTTCTGCACCGGCATATTTCCCACTGCTCCATCACCGGATGTCCGTCGATGAAGAGCACCTCTTATGGACGTGCAAATCATATGTCTGGGTCTGGAACAAGATGATTGGGGGCGTTGGTCATGCAGCTTTTGCATTTTGATTTTTGCCCGCGATGTCGGTGATGCATGCTCTCGTCGCAGTACAGGGTTCGCGGCGAAGAAGTTTGCCAATACCTATCCTACATGGGTGGAGATACCTTGTCCGGATGAAAAAAAATATAATAAACTGACAGCTTTTTTAGTAGTTGGTGCTCACGCGGCACTTGTACATGTTTCTGCATGATCGAACGTTAGAGTTACCATCACAAGGTCCATCCTTTTTCTTTATCTTTCCAGACCCAGGCATATAATTTGCAGTGGATACCTCTCCTCTCCCATCCTCTTCGACGTGATAGTCGGCTTTCAGCCCATTCCAATCGCTATCCTGTGCAAAAGTCTCGCACTTCTCGTAGTACTTGTAATCGCATTCCTGCAAGACAAGTCTTAATCTCCTTTCGCTTTCCAAGCTATAGCTAAGTCACGTACCTCTTGCTTGTCATGGGCTACGTACAAGGAGAGCTCTATACTTCTGCAATTACTTCTAGTACCACGCACGAGAGACCACTTTGTTTGTCATTCATAGTCGGCGTGCTTGCTGTCTTCCTTGAGACCGTGGTACCCGGTTTCAGGAGCGGTGGCCACCATCTTGTCACGTCGTGCTCGTGTTTATGATCTCACTGCAGTAGTAGAGCGCTGTAGAAATTGAATTCCTTTTTTCTCTCCTGAAAGAAGACAGACGAAGATGCTCGTCACATCATCAGCAGGCTGACCGCGGCGTAGCACAAAGCCTTCAAGCCGATGAGGTGGATAGCACTAGCTAGTAGTACAGAAGATGAACGAGAAAACAAGTAATAGTATATGCTCAATGCAGAATACTTGCTGGCAGGCTAGGCTCAGTCCTCGGGTGAAAACAAAGTAACTCCGAGGTTTATTAGGTTACAGAGACTGATAAATCTTCAATGTAGTGGATGTTGACTTTTATTAGCATTTCATTAGAGTTGTGCGTATATGATCTACAGCTACAGGAGTTTAAACATAATTAATCCCTCTCGCCCTCTGTCTCCACCCTCATCTAATGTTGTGGATAGTAACAGAGCCAGAGTCCCTCGTCACTCGCTTCTCTCTACTCTATGGAGGTTGTTGATGAGCTCGCAGAAACAAGCGAGGACTGCGAGTGCGCCTACAGATCACGACATGCACAGGCTGCAGCAGGACAAGGAAAATCATGATGAGGTTCACTGCATGTGATTCTGATTCTGAACAACTGACAGCGCCAAAATAAGGAAAAACGCAAAGACTGTAGAAAATATCGACGTCTGGTTCTTCACCTCCAAGCTCTTCGATTTCGTTGCATTTTTCCATGACATTATCTCTAGCAAGAGGCGCCTGGTGGTCCCCGCCCCATGCGGCTGCGGGCCACATTCATGCTAGTTGTGGAGGTAATAAACAAAGAAACGAACTGCTTTTGCAGCTCGGTGTTCTTGTTAAGAATAAACAGACTTGCAGCGAGGTCAAGAACCCCTCGTCGCTCGGTGTTGTCGTCGTTTTGAAATCTAAATCTTCGATATCTCCACTATGTCAAAATATTTTAGCCCTTAGTCGATTCTTGTCTACGTTGTTTCGTCGTTATTTCTCGTAGTTGGGTTTGCAAGAGAAGATGGAATAAATGCTTAAAATTACAAGCTTTTGCTTTTTACTGTAGAAAGAAATTATGTCCTCGCTCGCTACTAAATATTTGACTAGAATGAACGTGCTTTCGCTACTCGATTGAGATTCAAATGGGTCGGCGTCAAAAATTGAAAAAAGCAAAACCAAAATGAACAAAAATGAAAAATGCGTAATTGGTGTATCGTAATGTGTACCTGAATTGTGTAAAAATAAAATGTGAATGTGTATGTAATACGGACAACAAAAGTGATCAAATTCAAATTGTGTATGATAGCGTTAAAGTAAGAATGTTATGGTAAATGTTAGAATCGTGATGGGAAACAAGAAAAACTCCGAGCGCGGTGGGGGACCATTCACGGCCGAGGGCCACAATTTGATCGTCCACACTACAACTGGAGTACGAGGTGAACGGGTGACGGGGCGAGGCCCCATGGAATGTTGTTAGATGAGTCTACGTATAAAAAAGTTGTAGTGGTGTTGTAGTTGGACCACCGCGAATTCCTGCGCGCATACAAGCAGCGCAAGTGTTTGTCTTCGATTCGCACAGAATTATGACTTGTAGAAGATGATAAGAAGTAAACTGGCAGCAAAATAAAACAATTTATGTATGAACAAATAAATCGAAGATAGTGCCGATCATACAACAGCTCCTTGGCCACACGGCACCTGGAAGCATCGCGTGCGAGGTGCGGCGGCGCGGACTGCAGAAAGTCACGAGGGATATGTTTTTTTGCGATGTTGATTTCCTACTCCTAAGAACTGCCAGTAATGCAATCGCTATCGCAGCACGACCACTGCGCTTTGTACTTATCCCGATGTGGAGGTTCCTGGCCGGAGCCCTTCGCCCCCGTGGTTGTCGATCTCGATCTGCTCATCGTCCTGCAGGATCATGGCGAAATTCCAATACCGCTGCAGCGTCGCCCTGACTCGAAACCAAACGCTCTGACGTATCATTTGTAAAAACGTCCCCACCCCAGAGTTGTCATGCAGATGTGCAATGACAGGAACAGTTGTAATGGGCATCTCCATGAGAGGAATTTCTAGTCGTGTTTTGGCATTTGTAATGCTGCAACCAGGATAATCAGATGGATTTCTGATGCGTTTGCCCTTGCTAACCTGCACTACACTACGGACTGCAACTTGTGATGCATGAGTCCCAAAAATTCCAGGTTTGTGTTGCAAAATCCCCATCTTGTTGACTATGGGGTGGGGACGATTCTACTCAGGATATGACGTCCTGCGGTGCTGCTGGTCTCGCAACGCAGCAAGAACGCCTGCAACACAGTATGAAAGCCTCAGGTTGGAAATCCTCAAAGTGAAAATAATTTGTAATGCAAAAAAACGACGCCAGTTGGAGCACCATTTATAGTCGGCGCATGACAAAAATTTCCCGGGCACTCAAAACGTGTTTGTCATGCTAGTTAGGCAAAGTGGTGCCCTTCTCTCATGCTAATCAGCAGCCCAATTCTGAACCCGTAGAAGCATCGTAGTCGGCCTCCAGTGCGTTCTCTGCAATACAGTCTTTTTGGTGTCGCATTTCATGCATCACAAATTATTGATAATCTGATTCGAACCGAAGCCAATTATTTCCACTTTGAGGATTTCCATTCTGAGGGTGTCATACACAGCCTGCTCCTCGTCCTCGTTTTCGGTGTCGCTCGCGGCTCCGTACTCGTAGTGAGTCTCAGTCGGCGGGCCATTTGATGTTCCAGCAGTGGTCCTCAGGCCGTAGCGACGCAGCTGATCACCTTCTGCATGAAAATGGCCGGCGGCGGCGCCTCCGTGGGGTAGATGATGTTGCGACGCCGGATAACGCTCAACAACATCTCCATGCAGATGATCATGCTGGGGATATCCTGTGCAAAAGTATCGCACTCGTACGCGTTTTTATGCATTATAAATGTCTTTACTAAAGCAAATCCGCATTACTACAAATTGAATTTGTAATGCTAAATGATTTTGTAATGCAATTTACACTAGTACGATACTTTTGCAGTTCATAGAGGAGCATCTTCACCAACTCGACCGTACCGGCTGAACAGCAGCGCGCCTTCGTGTAGCGCGACGTTGCGGTCGTGAAGATGCTGAGCATCATAATATCCTCAGTAAAAACGTCCCCCTGTCAGAGCCAAGATGGGGATTTTGCAACACAAACCTTAGAAGTTTTGGTGGTCACGCATGACAAATTTCAACTCGTACGGTAGTGCAGGTTAGTGTGGACAGCGACAGCCGCATTACAAACCCCTTTTATCTTCCTGTTTACAGCATTACAAATTTTAGAACATGATTGGAAATCATGCCTATGATGGATATGCGCATCACAAATGTTCCTGTCATTGGAAATCAGCATGACAACTCCGGGGTCGTGGGGACGTCTTTACACAGGGTACATGAGGGGGACCTTCGTCGTCCGATATTTGCACCAACGTTTGCTGTTCAGTTTCATCGGGCCCGCTTTGGCTTTGCTCCGGCAGCTCCAGCTGGAGGTGGTGCTGCAGCAATGAATCCCGCTTGTGCTCCTGGCGAAGATCTGTCTTTCCTTTTCGCGGCATCAGCGATGTCGACCCCGGCTCGTCCTCGGCAACATTGTTTATCATTCTGATCGGCAATAAATCATAAAGCGATTGACCTTGTTCGCTCTCCTGTCCCGTTCCGCATTCTTGTTGCGCTTCGGGATCAACCACGCGGAGTGGGTGCTGGAGAGCATGATTTTCGTCGCCGGTGTTTCTGGCGCCCCCGTCGAACAGCAGCCGTATTCTTGTCGGGTGAAAAAGTTTCGCGGCAAAGGAAAATCTGCGCGCTAGCACGGAGGTCCAGGCCGCCGGGGTCGCTTGCAGGTTCTGCAGTAATATGCAGAAAGATCCTGCTTCTTGTGTGGAAAAAGAAGGGTCTTCAGGATGATCTTCGGCCCGTCCTTGTCCTTCGCAAGTAGTTATGCCCAGCACAGCGTGTCCGTCTCCAGCTGTTGCGGCAGCGCAATCGCCAGGATTTGTCGCACCTTCGTCGTGTACTGTCAGCCCAGCCTCAGCATCATACTCATACTTGCTCCGTTCCAGTTGCAGTTGCACTCGCGCGCCCTGCATATCATACCCTTTTCCAGTTGTTTCGCCCCCTTCTTCCTCGGAACTAGACGTGGAAACGGAGTCCGCGCGGCGTCTTGCCCGGGGAAAATAATCGGTCCGGCCCTCGCCCTCCGCAGACGACGAATTTCTGCTGCCACAGGTAAAGAACTTGCTGCGGCAAGAATTATTTGAGCCAGCTCGGCGTCTTCTGTTCGGGCTGGCCCAACAGAAACACCGGAGAAAGATGAGGAAGGCCAAGCCGGCACGGTAAGCTTATCCAGCTGGAAGAACCCCCCTCTTCAGCGGACTCAGAAAACAAGAAAACGCGGCCCAGGTGTACAAGAAGAAGTACTTGTAGAACTCCACTTTTAGCAGACAATGATCTTCACCACGGCCCGCGTAGTTGTCATTCACCTACAAAATAAATGAAGAGCTAGCGCATCACCACGCTCTTTGTCACCACGAGTTTCGTGGGAGCGGAGGGAGGTTCTTTAAACTTGATAGTCAAAACGAAAATAAAGCGACTTTCGCTCCGCACGACACGGGTTTCCAACTGCGGGATTCCTGGCTGTCCTTCCCCTCCGTCGTTCAGGTGGTCTTTTTTACTTTAGTCACATTCTTCTTCTGGAGCAGCTCCTGGATAAAGTATATAGATATACTTTATCCAGGAAAGGGAAAAAACAAAAAGAAGAAAACATGAACATCATCAGTCATCCGTGACGAGCATAAAAACAACACTCTGATCAAGCAGACGCTTGCTGGCGCGGGCGTCTGATAGATGCAGGACTCGTGTTCCTGAGCCTGATCATGAAGCTCAGATGACTCGTCCTGCTCCTGATCGTGGTTGAGGTTAGCTCTTCATAAGTATTCATTTTAAATTTAAACTATCACTATCACTATGCTGCTGACTGAGCATGACAAAGGTAATACTTAATTGCGCACGCGGATGAAGACCACGTGGGGGCAAAGGCGGAGGGCTTCTGGACAGGAGAGGAAGTCCACGCTCCTTCTTGTTTGAAGATGTAGTCCGCGTCGAGAGCAGAAAGCCGCTCGTCTTTTAGTCGCATACGAAAACCCCGGCCAAGGAAGCGGCACTGATTGCGCACTGCGGAGAAAGGTGTGCAGCCGCAGCGGCATTCCCCTGCTGCGTATCATACAGCAAAACCAAAAATCTAGCTGGACAAGCATGATCGGCGTTGCGGGAGTTCTGTGCTCTTACTGTGTCCCGCATTGTTCGTCGGGGAAGAACTAAGCTACCATGCGCGACATACTTCTACCTAGTGCCACAGTTGCAAAGGAAATCTTCTCATGCATAGAATTTACTTGATCTCCTGCGCAATTGCGGACGGGAACTGGTCGCGTGCCGAGCTGCACATAGCAGTCGACGCATGCGTTTGCGTCGCCATGATCTTTATGCAAAACCAAAAACAAAACTAAAACAAAGAACAAAGCCTGCCTCTCTGCTATAGCTATGTGTGCTATTGTTGAGCACGACCATCAATTTTGTGTATGATAGCCTTCCTCGCGAGGAAAAAGCTCAGCGATAATTTCGCCGGGGCAGGTGGTAATGAGTTCGGATAGTCTCGTCTCTGCACCACTGGCAGGAAAGCCATGACTGCCGGGCTGCTGGGTGTAGGGGAGAACCTCGGAGATGGAGGCCTGTGCCGTGTGTGCCTTTAGGCTGCTAGACACGGGAATTTGTTGTAGCTGTAGAAAGGATATTCCATTGCGTCCGGCGGCGCCTGGCTCTCTACCTCGTTCAGCTGGCAAGGGTTCCAGCCGCCAGTATTCCTGATGCGCGCCCGGGTACAATTCTTCCGCGGCGACTCTCAACAAACGTTCTGTCTGCGGATCGAAATGAGCGCGAACGACCGCGTCGTCCGCGTGCCTCCGTATGAACGGACAAAACGAAAAGCCTGACACTGAAAGACGCCAAGCTCTTGCGTCCTTGGGCAAAAGAGTTCTGTTGCCGGCAGAAGAATTTGGAAACGTTGCTGCGCATCTTTTTTGCGAAACAATTTTGAAGAAGCCTTGCTCTCCCGATGGGCTCTTGGCGCAGTTTTCTCAGAATTCAGTCAAAAGAACAGCAGTGCGCAAACCGGTTGAAAAGTTATTCTGCCCAATGGCCCAAAAAGCTTTGCACTTTGTGGGTGTCTGGCTTTGCACTTTGTCCGCCCATAACCAGGCGCTTGTGTATGTTGTTCTGCATCGCGATCGCTGGAAGCTTGCGTATCATGTTCTCCATCTCTTTGAAGCCTTCTCTGGCCCGATCAGCGATGTCCGGGAAGAGAAGGAATAGGCGCCGACGTTCATTGGGCGTCAACAGGGCCTCCTCACTACGTTCATCCTTGCCGAGAATAACATTATACAAAACGCGCAAAGTAGTTTTGTACTGTTGCTCTCCCCCCGGGCCCGCTTTTCTAATGCGTTCGCGGATTTTCTTCAGAGTTGCAATTTCCTTCTCCAGGTCCCCCTTCAGGAGTGCCATCTTCGTAACCTTTCCTGGCCCAATTTCTTGTATTTGCGCGGCTCTGCGTGCCAGTTCCGGATTCTCCTCGGCGAAAACCACGCGCGCCGAAACTAATAAATCGTAGCACTGGCTGGGGCTGGGTGCTCTCTCGACGCACCATGGTGACAAGCTTGCCCCCTGTTGTTCGTGGGCGTAGCGATAGCAGATCGGCTCAAGCTTGTCCACTATGGGCGCTACGGCTTGTTGATACTCACTCGCCTGCAAGTCCTTCCACAACACGTCGGCGCAATCTTTTTCCAAGCGTTCTGATCAGATGGAAAACACCCGTGGCGGCATTCTGTTCCGAACGCTGGCAACATTTTCCGGCTTTGAAGAACAGCGACCCGCTCAAGAACAACCCACAACACCCGAAGACCTAATCTACCAGAACAATCGGAAGGGGGCTGAAAAGGGAACAGGGGCGCAACTAAATGAAAGAGGGCCACTCGTCGGAAGATACCCGCCCAGCCCCTGGAGGAGGCCCAGGGGCCGCTGGGAACGTGCGTATCGAAACCAAACAAGGGAAAAAGGAATCGCGAGCGGGCTTTTCAGGGTCAATGGGGGCGGAAAAAGCCTGCTCGCGCGTGCTGCTACGTAAATCCCTGAACAAGGCAAGGCGCCTGGCTGCAGATGCGGTAGCTGCGGGGGAAAATAAAAAAACGTGGCGGGCCGGCGCGAGAAGGAAGAACCCCAACGACGACCAAAGCAGCCCCGCAGCTGGGGGGGTGGTGTCTGTGTGAAAAGGGCGGCACAACACGGCATCGCCATAGCCGCCATGACCTCGCCGGGCGCCCCTCCAGGCCTCTGAGTTTGTAGTTTGGCGCGGCAGCCCCAGGGACGAGGATGACACCGGAACGGCTTTGGCCCTGTTATACGACCGCCCGGGGCGACGATCTGAAAGCGAAGCCCGGCCGCCCCGGCTGTCTTCTAGCTCCTCCCAAGAGCGCCACCTAGCTATACCCAAAAGAGGAAGAGCGCCTGGCCGTCTGCGCCTTTATTTTATATTTGAAAACGCACATCAGCACCACAGGGCACGAATTCCTTCAGACAGTGCGGAAAAATAGTATAAAGGGCGCGGGGCTACAAAAGAAAGACAGAGAAAAGCCAAGGCTATGCTCTTCTCGCGCCTGGCGGGCAAGAAAACAACCCAGGGGCGCCGGGTAGCGAGTGAAGGGACACGAAGCTGGGCGCCGGGTAGAGAGCAAAGAGGCGGCGGGCAACAACGAAACCACGCGCCCGGAACGAAGGGCGCCACGGCAAGAAAAAGCGCGCGGGCGCCCCGAATTTCTGGCATCCCCCGAAAAACTTTAAAATGGGCCATATTGAAAGGACTTAACGCCGCCCGGTGTGCGTAGGCCTAATTCAGCTGGTGAGCGTCGTTCTCCCTCCCGAAGGAAGTCATGGCGGCGGGCTTCTTGCGTTTTCCGCACATCGCTGCCGCTCGCTTTTCTCGTTTCCTGCGCTGTGGTAGCTCTTTGCCCTGCACCAGTCCCATCCTGCTTGCCAGCCTCATTCCGATCGCCAACGGCGCCCCGGTGCTGGACGAAGAGACGCTCCTGCATCTTCTTATTAAATTCCCCGACAGCGGCAGCCACTTGCGCGGCCTGCCCTCGGCCGCTGCTGCTCGGACCAGCTGCAAAAGGTCGACCTGTGGTTGTGGAGTTGCCTTGGGGCGGCTTTTTGTTTTGTTATAATTCTAGTTGGAAATGTAAATGTATGTAGCAATAATAAAAAATTGCCGGGGGTGCCTCAACGAGCTGCAAAATACATAGACCGCTCACACGCAACGGGCTCTGCGCTAAATAGCAACCAAATCAAATTAGGAATCCCAAACAAAGCCCGAAACCCTGAAACCCATCGCAGCGGCGATCCGGGACGGAAGCTGAATAGAGGAAGTCACGCCGTCCGCATGTAGGCAAGTCGGAACAGAGAGACGCGGTGGCGCACATCATGTGCAGCTCGATCTAATCCTAGACCTAGACCTAGCCGTGATGTAAAAAAGAAAAACACACAGAGCAGGAAAGAAAAGCTGCTTGGTGCCAGTTGGGCCCGGGGAAAGGGAGAGGCGCTAGTAAATAGCATTAACGTTTTTATTTCGTGTTGAGAGTATTTGTATTTCTTTTTTTTATAAATATAAATGCAGGAAACGGAAGAACGGGAAGACGAGCAAAGAAATGTCAAACATGGAGGAGGAGAGCTAGTGAGTCACATTTTATTCTAGTCTAGCGCGCGCCTCTTCGCTAACACTTCTGCCCACATCGCCCACAGAATTCAAAGCAGTGGCGTGATAGGCTTATTTACATAGACTCAGACCTCTGCCCACGCGTAAAAATAAAACGGCACGCAGCCACCTCGCGACCACAGTCTTCTTTGTTTTGGTTCTTGAAATCCGGCGGGCTTCGACTGTTAGTCGCACTTACTCGGGAAAATGATTGGGCGCCAGAATTGGAGAACAACAACAAGAGACGGCAACACACGAATCGGCCCCGTGGCCTTTTTTGCGCGGGCCCGCCCCACGCATCACGCACAGTTTTGGCCCTTCGTACTATTGACGACGCTGAGGCTTGGCTTCACGACGAAAAAACGGCGGCAACTACACCAAACAAACAGAAGCGGCCAGCCTGTGGCTGTGCAAAGGAACAATACAACGGCCGTAGCAGCAAGCAAATGAGGCGACGGGCAACGACATGTCGAGGAGGCCTCCCTCACATCATTCTATTCCTGCACCGGTGCGCGGCTCATCATCAGCGTGATGGCCTCTACATACTTCTCCACGACCTCGACGTTTTTCCTGCCTCCTGCCACTGAGCGATGGAGAAAGGGTAGGCAAAGCCTACCAGAAAATAAAAATATGCATGATCCTGATAGATACCACTCCAGGGCGGGATCATTGTCGCCTGAGTCTATCTAAAAAGACATACTCGACCGGACGCCTCAATCCCACCCAGCCGCCGGCGCGGTTGCAGAGGGTCACGGCCCACATGCACATCACAGGGCTAGAAAGCTGACGACCGGCGCAGCTACGTGGCCAGGCAGCGGCTGACTGCTACAGTAAGCTGAGGCTACTTGTTTGCTCGCTGGGGCCAGCCTTATGGCTAATGACCCTCTGCGAGGCCGCTTGTGCGCAACCACTGGCGACAGCCGCACCGCAGAAATAACCTCTGAAAACGAGCGAAGCCGAAGCCGCAGAAGCAAGCAGTGCGAACGACCAAGGCCCCCCAGACCCAACCCTGCTTGTGCGTCGCTGCGAGAGTGGGACCGAAGCGAGCAGGAGAGGCGCTGCGGGTCGGTCGGGGGCTGCGCGTGCGGGAAAAGGTGCAAGCCCATAGAAGGCGCGGCGCGCGGACGCTGGCAGGAAAGGCCCGCCGAAGCAACATCTCCCGGCGGGTCACTAAAATGCAAAAAAGGCCGCCCAACTGAAGCGAATGCACCCGGGGAAGGAAAGGATTTTGGATAGGGCTCGGAAGAAAAAGCGCAAGGACTTGAAGATAGCAGGGCCACACCCGCCATGCCAGAAACTACTTTTCTCATTTACTACAAATTGAAAAACACACAACTCCTAGCGACTGTGCCATTGTCGCTGTAGTACCTGTGTCTGCAGTGGCCCACCTCCGCAGGTAATCGCTTTGAAAGCGCCGAACGCCTTATCGTAGCAAAACCTCGAGCTCTCATTTTTTCGAAAAGTTTTTGCTTTGTCGTAGATAACTACTTTTCCTTTTCGTTGCGGCCACGTTACCTTTTTTAATTTTGCACAAAAGATAGAGTGCTTTTAGTATCGCGCTGCGACGCGAGGGGTGACCTACATCTCTACATGATCTACCGCCTGGAAGACCAGAGTCAGGCTGCTGCCTCGAGGCGGAAGAGTGACGCCTACCAGCAGCACGCTTCGCGAACGACAAATGAAGCGTGAGTGCTTATGCAGGCGGGCATAAATCTGTTTCCTAATTTTTACTTCAATGCCTATGCCTATCCTTATGCAAGAAGTCAACGCTCTGCAATTTCAATAGCGATAAATACAAAATCAAAACTCATCAAAATGAATGACATACTCGACTCAAGATTGCGTGTGGATACATCGTCGTCTAGTCCCTGGACAAATACTACGTTTGTCTGCCCTGGAGTTGCGACTATATTTCGATGAGAAGCTGAGTAAGGAGGTTTCGAGCCGTGGGGACCCACGACCATCTTCTCTGGTGCTGCGTTCGCTTTCTCGAAAAGTTTCATGTTCATCAGCACTTGGCGATTAAAGTCTTCGACCGTTTGCACCTCCTGCCGGGGTATATCAGTATCCAGCCGCTGGACATATATCACGCGCTGTCCCCGTGTCATTGCGCTTGCTGCTCGCTGATAACTCGCTGGTGGCGGGGCCGGGTGTGGCGAGAGAGGTAGTGGCGCGGGGAGGAGTGCATCTTCACTTGTTCGCTGCGCTCCCCCCTTGGCCCGGTTCTTTAATTCCGCCCAGATGTAGTGATTGAACTCTTGTACTGCAGAATGCGTTGCTGAAGAGTGTCCGCTACTTTCGCCTGTTGGGGATGACGCCAACGACGCAGCAAGGCGACGCATCAGGTCTGGTGCACCTGCTGCGCCGAGGCTGAGCTGCTGGACATATACGAGCTGCCGCCCTGTTAGGTTTTCTGCCCGCAGAAAAGCCGGCGGAGCTGCTAGGGCTGCGGGCAGCGCCGACCCGCTCGGCGCGCTCACTTCTGCTGTTTGTGCCGCCGTGGCCCTCAACAAGTGCGCCTGGATTTGCTGATTGAATTCTTCGTCCGCTTGGGCTTTACGCGTCCGGCCAGACACAACTGGGTCGACCCCCTGGACATACACATTGACGGGGTTCATCAACCCTGTGCCGCCGGCGGGTTCTCCTGGAGAACGTGCAGGACCTGGAGCTCCGCTTCGCTGGCCTGTAGCTTGCACTTCCCGGGCTGAGCCGGCGCCTTTCGAACGCTCGGCGCTGAGTTGTTCCGGCGCCCTATCTCCGGCCATCCGCGCGAACCGCCCGACAGTGGCTTGCCAAGCTCGCGAAGGGGCAGCCCCAACAGCCTGCAACGCGGCCCCGGCGGCTCGTATAGGTGTCGAGGAAAACCTCTTCGGCCTCGACCCCTCGGGAGGGGCGGCCGGTGAGGAAGTTGGCGACGCGATATGACCTTCACCTTCTTCAACCGAAGATTCGCCGAGGACCGGGCCAGCGGTGGCGCTCCCGCCAGCGCCGCTCGCGCCATCCGCACCTTTGCCGCCCATCTCGCCGCCCCTCTCACGCGTGCCGCCACTCATCAATGTGGTGGGCGATGTAAGTCGCCTCGACGGCAGGAGGTGCGACACGCTCCTCCACACGCTTCCCGTCGCCGCAGGAGAAGTAGTGGCGACAACCCCCGTCCCCGCGGCCTCAGGCATTTGAGACGCAGCTGCTCCCCGCCGACCACTCGGGCCCGGCGGAGTTACCTGAGGAGGCGTCCTATTGCCGTCCCCACTGCCAGCCGCGCCGCTTTTGCCATCCGCGGCGCCGTTTTTCGGGATGCCCCCGCTGCCGCTCTTGTTGAAGTTGATACGCTCCGCAGCCCCCGTCTTGCGATTCTCGCTACTCCCGTTCGTGGCATCCCCCGCGCCGCCCTCCGTGCCGCCCTTCTTCGTGCCGTCCGTGCGGCCGCCCTCGTTGTCCTTGCCGCCCGGCAATATGTTGGCTTTTGAAAAAATTTCATGATTGGCGCCAGGAGAAGCTGGCGCACTTCTAGTAGCAGTGCCAGGCAGGCCTCCTTTTCCTTTCATAGCCGCCTGCTTGGCGATGGCGCCCTTCGCCGGTCTAGTAGAAGTGCGAGGGCGAGACGGGCCTCCTTTTCCTTTAATAGCCTCCTGCTTGGCGATCGCGATGGCGCCCGCCGCATCCGGGTCCAGCGAAGTCGTTGATGGCAACAGCATGTGCATGCCCTTGCCCCCGCCCTCATCGCCGCTCCCGTTGGCGTCCGTGTCGCCCTGCTTGTGCTTCCCCTTCTTGCCACCCCCCTTAGCGCCCTTGTTGTCCACCAGCTGCGGGGGAGTATCAAGATGTTCTCCATCGTCCTGAGGTGCGAGTGGGTCATGAGGAGGGGCAGGACCACGCCGGGGCCGCGGACGCGCAGATGCAGGAGGCTTGGGGGCTCCCACTCCCAGCAGCGGAAGATGTTGCGTCGCAATAATTTTTAGTCCTGCGTCTGCCCCGGGGGGAGGTGTGGAGGTTGCTTGCCTGAGGTCGGGCGAAAGGGATGCGGCACGTGGTGCTTCATCTCCTTCTATTGGGGTTCCCGTTCGGTGTTCTCGTAGATTTCGATCTCCATTTTCTTCATCTTCTACACCTCCTTCAGAGGCACGCTGAGGTAAAGAGACGGAGCCGCACGAAGCTTCACGGCACAGAAATGAGTGGCCCGACTGGGGTACTGACGCAGATGACTGCGTCGCAGCTCCAAGAACAAGATCCGTCCGGCTGTCGCCCGCTAGTTTCCTGAAAGAAAGCCTCCCCGTCCCCGATCATGCATATGAATAGAACTGCTGAGTGCTGACGCTGAGCAGCGTGCTGCCAGTTGTTGCAGTTGCTTCATCCGTACCACGCTGTGTTGTTCGAGATGGGAGGAGGGCCCTTCGCGCTGTTCGCAATTTTAAGTGGCCAGTAGCCAGGTACAAGAGCAACCGACATTGACTCGCCACGACCCAGCGCTTCGCGAAGCACTCGAATGAGAAAGCGAGACTGGGGGCGTCGCTGCGCTTTGGTAATAAATTGCCAATCGCACCAGGAGCATACATTCTATTAGAAGCACACAACTAGCCCCCTCTTGCAGCGAACGCAAACGATGTGGCGCATTTTGCACATCGCCCTCGTCGTCGATGGCCTTCGCACATGCAAGGCGGGGCGATTCTTGCAAGGAATACTAGTTCGGCGTGTAGTTTCATCATGATCGCGCAACCTCCTTGCCTGCGGCAACTCAGCATCCTATGATATTGAAAAACGCCTCAGCTTCGGCATCGCCTTAATAGCCACTGACAGTGACCACTTCATGTGAAGAAGAACGAAGTCTGTGTTTGTCTCGGCTATGTGCGTTGCTTGCTTCGTGCTTCTGGTTCTGCTTCATCATCTGATGCAAAAGTCAAAAATATTCATCTGGAGCAAAACCAAAAGTAGAAACAAGGCGCAATAATGATAATTAAATCTAAATTTACATTTAGACTTACTCTTCTTTCTATATAATTTTGGTTTTGCGGTCCAGCCACGCGCAAAAATGAATACGGGGGTAATAATAGAAATAGTGCAGCTACTAGAGCTTGTGTAGTCATTGTCATTTAGGTACGGAGCTGAGCCTGCTGAGGCGTTTTTCGCATTGATATTAGGGCCGCCTTCTCGTCGTGGTCATGCTCCGTCTGCTTGCTTCCAGAACTACTATCGGAGTTGGTCAGCAAGCCTGACTTGTGTTGATTTTGGCCGTCCGCTCGACGCCTCTCCCCGAACGATGTTTCCTGCTCTTCATCCTCCACGCTGCTTGTGGTCGATTATCCCCTGCAAGGGTATCGCCGTCGTCGTGCTCGTCGTACTAATTGCAAGCATGAACATAAAGAGCACCTAACTTTTTACTTTTCACGTAGATATTCGCACGACCACAAACCGGCCCGCTTTTCCCTTGGGGCCTCAGTCGGCATGACAAGTTCCGTTTTTCCTTGTGACAATATCAAAATTTGTGATGTAGCTAATGCACCCGCTGCTGCGCCAGCGCCGAATGACTGTGCTTTTGCCCACAGTCTCTCCGCACCAGCAGGCGCCGGAAATCAAAACTGTTGTTGATGCGGTTTCTACATACTTAATCTACTTGGTACGATCGCGACACCTTTGCAAACACGCCGTATCGACTCGGATGCATCTTCATCTTCGAGGTGCGTGGTGCTGGCATCTTCTGCCGAAGCTTTTTGCCGCTGGGGAAAGTCTGTGCCGCCAGGTGTTGTTGCCAAACCTGATTCTGCTGATTTGATGCCAGGCGCGGGCACGGGCGAGACGTTCTCTCTGCTCGACGTGGTTGTGCGACTTCGATGTCTTTCATCGAGGAGGCTGTAGTCTGAGAGAATTTCGCCAGCCGGAGGCGTGCTGGCGGCATCGCTCAAAGATGAAAGCGATCCAGGACGAGGCGCTTTAGTGGAGTAGGCTGCGCGCCTTGCTGGGCCACCGGCGTCTTCAGTGTCAGCTTCCTCGTCCTGCGCCTGGTCATGCCCACCGCCTCGTCCTGTGCTACGAGGAGACTCTCTCCAAAAATTCTTGTAGTAGTTCCTTATAACCTGCTCAGCCGTTTTTACGGTCTCAAGCTTTACAACTAAAATGAAAATCTGTGACGGCAGTCGTTGTCGTCACAGGATTCAGCATGACAACAAGAACCGGAACTCCACCAGATCCGAGGAAAATCTGGCAAAATTTGTATTGTGAAAAGCGCAATCGCAATGGCAATAAAGCTCTGCATGTTTTTCATGCTCTCTATGAAAGGGAAAATCCAGGCTCTCTTCGTGGTAAGAACGCTTGATATTGCAAAACCTGAGCGGGTCATATTCCTACTTCTCGTCCTCTCGTTTGATGGCGCGACCAGGTGGCGGAACTCATGTGCTGTAGCCCACCTCGTTGCCTGTTCAAAGAATGAAAATGGGTCGCGGTGCAGCTGGGTCTCATCATGATTCAGATTCCGCAAATCGTGTGAAGTTGTGCGTGGGTGGTCCGTCGGGGTCCGCGTCTGGGCTCTTTCATCACGAGAAAATAAAGAAGCAACAAGCCTTGGCTCCCCACTTTCCTTTTCGAGCGCACTTGATGTAGTTGGAATGCCGTGCGCAGGCGCAGCACTAAATGAGGGCCCGCTTGCTCCTCCCAGGTTTTTCTCATGTTGCGGTCCATCGGCTGTGCCTGTGCCTGTGCGTCGGTGCTCCCGGTCGGGTGCCTGTCTCTGATAACTTTTCCCGCTCAGATTTCGCTTGCCATGCCTCTTCTTTCTCCCCCAGTGCTTCTTTTTCTTCGCCTCTTCCAGCTTCATGCCCGACCCAAGTTCGTCCCCTCCCTGAAAGAGGCCGAGCGAGGCCGCCTTGGGTACAAATTATCGCAACGCAGCTGTTGACGCAGAGAAGCTACTGACAAGTGAAGATTCGTGCTCGCCTTGCTTTTGTTTTCTAGTCGTGGAAGATGAGTCCGCAAAGACGAAAAAAATTCGGAAATCCGGCACCTCCTTGCACGCAAGTTGTGGTAGCCCACCAGCCTCTACTGCTTTAGCTTAATGAACGCGCATCGGCGCAGTATCGTCGCCATGCCGTATTATGTTGCTGCTCAGCTGCCTCATGGTCATGGGGTTTAGATGTAGCATTTGTCTTAGAAGAGAAAATAAACTATGCTGTTCCTGGTAAAAAACTGCAATAATCACTGTCAAGCACCACCGCGCCCGATGGCTCACGGAGTAATTGAAGATAAAGACGCTTGCGGAGCACGTGCGCTCAGGTCTTTGTCGTATCAGTCGCGCTCCTGTAGTAGAAGTAGTCGACCCGGCGGAAGCAACATGAATAAAAGCAGAAGGCTAGTAGTTTGTCCATGGGCTGCATCCTCGGCGGCCACTAACTTATCTTAGGACTTTTATGATAATGATGTTTATCTTATATCTTTAACTTATTTATGCATATCATCTACTGACTGACTGACTACTGCTAAAATCCGTGGCTTTTCGTGTTAGTTCCGCGCTGGGTTCTATCATGGATGTGCAGTGCTTTGTTATCTCTTGGTCCTGGGAGACCCCTCATTTCCTCACACGATGGGATTGGCTGCAGTCCAGGCTTTCGTTGCGTTGTTCTGTTGGAAAGTGTGGCCCAGTACTGTTGCTTCTTCCATCCCGGCGATTTCACAGAAGAAGAAGCTTGTTACCCGGAAACTTATGCGCTCGCCACTGTCTGCCAAGACAGAAAAATTGTACTTAGACCTGGACTGTTTCTCCCACACCTTCCCGTTTATTTGCGATAACAATTTTTTGTTTGCTTCATCAGTCTCACGTCGTTGTTGTTCCAATCTCCGCTGTCTTTCCTCCTCCATTGCTGTTCTTTTTTCCGTTTTTGGGCGTCCCGCTACTGCTCCTCTCTGCTTCTTTATCGGCTTGACCGGTTTCCGTTTTGCTAGTGTCGCTCGTAATGCTACTGCTGTTGGCTTCGTTTCTTTTAACGTTTGCATTGTGAGCCCGAACATGTAAAAATCGTCTTCTAGCTGGCGACCCCATATCGATTTGCAAAAAAGTTCCTTCTCTATGCGCGAGACGGAACCCTCCGCCTCGTCACCTCTACACGTGTGGGCGACCCAACCTAGACGCCTGGTCGCAACTTCTACTTCTAGGGGCTGCACACCGAGATCGGTGCACAGCTGCAGGCGGTTCTTCTCCTGGTTTTTGTAGTGCCCGCCTAGCACATGCCGCAGCGCACTATCTTGGTAGCGCCGCAGCTGCGTCGCTGCCGCGCTAGATATCGCCCAGCATTCCGAGTTATACATGGCGACTGATAGAGACAGGGATCGAAACAGGTCGGACTTCAGGTAAAGAGGGATTGTTTTGTCCCGCCATATCGGCGAGAGCTGCTGCACTACCCCCAGAGCTATCGCGCAGCGTCTTGTTGTTTCTGCGTCTGTACTTCCGTCAAGGGCTATCTCCGTACCGAGGTACTTGAAGCTTGCCACCTGTTCGATGGCTTTGCCCAGGTGGCGCACCGGTTTCCCCTCCTGCACTGCTGTGGGCTTTTGTGCTTGTTTGTTCTTCTGTTCTACTTGCCGCCCGATCCGCAGCGTGCGCAGTTCTTGCATCGTTTTGTTAGGTCTGCAAAAGCCGGTGGCTGTGTGGAAGTGAAGAGCGGTGGCATCCGGGAGGATGTCACCGCACTTCGGGCATTCGTGCGCGTTTTTATCGGCAATGACATGCCGAATCTGCCCTAGCCGCATCAACCTGATGCTTTCTCCCTCGTTTGTTAGTGCCCAGCCGCTCTGTTTCAGTGTTACTGCTGTTACCCCTCTTGACGGCGTGTCCCACACCACCAGGTGGGTGGGAGCCAGGTCCCCCAGGCCTGCCATCTTTAGTCGCCCTGCTTCTTCTTTCCACTGGTTGTTCCAGTCCTTGCCGCTCCATTCTATCACCCACCCCCAGTCTCCGTCGTGCTGGCATCGCTCCATTTTTGCGCTCGGGTTTTTTCTTTCCTCCACTTCTGGGTTCACCGCCAGGACCTTCGTCTTTTTGGTGTTCAACTCCAACCCGATAAAGCGACACGCGCTAGACAGCTCCTGGAGTGCGAACTCCAGGTCTTTGGCGTTGCTGTCCTTCACGACCAGGTCGTCGACGTAGCCGAGCCACGCCAACGCCTGGGCCTCTGCCTGCTCCCGTGTCCACTTCTGCTCTTCCACCATTGTTGCAATGAACTGTGCGAGAGCCCAGTCCACGCATATGGCGAAGAGGAGTGGGGAGAGGGCTGACCCCTGTCGAATTCCCGACCGCTGTCGGAAAGTCGGGGCGTGTTTGCCTTCGCCTAGTCGTATAGTTACTTTTGCGTTTTGTTCGTACATGTTGTAGATTATTCTGCAGATGTTTTCTGGGACGCCCTGCAGGCGGAGCACGGTAAACATTACATCCCACGACAGCGAGTCGAAGGCTTTCTGGAAGTCTATGAACGCGTAAAGCGCCCGCCTCCCTTCTTTGTTAGACCGCTCCACGTCGCGCAGCAGTTCGAAAACTGCATGTCTGCACGACAGCCCGCGCCGGCACCCTTTTTGTCGCGGGTCCAGCTTTTTGCCTGCGTCTGCTTCGATCCTGCGAAGAATCACGAGACCGAGCAATTTTTCGCCGAGTGTGATCAGCGCGATCGGGCGCCAGTTTGCTGGGTTGGCCTGCACGCCGTCCTTGTGGAGCATGGCGACCACCGCCTCGCCCCACTCTTCCGGGATTTTTTCCCCCGCGAAGATCCGACGCACCAAGGCCGCCAGCACCGACTTGACTGTGTCGCATTCTTTTGCGAATTCCGCCGGGATCGGGCCGGCGAAGGCCCTGCCCGCTTTCAGCTCTTTGAGCGCTGCGGCCACTTCATCCCGCGACGGGACCGCGTCCAGCCCTTCGCACCACGTTGGCCCGGGCTCGTTTCTCTCTATCTCTCTCTCGCACCGCTTCCAGGTTTTTGTTTGCCGGACTTCGTCCGGCGGCTGTGGTCGCGGCTTGCCGAAAATGTCGCCCCAGAAGTCTGTCCAGACCTTGGCCGGGCCTGGCAACTCCTGCGGCCGCTTCCGGCCTCTACCCGCCAGTTGCCGCACTGTGTCGAAAACTACTTTTGTATTACCGCACGCGTCGGCCTGTTTCAGCGTTTCTATTTTGTTCTGTACCCATGCGGCTCTGTCGGCTTTTACTAGTTTGTTGATCTCCCTTGTCAGCTTGGTAACTTTGCCGGCGCCGCTAGCCTTGGCCTTCCTTCGTTCCTCTATTTTGTTCCAAGTATCTTCCGATATCCATGGCTTTTGCGGCCCACTCGCAGGCGCGAGCTTGCGAAGTTTCTCCAGAGTCGCCCCCAGATCTTTCTCGAACTCCGTCCACCAAGCCCCTGCACTTGTTGGACCGTTTTCGATTTGTTCAAGCACCTCGGGCGTGTACTTGACCGCCAGCCGCTTGCTGGCCTGTTCTGCCTTTTCCTTGCTTCGAATTATTTGCGGGGGAATTTTTCTAGAGGAAGGCTTTTTTATTGCTCCAAGTTTCATCTCCATCACCACCATGCGGTGGTCGCTGTGTGTGAGTGTGCCCTTGATCACTTTTAGTTTTTGAAAGAGGCCGCGATCTCGGTGGGATACGAGGAACCGGTCGTATTCCCTTTGTCGTCTTTCTTCGCTTGTCCACTTTCCGGTGAAAGTGAACCGCTCCCGCCACGGTTTTTTGTGCAAGCTGGAGAGGTCAACAAGCTGCCGCGCTGCTGCTAGCTCGTGCAGCCGCTGCTTGTTGTCTGACTCGACCACAAAGTCGCTAGTCAGGCCGCATATCATCTAAATCTATATTTATCATGCTTTGCTTGTTGTTGTCGGTCTCTCGTGTTGCTCTTCTTGTACTTGTTGTTCACAAAGAGGAAGGCTGAAGAGACAAATTCAAATGCCCGAAAGAGATGGGTCCTGTCGCGTTTGAGGCAGCCAGGGGGACGATGCAAAAATGAAAATACAGAAGAGATAAAGTCGCAAACAAATAGCAAAGCGAGCTACTAGCACGGGGCCCGCTATTTAACAAGGCTGAAGCAACAAGGGCGCACGCCAAGCATCACTGCTTGTTTGCTCACCTTCACGTATCGAAATATTTGCACGATGACCGACTGCGAACATTGAACGACGCAGCCAACGCACCGATCACGCAAGGCAGGCCCGAGGATATGCTAGTAGTAGTACCCATGCAAAGGCAACTTATCACGTTGACACGACGACACGGCCAACACAAAGGGAAACAAACGAACGATAACTACATGGGCCAACGTCAGCACGAAGAACGAAGCCAACAGATGCTGCCTCGCTATTCTATTGCGCGCCGTCCCGCCACTCAGAAAGGCATCTTGATAGCCATGCTAGTGTGTGCTGCTGCTGATTGTCTTCTAGCATAATAATAACACATACACAGCCCCGAGCCCGGCGAGGCCAATATAATGACGAAACCGAGGGCGTAGCCAGACTCCTAATACACCGAAAGCGCAAAGAAAGGCGGGGGCGGAGAATGGGCCACAGGCAAAACACGGCAACCGTGGGCCCTTTCTTTGCAGACGAAAGAAACATGTACACGCCGCAGGTTTGCCGGGCCCGCAGAATAATACACAAAACGGAGAAAAACTCCCGGGCCCCTTTCCGCGTCTTTTTCCTTTCCAGCACTCATTGCCAGAGAGAGCAACATCACATCGGCCGGGGAAATGGGGGCGGGCGCCAGGGGGCTTCGGCCTCGTCCTCTATCTATGCCTACCACCATCCACGCAACCGGCTGGGCAACGCTGCCGTCCCTCAATGCCCGAAGCGATCTGCTGGCGCCTTTGGGGGTTGTCGGTACTTCCTTGGCCCGGCGTAGGAACACCCCGCGGGGCGCCTTGTCCAACCAACCTACCAGCGGGGCACGAGCGCGCCCCGGCAATCAGGAAAATACGGCGCACGGCGGACCTGGGCCCTTGCTTTGGCCGGCGGGTCGCGATTGCTTCACAGGTACGTAAGCCGCGCCACGAAAGGCAATGGAGCGGCGATTGTTTGAATGACGAAGCTGAGCAAAGGCTGCGTGCCCCCTGGCCCGCCCTTCTATCGTGCAGGCCTACTCTAGACCCTTCCACAACAAGAAGGAGCAAGCCAGCGCGTGCGCGCGCCGGCAATGCTAACGAATAGGAGAAAGAGCGGGCGCGGCGGGAATCGCTTTGCGCAAGCTATCGGCGGGGCACGGCAGCGCAGATAGGCAACAAATTAGTAGAGCCCGAAGGTAGGACTTCGCTGCCCCCGGTCGCAGCCTATCAAGATGCGGCGGGTCGCCGCGCTGCCTCTAGAAGCTGCTGCCGTCTTTATTGGGTTCGTTCGTTTGGCCGAATAGCGTAGCTGCCCCGAAATCTATCTAAGGCAAAAAAAAGCTGCGCTCTACAAAGCAGAGAAAGAAGGGCCCCCACCGGGGGGCGCAACGGAATAGGGACACGAATCACGCCGGGGCCCGCCCCCGCGAGCAGCCCAGCGCGCCCCCACGCATTGAGGCTGGGGAAGAGGACTAAAAAAACTGCAGGCATGCACTGCGACCGGAGCAAGGAAGCCGCGCCGGCTGACGAAGGCGGGCGCATTGTTGCGCGGTTTCGGTGTAGGTCGATGGCCGCGCCGCTTCGGGCAGGGGCGGAGGCATCGGCATTCCGCCATGGCCGCCCCTGAGGCGACGGGGACTTGCCCCGCGCGCTCTCCAGAACTGCCCTGCCGTTCGGCTTCGGGGCCTGACGAATACAACGACACACACGAGCGCATCGCTGGCGACTCGCTACGGTCGCCCGCTTTGTCTTGTGCCTGCTCTAGGGAACAGCGGCGCCATCGCGTTCCTGCAACAATCCATCCACGAAACCCCTGGCCTCTCGGCCAAGCAGGACAGGGAGAACAACGCCTCACACAGGATGGAAAACAAGCGGCCGGCGGGCGCGCGCTCGCGTGCGGTCGCACGACATGGATGCGTGGGCGTTGCCGTGCCCTTGGCTGCCACGCGGCGCGCCTAAGAGTTTACGCCCGTGGGAAATAACACGAGACGGAGGCCGACGGCGGTGCACAGGGTGAAAGGATGCCCTCGCTTTTTCCTCTTGTCTTATTAGTTATTACGTCGACGAAGCAAGCGAAAACGAGAACACAGACACAACGCACACACTAGCTGCGCCGCCAACAACGTGTCCAATGTAGAAGGCGCCCAACCTAGACGGCCGAGACCACACACCCCAGAGCCGCGCCGGGGTTGATTAGGTAAATCGAGCCTGTGCCCTGCATGGCGCCTGGGAGCTTGCTCTTTTTCGCATTCGCAACGACGTGGCCGGCTGGCAACCACGGAAAGAGGCCGAACACGAGTACAGAAACAAGGCGCAAGAGAACCAACGAAGCGCGCGCAATTCGACGAGACAAACTCTGCGCGACTTTCCATTTTATTCCTCCTACACGGGCTGCAACCCCAGCAGCTAGCTTGCGCCCTGGCTGTTCGTTGTGCAGCTGAGAGCCCCGTGAACCCTTCCCGCTGCGCGCTGGCTGCCTCCCGACCGAGGATGGAAGGAAGGGGCGCCAAGCAAACATAGATAGAACAAGTTCGGTAGGGGCGGCCACACCCTGCACGCCTCTCATTTGTGCAAAAGCTGTGCCGCGACCGCTCCATCGGAGCGAAAAACTAAAACCACACACGCTCGCTAAACAGGCAGGATACAAGCTCAGAAGCGATCGCCCCCGGGAATGGGTCTGGGGGCAATCTCCGCAATGAATTAGCTCTCCTTCGCGCAGCGAGCTAGTAAAAACTGAAGAAGAAAAATAGCAAAACATACGACAGACGAAAAGGAAGAGTTGTAATAAAATGAAACAAATAAAAGAGAAAGATAAGATCAATACTAATACTGTGAAACCTATCGAGCGCCATTCTTGTGCCCGAGACAGATATAGACGACGCGCGCCAACAAAGCCAAAAAAGAAAGCCGCGGCGGGCTGTTCTGCAGATTATGCTGCCCGGAGACCCGCTCCACGGAGGCGCACGGCCTGCGCGCGCCCGCGCGCCGACAACGAGAACCGTCACGCACGCGTGCTAGGCTGTGCCAGCTGAGCGATGCGCGCCAGCGCCAACAATGGCGCCCTGGATAGAAAACGCGGACCGACGCTCGCGGCGCCGCACCATCGGCAGAGCGGTTGGCGCAGTGCTACGGCAACGGCTGCGCGCCTGCTTCTTTTTGTTCGGAACGAAGGAAGGGCACACGCCACGGCCGAGAGGGCCTCCGGGGGGTTTGCGCGAATCACCGACCGCGCCGCGCCCCTGCGACCTACTGACACAACGCAACGGGCGCCGCGCCTGTCAGTCAATCTATGGAGCCGCGCGGCCGCCACGAGGAAAACACCACCAGGCGCAATGCGCACTAAACAAAAAAACAGAAACGAGGCGCGCAAGAAAAAACCCAGAACGGCCACAAACGACAAAAAAAAACAAGCAGCCCGAAGGAACAAAATCGAAAAAGGTAGACCGCAACAAACCAGACCGGAAGCGCAAAAAACGGAAAGCGGACGGACTGCAAAAACAAAGAAAAGCACTGCCGGCCACATTCCTTCGCGTTTTTGTTTCTGGTGCCTGGGGCGGGCGCGCGCCTGTTTGCGTTTTGGCGGATTTGCAGGCCGACTCCTTGCCCCGGACCAAGCACCGGCGGGCGGCGCTTTCGAAAAAAAGCGCGGGCGGGGCCCGGTTCATTTCAATCACCGATCGCGGCGCAAGGCCCCAGACCCTTGGCCCGCGCGGGCTTCCGGCAAAAAAAGTGCCCCGGCTGGCGGCATTTGCATTCGCTTAAAAAAAGAAAAAAAAAACAAGAAGAAAAAAAAAAGTAGCAAAAAAGTAGCAAAAGAGAAGAAGTAGAAGGGTTTAGGTGTTTAGGGTTTTCCGATTCAGCAAAAAAAGTTCTTCGTCGACGCGTAACAAGCTGGATCGGACGTGTGCCGCTACTACCGGCTCGACACATAGAAAACGAATTTCGCGCGTTGTGCGGGAGTAGCTACCCCTCCCCTGCTTCGGGTTGTAGTTGCCATTGGCGTCATTGATTGCGGTCGACAAAATCTCTTCCCGATGATTTCCATCTCTGCGTTTGTGGATGGTGAGCATGGAGCTTGCTCCTTTTTGTGCCGCGGTGTCGGAGGTTCGTTCACGCACCGGCCGCATTCTTGGAAACGGAGGGGGGGTGCGGGACCCCCATCAAGCCGTCGCGGCGCGAAGCCGCAAATCCCTGGTCCTCGTTCACCAGCAGAAGTGTTCGACCGGTGGGGCGGTCCTCTGAAACTGAAAATGGCGAAAAAAAAAAAAAGAAGCAAAGAAAAAACAAAAAAAAAAAGGCAAAGCAAAAAAAAAAGAAAGGGAAAAAAGAAAAAAGGAAAAAAAGGAAAAAAAGGAAAAAAAGGAAAAAAAGGAAAAAAAGGAAAAAAAGGAAAAAAAGGAAAAAAAGGAAAAAAAGGAAAAAAGGAAAAAAAGGAAAAAAAAAGAAAAAAAAGAAAAAGAGGAAAAAAAGGAAAAAAACCTCCCGCGCGAATGGGGCAGCAAGCAAACCCAAAAGGGCGCAGCGGCTGCTGCCAGTAAAAAAATAAAAACCACCCCTCGCCGCCTCTCCGTTCGGTTAAGGTTCGCCCCATTCGGCCTCCACGATGGGGCGACCTTTATTTGTCGCGCTTCCGGCTGGCGGTTTCGCGCGAAACGACCCCGACTCCCCGTCCCAAAAGCCATCATCAGGGGGCCCAAAGGACTCGTCGACCAAATAAACCGCCTCAAAGAAGTCGCTCCGCTTGAATTCCTCCTCCTTATAACGCGGGCCCCTTTCGTCTGCTTCGCCTGCGGCGGGTAGTGGAGATTCGCCAAGGGCAGTAGCGGCGGCTCCTCCTTGTGCGACGAAAACTTTTTCGTCGAGGATGCTTGTGACCAAGTTTTCGTACATCTCCTTTCGGGGGCCTCCGAAGGCTTTCCAAACCCAGGAGCCGGCTCGCTCCGGCTCGCTCTGCGACCTGTCCTGCTGCAGGTCTTCAGAGTCGGCAACGGAGACCAGCTCCGTAGGAGTCATTTGGTGGCCGGCCGGCTTCCCGTCCAGGGCCTCAGGCGCCACGACAAACTTATTGAAGTCCCGTGGAACAACATCGACGTCCACTATGCTGTTGGAAAGACCATGCGGAGCCATTCCCGCATCCACGCGATGTTCACGCCGTCGTGGTTCTGGTGCTTGTGATCCGGGTCGCGCAGGGGTGACCCTTGCAAAGTTCGGACGATTTGCCAGCTCCGGTAGCCCGTTTGCTGCAAGTAGGGCGGCCTTCGCCGGGCCGCTCTCCCAGGGCGTTAGGTCGTAGGAATTGCCTCCACCGCCCAGGGAGACCTGCTTGGGCGCCTTTCGCAGGGGCCAGTTGTCCCCACCTCCCAGCATGGGCAAAACCACAACGCGCAGCGGCTTGCCTGACGCGACCTGCTGCTGAATACAGGCATCAAATGCGGAACGGTAAGCAGCCTCCACGCCCTCCCAGAAGAATTTGAAGTCCCACTGCGACCTCTGGTTTAATGTGGCTCCCGCTGCTTGGGTTTTTCTGTCCGCCGCATTAGGTGGCATCACCCAAACCAAGGCACCCAAGTGGGGCTCGGCCTTGCCTGTGCCCTTGGCTTTCGCAGCGACCAGGCTTTGGACAGCGGGCTTAATAGTGTTCTTGTCTGTTTGCGGCTGCAATGCCTTTGGGCCTCCCAGATTCGGGTCGGAGACCACCCACGCGTCCCCGAACTTGCTCGCCCTCTCAGCATTCTTGTATGTTTCACGCCCCCCCGTCCGCAACAAAAACTGGGGCTTCCCGAAATTGTCCTGGATTGTGCGAATCTGCGATAGATTGTCTTTGTCGTGATCTTTGTTGCCAGCAGGGCGCCCAGGCCTAGCGCTGGCGGCATGTTTCGGCGAGGACTCGCCAAGTTCTCCCTTCGCTTCCGCAGCTGGCGACCCATTATGGGGATCACCAAAGGGCCGGCGAATCAAACCCCACCGGCTACGAAACAGATTCTCATGTAGTGCAGTCATCTTGCTTTCGTCGCCCGCCGACTCGTGTATCAAGAATCTCGCGTAGACTCTCGCCTCTTCGGTTCGGTGCAAAGAAGGATTGCGATAGACCCCCCTTTCCGTCAAGTCGAGTCGGTTGTTCATCAGAGGGTTTTCGTGCGAACGCGTGCACTCCCCATCCCCGCCAGGAATTCCAGGATTGCCACCAACGACGAGGGCAACATTCTGCGGGCCCGGGTTTTTTGAGTCGCTGCGGGGGTCCAAGAACTTTTCGGCCGCAAAGTCCAGAGCGGTCTTCGTCGTGATCGTTGGCTGAAGTGGGTGCGCAGCGGTTTTGCTGCCGGCCCGCCCCCCGGCTCCTGTGGTCGCCATAGTACTTTTGAAAAGGCCTGCTCCCACGGTTTTCTTTGCGCCTCCCTGACCCTGGCCCGCACCCTTCTCTTCTACAAGCTGCATGCGAGCGCTTCTCTTGGTTTTGGCAAAAGCGATCATTTTTTCTCCATCATGGTCGCCTGCTGCTGCACCAGCAGGACTCCCCCCCTCGGAGGCCTCGCCTCCACTTGCATGCGTCGACGCTTGGAACACCACCCGCTGCGAATGAGACTGACCGTTGTGCGGAGGCAAAATTGCCTCGAACTTAAACATTCTACTGAGGCGCTTGCGCCAGGCCTCCAGTTCGTTCGCCACGTCCTTAATGCGGATTAGGTTATGTTGTTGGTCAGCATCTGCCACACCGTCGGTGCTGGGCTCGGAAGTCTCGGAATGACGTTCCGACGACTGCCTCGTCACGGCACCTAGCAAAGGCGCCATGACTTCTTTGGCAAAAAATCTGGCGAGGAAATTTTTGTCATCAGCCTGACACAGCGCCTCGTCCGCGGGGGTCAACAGCTTCGATCCCACTTTTTGCGTCAATTTTAACAACGCAGCAACTTGAGGGTGCGGGGGTGAAGGCGCTCCCGCCTGGCCAGGATGGAGATGGTTCTCATTACGCATTTCGATTCCATGCAATACCTTGATGAAGGCAGCTCTTTCTCTTTGATGTCTTGGGGCTGTCTCACTCCCAGATCGAGCAGTCTCTTTTTCATGACCCTCTTTAGTACGGCTCACGACATACTCTTGGAACATGTCGACTAAATCGTGGTCTCCGGGACTACCACGACTTCCTCGCGCGGAGGCTAGTGCAGGAGTTGTGGCTGCGACGGAAATTAAGCTCTTTCGGATAGAGGCTTCTGCTATTGTTCGTGATGCCTGGTCCGTGCTAGCGCCTCCTGATTGTTTTCTGCTTTGTACTGCTTCGCCCCGAGTCCGACCTCCGCCGACGACCGTAGAAAATGCAAAGGCGGCAACTTCTCCTGGCGGGGCGGCGGGCTCCAGGTTTCTGACTGCGGCAACAATCTTTTCTGCTTCCTTGTCGATCACTAAGGCAGCGCTGGCACTGGGCGCGGCGGCGCTTGCGCGAGACTCTTCATCATGTTCTCCCCCAGATGGAGCAAAGCTGGCGCCACCATCAATGTCGACGCTCGCCGGTAATTCGAGCCAGAACTCCCACTCTGGCGGAATCATCGCAAAACCAGAAGTGCTCTCTTCCGCACCCGATGATGAAGCAGCGGTGGTCTTGTGGTCGTTCGTTCTGCTAGCTCGATGCAACATACTTCCCAACTGAATTATCTTTCTCGTGTAATCAGAGTCGAGAAAGGAGAAGAGCGCCTTCGACGGCGCCCACGCTTCTAAAGTTTGCGGAGTGGGGACGCCGCACACGACGTGGCTGTTCTTGTTCAGGATCTGCTTCTTAAGGCGCTGCAGCTCTCTATCATACGCAAGTTTCATCTCCGGTTCGGCCCTGGCTCGGCTTTCGTCCGTGCTGGAGTAGGAGTAGGCCAGCCTTCTCTCGCTGCCCGAGGCCAGTTGCTGCTGACTGATGGCCGGGGCCGGGTGATGGTGAATATCCAAGTTTTTGCGTCCCAGGAAGCGCCGCCCATCGAAAAAATCCGCGGCAGCGCCCACACTAAGCTTTATCTGAACTAGTTTGCGGCTCTGCTCGCCATCTCCGCCACCCCCCGTGCTGGGCTTTTTCGGATCCCGCGCCCGCCACACGAGCGCCACAGGCTCCGGCGCGAAATCAAATTTTTCGGCATCAGGATTCCAGAAGCCAGCTGCGGGTAGAGGTTCGCCAGCGCCCCCAAGCGGAACACCTTTTCTGGAAGTGTCAGCCTCGAAATCGGCAAAGTTGGAATCATTTGAGATGCATCAAGAAACAGCTAGTGCCAATTGGTCGCCCAATTTCTATGTATTTCATCTATGTGGCCCCTAATGAGGACAAGCAATTTTTCATAATTCTTCTTCATGAGGCAAAGAGCGAAGGCTGTTTTTGTTGTTCTCCTTTGCTGCCCTATCGCTAAAAACGAACATATATCAAACTTACGACAAGCGGTCTCGTTTGCCAGCATTGTTTGTTGAGAAAGACAGGCACTCCGTGACTAGCACTTCAACACGCGTTGCAAATCATTTCAACTTTGTCAACCTCAAACCCCCTGACGCTTCCATATCTTTGTCTTCCGGTGCTATGATGTAAACACTCTCGAAGAAGTCCCTCTTCTTCAGGGTGTATTCCGCTGGCTGTGCGTCGCTCGCACCGGTGGTGGTAAAATCTTCCACCTGCTGGACCACCTGGACGTGGACCTGCTCATCAAGAATGCTGTCGACCATCTTCTCGTACATGACCGCCTGCGGGCCGCCTGCAACCTGCCAAATCCACTGATCCCAATCATAATCATTTTTGTGTGAGGTTCTACCGGATTGAATCTCAGGCGGTGAGGCGGGTAACACGATATTATCATCTTGTATGGCGACGAAGTCGGGATCGAGATCGGTGTGCGCTGGATACCCATCCAGGCGAAGCTCTTCCGCGCGCGGTCTCGCCGGTGCGGTAAGAGGTACCACACGGTGGCCGTGCCGGTTAGTTTTTTTTACTGATTTCAACGGCCATCGATCGTGGGCATCAGCCACTGGAATAAAAAGTTTAATCGGCTTATAATCAATTACAATTTCGCTTTCGCCTTCTTCCCCCAAACCAAGTTTCCGTTTCGTTTTTGTCGGCCATTGCTCTTTGATAGAGGCGTCAATCGCCGCACGAATGGCGGCGGTTTCTCCTTTCCAGAAAAAGTCAAAGTTATTTGCGGCGTGAGCGTTCAGTGTGCGGGCGGCGGGGCCGACGACGTCCCTGCTGCCTTCGACGGGCCCGTCAGCCGCTGCATTGGGACCGGCAACCCAAATCAAGGCGCCCATCTGATGCCGATCTTGCGGCCCCACGCCACTGGCGCCGGCGGGGCTCATTTTTTGGTATTCCAGTTTTCCTGCATCAAAAACCCCTGCACCTGAATCAGCAACTTTGACTTCCGGACCGAGCCACGGCGACGGAATGACCACAGCACCTCTAAACTTGTTGTGGCGGTTTGTGTTCGAGTAAGTTTCTGGGTCCAGCTCTCGTCTCGTGTCAGTGCCGACGTTGATCATGACTGAGCCGTTGTCCTGGAGGGTGTCTGTGCTTAACGTGCCGGAGCTCGTAAGACCCCATAAACCTTGGATCAGGTGGCCAAGCCCAGCTACCTCGTGAAGAAGCACCATGCTCTTCAGCTGGTCGGCGTTGGTGTCCAGGTATATAGCTGCGGCACCCCAAGGATCTTCCGGCGCCGGAAGCGGGGCAGCGGGAGGAGGGGACGGTGACTTCGTCTCGTCCGACATCAACATGGACGAGGTGTACCACAAGAAATTGGAGTAAGCAGCTTCTTCTGGAGTTTGCTCAGGTGTAGGCTTTATCATACGAAAATCAAGCTTGTGAGAAATCGCGCGACCCAGTGTCTGGCCCTGCGGAAAAATTGAAGCGCCATTTCTTTCCGCTGTCGCCGGCTGCAAGCTGATCTCCCCCGGGGGTTGAAGAGTAAGCGGGGCACATCTTCCGCCGGGGGCCCCTGGGCTCCCCAGGATGACCAAGACAACTGTATCCGTATCGAGACCTTTCTTGACCACATTATTCCACACGATCTCCTGGCCCCACCTCTTGGCAGTCACGCCCTCAATGCTTGGCCCGACGCCGACACGCCTCCTCTCTACTATCTGAGGGAGAACATGGCTGGCGGCCAGGGGCGACCATATTATAGCACTATCAGGTGGTCTGCCTGCTCCACCAGTAGAGGCGGTCGGTTTTGGTTGTGCAACTATCTGTAGTGTCAGGAATTCACCAGGGCTGGCGGATTGGTCTCCAGGGCGGGTTGGAGGTAGTTGGTCGGGGCTCGCAACGGTGGTGACGGCCGAGGGGTGTCGGGTTGGTAGTACTACACTGAATTTGTATGGGGATGTCAATCGTGGTTCCCCATGATCTTCAGAAGTAGTTTTTTGCCAAGTGCGTAGCACAAGTGGTCGTTCCTTTTCGTCATTGGGGAGTTCGAGCAAAGGTGGTTGCGACGAGGCATCGTCGGAGCGCACGCCCCATCCCGAAAATGCTGCTGAAAATGAAGACTCTGCCCCCGCTGGCGGTGGTGCTGGTCGTACCTTGATTAGCTGCCGGAAGACTTCACAATCTGCAATATCAATTCCAGCACGATCAGCACCAACAGCAATACTAGGCGGGTCAAATGGTGCGCGAAGCAGCTTTGTGATGCAGCTTTTGATCCTTTTTACATGTTCCTCGCGCTCAGGATCAGGGATAGGCCCGGCCGGGGGCGAAAGCAGGCGGCCGCCACATGTGTCTAGGGAGGCGGAGAGGTCCGTTTCAGCGCTGACCTCGCTACCGAAGTTCTGCCGGTATTTTTGATGGGCGTCAACCTCGTTCATCTCACAGACGAGTTCGCGCAGCACCAGTCCCAAGGAGTAATAATCCGAGTAGGGGTTGCTGATGCTGTTGAAGCATCGCCGGGTCTGGCCCGTACCAAGATCCCGCGCAGACTTGTCGTTCGTCTGTAAATTATCGAAAGGAGGGGCGTAGCTTTGTCTGTCGGCGCAATCGAATACGAGGACTTCTTCCTGATTGTTCACAGTCGGTGAAGATGGATCTCGATCTTTCTTCTCCGGTTTCGATCTAGTAGCCCACTCATCGTGCTGCACCATTTTGTTCCATGGCGGTAATCTGTCTTGCGGGTCATAACGATAGGCCTTGCTGAAATTCATCAGCGTTACCACGAGCCCGCCAGTTGGGCCTGCGCCGTCATCGTCGGGGAGAGTGCCAGATTCCCCACTGTCTTTGATTGTATGTGCACCATCGTAAGACACTTGGAAATTGCTTGGCCTGATGTCGTGGTGATAAAATTTTTTCGCGTGCATCTCCGTGACAGCGGTCACAACTTGTGCTGCGATTTGAGTACGACCGAGGAAGTCGTTTGTCGTCGCGGGGTTTTCCAGATATTCGCTCAACCGGATCCCTTGTGGAATTCCGACTTGTAGAGCCGTTACGTACCGGCCCCGCCAGGTGTGAGTCTTCTGGTCCTGGGACGGCGTCTTCTCCATCACCACTGGCTCTGGCCTCGGGCTGGGCCCGTCTGGAATTACGGTGATCCAAGCATTAAGCAAACTTGGGTAGGAGTTTTCATCCAATGTTGCGCCACCGGCATCCGCCTTGGTTGCCGAGCTCGGACCTGTTGTCGCCGAGCCTGCTCCTGGGGAAATGGCGCCACGCATTTCGAGAAGGGCAAAGCACTCTCGCTGCCAAAGGTGAAACGCCCTGGAGTATTCTTCTTCTATTTGTTTCTCAAAAAATGACGTAAGCCCCCACTGTGAGGCATTTTCATCAACAACATTGGACTCGCGAATAAATTTGATCGGGTCCTTTTCATTCCACACCGGTTGCTCAAACTCCGTCAAGACACGGTCGATATCTTTTTGTTCGCTCCTCGCGAATGACAAGCTCCCAAAAGCTGCGGCTGCCTCGCGGTTCATTTGAATGCTCAACCTGAAGTCAGCTTCTCTTAGAATAAGATGCGTCTGCAAGAACTTCTGTTTTTTCGGTTCGGGGGGTCCCGCAGCTCCTTCTTGTCCACCCTGCAAGAGAGTTCTAACAGTAACATGTTCAACACCCAAGAAAACCTCCGGTTTCACGACCACAAATAAGCTCTTTGGTGCGTGGTGGTCGCCTCCGATCTCTTCATCAGCATAGTCACACCATTGAGTTTGTGATATCTCCGAACCGCGTTCTGAAAGTGAAAATGAAGACGACAAAGACAAAAAGTTATAAATCTCTTCTCGTCGAATGCTTCCTCGCCCACACATTTGAGCCTGCGTGGCCTGGTTGTAAAAAAAATCAGCGACACCGACAGCTTCATTTGTTTTCTCCGCCACGGTGGGTGCTTCTCCTTCTCCACCGATAGCTCGTCCTCCTAGCGATTCTTCTTCTTCTGCTTTTCTGACACTTGTCGCTCTTTTTGTGACAGGAAAAACTTGAATTCCTGGTTTCCCAACTGGTTTTTTTTTATCGTCAAAGAAATGGCTGGGAACCATAACAGCGAAGGGCATTGGCTCTTCTGATTTTGTCTTGTCCTCCTCTGACTTGGCCCGGAACATCTGGACGGTTGACATGGCCTCGAAAAGGGAGTTTGGGAATGTAGTTTGAACTTGAGTCACGGGGTCTTTGTTCATTAGAAGTTGAGTCACGGCGTCTGTGCTTCTTAGATCTTCGATGGGCGAAGTCGTTCCGAGGCTGCCACTAGCTCCGCCGACCTCGTCGGGCTCCAATGGAGGTCGAATTTCGTCGGGGAGACGTGTAGGATCGTCCACAACAACAACGGGAGCAAATTCAGCATCCTTACTGTGATCACCCCCCATCTTTTCCTTGTCCTTCTACAACAAGAGCCGGACACAGCAATCAGCGAAAGGCCCTGGACCTGGTTCCGCCACGGAGAAAACTATTAATTGGATGCTCGCTTCTTCAGCAGGAGAGGAGCGCGTATACTGTTTTTCGTACTACGATCTGGTGGGTTTCTACTTCCTTGTTGTAAATAGCTGGCAATTAGTGTCGCAACCAATCGCCACCAGAGCTTGACGAAACGCCGCCTGTTTTACTGGTGAGCGGCAACCAACTCGGGGCGTTGCCAAGGCGAAAAATCAAAGTCGAAACGCAGCTCCGAAGGCAGCACGCCCAACGGCCTCGAAAGGAGGAAAAAACAGATAGATGACGCCAAGTTGTAGGTGTCACGCGTTGGTTGTCGGTCCTTGTTCCTCGGTATTGCGTTGGCCGCTACCACGCTCCTGCGATGCCTTCAAACTCCCCAGAACTCTGCGTGGATAGCAACTCAAGTGGATGCAGTTGAGAAATCAATGGTGGATAGCCGGGATGAAGAACTATCTTCACGCTGCCTCAGACGCACCAGGCTCCACTGGTACTTTACGACGGCAGGCAAAGGCGAAAAATGATCCACGATGACTCGCGCTGTTTCTCGAGCGTCTTGAGCAATTCTTGTCCAACAGCGTCTCGCTCGCGTAGCTGCTCGTGTTCGGAGCAGAAGTATTTCGGTTCCGTATCGACGCCGACGATTCACTCGCTCCGTAGGTGGGAATCCGGCTGAGATTTTGTAATACGGCATCATTAAAAATTACTGTCTGTTCTTAGGGGTAATGCTTCAACAACTTCATCAGCATCACCACTATCTAAATATTCCGCATCATTCAGCTTATTTCCTTTTCGTCAATATCTTCCATAACAATTCAAGTTTAAGTGTAATTTGCAGCCCCCCGACGCGTGAAGATGAAAACGCAAGTGCTTATTTCTCGTGCCAGGGCTGCGCCTCGAATGAAGCTACACGGGCTTCTTTTTCTGCAAAAAACTGCAAAAGTGCCTACTTGCTAGCTTGCTTGTCTTCATCATTTAGAAAATGAACAGTTCCAACGCGAACACATGGAGATGCAGTATTACTTAATCTCCATCTCGGCAAGAGAGTATGCGTTAGTACAAAGTAAATTTCACTAGATTCATTACCTATGATATGGCGTTATCAAGCGCTACGCTCTCAGCTGTTACATGGATGCCATCAGCCTCCCCACGATCAAGGTGCTTCTCATGACAAACTGTCGAAGGGCTAAGCAGCATGATATATAATCCGTTCCAAACTTGTGACGCAAAACGCGCACACGCCCCGCTTTCACTTTTGCTGTTCTTGCATCACAGATTCGTGTAACAGTTCAGAATGTTACGTTTGAGGACGCCATATATGATGAACGAATCGTATTCGTAACAGCCGTTCTTCTGGGCGACGATTTTTCCACCCTGCGGCTTGCGCAATTCTTGTCCCTTCTCGAGCTGCGTCTTGCGCAATTCTTGTCCGAGAGCTTCTCGCTCGCGTTGCTGGTCGTGTTTGATGGAGCAGAAGTCTTTCGGTTCCGTATCGACGCCGACGATTCACTCGCTCCGTAAGTGGGAAGCCGGCTGAGATTTTGTAATACGGCATCATTAATTACTGTCTGTTCTTAATGGTAATGCTTCAACTTCACCACTAACTAAATACTCCGCATCATTCAGCTTATTTATATTTCCTTTTCGTGAACATCCATAACAATTCAAGTTTAAGTGTAATTTGCAGCCCCCGACGCGTGAAGATGAAAGCGCAAGAGCTCCGCCTCGAACGAAGCTACGCTGGCTTCTTCTTCTGCAAAAACTGCAAAAGTGACTACTTGCTAGCTTGCTTGTCTTCATCATAATTTAGAAAATGAACAGTTCCAACGCGATCACATGGGGATGCAGTATTACTTAATCTCCATCTCGGCAGGAGAGTATGGCGTATGGGTATGCGTTAGTACAAAATAAATTTCACTGGATTATTTTTACCTATGATATGGTTATGGCGTTATCAAGCGCTACACTCTCAGCTGTTACATGGATTTGTCATGCTCATGCAAAATTGCCATCAGCCTCCATACAATCAACGCAATGCTTCTCCTGACAAACTGTCGAAGGTGGGCTAAGCATCATGATAAGCCGTTCCAAACTTGTGACGCAAAAGAACGCGCACACGTCCCGCCTTCACTTTTGCTGTTCTTGCATCACAGATTTGTGTAACACTCGAGAATGTTGCGTTTGAGAGCGCCATATATGATGTTGAACGAATCGTATTCGACGTAACAGCCGTTCTTCTGGTCGACGATTTTTCCACCCTGCGGCTTCGTTGTCGGTGCTGGTTCGGGGGAACGTTGGTAGAGCTCCGTGCAAAGAAAAACGAAAGAACGCAAGGCGGGCTTCTACTTGCTCCTGCAGTAGTTGGCTTTTCTTTCACGCGACCTCCTGTCGTGTTCGAATGCTCGTCCTTCTCCTTCGAGCGAACTGTAGAACTCGCTATGCCGAAGCAAGGGGCTCTTCCAGTGTGAGTATCCTGCTCGTCGTCCGGGGGCACCGAACGGCAGAACCCCGTGAAAAGGTTGCCAGACGCCGGGGGGCCTCTTGCTGGCGATTTTTTCCACCTCCGGTGTCGTCCTCCTCGTCGTCGTCCGGAAGTAGAACGGCAGACCTCTCTGCAAAAGCCACGAGGGGTACTCGCTGGCGATTCTTCAAAAGTAGAGCTGCTTACTCGATGTCCTGGACTACCACCTTTTCCCTGTGCCAGAAGGGGTTCTTGCAGCTGGCGCTAGTACTACTCCGATGTGAATGCTCTGATCGTCGTCCGGGGGCACCGAACGGCAGAACTCCGTGCAAAGGTTGCCAGACGGGGGGCCTCTTGCTGGCGTTTTTTTCCACCTCCGGTGTTCTCCTGCTCGTCCGGGAAAACGGCAGAAATCCGTGAAAAAGCCACGAGGAGTATGCATTGCAAAAGTATCGCACTGGTAGTAATTCTAATTGCAATACAAATTAGCGCAGCATGACGAATCAAATTAGCGTGCTAATTTAGCTTGAAAAGGAGATTTGTGTTGCATGACTGCAATTGCTACGGGTGTGATATTTTTGCAGTGCGTAGGGGGTTCTCGCTGGCTATTTTTCAACCAACCTGCAGTGATATGTATTGACCTGGTCGTGCCGGGGAAGAACGGCAAACTACAACGTAGCACCTTGCTCCTTCTACCTAGGTAGCTGCGCCAGACGGGGGGCTTCTTGCCGGCGATACTCGTTGCAATTCGTAGGGAAGATATCGAAGCGACAGGTGGGATGAAATCAGTCAAAATGGAACCGACGTAGCTGAGCTTGCACCTCCTGATTCTAGAATGCAAATGCAGTAGCTTTTCCTTTTGTTTGCCACGCAGAAATAAAGCGTGTGCTGCTTTATTTGCAGAGCTCCTTCCAAGTGGTCCCACTTTTCGGGCAGTCGCGCTGATGAAGATGAAAGACGTCGCTGAAAAAGACCTGGACAGGCGCGCGATGGCGATGCTAATATCCAGCGCAACATGACAAACTTGCAAATATAATAGGAGCGCACCTAAGTAGAAGTGCCAATGTATGAACAACTAAAGTTGTTTTAGTTTGCAACACACGAGCATGACTGCAAAGAGAGTTGATATCCTTCATCCATTTTCACAATTGCATCCCATCTGACCATTCCAGCATAGACAACCCGAGCTAGATACTTGGAGAGTGAGGGTGAGAAGTACGAGTTTATTGGGGTTTAATGCTTAGTGTACTACAAAGTGGTTTGTTACAGTTGGGGTTTTGTTGTTAAGTTTTGGTTTGAAGTTGTAAAATCGCGAAAAGTTGTGGGGTTCACAAGAACGAGGAAAGCGATGACTTGCCTGTCTGCAGTATCCAAAAAAAAAATGTTAACATTAACATTTTCACTAGTCAATTTTTTGGCATATTTTTGCGTGATTTTTTTTTGTTTTTCCATTCCAAGTAATGCACTACTGCAGCTCCTCCAAATAGAACCCACGGCCAACTAGCTAGATTTCTATGCTATTGCTGAGAGCTAGCTAGGCTAAGGGCTGCCGGCGCGGCGGACGTGAAGGAAAACAAGGCGGCCGAGGTGGTCGAGGTGGCGGCCAGAGGTGCGGGAAGACTGGAAAACAAGGCGGCCAGGGTGGCGGCTGGAATGACCCTGCTAGAGGCGTTGGAGCAGTGTGCCCGTGGTAATATTTCCTCCCTGCTATAGTGCACCACCATGATCATGCTGCCTTCGCAGCCCAGTCTTTAGCTGCTCTTCTTGACTCTAGGGCAGACCGGGGCCAGAGGTGGCCCAGCTTTTGCCTTTCGCCGTTGATCACAGCGAAAGACAAAAAAGGCAGCTTTTTTTGAGTGAAAATAGCCGATATTTTTTGCAAATGTTAACATTTGCCCAAAATTTTGCATTTCTGCACGGGAATCCGGACTTTGGGGGAAATGTTAACATTTGCCCGAAAATCTGCATTTTCGCACGGAAGTCTGCGATTTGGCCGGATTCTGTATTTTTGGCCAAAAATTGGCGCTCAAGCAAAATCGCAGACTCCCGTGCGAAAATGCAGATTTTCAGGCAAATGTTAACATTTCGGGCTACGTCCAGACTCCCGCGCAGAAATGCAGAATTTTGGGCAAATGTTAACATTGGTCTGCAAATTTGCTCAAAAAATGCTCAAAAATTGCCATCTTTTTTGCGCAAATGTTAACATCCGGCTCCGGAACGTCCCCGAGTGTTAACATTCCCAAAATAGAACGCTTCCCCGCGTTACAAATTGGACATTTGGAATTCACAAAAGGCGGCAACCCGATCTCCATGGTCGCGGCCCGTTGGTGGGCCGACTACATCATCAATACACAAGGTTCACAAGAACGAGGAAAGCGATGACTTTCCTGTCTGCAGAACGTTGGTAGTGAATTTCTTCGACTAGATATTTGGGCGGAATAGATCAAAAATAGATTGGCCGCCAAGCTACGAGCATAGCGCGGCGCCTGGAAAAAAGATTGCTCCGGCCCGCGAAAGTTGGCCCAAACACCACGGCACTCTCTTACCTGGGCTGTCAGGTTTTGGGGCCAGGTAAGAGAGCAACGCGGTGCTTGTGATGCGAAAACGTCTTGGCCCGGGAAGGTGGCCAGATAAGGAGGATGATCTTGAAGCACAAGCAGCACGCTGTGCTCTTACCGGGGCCTCTAGGTCTAGGCTTTGAGGCCCGGTAAGAGCATAGCGTGGCGCTTGGAAAAAAGACCGCATCGGCCCAAAAAAAATTCGTCCAAACACCACGGCACTCTCTTACCTGGGTTGCCGGGTTTTGGGGCCAGGTGAGAGAGCAGTGTGGTGCTTGGGATGCGAAAACGTCCTGGCCTGAGGAGGTGGCCAGAGGAAAAAGACACTCTTGAAGCACAAGCGCATGCTGTGCTCTTACCTGGGCCTCCAGACTTTGAGGCCCGGTAAGAGCATCGCACTGCGATCGGAAGGAAAAAGACCGCATCGGCCCAAAAAAAGTTGGCCCAAACACCACAGCACTCTTTTACCTGGCCTGCCAAGTTTTGGCGCCAGGTAAGAGCATAGCGTGGCGCTTGGAAGGAAAAAAGGCCCCGTCGGCCCAAAAAAAGTTGGCCAAAATCCCACGGCACTCTCTTACCTGGCCTGGCAAATTTTTGGGCCAGGTAAGAGAGCAGCGTGGTGTTTGGGATGCGAAAACGTCCTGGCCTGAGGAGGTGGCCAGGAGAAAGAGACACTTTTTTTAGCACAATCGCCATGCTGTGCTCTTACCTGGGCCTCCAGACTTTGAGGCCAGGCAAGAGCATGTGGGGTTCACAAGAACGAGGAAAGCGATGACTTTCCTGTCTGCAGAACGCTGCAACCTGAAGTTTCATTCGTTGAAGTGCAAAAATGAAATGAAGTACATGAGCAGAAAACTCAAACAAATTGAAATTGTGCGGCTTGATGCGACGTTTCCATACATGACGTCGCAGTTCACAGCTGAGCATGCAAAAGCGCGAAACAGACAACTTCCTCACTACGCGTGGTACGGCCAGCACACAGGTCGTCCTATTGCTGGCGTCACTTCTTGGAAACGCTGGTTCCTCGCCCCGAGAAAAAAGTAGACAATTTCGTCTGTCTTTCGAGTTTCGATTTCTTGCACTTTTTGCTTGCAAATTTAGCTCCTTCGATTTTCCCCCGCGCGGCCTCTTCCCGGGCCTCCACTTGTTTTTTTTTGCTTTCAGGCTGAACAAGCACGGTGTCCGTCGGCTGCTTGTCTTTGGGTATTATTTGGCGGCTCGGTCAAGAACGGCCAAAAGGGGCGGGGCCGGGGCCCCCGCTGCTACATGAAAACCCTCAGTAAGACCGAGCTAAAGCAGGCCTTTTTTGGCCCCACTGCATGAGACCATCTGTATCAATCTGTTGTGGAAACGCACGGACGTCTTTTACTTTTGCGACCGTCAAACGTGGTCCTGTTGGAGGCTTTTTTGTCGGTGCGGGCGGGTTTTTTTTTTCCCTTTGAACCCAATTTCGTATTTTATGTTTTTCGAAAACCCCATGCCACTTCCCAACTTCTAATTAAGTATGCTACTCGTTCTGTACTATCGCTGTCCGCATTGTCACGCCCTTGCGTAGTTATATCGGCACCTCCACAGCATACGCAAATTCTTGACTTATGGCCCCCGACGGAGGTGATGAAGGGAGAAAAAATTGTGCTCCTTCTACTCCATGTTTTTGTTTAGCCACATTGAGTGTCCGCACATCAATACATTGAGCTGCGTCAGGAGTAGGTCATCCTCTTTTTTCTCGGGCACAAGAGGGCGGGCAGGGACAGTCTTTAAACAAGTGTACCACAGTGCAGTGCTGTGAAAAATCCGGTGGACGAAGTTGAGTTAAGAGGACGAAATATTAAACGAAGAACAAAAGACGAAACGAACGATTTTGAGCGCCTTTCAACGCATCGTCTACAAAACTGCGAACGACACCGATTGCGTACATCGTAGAGACAGATGGTTTCGCGTGATTTTGCAATTTTCGACTCGCTTCGAGTACTGTTTCGTTGTACGATTGGCCATTTGGTGGCGAATACCGAAAATTTTTGTAAAAAATGCACGAATTATGTCGAAGAATTTATTGCACGAAGTAAGCAGGCACAGGCAGGACAGCGACATATTATACAGGCTTATTATAGCAGTAGCAGACATACCAGTACGGTTCAGTTTCTGTGCATGCTCGCAGTTATACAGAGTCAGAGTTGCTGTTACGAATACAACAAGGCAGGTATCAACCGCAAATATGTCTGGGTCTGGAAAGTTGTAGTAATGCCACAAGTAAATGTCAATGTGAGGTGGACTCCAATACACAGCCAAGCGTGGCAAATTTTTGGGCTACTATGTGTTACGTATTCCATATAGCAAAAGGCAGCTTTTCATGACACACAGCAGGGCGGGGCCCTTTCGTGCCAATGCATCACAGAGTCTCGACCTCGAGCCATATCAGACATGCATCACAAACTAACAGAAACAGTCTTGCTCCAGGCCCAGATATATTTGCAAAGCATACGAGGTAAGGTCCCGCCGCGTTTTGGTTTTATGGACGCGTCAGGTTGGAAATCGACACAATGGGAGGGGTAATTCGCGACGCATGATACTCCAGCAACTCGATAAACTCTTCTGCCACTCGTCTTCAGAATCAAATGTGTCATGCTGTTGAAGGCAGGGACAGGGTGACTCGTGGTCGCTTCTGGCATGCGCATGCTAGTCAATTGTTGCAGCCCAATTTTTATTCATCTGAGCGACCTGTAGCAGGCCTGCAAGAATCTTGGGTCCTCCTTTGTGTGTTCTACTGCGCTTGACTGGCTTTCTTGTGCGAGTGTATCCTCGCATGATTTTGTTATGCTCGCTGCAACACATTCAAACCAAAATCCTTTCGCTCGTCTGTTCCATTCTGCAAACTTCCAACCTGGCACTTCCATATTTTTCTACTTGGATCTCGATGCGCAGCGAAACTTCAAGTCTGCTGGAACGAGAGGGCCAACTGCTGGGCTTCATCGTCATCGCCGGATGGCAAAATCAAAATGGAGCGAAAAAGCTGGCTGTTCCCCCTCCCGCATATAATAAATAGAAAGGCTTACTGAAGAAACATCAAAAAAAAATCAGTCGTAGTCGTAGTGAGTGGCCAGGAGTTGATGTCGTGTTCTTTCGTGTGTTTCAGCAATGCAAAATAAATGGCAGTGTGTGTGTGTCGTGTGTAAAAGGATTACATCTCATGGACGTCCTCGTAGGAGTCAAGACCTCCAAGAGGGTGTGTATGAATATACACGAACACAATTTCTCAAAAAGTACAAAAAAATTATTGCGCGATTTGACTCTGGTACTAAAAAGCGCTCGTGTCCGTGCTCGCCACACGACGCTCCTCGAGATGAGGTGCTGTGCCTTTTCATCATGACAAGGGGATCTACTCGCTCCTCCGACGCGGGGGCTATCATGATCCTTGCACGAATGATCCCTGAAAAAAAACTCGGAGGTCCTCGAGAAGTGAAGATGATCTGGATCTACAAAAAGAGGCATCAAGTCGGTCATCGTAATGCGTAGCACCAGTGTCGTGGTCAAACCTCCGATGTCTCATTCTCATTCACCTCATGGTCATTGCATACACATAGTTTGCACTTGTTGGAGATGCGCTGTTTGTTTTTAATATGCATTCATATATGCATTCATTTGTTCATCAGCGACACACCTGGGCTGCAACTCGTCAATGATTCTGAACAAGTAACTCTCGGTACACGACGACCGGTGAAAAATTTGATCATGCCGTGCTGCGGCGACAAATGCTAGTGCTTGCATACAACTAGCGGTCAGGCAGATGGAACGGAAATGCTGCTCTACTTCTTTTTCTTGTTTACGATCACAAAATCGCAAAAATAAGTGTACATTTGATGAAAGTGATTTGGCTTATTAGGTTCTTGTTCGTTTTGTAAATAAATTTGTTTCTCCTCGCATAATCAGTTGTTGTAAATACCGGAGGTCGTGGCCAGCATTGCGGGCTTTAGTTGACACGCACACGATCCTATGTAAAAAAGCGTTCCCATGAGTTCTTGCCAGAATTGTCCTCAGGCATATTTGCATGCTCATGCTTTGTCTCATGCGAAGCAGCCTCTTCAGTTCTAGGAGCATTTTTTTTCTTATGCCGTGGGACTTTGTCAACATCATGCTGTATTAAGTGGCATAGGCATACAATGGAGCTGCTAGGTTTCGGTTTGTGATGTGCCACTACCACTAGCCTTCAACCAGCACGACAATACAACTATCTAGAGCAGACCCAAACATGTAAGTTATGCCCGACAACTAGTAAACCTTGTTGACCACTCGCGCACTATGCAAAATTTACTTGGCTCTGGAGAGTTCGTTGGGGACCTCGTTTTTACACAAGATATGACGTGTTGGTCCTGTATTATGTCATCGTCGACGACAGAGAGGCCACGTTTCATCTTCAGCATCGCAAGCAAAAAGTGTCTCAGTCTCAACTTGTTGTAAAAAAGCGCAACTTTCTACAGACCGTTTTTTGTCATGCTCGAGGTCAAGATAGATGCAACTGCACGAAAGTCGGCTGCTATATGCGATCTGCCTTCTCGTGTCCGAGGACGCATCACAAGTTTTCCGTGGCATGTTGAGCAAATCATTTGTATTGCTGGTTCTGATACAAAGGTCTGTTGAGACTGAGACTGTTTATTTTTCTGGTGATATTATTCATCTTCCGGGTAGAGTAAATATACGAGGATTCGGAGCCTTTATCTATGCCAAACGAAAACTCCTGGCTGAGTTTTAGTGAAAGTATGTACATCAGAGATATGACGCGCTCAGATGTTACAATCTCAAGCGTTGCAACAGAGTGGGGAGTCATTTGTCTTGCTCTTGCATAGCGGTTCAGCACTAGAAATACATACGCAGAGCGTTGCGCTTTTTGCAAAACAAATTTCGGCGAGTTCTAATGCAGTTGGGGACTCCAGCAGAACTTCAGCTAGTACTTGTCATGATACTATATAGCCATGCGTATATCTGTTCTAGCATGAGCGTGAGCTTTTTGCTTCTGCATAGGGACGACCATGGTGCCTACTCATTGTAACGCTTGAGACTGTAACACCTGAGCAGCTGTATAAAAAATGAATCATGTTGCTAACAATGACGAATCAAAATAAATCATGGACTACAGCAGCATGGTGGCCAAGGAAGGTGCTGACACACACCACCGTGCTGATGGTCTTGGTTTCATCTCTCCATAATGCGGACATCAATTCTACTTGTTGTAATATCTTCGGGTATACTTGTTCTAATATCTGTATCTGCTTCCACTATCAGTCTTTCCCATGGCTGCATTGCAACCGATACAGCTATCCCGGAAAAGAAAACTCGCCAACCATGGCCATTTTCTATGACAAAGAACTCGTCAGGCTTGATTGATTCCGATGGATTCGAGCCACCAAACCATGGCATAGTAAAGTGCCAACGTTTGCAACCGCAATGTGTATGTGACAACGAAAAGGCAAAGGAAGGCACCTACTGCTGGTGCAATGTGAAATAAAAAAGCGCATGTAGCTAACTACTTAGGTGCCGGACGGGGAGGTGATAGCGTTAGGGCCATTGGCGTTCTCTTGCCCCGGGCTGGCCGCCCAGGGCCGAAAAAGTGAGCAACTAAGTCACGCACCAGCCCCGAGCGCATAGTCATAGTGCATAGGATGCGGCCCGGAGGCTCTCCGCTGTGTTTATTTTGCTTTCAACACGGATACCAGGGCCACCACTAAGAAACGGCCGCAGGCTAATGCGTCGGAACGGCACCCGAGGTCTGTGCTGTTTGGCCTGTCGTGTTCCGCTTTCTCATCTCCGGGGCCTTTGCGCCCTGCTCGTGCCTGCTGGATATATCTCGCCAGACAACGGCAAAACGACACAAAAAGAAATTTTCGCTTTGACAATCACAATTTTCCTAAATTTGCTTGGAAAGACTCGCGCGGCCGCGGGTATGGGCCCGGCCCGGGCAACGCGGGAGGCACCGAAATTATTTGGGACTATGACTATACCATGCGGGCAGTTGGCCTCTTCATCATTTGGCTGGCGCTTTTTTGTCTTGTGCGTCCTACAACTGTTCCGCGTCCTCGCCTGCGCGAACTACCTTCCGCCCAGGCTTCGGCAGCCGCCGAAAACGCGGCCATCTTTTTTGTCACGGGAAAATCGCAGTCGCGCCAGCGCACTACCTCGCTGCTTTTATCTCGTGCGTGGCTTTTTTGGGCACACTTTTGGGCGCCCGAAAATCGCCAGAACCTAAGGAGCAGGCGGCGGGCGGCCGCTCAGAAGGTGCGCCGGTTTTGCCTCTTTGTGGCCACCCCTTCGCCTCAGAAGGTGGACACCAGGTCAACTAAAACAAGGCGAAAAGGACCAGCCGCCAATTGCTAGAATGCGAAACGAATCGCCGCAATCGCTGTCGCATCCACTCCAACTCACATCATTAAAAATAGTTGAGCGGTAGACTGGACGTAAGTAGCGCGCACTTTTTAGTTGTAGAGGCGACATCATTTTCAAAAGGGCAGACACACTGACAGCACTTTTTTGAATTTGTTCGTCTAAAAATGCCTTCGCTCGCTACGGCTACTGGGAAGTACTTTTACTTTCTTAGTTACTGTTGCTTCTACACGAAGTAGAGTTCCCGCACGATAGATAGTAGGTGAAGCAGTTTTCTCCTCCGGGATAGGCAGATGATGGCTTTTGTTTCCGGGAGATGACACCAGCATCGATATAATTGTGGATAGATCTTGTATGGGAGTGTCAGGTTTGAAATCGACAAAGTTGAAATAATTTGTCATGCTTGCATAAAATGGATGCCAGTTAGACCTGCAGTTTGTAGTCGGTGCATGACAAATTTTCCCGGTCCTGGAAGCGGGTCTGTCATGCGGTTTAGGGCAAAAGAGCGGCCTTCTCTCATGCTAGTCACCGGCCCAACTTTTGACCCTTACCAGGACTATAATCTGCCTCCCTTGCGTCCTCTGCAATAGAGTCACTTTTTGCATCGCATTTTATGCATTGCAAGTTATTTCAACTTTGTCGATTTCAACTCTGACACATCCATATCCTGCTGATGTCGTTGTATCAAGTGCAAACCTCTCTCCGGTCTGGAAGGATGCGACAAAGCTGCTCATGCTCAGCTAGAATGGCGCCATCTATCAGGTCGTCTGTCATGCACGCTCTTGTTATCCAAGAGCGGTCTTCATCATCTTTTTCTATTACGCTGGAAAAATAACTATGGAGGAGGTTGTAATGGAGACATAGAAAACGCATGGTAGTTCATCAAAAACTTGTCCACATGCTTAGCCGCTAGTGGTGGCGTGCTCATATCAACATTGACATTCTCCAACCACCGCTAGCAATGCAAGTAACAGTAAAGTATTTTCAATTTCATCTTCCAGACCCAGACATCATAAGTGCGTTTGATACGTCGTGGATTTATGCAGATGCAAAATGAATTGTCGGTGTCAGGGTTTGGGTTTGCCGGGCTTGTCGAGAAAGAGAAGCCATGGATGCCGTGTCGGAAAAAAGAACACGTAAATCAAGGGTCTAATTCTACTAACTTGTTCCTCTTGTGGCGTCGAGGTCGACATGGTCAAGAAGGATCGATTTTTATGCTTTTTCATATCAGATGAAAACAGATCCAGAACTCTGTAGCAATTTTCTAGTGTCCGTGCTTCGCAACGGACACAGAGTCACGGTTATTTGCATTTGTTTGTAGACGCCAGAATTCTGCAGATGCAGAAGGACGGCTTGCATATGCATGTTGCACCAGCAGCTTCAAAAATATCACGATGCAAACCACGCATGCATCTTCCAGGTAGCACATATTTTTCCTATGTATTAGTAGCACCCTGATACTAGTAGTACAAGTAAGATGGTCACACGACCACAATCGGGTGCTGTGCGCATGACAAAGACAAACGGCTAAACAGCAATGACTGAGAATAGGATCCATGGTTTTCTTTTCCCGGCGACTCTGACACGAGACAAAATCATCTTTCTTCAGACTGGATAGGCTTTGTCCCGTCACGAAATGAAATCAAAAAAATGGCATAGTACGGTATAACCTGCTCAGGTGTTACAATCTGCTCAAACGGTAGCAACAGAGTAATGCTAATGCTGTGCCGCAAAAATAAGTGCATCTGCATCATCTAGCACAGGATTGCGCATGACAAGTTCCGAAGCTGCCCGTTCAGATGAATCTGGCGAATGGAGAGAAAGTCCGTTTAAATGAAAAAAAGGATTGCGCATATACAATACAGCCCGTGCTTGCGGATAAAGCTGGCGAAATTTGTACCTATTTTTCATGCGAAAAGCGCAAGGCATCCTTCCATGTAGTTGTTCCGCATGCTCTCTATGCAAGACAAATTATACAGACTCTGTTTTATTATTGTAATGCTTGAGATGGTAACACTTGTGCGGGTCATATACGAGTTGTGTTGAGATGTGCTGCTCGAGTTGTTGAGTAAAAGAAAAGTGTGATTTTTTGCTTCAGGAATATGCGATATCCAAGGAAAAAACTGCGATAGTGCACCTGCTTTGGTGAGAACGAGAAGAGCATCTATTTGACCTACTGCCAGTCTCTTCTTTTTCTTCACATGCGAATGTGACTTCTGTGACACTTTACAACACATTCATGCATCAAGGTAGGTTTAATGTCAATACCACGACGGACAAATTGAAATTGGCATGTACGTTGGCCGCTGTATTAATACGAATACAAATTTGCTTGCACCACTGCCGTGTGTTTGAATATGCAAGAAGGCTCTCTTGCTCATGTTGTTCTACACCCAGTTACACTTCCACCGTTAGATGATTTCCGTGGATACCATGGTGCACAGCTCCCCCTTGACCCTCTCGTTTGTCGTGTTCATTACATTGGCAGGCACGAAGTGTAGATCATCAAATAGACTCAGTAGAACAGAATTGCGGTGAGAAGTGTAAAATAAATAGCTACACATGAGCCTATTGCTCATAAACTGACGCATAACAAAAGCAAAACAAAGCGGAGGAGTATTCGTCTCTTCCTCTTGCATACATTTCGATTTTCATACATTAGTTTGCTCTAGTTGCATGACAAAGACAATAAACTGGAGCAGTGAAGAACAAAGGGGGGTGGTGCACTTGGATAGATAGAAGTTCTTGCATTTGATTTTGATGTGAAGAATGGAAACGGCGTCGAGAACTACCCATCTCGCGCTTGCACTTGCCCCCGCATAGCTCTTGATGCCGTCGAGCAGGATATTATGGATAAAACAGGAGGCAAGAGCCGCGTGATCTTGTTCGCTAGAAAAACTATAAAAAATCTGTTGAGTTGTGATGCTTGTGAACATATAATCTTGTTTATCAATCTTCTTCTGCTATAATTGCATAGTATTTTGGAATAAGTATAGTGTTGAAATGTGAAAAAGAAAATGGGTTTGGTCTTGATAATTTTTGCTTGAATACGATAACGATTTTTTGGCTTGATCAACGATATGCAGTTTCAAAAATTGAAATAAGCACTTCGCGGAAAAAAAAATGTGATGATAGACCCAGCTGCAGCTCGTGGACCAGTTTTGTGTTGATGGAAATTATCAGTTGGCACCGCCCCCAGTCGCTGCAGTCAGGAGCTGGCGACGATCCTTTTCTCGTCACTCCGCCTGGTTAACCACTCCGCTCTGACTGGAACCCATCGCGCCGCTACCGCCGCCGTCCCCTCGGTTGCTGCGGCTGGCCTTGTCTGGGTTTTTCGCGATTGGGTCGGTCTTTTTGATCTTCTCCAACCGTCGGTAGACTTCGGTGCTGCCGTATGCAAGAAATGAACTGTGTATAGAAGTTGCGTAACAAATCGATCCTGTAGTAAAAAATATATATGCTTCTATATTGAGCAATTCATGCAACAGAGACACACTTGTTGTCCTGCCGTGCTGGCCAGCAGCTCTGGGATCCTCTTTACATTTTGATTTTGCTTCCACGTTGTACTAGCTGACAGGCTGAAGATTAGATATCATGCGGAACAAGTTCTTTGTGATGCTGCTCTGCTTCTAAGAAACCTGCGGTAACTACACTGTTTTTCTCGTTGGATATGCTGGGACGGACTTCCTGGTCGAAGCTGAAGCACTGGCCGTGTATACATTGCAAAAGTATCCTATCGTACTAGTATAAATTGCATTACAAATTTTATCAGAAAGAATTTGTAATGCTAATTCAGGTAAAAAGGTAGGTTTGTCATGCAAGATTGGAATTAGTACGAGTACGATAGTTTTGCACAGGATACCGTGTCCTGAGCAACAACGTCCCTACCCCGCCTTGTCATACATATTTGCATGGCGAGGACATCTGTAACGCGGCTTCGCATGATGAATGGTGCTTTCTAGTGAGTCGCCGTATTTGAAAATCCTTCTGTCTTCATGCGCTAATGCTAAAGCTAACCAGGATAGAAATAAAGTGGATCATTTATTGTCATAATGCCCTTACTAGACAGGCTAGGCACGAGGACTGTAAAAAAACTTACATCTTCGCCAAACTAACTCCTAAAGCTCTGGAACTGGAGTTGTCTTGCAGGGTTTTCCTTTCTAGTTTTGCCTCTCTTGCCTGCGGGAGCGGATTATTACTAGTACAAGTACTACCCTTTCGCTATTTACGAGATTTGTGTTGCAGAGGTCCCATCATCTTGAATGATGACGCGGGAGTAGGGACGTTTTTCCTCAGGGTAGGCCGTATGGATGTGTCAGGATTGAAATCGACAAAGTTGAAATAACTTGCAATGCATAAAATGAATGAAAGCTGAGACCCAGTTTTCAAGTGGCGCATGACAAATTTAGGTAGAGCCGGAATCCAGTTTGTCATGCTGTTTGCGTAAGAAAGACGCCTTTTGTCATGCTACTTTAGCATCTCAGTTTCTACCCGTCGAGAGGCTTACAATCTGCCTCACTTGCCTACTCTGCAAGACAGGCACTTTCTGCGTTGCATTTTATGCATGACAAACTATTTCAACTTTGAGCATTTCAAACCTGACGCTTCCATAAGCCGATCAGCGTCTTTACTGCCTGGATTTCGATGTGATCCGGTGTGGACGGTGGTCGTTTCTGCACGGTCATTATCAAGTGCAAACGTGTCTGGGTCGTCTGGAAGATTCCGAGATTTGTCACGCGGTTTTTCCAAGGTCCACCAAGTCTGGAATGCAGGCCCTAGCATCACCGGTAGTTCTGCAGCCCTTTGGTGATGCCTATTCTGCATGACCACAGGAGATGCCCTCTCAGCATGGCCAGAAGTGGGGACCTTTTGCAAGTCATGCAACACAGATTTTTCTAGCATCTGCAACACGCATCACAAGTTCGCATCCTTCCAGACACAGACCACACATTCGCAGCATTTGATAGTCATTATGTTCGTTAGCGTCGGCATATCCTTGACACCGTCATAGGGGATCGTGCCGCCAAATATCTCCGAGTATCGTGAGAAAAAAGTGTCACAGTTACTACTTACATATTGTGAACCGGTTTCAACATCAACATGACGGAAATGCTTGCTGCAAGCCACCTCGCTTCCTGCGTCTTTTTTTCGCTTCATGACAACGATCTCTAACTCTACGTTGCAGTTTTTTTCTTTGGTCCTGCTGAAGTTGCACCATGCGTACTAACTGTCACACTTTTTTTCTTGAATACACAGAAGATACCTGATGGTCAATAAATTGATCGTGTTCCGACATTGCATTCACCATCGTGCACGACAAAATGAAAAACAAAGCCCTTAAAAATCCACAATGTCTGCTATCCTTTTTTCACCATGACTACGTGTGCGTGTCGTTCAAGAAAACTTCTACCCGTTTCAAAGTCATCTACTCCTGGCACTTCTAGTTTTCTTTTACACTATCTAGCCAAAGACGATGATGAAATTACAAATATTATGTACATGACATCGCCCAGACGTCGATTTTTTCTGTGATCTTGAGCTTCTTATCGAAGAGTTCCGGAGCCATATATCGGGGTGATCCGCCGTTATGCCTTGCCCGCGCGTTGTTTTTGTCGATGTACCTTTGATGGTGTTCTATGCATCGCAAACAGGTGCAATTGGGTCAGGGTCTGGAAATTAATAATTTGTGTGGCTGATATCAAATTAGAAGCACTGCAATCTTCAAGGACGCAGAGCAGCTACCGCTCGCACAGAAAACTAGCAGGAGCAGAAGTCTTTCATCAATCTGCATCACAGCTCTTTGGGCTGATGGCCTTCAGATTGTGCATGACAAACGACCCAGAGCCAGTAGACAAATTACAATGCATATGTTCAACATGGTGGGGGCAATGTCAAAAATCATGCTCCAGGTCGTGGAGGTTCCAGCCTCTATGAGAGTGCACAACGGAGCGAGCCGCTTCCCCTCCCCGTCATGTGTATGGCATGCAGAGCTACAGCTAGAAAACAACCCTAACGAACAGCACTGAGGTAGCTGTGCGCTTTGCAGTCCAGACACGGAGCGCAGTGCGCTCTGCAGTGGCTTCTGTAGGTCGTCCATAGTCTCAGGAAAGAAAGTCATAGTCACAAGGCGAAGGCAACGGCACAAGCGAAAAAAAAATATCTCTGGCGCATAGCATGCGGATTGGCTCTCCACGTCCTCTGCCGTGCTTTTTCTTTTTTGCGTTTTTCTTTTTACTTTTCGCGTCTGCACTTTTTGCAAAACTTCCTCGGCTCAGAAACCGGCGAAAAAGTGGCCGCTATTACGGTCGCCCAAAATGCTCCGAAACCTCGGCCGCGCCGTGCGATTTGGCTGTTTCAATTTCGGGCGCGTTTTTTTGGGCGCCTATTTGGGCGACTCAAATCGTCACCAGAATCCCACACGGCGGACGCCTTAGAAGGGCGCCGCCCTTGCTGGCGCCCCAGCGTCGTTTTATGAAGCGGGGACCGATAGCCATAGCGTCCCCCCCGCCGCGATTTGTCGCCAAAAAAGCCGAACAGGCTTGGGCTTGCGCGCTGGGATTTTCTTCATCCTGAGAGACGCTCTTACTTACTTTAGGCTTGCAAACTGCCGGCCATTTTTGGCCATTGATGTCAAGAAAACTCCCCGGCTATCGAACCGTTCGGTGACCTCGCTGCCTGCTATGATTGATGCATCTTCTCATGCAAAAATCTGTGATCAGGATGCATGCGCATCAACACAAAAAGTACTAGCACTAATTTTTGCTGTTACAACACATCTTCAGAGCTGCGTGCTGCAGATTCCTCGCACGCCCCGTTCATCATCTTCTGGAGAATATCACTTTATAGGACGAAATTGAAGCTAAAGGATAGTACTCTGTCAAGCCGAAGTCGCACAGCTTTATGTTGAACTTCAGGTCGAGGACGACATTCAGGCTCTTCAGGTATCAACTGCAAATATGTAGTCTGGCTCAGGGACAGGGTCTGGACGAACTAGAAATGAGTATAAGCTGTAACTGTATTAAAATGTCGTCCTGTGAAATAAATTGATGCTCGCACGACTGCAAAAATACGAATACATACAGGGCCAAGCATGACAAGTTACTTTCAGAGCTCCTTGGACATGGTGTATCCTTTTCCGAATCATGACAAGAAACCAACTGCGTTTCTTGTTTTGCATGCCAAGCTAGAGTAGAGGCTCCTTTCCTGCGTGCCCATGCATCACAGAAGCAGGGGGCATGACAAAAAATCATGCGTTCTTCCAGCAGACCCAGACATGATATTATTTGCAGTTGATACCAGGTCGCGGTGTACCACAACTGGGTCCCGCGTGTGAAGATACTCGACGCCCTCGCACAGCTGTAGGAGAAAATACGTCCTTGGTCTTTTTCTCTAGTACTACATTGGAGCAGAAGCAGGTCCTGGCATAGGTGACTTCCGTCCTACTCGTTACATTACTAAACTCAATTTTCATCTGCAGCTGCACCTGCAGAGCGTACTACTACACTCATGCAGATTCTTGTCATGCGCGACGGAGTGCAATCTTTAAAAAATGTCGAAGAACTACAGCCGCATGGACATGGTGCAGGAGGGAACACCTTATATCTATTCCGTACTACTCATCTGTACCTGCATGCTCATGTTCATCGAGTGTCTGGTCGGCAGCTTGACCTTCCGCACGTGGAGGAAATTGTAGAGCGAGCCTGAAAGTAAAGAACATGCATTGCAACACCAAGTGTCTTTTTGTCATGCTAGAAAGCCAAGAGTGGCGGTGTTGTATGACAACCAACGTGACGAGGAGCATCAAATTCCTCTATCATGCGCATGACAAACCAAAAAGGAAAAACGTTTTTTTTTCTTTGAAAATGAAATCTCCTGAGATCATCAACAGAAAAATTTCATATTGAACTACTGTAGTACCGTTCGGCATGTATTCTGTGATAAAGCAGAGATGCGGGTGCTCGAAGCAGGCTCCCAGAAATCGCACAAGCCTCTTGTGGTTCAGGTGTCGAAAGGATTCGATCTCCTTTTTGAGTTCGTTTATCGCGTGGGAGTCGTGCTGCGCTTTCTGCGGGTCACGGTATCGGATTGCAAAACTCCCACCTGCCCTTATTTCTTGGGGTGCATGAAGAACTACAGCAACGCAAGTAGTGTCACAATAAATCCGGCTTTCACATGACGAATCCATACACAATAAACTTCTGTATTTTAGTGCAGTTTTTCTTTGAGCTTCGTGATGAACTTCGACTGCTAATCATGCAAGACATGCAAAGGACGAGTGGAGGACGGGACTTGGTATACAAGAACTGCAGCACAAACAATACATGAGGGAGACGGGGAGTTGTGTACTCTCCTACCCGGTACAGTGCTTTTATCGCTACCTCCTGTCCTTTCCACTTGCCCTTAAAAACCTTGATAATTTTATTGATATAGGTAAAGCTGCATTTCATAGCAACATGAACATACAACGCGTGCGACCAAAACCATTACAAAATTTTCAGGTTGACAACATATTGAAATTCCTTTTCGCATGAAAAACCTCGACAGATGAAAGGCGTTTTTTCGAAGAAAAACTCGCAGTCTTCGTACTAGCAGTAAGTATGAAAGTACACAACTCCCCCTCCCCCTCTCTGAGCAGATGAAACACAAGCGAAAATGGCGGATGAGAATGAAATGCAGCTTTTGCGTGACAAACTCGCAGCCGGCCACTCAAGTGCTGTTTTGGCCGCTTCATGCGCAAACTGTCATGCAAGCAGTGGTAAGAGAAAATGAAAGAGGGTATTTTGCATGATAAAGAAAGGGGTCGGGGTGGAGGTGTTGTTCACTCTCATAAATACGGCATTCTCTTACCTGTCCAAATTCCCCGTTCCCGAGTGTCTGATCTACATTGAGGTCTGCCCATTCGATTTCGGGAATGTCGCCGGCTACGCTTCTTCGCCCATTTGGTATTGCGCCCTTGATCCCACCGCCACCTTGGTTGTGCATTTGATTGTTATTGTTTCCTGCGTTGCTCATGCCACCTGGTGCCCCGTTTGCTGGCCCATTTTGCCACAGTCTTGGCGTCGCGATCTCGGGGTAGGGCACGGACAACTGTCGCGCCACCATGTTTGGCCCCGCCGCTGCAGGTCCGGCGCCCGCCGTCCCTACAGGGTTATTTATCTGCTGCACTGCAGGGTTATTTGCGTTACTGTAGTAGTCGTGTGGCTTGCTGCCGTGGTACTGTGGGTTTTGTCCATCTTGCTGCTGTATCCTGTGCAAAAGTATCGTACTCATACTAATTGCGGATATGCATGACAAATCCAACTTCCTACCTGAAATAGCATGACAAATTGCATTTCTGTTCTTGGAAAAATTTGTAATGCAATTCATACTACTACGATGCTTTTGCAGTGCATATGCTGGGGGAGCATGTTGTAGCTAGGATTTTTGTTAAAGGGTACTGATCCTGGCGGTGCGACGGCTGCGCCCGCAGCTCCACCGCCGTTGAGATGCACTCCTGATTGTCTTGCCATGTTGCTGTAATTGTGGTGGTCCATTCTGGTACTTGAGCTCTGTGCTGGCGAATAGCCAACCCGCGTGGACAGGGCACTCATGCGGGCTGACGGACGAAGAAAATCACGTGGGTCCTCGTGGTTCTCGACGCGGCTACAGCTTCCTGGTGTTTGAAAAAGGACTTGTTCGCAGGACGAGAAAAAGTTTCTGTGGCGTGATGAAGTCTCGTCATGTGCTGGAGAAAGTGAAAGATGACGGCATCAAGGAAAACATAAGAAAGCGATAAATAAAGTAGAAGCATGTAGATTTTCAACCATCATGTCTGATATTCCCGTTGGCCATGACATCTCTACAACAAAATTGTGTTCAAGATAACATGCAAGCAAGCATGTCGGCTCTACTTCGTTCCGAGTCGTGTACTTGTGTACTAGTACTACTTCATTCTTTCCCGCCGTGTTTTTGTTTCTGCAGGTGTTTCTGCAGGTATTGAAATGATTTTCCTTGTTCATGCTTCTTGCTTTCTACGTTGACACTTTTTTTCAAACGATACAGTTCTTGGTTTTGGACTTGATTTTTTCTTCCACGAAGGATAATTCCGGTTCCACCGCTGCGTCCAGGAGTACGCTGAACTGAAACGCCAAGCTTGGGATTCTTCACCAGGAAAGCGGACCAAGAAGAGCAACTACGCTTTCTTTTACAGGAGGCTATGGAGGTGGCGCTGCTCGCTTTTCTACTAGTTCGTCCGTTTAATACTCCCGTAGTGCAACTTCTTGATGATGAGCAGCAGCTCCGGGTTGAAGTTGATTTCCACCAGGCCGCGCAGATGAGCCAGGCTTCCGTGGCCTCGTCCGCCTGTCGATCGCGGTATTCTGCTGCGCAAGAAGCTTGAGCACGAAAATTCCACCAGATGTTGTGCTCTTCTGTCGTCCGCTCGTGAACGACGACCAGCAACGGAAGGTCTATGGAAGTGCCAGAATGGAAATCCTCGACGTGGAAATAATTTGTGATGCATGACATGCGACGCAAAAAAGACTGCATTGCAGAGGACGCAATGGAGGCCGACTATTGTCCTTCCACGGGTTAAGAATTGGAGTGCTGATTAGCACGAGAGAAGGGCGTCCCTTTGCGTTAACCAGCATGACAGACATGCTTTGAGTGCCCGGGAGATTTGTCATGCGCCGCCCAGAAGTGGCGCTTCAACTGGAGTGCTTTTCTGCATTACAAACCATTTCCACTTTGAGGACTTCCAACCTGAGGCTTTCATAAGGTCGCTTCAGGTTGTATACACGACCTTGTTGGCCACGTACTACTGCAACTACACGTAGAAGTAGTCCAAGCCTGGTCTTGCCACTGACGTGCTGTACGGAAGCGCGCAGGAGCAAGTATCCTGTGCAAAAGTATCGCAATGATCGTCCTAATCGCAATCATGCAACACAAATGTCACTCATCTTTAGCTAAATCGCCCATGACAAATGTGACAAATTCCATTTGTCATCAACATGCTGAGCTAAAGATTTGCATTCTGTATATTTTTACCTACATACTAATCCGATACTTTTCCAATTCATACGAAGTCTTGCAAACCAAAACTTCACGCTCGTGCCTGTTTGCCGACAGCTCCGTTCGTCCCTCTCGTCGTGCTGATAGAAAAGACTTCCACCTCCGCGACAAGTTGCTTGTTCCTCCGACCACACTGCGAGAAGTTCGTTGCAGAAGGTCCTCGCTTTTTTCCGTGATGTGTTGAAGTCGTCCACGACCGCCAGGGCGATGCGTTCTCCTCGCTAGATAGGTACTAGACTGGCCCTGATTTTTTCGCGAGCAAGTCGAACAAGTTGTGGATGATGGTCGTGACGAACTAGGACGACACCAGCAACCACCGCTCGTTGGATGAATCAAACACGGTGTGCCACGCCGCGTCTGCTTGTGCGTGACCAAGGAGATCTTCCCACCTGCTCGTTGTGCAAGAGGTAGAGTAGAACCTCGTCCGCGCTCTTCTCGCTTGTCCTATTTGTTGCAGACCTGCACGACCAGCTTTTTCTAGTACTACAGCTTCTTCCCCGACCAGCGGCACGACACGACAGGTTGTTTCCTTCGTGGTGACAGCTGTTCAGCAGCTCAAGAAGAATACAGCACTTGAGCTTCTTTGCAAGAGCTCGTCCTCTTGTTGACCAAAAAAAAAATATTCTACAGAATTTTTTCAGATGAATGTGGTCTTCTTTGTCTTCATCCTCGGGGCGAGGGGAGGACAAAACTCCAGCAGAAGCTACGATGCCAACATTCAGAGGGGAAGAACTTGTTGTAGTTGTTCTATGTGCCGTACGACGCTGTAGCTCGTGCTCATCATCTACACAGAGAAAGAACATGTTGACCCCAGCTGTTCTCTTTCATTTAAAGATTTTTTGGATTCAACTATCTGCCTTCGCGTGTGTTTCTTTTGGATCGTAATGCAGCGTTCGCTCTCGTACTCGTTCTTGGGGCCAGTGATGCAAAAGCATACATAACTTTTATGACGCCTACTACGTAGCTCAGGAGACGAAACGCAGTTGTCCTCGGGGCAGTTACTTCGTGAGAATACTGCTTGCCAGTATGCGGCTCGGAAAAAGTGGCCCTGATATTATACTCATACAATAAATTGAATTTGAAGAAACAACAAGTCCAGAGCCAAACGTGCATTTGACTTTGAGGTCACATAGAAGGCAGCAAATTAGCTTGAACTTCTCTTTACACGCTGCAGAAATAACGTTTACGTCCCAACAAAAAAAAGCTGATTCTCTGACGAGTTCGTGGCACACTGCGCTGGAGCTGCACGAGCAATCGTGCTGACGGATTTCTTTATCTTTTTTATTTCCCCAAGAAACTACAACAGTAAGCGCGACTGGCTCTATTTTTTGTACTCCTTATTACACGCCCATCTACGTATTTCTCTTATCGCTGAAGAAAGTGTCAAATAATACCGGCGGAACACAGAGAGACAAGCAGTCGGGACCAGGCCGCAGAGGCTTCAGCCGAGGCACTTCATCTCCGGCGCACGATCACAAAAGGCGAGTACTAGCACAAACTACAGTGCGTGCGTGCGCGTGACCTACTCAGAGATTCTTACCGCTGCGCTGCAGGATAAGTGAGTAGCGCGCGCGGAAACGGAGCAGAAGCAGCTGGGCGCGCGAGGGCATGCGCGTAGCCCTGACCATCGGCGCTGCAATTATTTGACGAGGCTAGCCTTCTCCTTGCATTGATTATCTTGTACGAGCAATCAAAAATAGCCTGCTCGAGTTTCTTATTGATTCTTTTATGACAAGGACCAGCGTGCTTCATCAATTGTGAAAATTTATACTGGTTACCAGTATCTTTAATGCTTGGGAGCCGAAGCAAGTCGTGAGAACGTTACAAACCGGGCACCACTTCTACGTACCATTTTCGTTTTGCGCGTACGACGTGATCGTAGGTTTCGCGCGACATGGGCGGGGTTGTGTTTGATGTGTTACCAGATTAGGATATACGAAAATCAGTCGTGAGTGAGTAACTGTTTCTTTGACGTAAAGTCAAAATCAATTCTATGCTTAAAGCTCTTTGGCTTTCTCTTTGGCTTTGGGGCTGGGACCACCATGTATGATATTTTTAGTTTCGATTTCATCTTGATTCTTTTTACGTAAATTGTGCGTATGCAACTTTTTCACTTTTCGACGCATGCTCGTCACTGCAAAAAAAAAAAGAATACAGAAGCTCGGTCTAGTGTTCCTGTTCGGTCGCAAAAGGTACAGGTAGGAAAAAACTGAGTATGCTCTGCAAAAGTAGTATCGCACTCGAATATATTGCAGCCTTGCATGACAAAAATCTCTACCTGGTAGATCAGCATTCGAAATTCCAGTTTTCTTCTTACCAATGTTGTGCTTATTTGTGATGCTACGAATTTACACGTGCTGGTACGATACTTTTGCAGTGCATACTAAGGAAAGCCCTGGTCTAGCTTACTGGCAGGCGGCGAGATGAAGATCGCCATAGTTTATCCGGAGGGACCTCCTAGATGAAGTTGAAATCATGACAAATCAGGGTGGCCGCAGCCTGTTTTAGTTTTGGCGGCTAGAGGTCATGTTGACCTCGAAAACGAGATGAAAAAATTGTCCTGATGATGAAAATGACAAATTCAAATGAGTTATAACACACTTTTTGTTTTCTCAATGCTTTGAAAAAAATTCCCATTCCCTTCCTCTGCGTCGTGCAAAAATTCTGCGGCATGTTCATCTTCAACGTCCTTTATGCGCAGTGATTGAGAAACAGGACCTTGCAGGCGTCCATCTCTTCCCGGCTCCCCGAAAGCTGGATTTCCGTGGAGTCCTTAAGCGACACGATCAACTTCGTGCGTTCGTTGTCGGTTTTGTCCGTGATCGCCACATCGTAGTCGTCTTTTGCGGCAAAATACCACTTGTAGTGCTGGCGCGTGGTGGACGAGGAGGACGAGAGCGCATTGCTACCGCCGAGCATTTCCGTGTTGGTATCGAACGCCGAGGACTGCACCGCCATGCCGTATTGGTTTTGGCTTTGCACCACTATGCGGCAAATAATGTACGCCTCCGTCAGAATCACCTCGGATTGGGAAACCTTGTTAAACCGGTGCGCCAGTAGCGCGTCCTCGCAGTTGAACGCCTCGGCCAGGAAAAGCCTCACCTTCGCGTGACCCAGAAAGTACGGACGCAAAACGCGATCCTCACCGTAGAGCGACCGGGGAAGACGGATTATGGCGCTCTCAACTGTTACACTCTCAACTGTTACATGAATTTGTGACGTTAGAATGGCAAAACTGAGAGGGGGAAGATTGCGCCTTTTGCATGACAGATTTGGCGCAGATTCTCAGCCTGTTTGGCCCTTCGGGAATCTGTCATGCGAAGCAGCTGAATCGTGTCGATTCTGATTGGGATTTTGCATGACAAACCATGTAACAGCTGAGACTGTAACGTTTGAGAACGCCATACGGATCCGGGGAATGTTGCGAGCCTGAGGATGAGAAGGCGGTACGGTAGTTTGTAGATCGTTTGTTTTATGTTTTTCAGTGAGAGATCTGATAGAGATAGAGCACACGACCAGAAAGTCGACATCTTCGTGACCGGTTGCGGTTACGAAGAGAAATTTCCCTTACCTACGATAATAAATCTCACCGCCATCATCTCTACAAAAAGATGAAATCTAGCTGCACGGTTGCTTTAGCTTTTCTTGTTTTTCTTTTTATGATTTTTTCGTACTTCTTCCTTCTTGGTCGCTCGTGTACTCCACCCCTGTGAAAGCATCACTATAAGTAAAAACCATGACTGGTATTAGAAAACGCCCTCACATACTGCTATCAGTGCCACCTTGTACGGGTGTCATAATTTTTCTACGAATGACTCGTAGTGGTCTTAGTTGTACCTTCTGTCGCAAGATAGTGTCGTCTACCCCGATGGCCTGGTCACGTATGCCCTCCATGACGGCTTTCAGCCCTTCGCCCACCCCGATAATGGGTTTCGCGAACAGTCCCGCCACCTATCCGAGTGCACAACTGCCCCTCGACGTCCCACTGCATTGTAGTAGTGCAATAGCAACAAAAATGGAAAAAGCGTTGGCAAGTCAAGACTGCTACTGCAGGAGCTTTTGCATGACAAATTCACACGGGCTGACTCAGTGCTGTCTGGGAAGCTGCCGGCTTCTGTGATGTTCATGCCACAAATGGAGGCAAAAGAAAGCTGTATATTGTTTGCATGTTGACTAATGAGGAGGGAGTAGAAGGGTTGTGCATTTTCATACCACCCCGCGAGCGGTTCCCGTAGCTACGCGCTCCAAGGACCGGTCCTCCGCCGTTATGAATAAGAAAAAAGTGCTAGTACAGTTACGCACTGTGTTCTTGCAGAACAACCTTTGTCATGCTAGAAATAGACGTTTCTTGTTGCAGCCCTCGTTTGATACAAGTTGAGATTTTTCTTTTTTGATACGATCGCTGCACAACAATTATGGATGGAAAACTGCGAAATGTTTCATACCTATATATAAAGTACTAGCTAGCACGGCCCGGCACTGTTTTGAGCAAGATGGCGACCATTCTTTGCATTTTCTGGCGTCCCCACTAGCACGCTCGGACCGTGCTAGTGGGGACGCCAAAAAAAGCAACCCAGCTGGTTGCCGCGTGCTTTTGGAACCTACTTATGCTGGCCAGTTTCGAAATATGCGGCTCATTTTTTGGATATATATTCACTTTCTCGCCCGCATAGGTTCCAAAAGCATGCGGCAACCAGCTGGGTTGCTTTTTTTGGCGTCCCCACTAGCACGGTCCGAGCGTGCTAGTGGGGACGCCACAAAATTCCAAGAATGGTCGCCATCTTGCTCAAAACAGGGTCCGACCGTGCTAGCTAGTACTTTATAGGTATGAAACTTCTCTACATTTTCCATCCCTAACAACAATTGCCAGGTTTCCCTGTCATGTAAAGCAAGTTTGTGTTGCTGAAGGTACAGCTGCAGCCAACGCGTAACTGGACTGACTTTCTTCTTCTTGGGATAGCCGTTGCAGCCTGGTACGGTTGACTGAATACGCCCGTGATACCGTCGGCGACGCCTGAGATAAACGGGTTCGAAGAGGGTGACCTTTTGCTTCAGCATAATTTGCTGGACATAATATGTCCTTGTGTGGAAAAAGGAGGACTAGAAGCAAGGGCTTTCAGCTTGGTTTTGCATCGGAGCAGGAGCCCTACCAAGCAGCCCTGCTGAAAAACATCAACGAAATCTTTATCTTCATGACACGACGACTAGCGACGTAGTTCCTTGGTACTACTATACTACTCGCACCCGTGGAGACGCAGAGGACCCACGAGAAAATGTAAATGTAACAAGTGCTATATGCATATAGCTTCAGTTCATCAGATTCATCGCGAGCCTAAAACTTGATCGATCTTTGTTAGTCCTCGTGTAGTACCTTTGACTAGACTCTCGCCACCCCGGAGGAACCCATCGAAAATGGCCATGCTGTTGTTGCTATGAATTGCAAAAGTATCGCACTGGTATAAATTGCATCGCAAATTTTTTCAAGAAGAAAAATGAAATTTGTAATGCTATTTTAACCTGAAGAGGGATATTTGTCATGCACGATAGCAATTACTACAAAAAGTACGATACTTTTGCAGTGGATAGTCGCTCTGTGCTTCGGTATGGTGCCGCTCCCGCAGCTCGCTCAAGGTCGAAGGACCCTGTGCACCGCTATCCCGGCGGCGGTCCTCTTCCTCTGCGTATCGGCTGGTCAAAGAGGTGACGTTCTGCGCCCTAGATTGGTTCCGGTTCTTTTTTCCCGCCGCGGAATACTGGGAATCCAGGGAAACGTATGGAAGCGGAAACGAACTGCTTACTGCACCTCGCCTCGTCCTAGTACTCCTGCTCTGTTTCTGAGAGGCTAGGCCATGTTAACATGCAGGACAGACACGATCCCCAGACATAGGCTTGCGACCTTCAAGAATTACAACCATTATACAAGCTTGTGAAGATATCTTAAGTAAAAAATTGAAGAGCCGCCATATGCAGAGCAAAGCAGAGAGGAGAATTCTTTTCGGTCACACCCTCCTGAAGATTATCTTTATACAAATCTCAAGGAGACCAGGAGGAGGCGCACGGGACGCGGTTCTTGCTTTGCTGCTTCTCATAGAATGGTTGACAGTCCCTGGTTGAAGTTTGCAATCAGTTTGGCGCCCGTGTCCGCGAGCCCGGTGGTCACATTCCGCATGAGCGAGCTCGTGCCCTTCCCGATGCCCGCCATGCCCTCCAGGCCCCCGCGCTGAAACCCCTCGTAGGGCTCCTTGAGAAACGCGTAGGCCCCGTCCCCCACGTAATTCAGGAAGTTCTGCGGGTTGCCAAAAAAGTTCGAGGACATAAGCAAGCGGTTCAGCTTATCAACTGCAAATGTGTCTGGGTCCGGAAAAATGGAACTTGTGATGCGTGTCTTGCCGTTCTAGAAAATTTGTGTTGCGTGAGCAGCAGGAGAGCCGCTTCCTTTGTTCTCATGCGCAAACGTAAATTGTAATGCGTGCTAGACATCAGAAAGCGTTTCAAAAGCTTGTCATGCGTGGCTGCCATGGCAAGCGTTGCAATCAGCAGCAAATCAGCATCACAGGTTTCCAGACCCAGACATATTTGCAATTCATACAGCTGCATCACGCACTGCGACTTGTAGAATTCGGACATAGCTTTCAAGATCGACTGCATGCCACTGCCCTGGCCCAAGGTTTCCTTCAGCGTCATTTGGTCAAAGTATGAGAGTGGGCCGCAACTCCTCACGATATAATTGCCCCTATTTGATGTCATGCACTCTACCAAGTCGACTCTTCGCTTGCGCTTCCTTATCCTTGCCTGTGGGACTGCTTGCGTGACAAGTTGACCCTGAAACGCAAACCACACGGCCGTCGGTATACGGTCGTGCGTGCATTCGTATTAGTATTGCGGAAGCGAGCACATTTATTTTTCCGAAGATACTGCTGATGCAAGTGCGTTTACAAATAAGGGGAGGAGGGGGTGGAGTAGTTGTGCTCAAATCTCATACGAAGTCCAACGGGCAGGACTCAACTCCCGACATGAAGGTCAGCACCTTCGTGAGCAGCGCGTTCCTATCCACTGCAAATATGTCTGGGTCTGGAAGCGCGAAAGTTTGTCATGCTCGGCTAGCATGACTCTCAGGTCTCTCATGCACGCTACCCAAACGTAGCACCAATTTTCTGTCATGCAAAAACGCAGTTTGTTATGCTAAATAAACAACACGTAGCAAGTCAGAAACTTGTCATGCTGAGCCGTCACTTGTGGCAGCCTCATGATACGCCACTCAACATCACAAGTTTCCAGAGCCAGACATTTTTGCAATCCATAGTTCCGGAGGCCAAATTGCGGCTCCTCGCCCGGGTCGAAACTCGCAGTGAGCTTCATGTATCCTGTGTAAAAACGTCCCCACCCCAGAGTTGTCATGCAAATGCGCAATGGCAGGAACATCTGTAATGCGCATCTCCATGCGAGGCATTTCCAATCGTGTTTTGACGTTTGTAATGCTGGAAACAGGATGAGGAAGTGGCTTTCTCATGCGGCTTTCCTTGTTAGCCAGCACCACGCTGCAGATGGAAACTTGTCATGCAGAACTCCCAAAACTTAGGAATTTGTGTTGCAGACTTCCCATCTTGACTATGGTGTGGGAAAGTTTTTACATAGGATATCATGTGGTCAAACTTCAGGTCTTGGAAAAAGACCTTGACCAGCTTCTGCACCTTCGACTGCAGGTTCGGTTCCTTCCAGTTTAGGTGACCAAAAAAATCAGCGAAAGTCTTGTACTGCGTCTGCTGTTGCAACGATCCGGAGTGCGAGCTTCTGCCGTGCAGCCCGTGCCCAAAAGTCCGGTCTTTCATTATTAAAGTGAAAAGTGCCTCCCAACCCTGAAATTGCAAAAATTTGTGATGCGAAGTTTCCAAATGAAAACTTTTTGTCATGCATGAAAGGAGTAATATGAATCTTTCTGATGCAGAGTCTAGGCGTGTATCGCATCGCTTGCATGCCGCTCTTGCTGGGGCCTTTTGCAATACAAATTTTTGCTATTCACGATCGGAAACCTGTGATGCTGCTAGATGCAAGAGGGCGAGTGTTTCATTTGGAAAGGTTTGCAATACAAATGTTCCCAAGTTCGGGGGGGGGCATTTTTCATTGTAATATTCATCTGTGAACGTACGACGTCGTGGTGCAAGGCTCGCCGGACGGCGTTTTTCGCCTTGTCCATTTTCGAATTTGCCGCGCCTGCTATTGTGAGGAAAAATCCCCCCATCCCATGTCAAAACGAAGTCTGTGATGCTGGATTTGCGTACACAAATCAGCTTTCTCTTGCAGAAAGTGCTTGGCGGCATTTCCTAAGCCTGTTAGGGTATGCAGGAGGCTAGCAATAACGCATGGCAGACAGGTTTGCCGTAGCCGAAAGCGCATGACAGATTGGCTTTGGAATGCGCCACATGGCTCCTCTTGCCCTATAGGCAAGACAAAGATGATTTGTGGCCACAAATCAGCATCACAAATTTTTATTTTGATATGGGGAGGGGGGATTTTTCGTGCTGATACCTCCAGCCGAGGAAGACGAGCCAGGATGTTGCGAGGACGACCCACCTATGGAAAGTAAAAGTGTCTGGGTCTGGAAACTTGTAATGCTGCGTTGGGAATACAATAGTGAATGCTCTGTAATGCACAGGCAAGCATATCTGCGCTTCTTTGTGCTGCGTTGTTCGCATGACAAACTGTGCTTTTGCATGACAGGCAAAAGGGTCTCTTCTTGGACACGCAGATCACAACCTTTTTGGTCATGCCAGACAAGCATGACAAATCTCGCAATCTTCCAGACCCACACATTTTTGCATTTGATACCACCTCCGGGCATCGTTCTTGCGCCTGCTTTATTACCCACCATACCCCCAGGTGGTCCACCGCCAGCTGATAGCAAGCCGCCCGCCGTGCCACCGCCACCGGCGGGCGAGAAAGAGGTAGAGGCCCCACTTCCACCGCCTCCGCCAATCATGGCGTCTTCAATGGCAGCTTGGAACTTGTAGACCAGGGACAACATAATCTGCACCAGTTTCAAGTCGAACATGAGCAGCACCGGTTTGATTTTCAGCCGGACCTTGTCCAGATACAGGATGTCGTATTTCCCGTACCGTTCCCGAGTGTTGAACGCGCTGCTGGTCAGCGACTGGGCTGTTATCTTCGTTCGCTCCCGCACGTGGAAGTGCAAAATTGCCTCTGATTTGGTCTTCTCCTCTCGCCGTCTGCAGTATGGGAAAGGACAGAAAAGCGATGAAAAGTCAGGGAAGCGAGTTGTAGTTGAACTTGAAATTGGGCTTTCACTTTCTACTTTTGCTGTCCGCTGTGCAGCAAATCCAAATGCAGAACAGATGACAGCACTAGTTTAGTAATCTTCGTAAACCTAATCGCTTTCGCTTCCGCGCACACAAAAAATAAAAGATGCGAATGCAATGACAATGTCTGCTAGAAATACAACTGTATCTCTTGGTGTTGCCTCGTCAATACTGAGGCAAGGTGCAGTATCAGCCTTGAAAACTACCCGTGTGGCGAAGAGGAAGACCAAATGCAGCCACCAGGGGTAGCGCATATATAGCAACAGACTTTATTAAAACTGCACATAATTTCTAGTCATCCATGCTTTCTGACCAGCACATCACGACGCTTTGTCCCACAGGATATCTGGTTTTCGTTTGCGATTTGCCGCGCGCGCTCGTTGTCGACGAGCGAGGTTTCGGAGCTGTCTTGGAAGTTATGAGCTCCCCCGCGAGGACCCCCTCCCAGCATGGAAGATGAGCCGTCCACAGCCTCTTCCTGAATCGTTTCCAAGTGCAAATGTTGGGCCTGCACCAGCTGCTGGTGTCCACTTCTGCCACTACCAGGTCCAGCAGACGAACCACCCGAGGTGGAGCTGCTGCTGCCCCCGCCGCTCGCCCCTCCACCCGAGGACACCAGAATGCTCGGGTCCCGGGCCACGCACACGGGGAAGTGGGTGTCGCGCGCCTGCGTATCGAATGCAAAAATGTCTGGGTCCGGAAGATTCTGAGACTTGTCACGCACGGTTTGCATGAGCCATGATGTCTGTGATGCATGCCCTAGCATTACAGGTTTTTTGAGGGATTCTTGATGCCTACTCCGCATGACAAATGCCCTCTCCGCGTAGCAAAAATTAGAATCCTTTTGCTGCTCATGCAACACAAATTTTTTACACATCCAAATGCGGCATCACAAGTTGAATTCTTCCAGACCCAGGCACTTTTGCTTTTGATACTGCGTGTCCAACTGCAAATCGCGGATGCTCAGGTCGTATGCATTGCAAATATGTAGTCTGTGTCTGGAGGAGGACAAGTTTGTCATGCACATTTTCCATGATCCATGATGTCTGTGATGTATGCCATAGCATCACAGATTTTTTAAAAATCTTCCTGATGCGCCTTCCGCATGAGAAATGCCCTGTCCGCGTAGCACAAATTGAACCCCTCTTGCTGGTCATGCAATACAATTTTTTTTGGAGTCCAAAAACAGCATGACAAGTTGCGACCTTCCAGACGACCCAGACATAGTTGCATTTGATAGATCGTACTCGTTGTGCGTTGGGTACACGTTGACGCAGGTGTAGATCTCCTCCAAATACGCAAAGAGAATTTCCGCGTTCGCGTAGCTATCCACCAAATTCACATCACTTTGCCCGCTGTTGCGCGAAGAGGAGGACGAAGCGCCAGCGTTGTTTCGCGTTTGCAACAGCGCCTGTTTCGTCGTGTAGCTGTCGAGGGCGTCGCGGATCCGTTCAAAGGTAGTGGTCATCGTGACGCACGCGCCCTCTTTTCTGTACGAGGAAAGGGTGTTTTTCATGGCTTGAAAGAATTCGTCCGCCCAACTTTTGCTCGGCTTTCTCGTCTTGCCGACAAGGGAAATACCGATGCCCTTGCAGGCTATGCAACAGGAGAAATTTTCTACCGGTAAGCTATCCATAAGCATGTCTACATTCTTCACGCACTAATATTTTTACAAGAAAATGCCTGCTTGCATCAAATGAAATAACTTGCGCAGCGAGCTCATTCAGGCGTCAAGTGACGAAGGCTCAGGTTTGGATTTGATGCCGTGGCGGTCAGGATAGGCATATGTTGAGATGATGCTGCGAAGTCCTTTTTCTTTCATGCAAGATCATGACCACCGGATGATGTTGATGATCATATACATATTCGCGATGGCGTCTTCAACGTACGTACGTGCGCGGTAATATATTTCCCCGTCCTCCTGTGGATACAGTTGATTTTGAACACGCGGGCCATCGATCGGTGCGCCAACGGGGCGAGCGCTGCGTAAGCAACTTGGTTCGACGTGGAGGGGATGTTCGGCGTGGCCGTTTGCCTCAGCGCTGGTCCAGAGGGAGCATGCTTCGCTCCAGAAGACGAAGAGATCTTGAGCCTGTTGCTCGCCTTCATCTTGTCCACATTTGAGGTCACGCTCGTATGGCGTTCTCAAATGTTACACTCTCAACTGTTACACGAATCTGTGATGCTAAAACAGCAACAGGAAAAGGGGCAAGCTTGCACGTCTCGCATCACAAATTTGGCACACATTTAGATGCTGCCTAGCCCTTCGAAAATTTGTGATGCGAAGCAGCTTGATCGCCTGGCGGCTCAGGGTCATTTTGCATGACAAATCATGTAACAGTTGAGAATGTAACGGTTGAGAACCCCATAGCTCGGTCGCCAGAAAATGAGGTACTCCACCGGGCCAATCTTTTTTAGCTCCCACCGAACCGTGTAGCGCTTCAGCTCCCTCTATGGAAGCGTCAGGTTTGAAATCGTCAAAGTTGAAATAATTTGTAATGCATAAATATAAAATGCATGACCCGAGGTACGTGTGTTGCAGAGCAGGCAAGTGGGGCCGATTGTAAGCCTGTTTGGGGCTACAGGTCGAGCTGCTAAAGTAGCATGAGAAAATCACTCTTCTTTGCCTAACCAGCATGGCAAACTGGATTTAGGGACCACCGAAATTTGTCATGCGCCACTTACAAACTGGCTTCCAACTGGCATCCATTTTATGCATGGCAAATTATTTCAACTTTGTCGATTTCAACTCTGACACATCCATACCCTCCTCAGGGTCGCGCCCGCGCCCAACACCACCTCCTCCTGCACGGGGATCTGCCCGTGGTTCCGTTGGTTCTTCATGTCGATCGTGACGGACTCGCGGCTGCTGCCAACCCGCACGTCCTATGGATTGTAAACATGTCTGGGTCTGGAAGTCATGCGTATTTTGTATGATGATTGATGCCTCTAATGCATGATCTAGCAACACAGATTTTTAGAGGGCCTCCTAATGCCTATTCCGCATGAGAAATGCCCTCTCCACGTAACACAAACTGGAGTCCTGTTGCTGGTCATGCAATACAGATTTTTATTGTTGGAATCCAAAGGCAGCATTACAAATTACAATCTTCCAGACCCAGACATTTTTGCAATCCATACGTCCAAGCGGCCGGCGAGCGTCGGCTCGTACCACCCAAACCAGAGCGGCTCGGACTCTTTCGCAGGCACCTGGATCCAAGGCAGCTGAAACAAGTTCTTGGGGTCGATCTTAAAGGCCTCGGTGATGAGGTTCTTCTCTCGTTTGTACGTCTGAGACTCCTTGTTCAGCTGCTTGATAAACTTCTCGTGCCATTCCATGCCCCTGTATCCTGAGACAAAACTACATACCCACCCTGCTTAACAAGATACCAAATGATCATTTGCAACAGTACAAACGCCGAGCCTGCTTCGCGAGTTACGCATGCAGCGTAGTGTGTGTGTTCAAATAACTGTAGAATAGTAGGCAAGAAAATAATTAGGAACACGCGCATACACAAATACACAGACATACACACTGGGTGACCAGCTAGCGCTCTGCTCGGAGTCGGACTACAGAATTACTTGGTACTAGCCGCGAGCTTCGAGAGCGTCATCAAGTACTAGATTCCCAATCAGCATTTGCATTGCCGTCTCCGTGTTGGCGCTTCCATTGCGGAATGCAAATCCAAATCATAAAATTATCTGCATGACAGCTGCAGCTCTTGGAGTGTCATCCTCGTGGGCACGTTTTTCACGCTGGATAGCCTTTGCAGCTTGTTCTGCGCCGCGTTGTTGCCCAGGTTCTGTCGGATGATGATTCGCGTGTTCTCGCAGCAGTTGACCAACTGAAACCCAGTGCCAATGTTTCTGGTCTTCTGCTGCGTCAGCGCCAGGGGTTTCGGCGGGGTTGGTAGATTGTGTGGCGCGGCAGGTGAAGGCCCCTTGTGCTGTGGGGTCGTGGCTGCCGCAGTGCTCCTCGTCCCCGACGACCCAAATCCACCTGCGGCGGTTGATGCGGAACCGACTTCAGCAGCAGCAGATGACGCACCACCAGCGCTGGCGCTGCTGCTTGTCTGCTCGTTGTCTCGAACGTTGTAGTGCGCGTGCATGGTCATGTACGTCGTCCCCTGCGTCACGTTCTCGGTGACCTCGATGCAGCAAGTCACGTAGTTGCACGGGTTCTGGTGCAGGATGCCGTCCGGAGACTCGTGCCACACGTTGTCGAACAGCACCAGGTGGTACTCCCCCGGAATCTATGCATCGCAAAAGCAGTTCTAGTTGTGTGGTCAAGTAAAATTGCCGTACAAATAATTCTTTTCCCAAGAGAAAAAATGCGGTTTGTTCTGCTGATCTCGTCACTCTATTGGGCATCCATCTGTCATGCACGACCGCAATTTCTCGGACGAGCGGAGTACAAGTAGAACTTTTGCGTTGTATAGAATCCAACAGGGCACGGAGCCGGAGTACGCGTACTCTTTATACCGCACCTCAATTCCGAACTTCCCAAACATGCTCCAACGCAGCAGGGGCAGCATGCCGCCTTTCCCCGGGACCACCATTTCCGGCAGTCCCTCGCGCATCGCGTCCTGGACATCCCGATAGTGCAGGTCCTTCTCGTATCCAGGAAAAGAAACCCGTCGACATCCATTTCGCTTCGTTCCTATCGTCCTATCGATCTGAACCAACCACCCGACACGCCCAATGGCGTGATCGGAGGAGAGAGGGCAAGGGCGTCTCGGTCCCTCACCGTAGAGACAGCCTACAGGGATGCCTCAAGGCCCCTCCCCACACGCCGCAGCGCAGGCGGCCCGAAGAACCCAGGGAAGAGAACTGACATGATGAATTCGGGCGAACGAAAGAGGGGCCGGAGGACCGACCTTCGAGCCCTCGACCACCGCCAATCGCCGCGCAGAGGCGGAAAACCCCCTGCAAAACAACACAAGTGGAGCGCGCCCCGTGGTCATAGCCGCCAAGCTTTACGAACGGGAAAAGGCCATCTGGCCAACACGAGAAAACACAGAGATAAAACACACGACGGGCCGAAAAACCGTAGCCCCAATAGTTGATACCTACGAGACAAAGCACACCGCACTGCCCTGGACATGGGACACTGTTCCGCGCCTGTGTGGCGAGAGGGGCCACAGCCTATAACCCCAAGACCCTACATCCCTCCACAGGAGGGTGGCGAAATGTCTTCCGGCGAAACGCAAACAAACGTCCCGTGTAGCCCGAACAAAACCAAAAAGAGAAGTACCCTCCAAAGCACCGTGGCCACATCATGGGGAATCCCGACACCGCGACAACAATAAAACAGCCTCCAAGCTGAGACCCTGCCCGCTCAGCCACTCGAGCTCGATTACCTTGGGCGTCAGCGAGTGTAAGAAGAGCCTGCCCAGTAACAACCTGGCCGCGTCAATTGAAGTTCGTGCAAGCCATGAAAACCAGAAGCGGGTCTCCAGCAAGACCAGGAGCAAACCTACAACAAGTTCACTATCCCCTTAAGGCGGAGGCGCCCCTACGAAAACCGTGCCCCCGGATGCGCCCGACATCGGGCACGCCTGGTTCAACCACCAAAGAGAAGCCCTAAAAGAAAGTCCTGCGCTCTTCAAGGGTGCAGCAAAACTTACCGGGCTGGAAGAATGTACCCTACAACCGCCAGTCCTTCGTATGAATTTCAACACGATCCCGCCACCAAGTAAGGAAACCGAACCTGCGCCACGCGCATAAGGCTAACTCGGACACCGAAGAGCCAGAGAAATAAACAACGAAAGCCGACCAGGAGAGATAGTCCCCTGACAAAACCTCCAAGAAGTTGTTGCGCCCGCCGCCCTGGCTGGCAAGAAGGTGGCCGGTAGGAAACCAGGGCGAAGCCAGACCGTCCGTGACCGAAGGTAAGCGCGACAGAAGAGCACAAAGCCTCTACCAAATGTAAACGGGAAAAACCGACCTATGTCCTCGTGGCTTGTTCAGAACCCCGACAGCGAAAAACATGAGGCGCAATGCACTCATCCATCCTCAGAGAACAACAGCACAAGAAGTGCCTCAGCCTGCACACTACAACACCGCACCGAACATTGCCACGAAAAGACTCAGCAGGAACCGGTAGGGACGATCATAGCCCCCAACTGAAAAGCCGCCCAAAAGCAACTAGATGGCTCGCACAAGCCTTCTCCTGCTGGTGGGAGAGAGAAAACCGAGAGAGGGGGAAGGAGAATCAGCTTCAACAGCCGCCGCCCCGCTGCCCTAAAAGCCGGTAGACCCGGATGCTCCGTTCCTAAGTAGGGAACTGAGCCAAGATACCATCGCCCAAACAAATACTCATCGACACCCCAGCGGCAACCCCTAGCCGGAGGAACCCTGTCCCTGAGTTCCAAAACAACCAGCGGAGCGAATGTTGGGAAAAAACCATCTTCATCCGCGCAGCCACATCGCCAGAGCAAGCGGTAGGTGTAGCGACGCCCGCAAGCCCTTCTAGATTCAGCCCGCTTGTCTCAAATCCAAAGCGCTGACAAAGTGAGCTCACCTGTCCCCCGAACACAGAGCCCACTGCGACCCGACCCGTAATCGGAAAGGAAACCCGGGCCCGGGCGGTAGAGCTACGGATGCCAGCATGCCAAAACCCTACGACGGCACTTATGCTGTAAAAGACCGACCGCTGGGAAAGCCATCCCAAGCAACGGGCGCGCCTAGCATGCCCGGTGAGAAATTCTGGCAAGAGTTGGCGAAAAAGACTCCCTCCAAGGCCACCACCCAAAAATGTATAAAGAAAACCGAGGCAGATGCCCGCCAAGCCGAGAAACTCGGAAGCCATTTAGTAGCGACCGCAATGCGCCATCCCACACAAAGGAACAACTCGCGCAACCCCACAAAACCTAGTGGCGCGCCCAATTGATTGCCCAAGCGCCCTGGGCTTACTGTCAAAGCCGCAATCGATTGCCCTAAGCACATTTCTAGTGCCGCCGAAAACAGGCACTGACCCCGTGCCGCCCTTGAGCCGCTAGACCCCCAAGCGCGCCGCCATCTCATGGCAAGGCCTTCCGAAAACTGAGTAACCCCGCCAGCAATGACCAAAAGCCAGCCCTGCTGTGATATGCGTAGCGCTACCTCGCGCCTGGAGCAAGTAGTCGGAGCAACCCGGTGCCAACCAGTTGTCCCAAAGGTGCCAACATCTCGAAATGAGCAGCCACCGTCGCAGCAGCCGCCCGCACGGGGTACAGCGGCACCCGGTAAAACGATTCAAAGGCAGAAAACCCTAACTCGCTGAACGAGAAAATCCCCCCGAGCCTACAGCGAAAAGGGGCCAGAGACGAATCCTAACGACGGACGAGCCCTAGAAAGGAGGGCGAGATGCACCCGGTATATCACGGGAAACAAACCGACCCCAGCCATTTCGACGCCACTCATGCCAACATAAAGCTCAGCCTTGGCCCTAAGATCCTGCACTGCCCATGTTGGGCCCGAACGATGCCCCAATTTAATGGCCACCTATTCCTGCGTCCCCCAGAATGGGGCGCGTCCCTCCGCTTCGAACATAAGAGCCTCTTGCTCCACCCGGCCAAACTAGAGCGCCCTGACCCGCGCCCGTTCATACCTTCCCAAGACGAAAACTACCTTGGACAAAGCCAGATAACCGGCGGGCATGTGGGTCCCGCTACCAAAGTAGCTCTGCCAAATAGAGAGATAGAGAGAGAAAGAGAAATAGAGAGAGAGGGGGAGACCGCCCCCGTGAAATCCGCCCAGCAGCTGTCTTCGCCTGAACTGGCGTCGACATCGCCTGTACCTGCCTCGCCCGCGGCGCCCCAACGCGGCTAATGTGTACATGCCCCCGCGGAGCCATCTCCACGAGGTAAGCTGCTTGAGGGTCCGTACCCGTAGCCATCAACCGAAGTTGGCCCGTGCCAAAATCAACCAACTGCACCAACCTGGGCGACCCGGAAAGGTAGGGCCCCAAATATTAGATTGATATCCCGCAGGCCCAGAAAAAGGAGCACGAGCTCAATAGTCCGAAAACACTAGCCCAAGCTGCTAGCGTCTACCAAAACCAATTCCCACGAAGCAGGCTGCTCGTGCGTCCAAGCCTATTCTTGAAAAGATTACTCCCAGCCCAACAATGAGGCGCTGCCACATGTCCGATAGGAAAGGGAAAGAAAGCCGAAGTAGAGAAAAGGGGCCTCGCCGCGGCCAAGGACAGCAATGAGTTCAGGCCAACGAAAGATGGCCGCCTGGCCAAGAGTAGCGCGCCCTGCGGTTCCTTTGAAAAATTGCCGCACCTGGTCCTCCGGCAGTGCATCCCACAGACAAGCATCCTAAGGCCTGCTGGCTCCCTCGAATGCGCCCCGCCCGCGCAGCGCGACAGACCCGTGGCAACGAAGCCAGCCCCAAACCGTCCACCAGGAGGCATCCCCGGAAGACCCACTCTCGAGTGGTCTAGAAGTGACGTGGCCGCCTCCGGCCCTAAACCGCGCCAAAACCTGAGGTCCAAGATGAAGAGGCTCCAACTTCCGCCCGTCGTGGTTGGGCACAGTAGTAAAGCCAGCCTCCAAGGAGGGCAAAGGCCAGCCTAGACGTGAGCTTGCACAGTTTCACCGCAACTGCGGCCACCTGTTCCAACCCAATCCCGCCCGCGGGAAGCAGACCAAACAATGACTCCGTCCCCTGCCAGAAATTAGCCGGGGAATGAATACCACAAGCGCCAAACCAGAAAGCCAAGGCGTAGAGCCCGACCGCCGCCACCAGTGCACTCAAGATCGTCTACCCTAGTCCGTTGCATACCGAGGTGCAAGAGCCCTACCACATATAAAGGACGCACTGAATAAGCGCCGGCACATTGGAAAACCTGAAAGACCAGCAGGAGAGCAGATCTGCCCTAACGTAACTCTTCGCGAACCAAGGCGGCTAACACCTAGGCCTGCGAGGTGTGCGCCCGCTGCCACCACCAGCGTACTTAAAAAGAGTCAATCCAACACCGACATATGCCCAGCTACAACTGCGACCACCCCTGCTTGTCCATTGTCGCGAAAGTACGCGAGCGGGGGACTCAGACAGACCCCACCACCTAGTGTCCCACGCCCATAAGTAGTACCTTCCAGGCTACAGGAGGGCACGACCTTACACCCAGTGCAGAGCACCCGCTTGGCCCCCGGCGAAGCCAACGAAAACCAAAAACCCCCCGCGGTCATAGGATAACGGATTCAAACCGACATTGCCCAGAGCCAAGCGAAGAGTGTAAGGTCGTTGTGCCCACCTGCCAGCAACCTTTTTCTGTAACTGTAGCCATCTTTCCATTTCCATCTCGAAGCGCAGAGCGCGAGGCCCAAAAGGAGAGAGCCGCACACCGCGTAGGAGTAGTGTTCGTTGAGCTTCAAATACAATTCCGAGCCCGGGCGTGAACGCGGAAATTTCCCTTCCCACCCTGATCCAGTGGGCCCGAAGCCTACAACCCGGCCCGCCGGCAGATCTTAAAGCCGCGACTGGTCCTACCACCTGTCTACGTGAGAAAGTTGAAGAAAACCCCCGAGTTGGCGCCACTCCTTAAACTTTCACTGGGCCCAAGTGTGCAATTCTGAAGAGAACCTAAAACCAGTGAAGCGACACCCATACTACACGGCCCGGAAGAGAGCGAGCCAGCACCGAGTTGGCAGCACCAGAAGACAGAGCGCCCCTCTACCGTCCACGCAACACAATTACCGAGGAGAAGGGGAGGTCGGAAACCATCCCTAGATCCCATCCCCAGCCCAACCCCAGCCGATTGCATGAGGCACTCTAACTCTGAATCCAATAAACCAAAGTCCCATCGTGTGAAACCGGACGCCAAGCTATGCGCTGGCGCCTGCGCAAAGTGCTCCAGCTTCCCCTGCCTCGAACTAGGCACGTACGTTATTCCCTGCAAGGCCTGTTCCGGGCGATATCCTGAGAAAAGGAGAGAAGACTGCCGCTGCACCAAGCCGGCCGAAACGAGAAAGCCTTGCCCGAAAACCAAAACCTGGGCCCCCTCCGTGGAATCCCGTGTGTGCTGAGTTTCTCCACTGCCAGCAGCGGCGCAAGCATTTCCATCAGCGCCAGCCCCACAAAAGCTCTGGACCTCCGGCCCAAATAGACCCCGGACTTACACTCCTAAAACCTCCCGGTCCGGCCGCAGTCTTACTGATCTCAAAGAGCCAAATCCTAGTTCCAAGCCATACAATACTGGCTGCAAAGTGCCTTTCCTCAGCCATAAAGTGCCCCAAATCAACCGTAAAGCCCTAGCGCCCTGACACAGAGGGCGACTCCCCCGGTCATCCGGTCGATGCCTCGAGCATGTCCACGAACTAAAATGCCGCGCCTGTGCCATAAAGTGCCTGTGCTAAACACTACCCCTGCCACAGCAACATGCCTGCTTCCTACATACATTGCTTTGCGAGCCCGATCCTATGCCGATGCCAATCCGTGTGGCCCCACACCACGCCAAAGACCAAACTCTCACCAGCCAAGCCTTCAGAGCCAATCGTGTCAGAAATAGGCACGAAAACACGTATGCCGCTGAGTGTGGGCCAAGGCCACTCCTAGCTTTCCTGCGAACTCCTCGTCTTACCCATCTGTAGATCCGCAGCCACGGGATGAGAGCTACAGTATCCTCCTAACCAGCACCCACAGTGCTTCCGACTCCGACCTAGTGAGGGCGAGCGGGTAATAAACCTTGTTCCTTGATGATGCCTCGTAGCCATACTGCGCGCTACGCGCGCGGGCACTACCATACCCCCCTGCTCCTGGATCTATGTCCATCCTGCTAGCTGTGCCCTAGTAGATAACAATGCCGGCGTCACTGTGCGCACAAGCCACGCCCGAGGCCCTGGGCCCTCCTGATGCCCTGCTCCACGAAACGGAGCCGCCTAGCCTTTTCAGAGGAGAATTTGAGCGATCCCGACCCCCAGTCACCTCACCAGGACCAGGTCCAGTCGTCGCGCCGTCAACTATGGCCATTGCCGTGCCAATCCTACATCGGCCCCCAGTCAACCTAGACTGAGTCCAGCCAATCAAAAGAAAAACCATGGCACGACCCCCGCCTCGATTGCGGGTCCAGTCGTGCCGCCTTGCATTAGCTTTCCAGGGATCTGCTAGCCCTTTATATAGTAGTCTCGTCCTTTCCGTCACTTACTCGAAAATGATGCACCGAGGTGCATCCGTATTTATTTTTTGCATTGCAAATAGTGGATTTTATGCATGTTTTGCATGACAAATTGGATGGGGATGGGTGTTTTTCCTTGGATATCTCGCTCCACGAAATGTGGGACACGACGGACCCCTGTCGCACATACACCGGCTCCGCCATGTTATGCATTGAAACTCAGTATGTCGGGCTGGCCTGGCAAGGTTGCATAAAAAGCAGCAGAAATAGCGCCGGCGCCACGATTTCGTTTATGAAGTATCGGAGTTTGTGATGCGCGCAGCTAAGCATGAGAGAGCATTTCTTCGAAAGATTTTTCATACAACTACCTACGTCGATGCGCTTGAACGGGTACTTCTCAAAACAAGTCCTGCTCATTCAACATTACACGTCCCTAGAAGAACTACCAGACATACTTGCCATGCGTAAATGTCGTTGACAAACAAAACTCTCGGCACGATGTTGATACACCGGAGCGGAGGCAGGCCCCGGTCCAGGTTGTGCGTTTGCGTGATCTTGTATCCGAACATGACCTTCTCTATGCACTGCAAAAGCATCGCAGTAGTATGAATTGCATTACAAATTTTCCCAAGAGCAAAAATGCAATCTGTCATGCTATTTCAGGAAAAAAGTTGGATTTGTCATGCATATCCGCAATTAGTACGAGTACGATACTTTTGCACAGGATATTCTCCGTGATCCGGTCCAGCTCCTCCGTCTGATCTTCGGCGGAAGAGTATTGAGAGGAAAAATCCCCCCTCCCCATATCAAAACGGAATTTGTGATGCTGGATTTGTGTACACAAATCAGCTATGCATTGCAGGAAGGCAATGCAGCCAGTTCCCCAGGCTAGCTAGGGGCGCACGAGCTTAGTAGTTCAGCATGGCAACCGGCTCCCCTTTAGGCCCAACAGCGTGACAAATCGGCTCCACAATAGGGCGGGAGCTTCTGCCTTTGTCTTCTTGCAAGACAAATGTGATTTGTGACCTCAAATCAGCAACATAAATTTTCGGAGTCATACCGTTTCGATATGGGGAGGGGGGATTTTTCCTTTCGATAAAGAGCCGCTGCTTCCCGCCCCGTTCGTGCCCGTCGTGGCGGTCACTTTCGCGTACTGGTTATGGCTTGCATAATTCTGCTGGTAGCTCATCGCGTTCTGCTGGTACGCCATGTTTTGCGATTGCGCACCACCAGCACCACCTCGGCTATAAGCGAAGCTCCCGGTGCTAGAGCTTCCTCCACCACCACCAGCCAGGCCTCGCGTTTTGTCGTACTTTCGCCACAGCACCGAGTCTTTGCGCAGCACATCAATCTCGACGTTGCCGCGGTTTCCGATGTTTTCCAAGTGCTCCACCCGTTGCTCTTCGTCGGAAAGGTATTTGTTGCAGTACACGGCCATCAGGGACTGTGTCTCGCAGTCCAGCGGAAGATATACCGGATTTGTCTCCACCAACTGCGCACACACCCGCTCCTGCGGTAGCACCATCAGCCTGAGGTCCTCCGCTATCCAAGAAAAACCTGTGCAGGTTGGTGTAATTCTTTAACTTGAGGAGCAGCGTCACATAGATAGGTTTTGGTTGGGTTGTTCGCGTGTTGACAGAGAAAACTTGTCATGCGACAATAAGAATAATACGCGAACGAGTCACACATCAGAAATTCAAGAGCAGGCTCGGACAATGCGCATGGATATTCATACTCATCTGCTTCTGCTCATTCGGCTGTGTGACAAGTATTAACGTTGCATTTTCTGCATCATAGACTCAGCAACTCTCTCAGTTTTTTCTTGCATATCCGCAGCACGCGACGACGTTGTAGTAGCGCCAGTGCGACCGGTGCCCGGGCTGCCGGTGTTCCTCGCCAGCTCCTGGGTATCCTGTGCAAAAGTATCGCGCGGGTCGCACTAATAGCCAGAGTCATGCGTCTAGTGACAGATCTACTTTTCTTTCTGTTCGTTGCTGTTCTACTAGCATGGCAAGCTGCGAGACGCAAAACGCGTCTCTTTCCCTGTCGCGAGACGCAAAACGCAAAACGCGTTTGTACTAGTACTACAAGTAAAACTTAAAGTAGTACGAAGATACTTTTGCAATGCATACTGGGAGAGGAAATACAGTTGGGGATTAATTGGCGCGGTGGTATTCGTCGTTGCGTTGTTGCTCCGTTTCAGATATCCTGTGCAAAAGTATCGTACTCGTAGTAATTGCATTCATGCATCACAAATCGCGTCCTCAAGCTAAATCCGCATTACAAATTTCATTTCTCATACCGAGGAATTTGTAATGCATTTATACGAGTACGATACTTTTGCAGTTCATATCAGAACCTCGGCCAGCGAAGAGGTGAGACAGACGAAATCAGTCGTGGAGGAGCCGCTGGAGGTCGTGCTCGTCCCTGTGATAGAACTCGCAGGAGCTCCCGACGATGAACCCACTTTCATACTCGTATTCCCTTTCCCACCCGTCGCAGAGGAAATAAGTCCTGTTCTACCCCCGCCGGGGCCGGTGGTGCCTCCAGTTGTCCCTGCAGCTGCTGCGCTAGATGGCGCTCCTACACTTTCCAAGTAGAGGGGTTTCAGGTTGTTCAAGTAGCTGCCTCTTTCCTCTTTGGTACAGCGCACATTCGTGCGGTCAAGCGCGATTTCCATCGCGCCCGGCTTGGGATAGGGCAGGTTCAACGAGTTTTCCTGCGATATGGCGTTCTCAACTGTCACATTCTCAGCTGTTGCATGAATTTGTCATGCAAAACTACCTTGAGCCGGTAGATGATCAAGCTGCTTCGCATGACAAATCTTCAAAGGGCTAAACAGCATCTAAGTCCGTGCCAAATCTGTGATGCAAAAGCAGCAAGCTTGTGCCTTTGACTGTTGCGGCTCTTGCGTCACAAATTCATGTAACAGTTCAGAATGTAACGTTTGAGAGCCCCATATGCGAGTAGATGACCTTCGGGCCCGATATCCTGTTGTTCGGACGATTTCGGAACACGGTGGATATGTAGTATGGCTTGAGGTATGCATTGCAAAAGTATCGCAGTAGTATAAATCGCAATACAAATTTTTCCAGAAGGAAAAATGGAATTTGTAATGCTGATTTTGCTAAGAAACAAGATTTGTCATGCATGATTGCAATTAGTACGAGTACGATACTTTTGCACAGGATATCAGGAGCTGCTGAAACGCCTCGTCCGCAAGGTTATACAGCGGTTCATCGTATCAAATGTAAAAATGTCTGGGTCTGGAAGGTTGGAAGACTTGTCATGCAGGTTTTCCATGACGCGTGAGGTCTGTAATACATGACCCAGCATGACAGATTCTTCTCGACCTCGATCATGCCTCGTCTGCATGAGAAAGTCCCTCTCAGCTTGGTCAAAAGAGGAGAGCTTTAGGTAATCATGCAACACAGATTTTTGCACTATCGAGAATTAGCATGACAAGTTGCATTCTTCCAGACCCAGACATTTTTACAATCCATACATCGGTGGGCGGTGCCTGCGCGTCTACTCGGCGGTCGACATCTTCCAAAAATGGCCTGGTCATATTGCCGCTTCCAAGATTTTGATTAGCTTCGCCCCCCACGGTGGAGCTACTGCTACCAGGGTGGTGCATCGCACTTCCGAAATTTGCCCCTTGATTCAGTCCCGCCAGGGTGGTGCGCGCGTTTTTATTTTCCTCCTCCAACAGGTCCTCGATGCTGGTGTACCGTTTGCGGCCTCGACCGGAAGACGTCCCTATGTGGTCGAGGGCTCCACCCAGAATCACCCCCGCTGCGCCGGCAGTTCCATGATGTCCTCCGGCGCCAGCACTGCTGGTCCCGTGGTGGCTGCCGCCACTCAGGTCCACCAGCAGTGCCTGGGTGCTGGTGTTCCCGAATTGCGAGCTCATGTAGCCCGCAACGTAGTTGCTGGAGTGCGGTGCATTGGTGTCGTCGGAGAAAAAGTCGGTAAATACCGAGTTGGAGGACTTCAGGTCGTTGTGGTTGCCCCGGTCGTAATAGACGAACTTGAGGTCTTTTTCGATGCTGGCCGGGAGATAATTGCACAACATGGTCTCCGTGAAAATGATAATGTCCAGCACCCCATTGCGGTGGTTTTGAAACTCGACCCACACATTCGTCTCGCGAGATGCTCTATCCTGCGCAAAAGTTGTCTAGTATCGCGCTTCGTACAAAGATCATGATGAACGAGCGCAGGAATATTCATGGGCAACTGAAGAAACTACTTGCACAGACCGTAGCTAATATTCGCATTCGTCTATACAAGTACATTAATGCGCTAGCTAGAATGCCGGTTCTGGATGTAGTATGAATGATCTAGATGCTGACGCAGCATGACAAAGACAAATGTAGAAGCTTTGACACTACAATTGCAGCACCAGTGAATGCATCGCGCTTTTTGTTTTGCTTCTTGGTGTACTAGACTGACACAAAAATTTTTCAATCCGTATTCCATGTCATACACCGGAAACTTGATCCGGTCGTACACAATCTCGTCCTCGTTGTTCTGCCCGGATCCGCCTAGAGCAGCCTTGTTCCCCGCACTGCCATCCATGTCGTTCAGCTGCTCCCTGGCCTGCGCCGCCCGGCGCTTTTTCCGCGAGGATTTTTTTGAACCGCCTCCACTGCCGGCGCTGCCCGCGATCCCAGAGTTCCGCTGCGTGAAGTTCGTTGCGCCCGGAATCTGCAATGCATTGTAGAAAGAAGGCGAGTTGCGACTCGAGGCCTCCGAGGCCATAGTTCGGGAGCCCATGCTGGGCCCGCGAATCGAATTTCCCGGCGGGGCCGCCCCCTTGGTCGAGGAACTTGATATCATGTACTGAGGCTGGAGCAAGGACAAGGCCCCACCTGACCCCCGCCCCGACCCTCCCCGTTATCAAGTGCAAATATGCCTGGATATCTGGAAGCTTGTAAATGTGAGTGAGTGCTTTGTAAATGTAATGTACAGGAGCCAAACCTAACTCAAAGCACAAAGCATCAGAAATATTTGCGCGGGTTCGTGTTTTCTGCATGACAAGCACAAGCTGCGTTTTTGCATGACAAGAAAAAGGGTTCTTTCTTGTTCTTCATCAACACGCATCACGAACTCTTCACCCTTGCATCCTACTTCCACCCGGACCCAGACATATTTGCAATGCATACCTGCCCGCCGGCACCAAAAGCGGCGTTGAAGGCCGGCTTGTAGAACGGGATGCCCTCCGGGGTGAATGCACTTCCGTAGAGGCAAAGTTTGAAGGAGAGTGTACCCTCTTCCAGGTTTACGGCGTGCACGTCTTCCTTCTGGTTCAACTTTATCGTTCCCGAAGTCTCCTCGGCGTTGAGCCCGCGCGAAACGTTGTTCATGCCACCAGTACCAGCACGGCGGCTGCTGGCGCCCCGACCTGCGCCCATGTGTGTGCCTCCTGCTGCGAAGGCGGAAGCGCTCGGACCGCCGAACAGCGAGCTGGCGCCCAGCCCGAGCGACTGCTCCAATGGTTGGCCGGCGAGCACCATGTAGTGAATCGGAAACGGCAAGTTGGACCGCAGCTGGATCGTCGGCTGCAGAAACAGGGTCGACTGCACGACAGAGCCACTACGGTCCTGCAAGGGCAGCTGTTCGCAGTCGAGCGTGGCGTACATGTGGAACCACTCCGGTTCTTCCTGCTGTTTCATGTTTCGCCGGGCGCCGGGAACTATGCAAGAAAAAAACTATGTGAGTGTAAGTCTGTGATGCAGGAAGTGCAAAACTGCTTCACTTGTCATGCTGCACCCGCGTCATAGGCTACTTTCATACGTGTTTCCATGTACTAGCGTGCGCAAGACAGGTTTTCTCTGTAATGCAAAGCGAACTTGTGATGCTGCTCTTCCTACAAAGTAGTGAAAGTTACACCTACACAGTTTTTTTCCTGGATAGGAACGCTGTCCTCGTCACTGTCGTCGCTGCTGGTCGATATCCAAGAAAAAAAAAGCTATGGTCTCCTGTGTGAAATGCAGAGGACGCAAGACACTTTTGCAATTGCGCGTGTGATGCTGAGTACCAGAACCAATCGGAGTCTCTTAGAATTAGCATTAGGAACACGGGCGGTCCTGCTCGTCGTTACATTTCAAATGCAAGGGAAGGACGACAAGGCTCTTGATTTTTATGCAATAAGAATAAAGTTACTCACACTATTAACACAGCTCGGTCATTTTGGTTTTCGTTTTCCTGGATAATCGAGGACGAAGAAACATTTTCCGATCCCCTTTCCCGCTGTTGAATGATGTGCCTGGCCCGTTTGCGCTGCGCTCGGATCTCTTTTTTCGTTGGCAAAACGCAGCTGATCAGCTCCTTCGGGAACTCGGGAGTGGTCTTCTGCCAGTGGTGGTTCGCGAACTCCTGGTATCAGAATGAAAAATCCCCCCTCCCCATATCAAAACGAAACTTCTGCTGCTGGATTTGTGTACACAAATCAGATTTGTCTTGCTGGCGAGGACTGCTTGCAGGCCCATATCAAGCCTGAGTAGCCTGGTTTTGGCCTAGCCCTAGGCACTTTGCATGATAGACGTCTACGCTGTAGGTGCAACAGCATGACAAACCGCCTGTAGAATGCGGCGGAGCATGTGGAGTCGCCTTCATGCAACACAGAGACGATTTTTGGTCAAAAATTTCCTTTTGATACCTGGGGAGGGGGATTTTCCTTTTGATACCTGGATGCGCGACACGAGGAGTCTGGGTGACCAGCTGAAGACCTTGTTGACCTCGTCGAGGAGTCTAGGATCCAGCTGGAAAAGCGCGTCCTGCACTAGTCTCTCAGAGTGAGAGGAGGATGATAAATTCGTGCGCTGATAGTGATATCGATAGTTGTACTCATCATCTTCTTGTTCTTCACCGGCAGAGTTCGTCGAGGAGCCGGACACCCGTCTCCGTGCGCTAGGGGAACCAGAAGAACCTCCTTGACCCTCTTCGCCCCCCGCAACTGCGGACTCCTTCGAGTCCCGCAAAAAATCGTCCATCGAGCTAGGCGGCTTCACGATATTTGCCTCCAAACTTCGCGTGATCAAATCGCCCAGCCGTTCGACCAGCCCCGACTTTTCCAGTAACGGCGCGAACCGCACGGTGCCTTCTCTGCACGCGTCCAGGGGTAAGGATATTTCCTCCTCTGGCTGAATCACCACGTAGTCCCGGGGGATTTGCGGACTCCTCGGGTTCTGGAAAATTTGGTGGATGGAGTTGTTGTTCGTGATCTCGCATAACAGTGGGACGGTTGCAAATCCGTTGCGGACCAAAACCGAGGATTGCAACACGCACAGCTTCCGGACCTCGGCCGACACGCCTCGACACACGAGCTCGTAGTAATCGTTCGGGTTGTATTCTGTGAAAATTTACCATCTACTCCATCCATTTAATATTTTTTGCATGACAAAAAGGAACTCCCTACATGTTGCGCATGACAAATCGGATGGGGATAGGTCTTTTTTTGTGGATAGGTTGCTCAATTGCAGCTGCTCGTCATAGTCGAAGAAATCATGATGCGTCTGATGCATTTGCTGGTTCATATCACCTCCCTGCTGCTGCTGGATCCCCATCCGCTGTTCCCTGAGCGCCACCACGGATCGCTTCGCCGAGTTCGCGACGTTCCTGGGTGCGTAGACCCGGTAGCAGTGCGCGCCGGTGCGGGAAATGTTGAGCGACCGGATGATCCGGTTGCCGAACAGGTGCATGTGCACCTGCGGGGTGTGGGGCAGCGCGTCCTTGGAGCTGATCATGGCGGCGGAGGATTTGGGCTGGACTGTCAGCTCCCGCAGCCGGCGATCCTCTCCAGAAGCGATCACCACTTTGTCATACCGAGTGGAGTTCGGCGCGGGCAGAAACTCGATCTCCACCGACCGGTTACCCTTCATGTTTTCCAGACTGTAGGGCGCGATCGGGATGCGGTCCACCGTCTTCACGACCCTCGGCTCCCAAAAAGGCGTGTCGAAGTCGTCCGGTGGGGGAAGGACAGGGATGTGCCTGCTCACGTTCTTTTTCGAGGTAACCACGGGGAAAGCAAGCGCGAGTCTGGAGTGTTTTGGCACAACGGGGTGGTAGACGAGAGATCTTGTGGTCGCTTGCTGGACGTCTTTTTGTTCCTTAGCGTTGTTTCCTCCGCCGAGCAGATTATCCACTTCCTTCTCGATTTCGTCCTGTTCACTGCTTTCCGGTGGCGTGAAGAAGGGCTGGTCCGGCGAAGGGGTGGCTGCATTATTTGCAGTGGCGCCTCCCGCAGGTGGCGCAGGCGGCTGCAATTGCGAACCTTGTGAAGCTGTCTGCGGTGCGACTAGTTGAACAGGAGCTGCGCCGGGAGCAGCTACTCCCCCCTGTTCCGGTTTCTCGCTCAAGACCGGCGCAGGCAAAGGAGTCCTTGAAGAAGCCGCGGCCACGGTCCCTCGCTTCTGAAAGTGTAGATCCACCAAGTGCCTTCTCAAAACGAAGTTCCGCAAGTACAGTTCCATGTTCTTGGATACAAACGACCGACTCAGATCCGCGCTCTGGTAGTCAACAATCCACTCGCGGGCGTTGCTTAAGAGTACGTCCGCGAGCGTTTCCGTGATGTTCAACCCAATTTGGTCCCGCACATCCACAATGAGCTGCTCGTAGTCCGACTTGGGTTCTTCGTTCATCAGCTGATTGTAATTTTTCCCGCGGTGCATGACGTGCTGCTGTTCCACGAAGTTTTCGTCGGGTACGGGCTCGGTGTCAGACAGCATTTCCTCCTGCTCCGAGCTACTAGAGGATGAAGAACTACTCGTGTACAGATTCGTCATGAGAAATTCCCGGGCGTCGTTTTTTCGCAAGTCCCCAAAATCCTGACTGACCGTCACGCGGACGGTCGGAATATTGAACAGCGCTGCGCTGTCGGTTCCCGACTTGCTGAAATTTCCGATAGTGTATCAAATGTAAAAGTGTCTGGGTCTGGAAGATTGCCAGGTTTGTCATGCACATTTTGGATGACTCCTGATGTCTGTGATGCATGCCCTAGCATCACAGATTTTGTGAGGGCTTCCTGATGCCTATACCGCATGACAAATGCTCTTTCCGTGTAGCAAAACTTGAACTCTCTTTGCTGCTCATGCAATAGACACAGATTTTTTTAGAATCCAGAATCAGCATGACAAGTTGGATTCTTCCAGACCCAGACATTATTTTTACAGTTGATATAGTGCTCGAGCTGTTGATCGCGGACCGTTTCCAAAACCGGTTCACGCGCTTCTATGGGTGTGTCAGGATTGAAATCGACAAAGTTGAAATGATTTGAATTTGTCGTGCACAAAATGCAAGGCATGAAGTGCCTCTCTTGGTGGGATGGCAAGTGAGGCAGATTGTGAGCCTATCTAGGGTTTGGGATAGAGATGCTAAAGGAGCATGACAAAAGCAGTCCTCTTTGCCGAAACAGCATGACAAATTGGATTCGCGTACTCCGAAGTTTTGTCATGCGCCGCTTGATAAGTGGGCTTCCAACTGGTATCGGTTTTATGCATGACAAACTATTTCAACTCTGACGATTTCGATCCTGACACTCCAATAGCTTCCGGAACGTCCGGATCCCGTCCGTCGCCGAGGATCGCTTGGACATGGTGGAGCCCACAGACCGCTGCGAGGCAGAGCTTGCGGTGGACACCGTCGAAGATATGCTCGCCGTTTCCCAGTCAACGTCTGGGTTGATGTTCCCGGTAGCATCAGACGAGCTGTAATTGCTCGCATTTGCAGCAGTATTCCTACTTCTACTGGAGGAAGATGCAAAGGGATTGAATCTACTGCTCCTTTGCTGGTACCTGGCCGCCCGTTTTTGCAGCCGTTCCTCATCCCCCGGGCCATCGGCGATGTCCGCTAACGTTTGCACCTCCTCGTAGGCTTCGGCGTTTTGGGCTGATGTGTTCGACGAAAACTTTTCCGCCGCCTTCTGCTTCTCGCCAAACAGGTTATGCAGGAAAAAATGACGCCCGCCCCCATCCATTTTTTGCATGACCAACATTGGAATTCGAATCAATTTATGCATGTTTCGCATGACAAATTGGATGGGGATGCGTTTCTTTTTGTGGATACAGGTCCAGGCCTTCACACAGCGGCTCGTAGCACACCGCCACGGGGTTGAAATATTCCGCGTAGAAGTCTACGTACAAACCTCGAGAGGTTTTGTGCACCGTCCTGGTCTTGAAAATACTCCGGTCGAAAAAGCTCATGGACTCGGACAGCGTGCGCACCCGGGTCAGATCCAAGCGGAAGAAGGGGTAGGCGACTTCCTGCCCGCAGTCGTTTAAAAGCTCCAAAGAAGCACTCTTGATCTGCAGGTCGTGGGAGCGGTAGCGGTCGATAGGTACCAACGTGGTCGGTTGCTGCTGCTGCGATGCTGGCTGGGATTGGCTGCCTTGCTGGTTTTGCTGCTGATCCAGGTGGAGCACCTCCCCGGGACGAGAAGTTGCCGAACCAATCTGCCCACCCAACCACTCTTCCAACTGCCACAGGCGCGACAGAGACTGCATTTGCCACTGAATGCAATGAATGATACACCGTAAATCTTCATAGCTGATCTTCAGATGCAGGTTGGTCAATTTCATGTACGTGTGTTTATGCCGAAAAAACAGATACGACTGGTGGTCCGCCCCTTCGGGAGATTGCAAGAAATCATCCACGGATGCCAAGACCGCGCGGGTCTCCAACTCCCCAGGCGGGGTGTGGAAGGACTGCGGCGCGCACTGCCGGTACATATCCACAATGTAGCCACGCTTGGTCTGCTCCTGGTTTCCAAACCAAAGGTTGAAATCTTGCAGCAACACGTTGTCGATGTTGTCTTCGCTTTTCGACGTTTCCTGCCTCCTCGCTGAGGTCGTAGTAGAAGCTCCACCTCTCATGGAGGTTTTGGAGCCGGTGCGACGAGATTGGCCACTTCCTGATGTAGTTGTGCTCGCCGTGTTTCCAGTTGTATTCTGGTTCAGCGTCCTTTGCAGTTTGATGCCCGCCCGCTCGACTGTTAACGTCATGGTCCTTTTGCGCGTCAGCTGGCCCCACAGCGCCAGATCGGACTTATCAAATGCAAAAATGTCTGGGTCTGGAAGATTGCCAGGCTTGTCATGCATATTTTGCATGGACCCTGATGGCTGTAATGCATGGCCTAGCATCACATATTTCTAGAGGGCTTCCTGATGCCTATTCTGCATGAGAAATGCCCTCTCCGTGTGGACCAAACTGGACTCCTCTTGCTGGTCATGCAATACAGATTTTTTTCGAATCCGAAGACAGCATGACAAGTTACAACCTTCCAGACCCAGACACTTTTGCACTGAATAGGACTCCAAGTGGTGCCAGAACTTCAGGAAGTTGCTGAAGTTATGAACTGCAAAAGCAACGCACTAGTTCTAGTATAAATTGCATTACAAATTTGCTCAGCATGAGAAAACGAATTTCACATGCTGATTTGCCTTGGGAACAAGATTTGTAATGCAAGACTTGCTCTTGCATCTATACGAGTACGATACTTTTGCACAGGATAGAAGTGATAGTCCACTTTCGGCAAATTTTCGTCCTGTGGGGGGATAAAACTCCGGGTGCCGAGGAGCTTGTCGAAGTACTTTAGAAACAGCTGCTGCTTCTGCGCAGCGGAAAAAGAAGCTGTGGGCGGGCCCGTGGTGTTTGACGAGCCGCTGGCTGCATAATTCTCAAACAGCTCGGTGACTGTCTTCCGGTCCGCAGTGCTCATGGTGGACACGATTTCGCTTTCTCGCGCGACCATCATAAGAACGCACTTCTGTACCAATTCGCGCATCCGCTGCACCAGAGACGCCGTCGTTTCCAGTTTATGGCGTTCTCAAACGTTACATTCTCAACTGTTACACGGATTTGTGATGCAAGAATGGCAAAAGTGAAAGGGGTCACCTTGCGGGTCTCGCATGACAGATCTGGCAAAGATTCCGAGCCTGTTTGGCTCTTCGAGAATTTGTCATGCGAAGCAGCTTGATCGTGTCGATTCTGATTGTGATTTTGCATTACAAATCATGCAACAGTTGAGAATGTAACAGTTGAGAGCGCCATACAGTTGGTCGTCGGGCTGGGTCTGGAAGTCAATCTGAATCCGGTCCGCGTGCACCACGAGAAAGTTCGCCTGCTCTGCAGCAAACACCGTCGGAAACACCACCGAGGGGTCGCGCAGTTTGACGGACACCTTCACCTTGCCACCACGCACGGTCTTCCGGATTCGCCGCTCCACGTTCCCTATCAAATGTAAAAATGTCTGGGTCTGGAAGAATGCGCGATTTGTCATGCACCTTTTCCATGACCCATGAGGTCTGGATCGCAGGACCTAGCATGACAGATTCTGTGCGATCTTTCTCATGCCTATCCTGCATGAGAAACTGCCCCCGACTTGGTCAAAACTGGACGACTTTTGCTAATCATGCAACACAGATTTCTGCATGCTTCAGATTTAGCATGACAAGTTGCATTCTTCCAGACCCAGACATTTTTGCACTTGATATTCCCGTCTTTCGAAAAGGAACCTCCGCTGGTGGGGGCAGCTGCCTGTGGCACGGCTGATATTGTTGGCCCGGACGACCCACGGTTCGCGCCAGCCTTTAGATAATGACTTCGGCTCCTCTGTTCTTGCAACTTTTTCGCCACTAGATCCTGCTCGTCTTCTTCGTCCTCTGATTGCGTTTATGAGAATGCACAACTTCTACAACTCCCCCTCCGCGTCCGCCCCGGCGTCAATTATACTACTAGAGCACGAACAGAAACTGCAACCGCCGGCACCTGTGGAGACAGCGCATGACAAGTTCAAGTTCTTGTGGCGCCGAATGTAGTACTGTTTCATCGGCTCCCGGAATTTCTCATGCAAGTTCTGCCATAGGGCACCATGATTCGGATATTCATATTTGGGATCTTCATCTTGCATGACAAACGACAAAAAGGGGGTGCGGGAGTTGAACAAGTGGTGCACTTTCATAGCGTTCCCGAGGACGGACGGTCAAATTCGTCATCTGGGTCATCCTGCTGTTGACCAAGTGCGGTTATTCCGCCAGCTGCGTTATTTCTAGCACTATTTGTTGAATGTGAATTATCTGGTGCCATAAACAGGTCGTAGTCCCTTTTGAGAAAGTCCCGCGTCTCCTCTATCCAGGAAAAAACACCCACTCCCATCCAATTTGTCATGCAAAACATGCATAAATTCCTTTTTTTGTCATGCAAAAAATAGATGGGGATGGGTGTTTTTTCCTGGATATCCTCCTCGATGGGGCGGTGCACCCAGCTGTTCACGTTGGTCCCCCCACCGTAGATGTCTTCGCCGTTCCTTTCCAAAATCCGCCGGCTGTAGTGCCACGAGCGCTCGTGGAACTTTTTCTGGAAGTCGTTCCCATCAAAGTCCCAATCGTACTCCGCGTCCTGGTCCTCAAACTCCCAGTCTTTGCGGGCTTTGAACTTGTAGGGCGAGTACTTTATCCGCCTCGCGTTCGTCGTGTACTGCAACTGCAGGTTGCGCCGTTTCTCCTGCGGACTGGAGGCCCCAGAGTCTACTTCAAACGGCGTCGCAGAACTGCTGGATGCACTCGTTTCCCGAGAGGACGCGACCGAGGAAGCTTTAGAAGCGGTTGTCGAAGAGGACTGCTCTCCCTTATTTGTCGTCGTGCCACCTGAAACTACCGACGCCGTCTCCAGTATAGAAGTACTAGTTCCTGCCTCTAGCATATCGTACGAAAAAAGTGTCTCACTGTAAGGATTTCATTTTGCAAGTTTTGCAATTGCATCACAGGTTTGCTCTACATCACAAAGAAAATTTGCCATGCGAGATTCCTAAGGGAAAACACAGCTAAAAATCTAGTGTCTTGCATGTGAAGCAAGACAAACACTTCTCAGATACAGTTTCTGCATTACAAGCTTACAGTGAAATAACAGTTTTTTCTCACGATACAGCAGATCCACCGGCGGTGGCAAATCCTCCTCGTCTTCATCGGTGAAGCCTGGCTTCGAAAGCGACACGTCGGTCACAGTCTGGTGTGATGTCTTCTCACTGTCAGAACCATCGTCGTCTTCCCCTAGTGGGGCTGCCGACAGATCGCCGAAGGATCCGAGGTTCGTCGGCGACAAGCCACGAGGCTTCTTTGTCTTCTTTTTAGAAGCGGATTTACTCGCACCTCCTCCTTGTTGCGCGGTGGTGGTTGCACCTCCAGCCGTGGTACCACCACCGGCGCCTGCTGTTGCAGCCCCAGCGCTAGTACAACCTGCGGCACTATTTATCCCACCAGCGGCTATCCCTCCGTCCCCACCGCTATTGACCCCCAAATAGGCGACATTCTCGTCCGGCCAGAAGAATTTGTACAGCAAGTACAGCGGCACCGCGTTCGGGATCACCCGCGGCTCGCCGATCAGCACATCCATCTCGATTGTGGAGTCGCGGAGGTGCGAAATCGGCAAATGCTCTTCCAGAAATTCTTCCGATAACAGCTCGGCCCGGGGAAGGCCGACCGGAAACCGATAGAACTGGTCATCGTCTCCTGTGTCTGCTAAATTCGCAGTGGAGATCGCCGGCGGTGGAGTTTTATTTCCCGCAGTTCCCGCTCTGGGCGGCGGAGAAAAGACCAGTTGCTGCGGCTGCAGTACAGGGCCCGTTGTTCTACTTGGGTCGCGTTGCTCGTAGGAGCTTGAAGAAGATGCAGCCGGCGGGGCACAACTGGCCGTGCCTGTGCCTATCACAGCAGATGATCCAGGCTGCCTCTTGATGTCGTTGTCATCTCCGAATACATCGCCATTGGTCGACGTGGCAGTTACATCCGGACTGAACATGAGCGACCCGGGGGAATACCCTTGGGGGTAGTTCCGGCGTCTTTTGATCTGGTGGGTGGCGTATTCCAAATCGTTCAGTGCAAGCAACCTCGTGTAGAAGAAACCGAAGCGAATTGGGTCGTCTTGGATGGTTTCTGTGCTGTCGGGTTGTGGTGCTTCTGCTTCTGCTGCGTCGTTGGCATTTATTCGCCCCTCTTCCACCTCATCGGTCGCGCCTGTCTGATTGCGGTTGATCATTCCCGCACCTGAGCTGTCTTGTTTCATATTGATCGCCCCACTCCCAGTTCCTGCATTGTCATGTTGACTATGATCTTGAAACAACAGCAGCCCCCCGAACGGCGCTCCGAGAACTGGCAGGTGCTGCATTTTCGGCTCCCAGAAATAGATTTGGAATTTGCACAGCGACCCGTTGTACTTCACCAGAGACATCTGCAACTTTCTCATGGTCAAGCAAACTTCTGTCGGCGTCGTTAGCAGTGCATTTTTGTCATGATCATCCTCGCGGGGATGGTCTTTCTTGTTCGCGGCACCTCCACCTGAAGACGCTCCTCGTCGTGCTGTCCCTTGCGCTTGCTGTGCAGCAGCAGAACCAGCTGTCCTCATCTGCGGCAGATTCTGCTGAATCCATTCGTCAAACACGGTCGCGCGCCCGCAATCTGCGTCTTGCGGATTCTGCTCGAAGTCTTCCACCGTGCTACCGTCCAGTCGCACGCGCAGATTCACGGAGTTCAAGTTCAACAGCAACTCGGTGTGCCTCCTGTACGCAACTCGCTCAAACACATCCTGAACGTCGCGCAAATACCGGTTTTCCTTGACCGCGACGTCGTCGTCCTGACCTGCTAAATTGTCGAAAAAAACCCGCTTCAAAAAGTTCCACTCGCGAAAATTCAGCAAGATCGTGACGGCGGATAAATTCACGCGAATTTTGTACGACCAGGGGAAGTACTTCCACTTCAGCGTTTTCGACTGGTGTTGCCGCTCCAGTGGGCTCAGCATCCAACTCGGCGAGGAGTCCATCGCGGTTGTTCCGCTAGACGTGAAATAATCATGGAGAAACTGGAGTCGCTCGTAACTCTCAATACCCCGAACGAACTCGACGCTGAGCTCGATATGCAATACAAATTTCCTGCACGACTACACGTACAAAATGCATCACAAATGTCACCATCAACTTGAAGCATGCCACTTGTGATGCTGGATAGAATTGAAGCAAAATCTTGTCATGCAGAAACCGTATTTGTACTTGTACATCATCATGTACAGGAAATTTCCTGTGGATACTCGACCGGGGAATCGAACAGCGGATGGCTGTCTGAATTCAGATTTGACTCAGGAGTATTTCCTATGGAAGCGTCAGGTTTGAAATCGTCAAAGTTGAAATAATTTGTAATGCATAAAATGCATGACCCGAGGCACGTGTGTTGCAGAGCAGGCAAGTGAGGCCGATTGTAAGCCTGTTTGGGCTTCCAGCTCGAGCTGCTAAAGTAGCATGAGAAAATCGCTCTTCTTTGCCTAAACAGCATGACAAAGTGGATTTAGGGACCACCGAAATTTGTCTTGCGCCACTTGGAAACTGGGTTCAGAATTGGCATCCATTTTATGCATGGCAAATTATTTCAACATTGTCGATTTCAACTCTGACACATCCATATTTCCGCTGAGTGAAGTAGAGCTGCTTGACGTGACGCCAGCCTTGTTAAAATTTCGATTTCCGTTCGTCACCAATCTCCGGAGCTGGATCCCCTTCCCCTCAATCAGAATTCTGTCGTGCCATATAACCTGCTCAGCTGTTAATCTCAAGCGTTACAATAGAATCTGGAATTTGTGTTGCAAGAAGTGCATTATCTAGCCAACTCAAATAGGATTGCGCATGACAAGTTCTGGAGTCCCAATCCGCACTGCAATCTGGCGAAATTTGTATTGCACAAAGTGGAATGCTGTCCGAGGCTGTCATGCTCATCATGCAATACAAAACCCAGATTCTGTTGTAAAGTTTGAGATTGTAACGTTTGAGCAGGTCATATGCCACCCGTAGTGATTCAGTCTCTTTCTCCGTTGCACCGTCGCAACCGATTGCGCGGTGGCGTTCTGCGGATTCATGAAAATTTCGTGGCGCGATATCCAGGAAAAAACACCCATCCACATCGAGTCTCAATTTTTCATACAAAACACGTATAAGAAGTCCTGTGTTTGTCGTGCAAAAAATGGATCATGGGGATGGGTTTTTTTTCTGTGGATACGCGAGGCAAGTTTTCCGTAGTTGCTGTCCAGATGAGGCCTGTCTGGATCATCGCTCGCCGTATAGGTGGTTGAGGGTCCACCGGCTTCGAACGTGTTCTCCTCAAACCCCGCACGATACACATGGTCGGGGTTGTAGGTGACGATCATCAAAGGGGAAGAACAATTATCCAGTGGATCTGCATTTTTAGTTCCCGTGGTCGCGGCGCTGGCTGCACTTCTGCCGACCTGCACCTGTTCCACATGATCGCCTAACAAATCCTCCTCCTCGTCTTCGCTGTCATTCGCTTGGCCTTTCGCGATCTCCCAATCCCACTTGTGGTTTGCGGAAGTACTGGAGGTGGCGAAACTTGCTGACGTTCCTCCGCCTGCGATGTTAGTACCAGAGGCAGTTGTGGCACTCGAGGACGTCGACGCCACGGCCCAGGGCTTTTCCGTGAACGTGTTCCGTACCGCATCATACTCAAATGTGTTGTTTGCCTTGCACAGCTATCAACAGTAAATTTACCGCACACGTACAAATGCGGCCTCTGCATGACAAAACTTGGCTTCGATCCTAGTTTAGCATGACAATTTTTACACCCAGATTGGCCGTGAAATTTCTATTGCATCTTGTACATGTTGTACGGGAAATTTGTATTGCATAACAGCCTGCTCGCGTCCTCGATGTAGCAAGCCTTGTTCGTGACCTTCAGCGACTCTTCGGTGAAAAGCTCGACCAGGTCCCCCTGACAGGTCGTGGTCGCTGGGAAATAGATCGACGGTTTCTCGATCGTGATGTCAAGCTCGTAGCTCCGGGGAAAATGCTCCTGCATCGCTTTTTCGACGTGCGGCGGTTGCTTGTGTCGCGGCGAAGTGCCCATTGGCCCACCGAGAATCCGCCGGGGGGACAACTCCTGCAGGTTGTCGTTGAAAAGATTTTTATTCCCGTTGTGAACGAGTAAAGCTTCCGGGAGGATCTGCTGGCGCTGCTGTCCTTGCGCACCTGCTGCAGCTTGCCCCCCCGAAACTACGGATGAATTCTCGTCGAAAGCAGCAACAACACTTTGCACGCTTTGCCGAAAGCCCCCACTGCTGCCACTGCTGGCCTGCGAAGAACGTCTCCGTTCCTCGCGCTCCATCGCATCTAGGAAATCGTCGTCCTCATCGTCTACTTGGTAGCTTTGTCTTGACAGATGTTCTTGTGGAGCTGTTTTGTTTTTCCAAATACTAGCGCTGGTTCCATCGTCGTCGTCTTCCGGCGTCGAAACGACCCTGCTTGCCGATCTCACAGCGCCACCATCAACCGCCCCTGCTTGCCCTCCTGCTCCAACTGATGATGCCTTTGACAGCGACGTTCCTGCTTTCGGACTGCTCGTCCCTCCAAGAACCCCGGGACCATGCTTTGGCGTGGCAACGCGGCTCACGCCGATGGGAGCTACTACCCGTGGCTCCGGCCCAGCGGTTATCGCGGGGATAAATGCGTTGAGAATCCACCGCCAGCACCGCATGAACTTCTCTTTCATAAAGTACAGCTCGGGGGAGTCGAAGTGCAGTTTCAAGTAATACGCCAGATCCAACGGAAAGTCGTCAAATTGCATCTGGTCCTTGACGTTCAGCGTTTTGACGTAAACCGAGAAAAATTTGGTCTTATCTCGTTCTTCACCGGATTTGTTTTCATTTTCATCGCCGCTATCTTTATTTTTCTGCTTGTTCTTTATCCCGAGTATAATCGGTTTGAACTGGTCGTTGCTCAGGTCTTGAATGCAGAAATTCCCAAACTTTGCGTCGAAGACCGTCCGCTCCTCGTACAAATTCAGGTCGAACGAGGAATTTTCGCAACTCGCGTCTATCAAAGTCAAAAAAGCCCCCACCCCACATCGGAAATGGAAGATGCGCGAGCTTGTGACTCTGTATTTGAGTACACAAGTCGACTCGTATTGCTAGAAGGCCAAGAGACGAAGCTGCGGCCTAAATTGCAGGTAATCTGTCATGCTGTTTCCCACTTCCAGCTGCCTTCTGTAATCCTGGAGCTGCAAGGCTTTCCCACGCTAGACAGCACTACAGTCCGCATCTTTTGCCTTCTAGCATGACAAAGCTGATTTGTG